CCAGCCTCGCGGGCTCAGTCGACATGACGGCGACGAATTATCAACCCAACTGTCACATATGTCTTGTCCGATTTGAACACCGAATATCTATCATTCGAGAATTGCCTTGCGGCCATATTTTTCACCCGATGTGTATTGACGAATTTCTCACAGAAAACAGCTCCTTGTGCCCGATGTGCAAACACTGTATGCTTCCCATAGGCTACAGTCCAAAGATCACGAATGCAATGGTACGTCGCGAGCGGGCTTTGCGACGTTTGCGCGGGCGAGTAGATCTCGAGAGCGACTCGCCGCTGGAGGCCAAGGATCCAAAGATAAAGATTTGGGGCAAGCGGGTGTTTAGCAATTCGTTCGCCTCGACGACTAGTATGGTTCACGAAGTCCCAATGACCCCAATTAAACCGAAACCCGTTTCTCAAGAGATAAGCCTCCAGTCGCCCTCTACTACTTCAGAACGACCGGAGTCAACGGTTATGTCCGACAGTGGCTCAACAGCTGGGCATCCCGAGCAACCGGAACCATCACCTCAGCCGATGAACCAGGCCAGAATCGCTCGGCCACGCAAGAAGCGACCGAGAAACTTACGCCTTCTCCCCACCCAGCCGGAGAATTCCGAACTCAGGACAGAACCTGGAGGAGGAAGAAAGAGCCCGTCCTCATTTGCTCGGGAGCGGATGCGGGAGATAGCTGCAAAGAACGCGCCATTCGACGACCCGGACCAACAGCGTCCAAGGTGTAAGTCTGTCCTCTGAGAGGTTTTCGCGTTTAGCGTAGCTGGTTTTGCTAACCTGAACGTACATACAGGGCGTCGTGCTGTCTCCGTCATTTTCCCGGCGTTTGGTTGAGATTTTTTTGCTAGACTCACATTTGTTTTTTTGGCGCCGATCTGACACTGGTTGTGTGTGTATGGAAACAATGCATGGCACAGGCGTTTGGGCATATCATGGGCTGGGCCCTTGTCGTTTTGTCGGCCTGTGGCACGGCAGATAGTCATCTAATCTCTAAGCGACGGCAGCAAAAGATCCCCGAGTAGTTGGGGCATCACACTTGGTTTGCCTTACTGAATGCGATAGACATTGGAGCTGGAGATGACATCTATCCCCTGGGTTGGGTAGTAAGAATGGCAAGGTCTTGTTAAAATGGGAGAGGCAAAGGCGTCAGGGCTGGCTGCTTTCCCTTATGAGGTTTGGAGTTTCAGGCATCATGCATAACGGATGAGAATTGTATTTACGGGACCTACCATATGATTTTTGGATTACAAGATAGATGTCGTGCCTTTTTGACTAGAAATACTACTGTATTTGTCAACTCAAATCCCGTATACTGCCTTCGTTGGTGCATATCTGTGCAATTGTGAGATTGTGAGATGGGTTCCCTTGCAGATAAAGATACGAGGAAAAAAAACGCAATGAAATAGCCTCAATCTAGTCAATTCATTCATTCATTACATTGGATAAGATATATTTCTATGAGTCCCACAGAACCTGTGGTTGTTTGCGATGCGATTGAAACTAAACTGAACTTGTAAACCAAAACATTCCGTAGCCGCCAGAGTGAGAACAATAGGAAAGTCCCCATGAGAAAAGAAAGAGGAAAAATAGGTATATAAATAGCAATTGATCCGGATGCGCGGAGAGAGGAAAAAAAGAGGAAACTAGAAGCCAAAACTTCCTCCGTCACTTGCCCTCGATGAGGGGCTCGTCCCTGAGGCCGCCCTTCGCGAGGGCCTCCCTGACGCGGTCGTTCTCGGCGGCGCTGATCCTCCGGCGGGCGGTCTCGAGGCGCTCGACGCCGCGGTCGATGGTCTCGATGTGGACGCTGAGGGGCAGGGACTTTGTCTTGGTGGCGCCGTCGACGAGGAGCTCGGGGGCGGCGACGCGGTCGCGGAGGTCGCTGAGGCCGGCCTGGATGGTCTCGAGCTCGAGGATGAGGGCGCTGACCTGCTTGACGGCGACGGAGCGCTGGGCGTCGACGCGCCTGAGGAGGGTGAGCTGCTGGGAGAGGTTGTGGAGCTTGGCGTTGTTGGCGCCGAGGTAGGTCCAGAGGTCGCGGAAGACCTGGTCGCGGCGGGAGGCGACATTGGCGGAGGAGCGGGAGGAGATGTCGTAGATGAGGGAGAGGTGGTCCTCTGCCTTGGTGAGGAGGCGGAGGACGGCCTGGGCCTCGAGGATGAGGCCGGAGATCTTATCTGAGACGAGGGCCGTGTGCTCGATGTACTTGTCGAGGATCATGCGCTCGCTGAAGCCGGTCTCGCTGGGTTGGAAGGGGTAGAAGAACCAGGCCGCCCATTGGGAGAGGAGAGGTTCGGAATCCTTGGTTGGGTCGAGGGAGTCGATGAACCGGGATGTCCAGCGGTTGATGGCGACGACGGCATCGACGGCCGAGCCGCAGTGGGTGTTGAACCTCTGTAGGTCTGAGGAGGATTGGCGGGCGAGATCGATATAGCCATCGAACTCGAGGACAAGTTCCTCCCGTGCTTGGATCTCGCTGTGTCTGACGAGGGTTCTAAGATCTCTGATAGTGGTCTCGGAACGCTTCATCTCGAGCGGAAGTGAGACCCCTTCAGAGCTCTTCTCCAGGACCTGCTCGAATTTATCCTGGACAGCCATCAAATCATCAAACTCGACAGGCTGTTGCATCGAGTCGAAAGGAATATCTGGGGATGGCCTTTGTGGGCAAAAGGGAAGGTTCAGGAATGAAGCACCCGGAATCCGACATAATGGTGATAGCGATGCCGATATTGACATGGTGACCATGTTCTGCGCAATGATGAGAGCGCCAAAAGATAGATACACAGCAAGAAGCAGAGCAAGTGGCTTCTGGGCATACCGGAAAGCGAGGGTGATGACTCCAAGCGCCCAGCGGAGAACATCAAACAAAGCTTCAGGCAGAGAGTTAGTGAGAGGGCCTGTAGAGGGCCTTCTACTGTCGTCATATCCGCTGCTATCGTCTTGAAAGCTCATGCTTCTCATGTCCCTCAGTTTGGATGGGCTGCTTTGAGATGATGCCTGCGTCCGCCTTCTCACGTTGCGCTTTGGGCTCCGCGCGCTCGCACTTCTTGCTGTATCGACTTCAACCAGAGGCATCCTGAACTCTGTGTCTGGGGTTCGAGCAGAATCCGGAAGACTGGGGCGAAAGGGCTCGCGCAAGATGACTTGGTCGTCGTCCTGGTGCCTGGAGAAATCACGGATACTGTCTTGGGAATGCGAGCCTAGACTTGTGTTGGCTTGGGAGAGTGACGATGGCTGTGATGGCTGAGAGGGGAAGCTGGATGATGGTTGCTCGCTGGGGATGATATCATCATCTAGATCAGAGACACCAGGCAGAAGAGTGGTGTCGAAGCTGTCATGGTCGCCTTCTACCATGCGCCATGAATCTTCGATGGGAAGCTCACGCCTGCGCGAGCTGCGCGAGCTCATGGCGCACCCTCTTCACCAGATGGGTGAATGAAGCTTCCAGGCAGACACCGGAGATGGCTGTCGCTGGTGTGAGTGAAGGTGCAGGGTTGTGAGAGCGAGGGCGAGCGCGTAGTGTTTATATATAGAGACGCAGTGCAGATATCGGTCTGGGGACTGGCGCAGAAGTGCGCTCTGTCTCGCTAGGCAGAAACGAAGACAGGCGAGATGCTGCGATTAGGCCAGTGTTTGGTAGGACAGAGCTGGTCGTTGGCGAAAGCGAGTGATGTACATTGGTTGTAAATAGTGCACTGAGTGGATGTGGCGAAACATGGGGTTTGTTATTGGCTGCCGATGATCCCCTGTAAAGTTGCCTGAGCGATCCATGAAATGAATGCAGTAACTGATTAGCTGGTTTGATCTTGCCGTTAGCGCACTCACTCGAGTGATTCTGGGGTGCAGCAGTCGAGAACAAGTTCACGGCGAGTCGATGTCGTTGAGTCACCGCCGGCTGTCTGTGTTGACATGAGAAGCAGGGACGTGCTGGCTGCCGGGATGACGCCGCATCCAACGGCGATTAATGAATAATAACCTTGCAGAAGCGTAACTGCGCTGCCGTTGGGCAAGGCAGGCAGTCAGTCATGTGCCGGTTTGAGCTTATCTGAGCCTGTCAAGGGCCCGTCTAGCTCTGAGAGGCACAGAGAACACCCCATGCCTATGCATTTCTTGCAGTTGAAGACGAGAGAAAGAAGCGTAGATATGATTATCCAGGCCCATTTCCATGATTGGCTGCTGTCCAAAAATTACAATAGCAATAAACTTGCCGTGCTGTCTCGCCTTGCATATGGGACCACCCAGTACCTAGCGACAATTATCAATCAGATGCGGAAAGCATGGCTTGGGAGAAGGTCATGTGGTCGACAGCGGCTTGCACGAGAGCACTAGCTAAGAAAAGTGTCTATCCGATATCAATGACAGACTTGTAATGTTCCCTTCCGACGGAGGTGAAGTGGTTTTTTATGTGTCTTCACTTGTTGGATCATCCAGGTGAATGAACCTGTTTGAGCAACCGTTGGTTATGTACCTAATATCTCCCGCCGATTCAATAGCAATCAATCAAATCGCACTAGGATCAGTTAGTAGCGAGTGGCGATAACTCAGGATAAATGGTAATGTACTTTATAATTGGCAAACAATAGCTTTTCCTCCTATTATTCTCATCGCGGGACCACTATGGGCAAGGCAGAGACTCGGCTCATGTCACAGCATCAACAGACACAAACCTGCCACTGTCGGGACAATTAGAACTACCCGTGTTTGCGCTAATACTCCACACGCATGTGCACGCTCGACTGTTCTGGCAATTACCTGTCTCCTGGCAGCCGATCGCCGGGTGTTTGATTAGTGCCGAGGCTTCGGCCCCGGCCACTGCCCCAGGCCTAAGTTTATTGCGGACATCAAAACTCCTCCACACCAACCTAGCTTCACTCGCGACCTCGCTTCTCTCGACATCCACACGACGATCCAACCATGCGGCGATAGCCCTCCTCCGACCCTCGAACCCATCAAGAATTCACCGCCGGCCCGACTCTGCACCCCGACGCAATGGCTGACTCGAGCTTTGCCCTGGCGCAACAGCGTGTGGCTGCCCGTCGCCAAGCCCGCGAATCCCAAGAAGCCGCTCGAATCGCTGCACAACGCGAGGCCTCTCGTGCGAGTGCGCAGCTGCAGCGCTTACCGTATCCGTTCAATGGCCTTTCGTCAGTGTGGGATACCATCTCCGCTCGCCAGGGCACGCGGCCTGCCTTCCGGGTTGGCCAGGTCGACGCGGAGCTCCTGGACCAGGAGCTGCTGGACCTCCTCAAAGGACAAGCCGGCGAGGCACTGAAGTACTTCTCGGATGGCCACCTCAGCGATGATTGGTCTGCCGAGATCTCCCTGGCCCTCCGCGCCATCCTGTTCAAGCTGACTGTCTGGGACCATGATGCAACCTACGGCGCTGCGCTACAGAATCTGAAATACACCGACGCCAGGAAGGACGGGGCCGTGCTCGTGCCACCCTCTCGATGGCAGAAGTCCCTCTTTGGGGCCGTCACCGTCTTTGGTAGCTACGCCTGGACAAAGTGGGAGGACTGGCTCGTGGAAAGGGACGATGGCTACGCTGAACCTAATCCTCGACTGGAGCGCCTGTCCAGGTTCACATCTACCCTCTCCACCGCCCACAGCGCGGCAGCCTGCGTCTCATTCCTGGTGTTTCTTCTCAACGGGAGATATCGGACGTTGCTGGATAGACTACTAAGGATGCGACTCGCACCACCTACCAGCCAAGTGAGTCGAGAGGTCTCATTCGAGTATCTCAACCGTCAACTGGTGTGGCACGCCTTTACTGAATTCCTCCTCTTTGTCTTACCTTTGATTGGCATTAATCGATGGAGACGGTGGTTGAGCCGCACCTGGCGTAAAACTAAGGAAATCATCCAGATCGGCCCCGAGGAAGGGAACTCGAAGAATGGAGAGTATGCGTTTCTTCCAGAACGGACATGCGCCATCTGCTATCAGGATCAGAACGAAGCCGCGACGACGGAAAATGAGGTTATGGCCGCGGCAGCATCTAGTGGTGTGATCGGTTCTACGCAGACTGACATCACCAACCCGTACGAGACCATCCCTTGTGGATGCATCTATTGTTTCGTCTGCATCGCCACTCGTCTTGAACGCGAGGAGGGAGAGGGCTGGACGTGCCTTCGCTGTGGGGAACACGTCAAGGAGTGTAAGCCGTGGAATGGTGATGTTCTTGAGCCAGCCAATAAGTCTGGCTCCTCCAAGACAGTGGCGTTCTCTGATGACTTGCCAAGCAGCCCGCCAGTGGATAAAGTCCCTGCCGGTGCTGATAACCTTGCGGCGGAGGTTACTGAGGAATGATCGAGAACCCACATAACCTTGTTGACCCCCATCACGGTTATCAATCCGCGTGCTCGTCTCTCCATCGAGGAGATATCCTGAAGATCTGATGCACACGCGGGTCAATTTATAAGCACAATTTATAATCCGGAATCATCTGGGAAGAGGCACAGCAGTGTCCCTTCTCCCTAAACCAATCAGCAAATCAGTAACAAGCTGATGTGTTGTGGAAGGGTTCAGTTCTGAACCAAAATACCTCATGACAATGCCGCCAGATGTGGGTTGAAGCATAAACTTACTAGCTTCCGGTAACCTTTTTGATAAGCTTGTTTCAAGCGAACGCGCTATGTGTTAAACATTAGAGACATGTGTTGCGCAAAGGAGGGTGTGTTTTCAGCACATGAACTATAGACTTTTGTTACTGCTCCTATCTCCGACTCCAGAGCGTGTCGCAGAAGGAGAGATCTTCCTGAAGAGACATGACCTGGGAATCATCTATTTATTGTGACGAGATCTCCCTCATCTGTTGGTCTATCCTCTCCCACCAGACTCAACAATCTACCAGGTCTTCACAAACCTAAATACAGCTCCTGTATCCATCCAGGAGACAAATAAATTCTAATTCTTCATCTTTCCGAACCACCTGGGATTAAAAACACAATGGACGCTATTTTCGAAACCGCCTTTGCACAGCTTGGCCACCCGCCAGGTTCCATCGGAGGTGCACTCCTACCCAACAGCTCCCAACAGTTGGGGACGCAGGCCATGATCAACACAGTCTCCAGGTTCATGAACGTCCCCCAGACCCCTGACCACGTCACCGCCGAGCTGTTGGGGAGCATCCTCGTTGAGCGGTACTTCATCGAGTACGCCGACTTCATCCCACCCAGCGTCGCCAACGAGCACCGCTTCCTCACCAACAGGGCCGCCCTCAGCAACGAGTCCTACCAGACGCCCGTCAGCCTCAGGTCCTGGTGGGGGTCCATGATCAGGAGCGTGCAGGACGAGGCGGCGCCCCTGGGAGCCCTCATCCGCCTCATGGCCGAGGGGGAGTTCACCCCGGAGGTGGGCATCTTCCGCGACATGATGTCCTCGACGCGCCACTTCGTCCTCGCGGCCGCCACGTGCGGCGAGCACGACTGGGCCGGCGTGTTCGCCAACGTCGAGGACTATGTTTACCACGGGACGCGCCGGTACACGGGCATCCGGCACCTGGTCGAGAGCCGCAGGGTCGAGGAGGCCAAGGTGAGGGTGGACAGCGACGAGGCCATGCTCGACGCGAGGCTCTACGGCCCCTGGGAGCATTTCATCCAGCCTTTGCGTGAGGCGATTCTCAAGTTCCGTCAGGAGCACGGTCTGCTTTGAATGTATTGTCTTTGTCTTTTTGTCTTTGAATCGTGGCTTGCTTCACATGTGTTACTAGGAATGAATAGCAAGCCTTGTCCCTTTTCAGGTTAAAATTGTCTACCTTGGCCGATTCGAGTTCTTGGCTGGAGGAAAATTGTGCCATTTTCTTTTTGTCTTGGAGTAGCCGGAGATCATATCACTTATAACCACTCTCTCACAAATGATGAATTGGAGAATAATCTCATCTGACATCTCGTTTAAATCCTTTCCCCGCTGGAAGGGAATAAAGCGATGCAATCCATTATGCTTTCGTTTCTATGGCCTCTTTTTATCCTTCCACGTGAAAGAAACCAGATCCCATTTCCCAGCGCCAGGCTAACAACATGCTATTAATGATACATTCGCGCCTTGTACAGTGTTCCAAGAAAGTTTATACAAAGAAACAGAAGAATGGGGGGCACGTAGTCTCTTCAGGGACCTCCAAGCGGCCGCTGCTTGAGCCTGATGACGTGCTTCACCTCCGTACTGGTGGAGACGAACCTTTTCTGCTGCGGATCGAACCACCCGACGACGGCGACCGTCATCACGGCCGAGGGGCCCAACAGCTCAACCAGGCCGTCGACCCGGACACAGCCACGGGTAGGTTGTGGCTGTATGGGCTTTCGGTGTTTGGCCAGCGTGAGAGACGCAGCGTGAAGGGCGTGCTGTAGACTTGGGGAGAGCCGCACCTCGCCTTCAGGCTTCCGGAAAAGGCCTGCGAAGTCGACGGGGAACTGGGACGAGTTGTCTTGAGCCGTCTTCCCGTTGGGGGGTGGCTGTGACGGGGGCGTGACATGAGTCGGGCGAGAGTCGGGGCCAGGAAGAGAAGGGTTGCCCTTGCTTCTCTCTGCCTCTCTGCTTCTCTCCAGCATGACGGACTGCCAGGTCGGCGCTGGAGGCTCGGTCTCGAGGCCCAGCGCTTTGGATATGTCGACCTTGGTACGCTGGAACAAGACGTTCCAGAATGACCAAGCCGACATGGCGACGGCTTTGGGGTACATGATGGCATCGAGTTGCAAGGCCGCAGAGGTATCGATTGGACGATCCCCCCAGAACAGGCCGTCCCAATCTACTATCAGCCTGCGAACTTGTTAGTCAGGAGATTTTGAGCCAAAGTCTTCGTTAATACAAACCCTGAAACGTAGTGCTTTGGCGGGGGAGCCGGAGGATACAGAATATCAAGCCATGACCTCTTGATACGGATGTTTTTCCCACCCATCGTGCTGATGATAGACGGGTGCCGTTCAAGAGCTTGGCGAACTATGTCCGCCAGTTGTCCTATACAAGGGATCCGAGTCAGAATAATTCATTACAGGATGTTTACCGAGGCGAGAATACCTTTAATTGATTTTTGCATCGCTTGGTCCTTGCTGATCTTCAGAAATCCTACCCACTCCGGGTCGGATCCTCTGTATGGCGGCTGTTTGACCTTTTTGGTCGTGAAGGGAAAGGGTAGGAATAACAGCGGCTCCGGGTCCTCCTCGTCCTCCTCTTGCTCCATCTCCATCTTCTCCTTCTCAGACAGGTTTTCCCATTCCGTTTCGGCCCAGTCGAACAGCGGGTCGAGGACCACGCTCATGTAGACTTGGAAGAGGAAGTAGTAGACGGCGGCGGTGATGACGGCGTATCGAAGTTTCTTCCATGGCGATCGTCGCACCGTACTGGTCGGCTTCGGGAAGTATACAGGCAGCGACGGGCCCTTCTTCTTTCGCCATGGCAGAAGCGAAAGTTGTCTCGCCGATGAGGGGACCTGCCGGACCGATAGTCGCTGGGCTGCAAGGATTGTGAGAGCCGCACGCCGCGGGGCGGCCGCTCGCGAGAGCATGATCCGCGAGGTCTGCAGCATGGAAGTCGTTGTGAAAGAACCGCTCTCTAAACGTTTATATCTGTCGTGGGCGCTTTAAGGATCGGGCATGCATGGCGGCGGGATGTAGCCAGCGCAAGGCACAGAACATGGAATCCAATGGATCGACGGCCAGTGACGGCGCTCCAGTGCAGATAGATAGTCGTGCCGAGTCCGCATTTCGCACTGTAGGGCTGCAGTGTTTCTATATTTGGTGGCGCGGATGCCTGGGCCAACTAGCACTGTGCTGCAGCCGGATCATCTCGCAGCCGCTAGCTCCGTGCTTAGTGGTCGCCAGGTTGCACTTCCAGAGACCGTGGCGCCTCTAGCTGTGACGTTGCGAAAGCCATCCCCATTGTCGACGACGACCAAATTCATCCAGCGCAGCTTCACCGTCCTCAGCCGACCATCATGAAGCTCACTCTCGGGCTTGTTGCAGCCCTGGCCGGCTGCGCAGCAGCAGCGCAACAGGCCGCCGAGGTCTACATCCTCCCTGGCGCCTCCCAGTCCTCCACAGTTCCCTCCGTCTCGCGAAGCCTCGCACGCCTCATCCTCCTACAGCGACTGGCGCCCGCCGGAAAGGGGCCATCGACTGCCGAAATCCCCAATGGGTCCGACGCCGAGAACGTTGTTTCTTTAATCAGCAAGTTTGGGAAGGAGCCCGTGTCGCTGTTTGGACAGGGCGAGACTCTGGCTCCCAGTCAGCTTGTCGTCATGGTCGAGGGTTTGAATGATGACCAGATCAAGACTCTCGGCCGCTCATTCAAGTCGGGCCCCTCATTCACAATCCCCGACCCTCCTTCCGCGCATGCAAACGAGAAGCTCATTAGCAACGACGTGTACAATGTTGGTGTTACGAATGATCACAAGTGCTCGATCAAGAAGCTTAGCAACCCATTTGATAAAAACTGCTGGAGCGGCAAGTCTGCCGTGGCAAAATACAATGTCCAAAAGGTATGTAAATAGTTACGGGGCTGTTGAAGATCTATGGCTAACTTAAGTAGGACCCTTCCGTTGTTGGAGATCTCTCGCGTCTAGCCTCCCATTTCGCACGCCTTGCCACGAGCGGCGAGATGGAAACTACCATCGTCCTCTTCCACGCGTCGACCGCCAACTCAAACGTCAACCAATGGTCTGAGAAGTTCCAAGAATTGCGCCGCCGCCAGGCTGCCGAAGAAGTCGTCTCAGTGTTTGAGGTTGACGTTGAAGTCGATCTCCCATCCTCCGTCGGGGAGTCGGATGCGAAGATGACCATCTTCTCCTCGCCATCTAAGGTACCAACCTGCTTCACCTCTAAGGAAGCCTGTCTCTCGGGCACCAACAAATGCTCTGGCTACGGCGAGTGCCTCAATCGCTGGGCTGAGCCCGATGGCTCAGATGAGCAGTCTGGTTCAGATGGCAAGGGCAGAGTCTGCTACGCTTGCCACTGCTCGAAGCGCCGCGAGAAGTCGGGCGGTGTTACGCAGATGGCTGGCCCAACTTGTTCAAAGCAAGACGTGAGCGTGCCATTCTGGCTCTTTGCTGGCTTCACATTGCTTATGGTCGGCATCCTCACTTTCGCTATTGGCATCCTGTTCAGCGTGGGCGAAGAGAAGCTACCTGGCGTTCTTGGCGCTGGTGTCTCAAAGTCTAAATAGATCCACAGACAACCAGCGTATAGTCAAGGGGGATCGGGAGTGATAGCCCTGGAGAGTTCGGGGCATCCCTGAAACCGGCAGTCGTACCCAGGAGAGCGGCATGATTTCGGGCCAAATTTTAGGGCAGGATGAGAGTGATGGGATGGCATACATGTGTAAACCTATAAGTGTTTCGATACAATGGCGTCGGTTTTGGGCGAAGTATGTACTGGAGACGCCTCAGCTTAGCTTGCTTGCTTGTTAGACTACCTATTTTCTTATTTTTCTTTCTTTCATAGCAATGAATTTATTGTTCCGGTTCAATGATTGGTTAGCAAACATTCAAGACCGCTATTGTTAGCACGCCCGAGGTGAAATTCGTATTGGGGCAAATCAGATAGAGCTCTGTTCAGTCAGATGAGCTCAGGACTGAGCTTAGTGAGCATATGGAGGAAGATGGTCGTTTGACACAGGGAGGCACAGCCTCAATGCCGCGTCCAACATTGTGTAAAAAAAGCCATCAGTCGTGGCTCATATGGCGGAGAGGCGCGTTTAGGGGACCAATGTAACGTCTGGAAAGCTTTATTAAGCATAATCGGTTGTTAAGCAGCGACTCCTCCCCTTGCTGCCTCGTTTTGGATCACCAACCGGACTTTATCTAAAACTCCGGTTGCCTTGGCCGCTTCCACCATCGACCGTTTATTAGCAGACGAGACAGCAACCTCTCTCCTCGTGAAGAGCCGACGGACTTCTACAAGTCTAAGGCCACTCACGTGTTTTTGCCTTGCTTTTCCCCTGTCCCTCAGCTGCATCAACTGTTCCACTCATGGCCGAATCAGTGGTAACCAGCACCCTGGAGTACACCAGTACCGGGAGCCTCAGATCCAAGCTCCCTGCGGCCAAATGGGGAGCTGCCTGTGCTGCCTGTGCAACCGCCAAGGCGAAGTGCATCCGCTCGAATCCTGATGTAGAGTCAAAGTGCGACCGGTATGTAAACCCGCTTTGACTGGCCATTTCCCTCGTTAAGCTTAAAATATTACTGTATTTCTGACGTGGGTCGGCACTTAGATGCGAAAGGCTCCTCAAAAACTGTACCAAACAGGTTCATCGCGTCCGCAAGAAGAGACAAGTAAAACCGTCGTAAGTCGCTTAATCAAGCCATGCATGCACACCAGGCGCGGCTGCTACGTTGTGTGTAGCGAATATTGGCCAGATCCTAACCAATCGCTAGTCGCACTGCTCGTATCGAGGAAAGGCTAGACAACCTCACCAATATCCTGCAATCCTCTGGAGATCTTTCAAAAGCCGGAATTGATCGTGATACCCTTCGCCTCGCTCTCGAGGGAAATAATGACACGCCAGAAAAGTTCGAGGCCAGCGAGGGTCCTTGGGCCGTCCCGGAGCAGTTCAACTCTCACGCGCCGGGAACATGTCTGTGCCGCCCTGTCACAGGCGAGGCACCTCCCCCTCCGGACACGGATGACAATCTGCTGGATCTCTACCGGAGGGAGTTGATGCCGCTGAACCCTTTCGTTGTCGTTCCGCCCACCATCAATGCTGCTGGCCTGGCGGAGACCAAGCCTTTCTTGATGGCGGCCATCAAAACCGTAGCTTCATTTCGAAGTCTAAGATCAATGCGTGCCCAGACATATTATCTGATGAAGCATCTCTCCGATCACATTCTCATCCGATCAGAGCGGTCGCTGGATCTGTTACAAGGTTTGATCGTCATCATCTCCTGGTATCAGTACCACTGCTTCATTCATGCGCAGTTGAGTAACTTGGTGGGCCTGGCAACATCGCTTATAAGTGATATGGGCTTGACTCGCCCAAAGTACATTCCTGGACAGTTCGATCCCAATGGGCCGAAAGCGCATACCGCCGAGGAAAAGCGAGCGTTCGCTGGTGTGTGGTTCAACTCCTCAGTGTATGTTCATGCCCTTCATGGCTTCAAAACGAAGGGTGGCCTTGCTGACGCTGGACAGTGTATCTATAGGATACGGCAGAATAGACAGCTTGCGATTTTCGAAATATCTCCAGCAATGTTTGAGAGATCTAGAGGACGCCAATGAAGAAGAAACAGATATCGATCTCGTACATCTTGTCCGCATCCAGTATCTGACGGATCGCATCAATTCACTCAAAGAAATGGATAGAGCCGACTCCATACTGGACAACACTCCCTTGCATCTGATGTCCAAGACAACATATATAAACTCTTATCAGACCGAAATTAACCAGATTCAAGAGCGACTGCCGCTGAGACTCAAGATGAATAGTTAGTCCGCCACCACCCCTTCAGTATTGGTCCGTGGATACTGACATCCTTCGCAGAAATATTCATGACAAACCTACATACTGCGACCCTGCGGCTGTATGAGCCACCTGACGGGAATAAAATCCCGTCCTTGGCAGAACCTCAAAGCACAGATACTTCCTCATCAGCGCTGGAAGACATCTATCAATCACGCAACGCGCTGCTCGCTTGGTTCGAGCATTGGCTCTCAGTTTCGGTGTCGTCATATTATCGCCAGACGCTGTCTACATGCACACAGCTGATTTACGCGATCAGCATGCTGGGGAGATATGCCAAGTTCATCAACTCGAAGACGTTGAAAAAGGGCCCAGGCGTAATGTCTCTGAGTGCTGGGGCCAACAATAGCCAGCGGGAGACCACTCTTTTTGTAGAACCGCAAAAACGCAACACTTCCGGCTTAACCTCGCCGGCGACTACGATTGCCGAGTCGCCATCCAGCGTGGAGAAAGAGCCGTGCCCTTTCGTCCCAAAGAGGGCCGACGAGTGGTCGGATCCCAGGGTCCCGGGCGCGGTGGCGTCATTACAAGAACGCCTGGACAAGGAGCCCGGGTTGGAGATCGACGTCACTCGGATCCTCTCGACGTTGCGGACCAGGGTTCAGCAAGTCGGAGACTTGATGCAGCAAGCTGCAGTCCCGGAGGAGTCGAAAGACAGCAATCTCTGGGTGACAAGCGCGCTGAAGATTCTCATGATTCAGGAAAAGCTTGAATACTGGGCCAACTCTGTCCTGCAGAAGACGGCATCGTTATCTTTGAATGACCGACCTGGCGACCAGGCGCCCGACCAGTTTTACCAGAACGGGGGCAACCAGTATAGCCAAGATATGGTCGACTTTGGTAGCAGTATGGCTTTCCAATGGACCGGGGACCTTATGCACAGCACTGAAAACTTCGGATGGCTCAATGATTATGGGGACTGGAATATTCCATAATGAGAGTTTTTGGATTTTCGAATAGACGGAACAACAATTGCCTTGGGCTAGGAAACGGGGATTTTGTGTTTTAGCAGTGATCAACTGGAGGCAAAACGGCGAACATGTGCGAGGATGCTGTATATTAGCCAATTAGAGAGCGAGTTTTGATGCTTTAGCAGCGACCTGAACATAGAAATTTAAGAGCATGACCTTTTCATTATCATTGCCATCACAAAGAACCCCATGTAGACGAAGGCAAGCTTTAGTGAGACCTCCTGTGCCTTGATAGACGTAAATATTCCCTAGTAAACGCTAGGAACCGCCGGAGACTCGAAGGCCAGTAGGTGTATGTGATTGAACAATCAACATGAAATGTGAAGTGCTCGAGCTACTTCCACTACCTGAAAACTATTCAGTGCCACTCTTATCTGCGTGTCTGGTTTGTTGGTTCACACCGTCCGACCAATAAATCTGAGGTTGACTTATTAATGCGCTTGGACTTGCAGTTGGAGATGCCTCTGGTATTTACACGGCTTGCAGCTGGGAGCGGGGTTGACCCAGCTTTTAGCCTTTCTTCAATCTCGCAATTCGAGGACATCTATGCGAAGCAAGCAATTCTCTCGCTCCAGCATTCAAAAACTTATTCCTCAATTGCAAAAAGCATAAAAAGATGGCTGCAAACCAGGACCAGACCACCGAGACACCTTGGTGGGCCAGCTTCCCCGAGGTGCAGTCCGAATGTCCTCGTCTCGAGCCCGAGGAAGTGAAACTGCTGCTGGATGAGGACCCGGCGGGCAAGGGCAAGGACGGAAAGAGAGATTTTCTATTAGTTGACGTCCGAAGGACTGACTGGGAGGGCGGCACGGTGGCAACCTCGATCAACTTTCCTGCTCACACGCTATATCAGACACGCCCGGTGATCTATCAGCTCTGCAAACAGGCCGGCATCAAAAAGATTATATTCTATTGCGGTGAGTCAGGCCTTTAAGAAACCTTATACATGTAATTCATAGTAAAATCTCATTCTTTCTATCAGGCAGCAGCAATGGTCGTGGCCCGAGGAGTGCAGGCTGGATGCAGGACTACCTGAATGAAGTGGGGGAGACCCAGATCAAATCCCTGGTGTTGAAAGGAGGCATCAAAGGCTGGCAGAAGAGATACGGGGGCGACCTGATGGACTGGTATGACGAGAAGTTCTGGGCATCTCAGTAGATCAATGCCTGGCCGGACAGAATCATTTGATCGTACGGGGTATTCGGTTTGATTTCTTTGATTTGCTCAGTCGTCTAGACTGTATGATATACGTCCCAAAGACACAGGCAAGCCATCCATTTGTCCGCAAATAACGCCAGGCAAAATTCCTTATTTCTTTCCTCTCTTTCGTTTGCTCAAGTCCCGCCCGCCTATCGAGGCTTTCGATCGTCACCGCCAATTCTTTCCAGTGCTTCGAGCATCACGACAGAGTTGCCTCTAATGACCTGCAGAAGTGTTAGCAAAACCATGCGTCGAGACAGATTCAACATGTTAAGGGGAGGGGGTTTGCAACATACCACCATGCCGATTCTGACCTTCTCGCCTCCATCCTTTTCTTCGACCGCGTCGTCTAGCACGATGTTGAGGAAGACCTAGCACTGTTAGAAATCGTCATGAACCATAGCATCAAGGGGATGAGCGTACATCGTAACCGCGGAGAACACCAATGACCTTGCGGCTTCCATTCAGCTGGACGAACAGGCGCTTGTCGAGGTACTGTATAGAACATTAGTATCGTTAGGCTTAGTGCCTTCTCCCATCGCGTGTCAATCATCCCAAACAAGCAAGCCTGCCAGGTGAACTCTCGCGGTAGAAGCGAATGATGGATGCTGAGAATATGACGGACCTTCTTGAGCTCGGGCTGTGCGGGCGCCATCTTGTGCAATTGTTGTGTCGGAGTTGGGCCTTGTAAAGTATCGAAATGCGACCGGACCCGCAAGAATAATGGGAAGTTGCTGCTTTGATGATGTGAAGCTTTAGATGCGCTTGGCGAGTTGCATGGGTCGGCCCCTTAAAGCAGCAGCAGAAAATGTTGCAGCTTCAAAGCAGACTGGACGCTGGCGCTATTTAGCATCGCTGCTTTATGCATCTCCAGCATCACGTGTAGATAAGAACTTCAGAGCTTGCCTACAGGGACTACCTAGAATAGCGACCAGCTTTCGCAAATCCCAGAGCATCGGCTTCAGAGGCAACAAAAGGACTACTCTCATACGGAATTCCGTTTCCTATTTTCACAAGGAATGAGCTTGTTCGCGGCGAAGCGCAAGGCGCGTGTAATCAAAGTCTCCGATGACGACGATGCGGGAGACCAGCCAACGTCGTCTAGCGACAGCGGCAACATAGAGTCTGGTATGTATCCCAAGTGGCCTATTTCATGATCCTTTTGCTGATTCGACGTCGCGATAAGAAGGCTGACCTTTCGGAACGATGGTAGAAGTATCAAAACCCTTATTCGGATCAAAGAACTCGCGCAAACCTTTCCGCCAATCTGGACTGCGCAAGGCGTTCAACCCTCCCAACGACGACACCGAGAATGCAGACCCCGCGCGGCCCTCGAACGGGGATGAGGAGAGTGACGGGCCAGTCGTGGTGCGACCTAATTTTGGGCGAAAAGCTTCCTCGAATGTAAAGAACCGGAAAAAGAAGGCGACGACACTTTCGTTTGGGGACGATGGCGAGGATGCCGGCGAGGAGGAGGAGAGCGCCGTCAAAACGCCCAACAAATTCCCACTCGGCAAACGCGCGCTCGAAAACAGCTCTCTCAAAAAGGGGCTGGCGACGAGGGGTCTCCCTATGCGGTCGGTGCAGGATGATGATGACCGGCCGAGGTATAGTCAAGAATATCTGGAGGAGCTCCAATCGTCAACGCCAAATACGCCCCGGGGCATCGTAATATCGGCTGAAGAGATAGAGACAATGGATATCGACGAAGCAGAGTTGGATGGTGCCTTAATTGTCGAATCCCCGAGTCTTAGCACCCAGCCTGCACAGCAAACTACGATTCTTTCCGAAGCTGAGATACGCGAAAGAAAGGAAAGGAGAGATCGACTTGCAAAGGAGCAAGACTTCTTATCTGTCGAAGATGAAGATGAGGACTATCTAGGACGAAAAAAGAAGCCAGAAACCCGGCTCAAGCAGGATGAGGATGATATTGGAGAAGGATTCGACAATTTTGTGGAAGATGGAGGACTGTCCCTGGGGAAGCGCGCAGAAAAGGAACGGCGGAAGCGGGATCGAAAAGAAATGGCGGAGCTTATCACGGCAGCTGAAGGCCATTCGTCAGACGACTCCTCTGACAGCGATGCAGAGCGTCGTATAGCCTATGAGTCGGCACAGACTCGAGCAGGTCTTGATGGTCTCAAGAAGCCGAAGAAGGACCCGACCCAGGAGCTTCTGCAGGTCCCTGCAAAGATCACGCCAATACCAAATCTATCAGAATGTGTCTCGAAACTTCAGATATCCCTCCAGGCAATGCAAGAGGAGATCAGACAAAAGACAGCCCGGGTACAACAATTAAGGAACGAGAAACAAGAGATTCTAAAGAGGGAGAAAGAGGTGCAAACCTTACTAGATGAAACGGGGAAGAAATATCAAGAGGCAATGGGACAAGGGAAAAACGATAATGCAATAGGTCCTGATGCTGGGATTGGCGGCGCGTTCGCTGGTGAGCGAGGGTTAGAAAGTATTGGGAGAACTCCGGTCAGGGATGAGGGCGAAGATGACATGTAATATTTGAATCGAAAGCATTTTATGACTTGGGGAAAGTCATTTCACTTCATCGAGTCAGGTGAAGCATTTAGACGAGTCCAAGATATACCAAGCCTGATTTCTTAACTACGGACAGCTCATCCCTAAGCAAACAGCTTTCAAAGGAGAGAAGGAGTAATTGTACACCGGTGGGTTGGTTTCGGATAAGCACTTAGTACCAAGCTTACCACTACAGAAGCTCTCCTTTTAGTTGGAACGCTTCGTGAGCTTAACCCAGAAATCTGAAGCCATGTGAAATATGGATGATTCGACCTTGATGGGCTTTTCAGGGTCAATTAGTCCGAGGTCGTATCGCCTGAGTAACTGTTTCTTCCGGTTAGTAAAGGTCATCTATGCCCGGAAGGCAGCACTGGCTTTTCATACCTCAAAGACCGCCTTGTGCAGTTCCATCAGAGCAATTGGCTTCCCTAAGCACGAGTATTTGCCGGCTCCAAAGTGTGTGTCGACAGCGGCCTGCATGCTTCTAAGCTCTTCTTGGTCCGCAATGAGCCAGCGCTCCGGTCGAAACACGTTCGCGTCCTGTCCCCAGACTGCTTTGGACCGCCCAACCCCGTGGAAACCTTGCCCGATATCTGTGCCGCCGGGGATGAAATATCCAGCAATGTTGTCCCCTTCTGGAGGCACAGTCTTGAAGCCCAGGCCGCCCACAGGTGGCCACATCCTAAAACCTTCTTGGACAACTGCCTTGAGGTATGGCAACGATTGAGTCTCGGCCCAGGAGATGGGTGAGCTGACTGTTGCGGATGTTTCTCGGATTTCAGCGCACAGAGAGTTGTATGCTGTCGGGTTGGTGATGAGAGCGAGGAATATCATCCGTAAAGCCTGGGAAGATGAATTTGCACCTGCGATTCTGCCTCGAAAGGTGAGTTATATCCTAGACACGTCTATTCAGATATTTGGAAAGACCTACATGAAAATAAAGACTTGTTGGATCAGCTCCTCCCGACTCATGCCGCTGTTGATGTGCGCCTGCAACATGTCATGCATGGGATCAGATTGAGGATCAAGTCTTGCGTCTACTAATTGAGTTGCAATGCTATCAGACGTTAGCTATTAAGCTGTTGAGCAGAGGAATATCATAAAGACGAACCTCATGAGCCTGCCGAACCCTACCTTGTCTCCGTCTTTGGGGAGGGCAAGACGAAGCGGCCATTGATGAACAACATCGGTCAGCCATGGTAGAACAGAAACAACATTCATAACTTGCAGTGAGGTTCTGTTAATTTCATTGTAGTCGAAAAGGTCTTCATCCTTGGTGAGATATCCAAAGGGAGTGCCCATGGAGATATCGCCTATGGCGTCTAAAGCGAAGAATTGCGTCTTTTGAGCCAAGTCGACAGAAATTGTACTCTCTGCCGTGGAGATGTACTTTCTTTCCAGGAGATCCATGAAGTTCAGAACCTGGCGGTCCATTCCTGGTTCAAAACTGGAACCTTCGGATGCTCTCCCAGCATACTAGAAAAAACAATCCGCCTCTATAAGCTTCGACCCAGGATCTCAAGATAGAGTACAGAAAGCAGACTTACACCAGCCCACATCTTGGCGCGCATTGCTTTGTGTTTCTCCTCATCTCTCATAGATACAACCGTGTCCACGCCTGGTGTCACTTTGCCGCTGTCGTAAAATCTGCCCTTTTGGTAACGACTACGGACACCAGAAATGCGGCGGATAACCTCTGGATCCGTCGATAGCAGTTCATTAGGCCCAATACGAACCAGCGGCCCTATACGCCATGTTAGCACCGAAGATCATGCTATCAGCCAAAACTTTGAGTCGACACGAACCATATTCCTCAGCAACCTCGTTCAGAATCTCGTGATAGCGTCCGCTGAGAGCGCCAGAAAGCTGCCACAACATTGACCAGCCCGCCAGTCTTGGCCCCGGGATATGTCTAAGGCGATACCATTGACGGATCTGCTGGACAATGAAGGCAGTCAACAAGCCGAGGCTTGTCCAAACCAGCAATTGCCTCTGGGGCTGTATCCTTTGCGCCGCCCAAAGACTCATGGCAACGACAGTTGGTGTCGATAATGTAGGGTGTGACCGCTAAGATTGAATCCTACCAAGTACCCTCTATCTTAAGTATCCGGCCTCGACAAGGATGTAGCATCACTTATTCCTCGAGTGGATCCGTTCAAGCGCTGTCCAACCTCTCATAACCAAGCAGTTAGTTTAGCCCAGAGGTATATTGCTATATATATTACAAACGTTCATGTTACCGTGCACGTATTATGATGTGCGGACGCATTGAAGTGGGATCCGTCCGGGGTAGCGTATGAAGCGAACCCTGCAAATACACACCAGGTGTCAGGCACTATCTCAAGTGAAATCAATCGCTTCAAAGACACAGTTTCTGACTATATCACCAACATTATCGATTTGACTATGATGCAACGGTGATTGGCAGCCTTCATGAAACTCTGTCTTAGACTTCGTTGAATCTGAACCCTGTCAAAGAGTTTCGCCCATATTGGTCTGCTTACACTACGACAACTGACCCGTAGACTCTAGTGTTTCATTAGCCGATTTACCAAAGTCGCTGCTCGTCGCGTTAAAGAGGTGCGTATTTCAAATATCTTCGTAGTCAATAACTGACACCACATTTGTCGCTCCGGACTGCTCTATGAGCTTCAAGATTCGCACGATCTGATAGGTGATAAGAGCGGAATAGAATAGAAGAATAGACAGGCGAGGCAAACATCTATGAGATTGGTAGCGTCTTAGCGAGCGCTAGGCGCATAGAACAAGATTCCATAGGATGGGTTAAGAGCACCAAACGGATGATTGCATAAAGGTATTCGTGGTTCATATTCACATTAGTTAACAGTAAGTAGACTTAAATCTCAGTTTTACACGCCGCATTAATACGCATGCACTCCCTTGCGTCACTAGATCTTTTTCCTCCCTTCTGCTTCCCTACTTAGTTGCGTCCTACCCGGATGACACCAGCGGCCATGAGCTTCTGGATCTTGGTCCGCACGCTAGGGTTGCGCATGTGCTCCTGCAGAGCCTGTGGGTTGGTCTGAGCCTGTTGCAGGATAGACTGCATGACAGGGTCCTGCATGATACCCATAATCTAGTTTGAAGGTGTTAGCGTCTGAATTTCGTGGATGAGGTTACTGAGCTGGCACTTACTTCGGGATCGTTCTGGAGGCGCTCCTTGGTTTGCTCCTCAGTCTCGTTGTCGCGGGCAGAGTACATGGCTGAGAAAGCCTTCTGCTGCTGTTGCTCAATCTCACGGGCGTTAGCACCGTTGTGAGATGCTTGGTCAACCTCCGCGGCCTCGGTACAGGCATCCACGCATTCGGAGTACTTGCGCATGCCGAAGTAAGCCTGGGCCTTGCGGATGTAGGCTCGGATGAAGGTAGGGTCGCGCTTAATGGCTTGGTTGCAGTCATCTAGAGCGCTAGGGAATTCGAAGAGCTTGACGAAGGCAGCAGCGCGGTTGCTGTATCCACGAGGATCCTGGGGGGCACGCTTGATCATCTCAGAGTAAGCGGCGACGGCGCCGGGGAAATCCATCTCCTTGAACTTCTTGTTACCCTCCTCACGAGCCTCCTCAGCCTTGGCAGGATCAACGTATGCAGACTTAGCGGCCTCCGCCTTGGCCTTCTCGGCAGCACGGAGCTTGGTAAGGACATCGGGTGTTCGGTGTTCAGTCAAAGACTTGTTGTAGTTCTCAACAGCCTTGTCCATATCACCCAGGCGCTCATAAGAGGTACCGATACGGGCATAACTCTTGGCAATAAGCTTAAAGTCAGCGTAGATCTCACGACCCTCCTCGACTGCCTTCTGGCAGGCTTCAATGCACTTCTCGTAGTCACCCTTCTCGAAGTAGGCAGCGCCGAGGTTGTTGAGGTAGGTGATGTCCTTGAAGAGTTCCCAGGCCTTGGTGTAGTGAGCAATGGCCTCATCGAAGTTTCGCTTCTTGTAGTTCTCGGTACCGAGCGCCTTCTCCTTGTCGGCAGCCTCCTTGGCCTTCTTCTTCTCCAATGCCTCTTCATCGATCTCCTCAGGCTCAGGCTCGGGTGCCTTGGCAGGTTCGGGCTTCTTGGGCTCTGGTGGTGGAGCATCTGTCATGGGGAACTCCTGGACGTTGGCACCCTCAGGCGCAGATTCGCGGGTTTCAAGATCGACACCCATCAACACGCCGAGGACCTGCAGCATTCGTGGGTCATCAAACAATGATTGCATATTCTGGGGGTCCTTCTGAATGAGTTGCAGCTTGGCCATGAACGAGGGATCGGCCAGAAGTGAGCTGGTCTTGGGGTTGGAAGCGAGCTTCTGGATGAGTTGGGGGTCATTGAACATTTTGAAAATTCCGGCACCAGGGTCCGAAGCCATGGGAGCTATCACACTTTTGTTAGAAGGTCAACTATAAATGTCATTGTTGGGGTAGGAGCAAGACATACCAGCCTCGTGCTCAATGGCCTTGTCAACAGAGGCTAGGCCGCTCTTGAGCTGAGCATTGTTGGGATCTTGCTTCAGACCAGCTTCGTAGGCATCATGGGCGGCAACGAGGTCGCCCTTTCCGTGCAAAGCTGCACCTTTACGACCATATCCTTTGGCCCAGTCAGGCTTGATCTCGGTCGTCTTCTCAGCATCCTGTAGGGCATTGTCCCATTCTTTCTTGGAAGCGTAGGCAGCCGAGCGGTTGCTGTAGAGAATGTGGTTTTCGGGTTGGAGGGCAATAGCTTGGGTAAATTTGTCGCTGTATTCAAGTCAGCAAAGCTTCATAAGATACGAGTAGATCTGCGATAGGGATATGTGGGAGAACCTACATAGCTTCATCGAAGTTCTTCTCGGCAATAGCCTTGTTGCCTAGAGCCTTCAGCTCGTCCGCAGATGCCATGTTGGGCTATCTAACTGGAAACTGGACTTGCTTCTTGTGGTGGACTACGAGAGAATCGAGGCGAAATATCCGTGGTAACTGCAGGGCGCGAGCACTTGGAGAGGAGGGGAGGCAGCTAGATATGTTTTGGGGGCGAGCTCTACAAAGAAAACCCAAGGCGCTGGAATCGAAACTCGACGAAGCTCCGGGTCGCCTTCTAGGCCTTTCGATGAGTTCCCCGCACTCTGCTCCTCATTGGACACCGCTGGCGCGTGGCGCTGACAGCCCCGCGCACCGCCACAGCAATAAGGCCAGCGCTCGGCAAACACCATGGCTATGTGTTTGAGGACGCGAAGGGAGGATGGATTCTCTTCTTCAAACAATGTCTCTATGAAAAATTAAACAAATAAATTAGGGATGGGTGGAGTAGGAAAGGTGACGAATGACACTGAGCTGCATCTATTTCCTGACAGCTCACATCATTCGGCCTTGGAGAATGTCATTGCAAAGGGGAAATCATCTGAGTTGCAAGTAATTAACCCCAAGCATTCCTAGCAAGAAAAACGCAGTATAAAACATAAAATAACTTGCTCATGAGTGCCTAGCGAAACTAGGGGTGACTCCCATGAACCTGAGCGGGTATTCTAAAGCAATGGCAGGGTTCAATGCTTCCATTGCCAGCTCCCTGGGCTTCTTCTTTCATGGCTAAAAAAGGGTACAATGCAGTCATACTCCCGTCTTATACAAAGCAATGATGTAACCTGGATGGGAAATTGATTTATTACGTACGTAGCATATCCTATGGAAAGGAAAGAGATGATAACAGAATCGTTTCCAGCCCTGGAAGCTTCATCTGCATTGCGAGGCCCCGGATCGGTTTGTGTCATGATGCATGACGCCGTTTACATAACATATCGAATGTCCATCTCCAGGCTAGGTGCATGCCTAGCACGGAGCACTATGCAATATCAATTCTAGGGAGAAACAGGTGGTGGGCTGCTTCAGGATCGGCCGGAACCCCTGGAGCGCGGCTTATCCACTATGCACCCTGAGGGTCCGTCGCCGGACTGTCTAACGCTCCTCTCCCAGACCAAGTCAGCAAGCTGGCCCAAACTTAAAACATCCTCCGCGAATCCCACGCCGCCATGAAGTTGCTTGCACCATCGTGAGCACTGAGCATGGTTGGGAAAGCAAGGCGGAAACCATTGCCATGAACGCGTTATCCACTGCGGCCAGAGGTATGTCTTCAGTCTGGATATCATGGGCGCATCCATCCCTTGCTAACGTCACCTCGAAAGCCGACACGGCCAACGAAGCATCATGGTCCAACATCCCCACGAACCTGCTCCTGGCCGAGCTCAAGAGACGTAGTGACCAAGCCAACGGTGGCGTCCAACCGCAGAAACCAGAATGTGGTTCCCGAGATAGGGGCTGGTACGATATGCCAGCACATGTGTTTGCCCTGTTCCTTATCTTGATCGTCAGCACCTTCAGTGAGATAATCCCTACCTTTCCCAAACATCGAACTCTTTGGTATCACGGAAATGCTAATGATTGATCTTGCTGTAAAAGGCTGCGGATTTCCCATTATATCGAGACGGACGGCCAGCGGAGGCCGGCGAAAGAGCATCATATTTTACTGTCAGCATATCGGGACCGGAGTTTTGCTTGCGACGGCATTCGTGCATCTACTTCCCATGGCTTTCGACTCCTTGACCGATCCTTGTTTACCAGACTTCTTCATAAAAGGCTACAGGCCGTTGCCAGGATTCATTTCCCTGGTAGCTGCTATTTTGGTTGTTGGCGTGGAGTCTTACCTCACTGCACGTGGCGCAGGCCACTCACACTCCCACCACGAGTACTGGGAGGAGGGTGAGGAAGGGGCTCAGGGGCCGCAAATTCAGCTACAAGAAAGCACCGGGCTATCGAGAAGCAGAGCTGGGAGCCATCGTCCAGGGGACCTATCGCTGGGTGATAGCGAAGCACAAGGCCTTGTGGCTGGGGTATCTCCGCTCCCGGAGTCTACGCCGACAGGACAGAATGGCAACGCTGGGAAGCGCAAAACACACGTAGTGGACGACTCAAACGACGAAGACTCTGACTTGGATCTGGATATGGATGAAATTGATCCTGCGCCAATTGGCGAGCGCCAAAACGGTCAATATGCGTCGCTCAATCGACCTAGATCATCGGCACAGGACGACTTCATGACTCCAAACCCTACGGCACCTATGACCGCAGAAGAGCAACACAGACAGGTCCTGCAGTGTCTGCTTCTCGAGGCTGGCATCCTCTTTCACAGTGTTTTCATTGGAATGGCCGTTTCAGTCGCCACCGGCCCTGCCTTCGTGGTCTTCTTGGTCGCTATCAGCTTCCACCAATGCTTCGAGGGACTCGCTCTTGGTAGCCGTATCGCTGCTATCCAATTTCCGAAGAGATCTATCCGACCTTGGTTAATGGTACTAGCATACGGCCTCACAACACCTATCGGCCAAGCAATTGGACTAATTGTCCACAAACTATATGATCCTCAAAGCATGGCCGGCTTGCTCGTTGTAGGCTTTATGAATGCTATCTCATCGGGATTACTGCTCTATGCCGGCCTAGTTCAACTGTTAGCAGAGGATTTCTTGACCGAGAAGAGCTACAAGGTTCTCAAGGGAAGCAAGCGCTTGCGAGCATATCTGGCCGTATGTTGCGGAGCTTTGATGATGGCCATAGTGGGCGCATTTGCATAGTAACGAATATAGACACGGCGTTCAAAATTCGAGGATAAGGGAATGGTTATTTGGACTGTAATATAAGCGAACTTTTGGAATTGAACGTGACTTTTACCGCCTCCCCTCCCGAGCCCTACCTACTGTCATTGCCGGGCTGGTCCAGCTCATCTTCGTCCTGCCCCTGTCAACCTCATGCCAACGAGCTTCGGATAGTTTAAGAGTCCGTCCGAGGGAGCAGGGGTGATCAGAAGAGGCAATGGAGGACGTTTCCGGAGCTTAGACCGAGCTTTGCCCACACGGAACGACAAATCGGCGCAATTGTCCCCATTGTTATCGGACCACTGCATCGCATCATCGAGAGACGGCCGCCCACCCACATGCTGTTCCACCCTATCAGGATCTCGCCTCGCGCATGCAGCTCCCGTGCCGATGACCTGGTTCTTCGTGGGGCCGATGCCAGTCGGTACATTCGTGGCAGACTCACAGGCTTGTTCCAGCAGGGCCTGGCCAATCGTGCTCGGCCATTTAATCAGCACGCTCGTCCCATAATCACCCCATTCTCCTCCCCCAAATCGCCGGTTGAGACTTGCATATGAATGCCCTAGGGCTGCACGCTGCTTCTTACTCTTCTAGGACACCTCTTTTCTTGATCTGACATGGCGTCGCTCAAGTTTGTCGCCTTCATCATCCTCCAGACGATAGCATTTTCTATCTTTCTTAGATCCCCCTTCATGATGACAACCGCTTCACCCTCCAAGCAATGGGCTGATGGGCCAATGGCTCTCGTCACTACCCCCCAATACGAAACCAAGAAGGTGAGGACAGCCATGTCTGTGTGGAACCTGTAGCAGCATATTCCCATCCACAAATACACCCCCATGCATACGCATGTAGATGCCTTATTAGATATATGTGGACACACTGTCTACGAAGTCAGTTGGTACTGGGCTTACTGACGGATTTGGCGGTTTAGACTGACATCTTCACCGTGGGGGCCACCCATATGTGTCTACTGCACAACGCCATCATCCGCGGTTTCAACACAATTTACCTCCAGGCTCCCCATATTCAAGAAGCAGACAAGGCAGACTTCATCGGCTACTCCCTCACATGGTTCCGTTTTGTCAAGTCTCACCATGACGATGAAGAGCTGAATCTTTTCCCCAAGATGGAGGAGGTTCTGGGTGACAAGACGATATGGACTGAGACTCATGAGGAGCACGGTATGTCGTCCGCCCCCGTTACTCCCTCTACCATTATCACGTACCTACCAATGGCCGAAAACATCACGATTCTCTGCTAACAACATCTCGCAGAGTCCTTCCTAGGTGGCCTCGGGGAGTTCTACAAGTACCTGAGCGAACTGCCGTCGCCCTCTGACCTATCCGCCAAGGAACTCATCCGCATCATGGACTCGTTCCGCGACGACTTCGAGGGCCACTTCCACAGCGAAATCGCCACCATCGCCGCCATGGCGTCGCACCCCAAGGCGCCCGCCGAGGGCTCCGAGGAGGCCACCGCCGCCGGCCTCATCTTCAAGACGTGGGGCAAGGCGACCGTCACCAAGGCCGGCACCTGGGACGTCGTCCCCTTCTTCCTCCTGAACCTGGACCGCACCGTCGAGGACGGCATGTGGGCCAACTGGCCGCCCATGCCCGCGCCCATCAAGTGGGGGCTGATCAACCTGGCCGGTTCCTGGTATGGGAGCTGGTGGAAGTTTGCCAGCTGCGACTCCCAGGGGCAGCCGCGGGAGCTGTATGCCCTGGGGGCTGGCTCTGGCGAGGCGCCAAAGTCTGAGCTGTGATTTTTTTTTTTTGGGGGGATTTGACGCTCTTTGATGTCGGAATGCGAGTTGATAATTCCGGATCCTTACATAGCATGAGAGGATATTCTGTAATTAATGATAGCATGTTTCATTTTCACTCAACGAACGCTCCCAAACTTTAGCTACCGTCCGTCGCTCTCTTTAGACCCAAGACATGAGTATGGTTTTCCTCTGCACCTGCCAGCTTGCTTGCATATACAAGACCAACCGCGGCAGAATCGAGCGAGGCCACGTCTGTGCTGCCTTAGTAGTCGTCATTAGACATGCCGTATTAACAACTAGACTAGGGAATATTGAGAACGTCTTCTCTCCGTACTCCACACTGGGTCTGGAAAAAACAAAGGCAGACGAGGGGGGTGTAAGCGATGCTCAGTGTCAATGTAGGAGGCACCAGGAGGAGTAGGAAATAATGTGACGAGGAAAAATTAAAAATTCCTCCAGGGGCAGAGTTGGATATGACAATTACACAGTGCGACGTTCTCTGCAATGGCTACATTCACAAACTGGGATGATATCCCGAGTGAGGGAGGAAAGTTTGAGTGAAACAAATGATCGTGATAAACGAAATCACACCGGCTTGGGGTAATGGCGGTCAGAAAAACCCGGTTTCTTCTTCCTGACTCTCGTTTGGAGCCGACAAGCAAGCATAGTTGGAGGTGAGACATGTTTCTGGAATGCAAGTGAATCAACTCACTTGACCCGTGTGGCAAGACGTCTTTCTGTTTGTTCGTCACAGCCACTCGCCAGTTGCTAGTGCATCATCCACTCAAGATGATGTTCGTCACTCTAGGTCACTTTTTGGGGGGTTAGAGCTACTTGGCCAAATTATTTTTGCCTCGCTGTAGACATTTTCTTTTTCCCATCTTGTCTCATTACAACCCAGCCAATATTTTGAAATCTCACAACATCGCGGTTTGGATCAACCGTTGCTGCCGCCTCCACTCCACGCACGAAGCAAATCGCCGACTCAACATACAACGCGCAGATCGACGGATCCAATCAAGTGGTCAAAATGGGCTGCTTTCATTCCAAAACGAGAAATAGGCCAGAGGACTCTGCACTAGCACCGCGACTCTCTGAGCCTAACTACCAGCAGTTAGTCCTCCCGTCAACTCCATCAACGGTGACACTCTCCAGCCCGCTAACACTCAAGCTCTAGAGCCGCCGCCTCGAATGAAACCTCTGGCCAAACCCATACGGCGGGGGCCACGGATTTCGCCATGCGGCAGGATGTGGCTCCTCCTCCTGCATCTCAGGACATCGGGGTCGCAGTGGCGCCTCCGCCAGAGAATCGGAAGGCCCCCTCAGAACGATCCATATCGCCAACAAGTAATGCTGGTGGAGCTTCTGTGCTACCTCAGGTATACCGCGAGACGGCACCTCATGATTTCGCCCGCTCATGAAAAAGAACAAGCTCCAGACTTCTAACCACAGCAAGCATTAGCCATCGGCGGACGTTGCTGCCGCCGAGCCCGGCCCCGGTGCGAGTTCCACGGCGCCAGAAACCAAGGGAGATGAGCAGAGTTCGAGTTCGAGTTCAAGCTCAAGCTCCAGCTCTAGTTCCAGCTCCGGTTCCAGTGCAGGGTCGAAACGAGCACGTTTAGGGTTGGAGGTCAAGTAAGCGCTCGTTTGTTTCAAGGCTTGGAGCAAGATTTTGTGTTTATTGATTCTATGCATTCTAATCATCATGTTTTTCCATTTTTACTTTTACTTTAATAATTAGTTTGGCCTAGCCGGCTGTGGGCTTTACAAGCTCACACGAGGTGACGGACAGACAGATATTCTTCACTCAAGATAATGGATTGTTTGGCCCCGCGTTATAAAAAATGAATTGGAATGTGATCTTCTCATGTCTCCTTTAATTATCCAAGACAGGCATGGAACCCGTTCATCCATCCATCTTCCGTATCTTGATTGTTTCATCGTTCGTCCAAGTTGCAACAAACTCTAACTTGCTCAAATATTGCCTCCGGGACCTTTCGCATGACATGAACATGGCACTAACATGACATGGAACAAGGATTGAATATGCAGCCCATCACCTGCACGTCTATTTACGAGTAAAGTGGTGGCAGAACTGCAGCCTGCGTCAGTTTAAGGTTCTTTCTTCTAACTGGCCACCGCAAACGGCGCAAAAGAGAAAAAGATCAGCTGTTGTCTCGTGTTCTTCGTGCTCCCACACTCTCCACATCTGCACAGCTCCTCGGGTCTTTGGCTGGGCTGAAAGAACATCCTCGTTCAGCCCCGTCCAGGATAAGGAAAACTTGCTCAAATGCTCTCAAGCCCCCAACGCCAAACACGCCCGACACGTGAAATTTCTCTCGCCACTATATGCAAATAATCTACTCGCATCCTGGTTATTCGCGGGAGGAAATACTTTATGCAGAAAAATCAAGGTAGGCCTGCCGCGGTCAACCTTCATTTGGCTGATACCAGGGAGGGCCCTCTCCCTTCGCTGGTGTCCACCCGAGACAACAAACAGAACATGCTCAGGGCCTCATGTAAACACAAGATAAATTTATTATCCCTCTTTTTGTCCATTCCCCGCGTCCCCTGTCGTGGGTCTTATTGATAAATACTTGTTGTTTTGTCTTCCTCGGCCTAGCCCTACCTCAACCTTCTCACCACAACACCCCAACTTCAACATCCTCCCAGCCGTAGCCAATCTCATATCATTGCGAAAATGGATCACAGCGGCCATACCGGAATGGACATGTCGTCCATCACCAGCACCATCGCCGACATGACCATGGGCGCAACCGCCACCGTCATGAACATGGCCACCTCAACAGCCACAGACAGCAGCTCGACCATGGACCACTCCAGCATGTCCGGCGACGACAGCATGAGCATGGGCGGCTGCAAGATCAACATGATGCTCAACTACTACACCATCGACGCCTGCTTCATCAGCGAGGACTGGAAGATCACCTCCCAGGGCATGTTCGCCGGCTCCTGCATCGGCGTCGTCTGCCTCGCCGTGTTCCTCGAGTTCCTCCGCCGCGCCGTCAAGGAGTACGACAGACTGCTCGTCAAGCAGCACATCGCCAAGCACGAGGCCGCCAGCGCCGGCTCCGGCTCGAAGGACAGCGCGGCCCCCGCGTCCACCGCCATCCCCCCGTTCAGGCCAAACTTCTGGCAACAGGCAGTCCGCGCCATTCTGCACACTGCTCAGTTTACCGTCGCCTACTTCATTATGCTTCTTGGTATGTTTTTGTGTTCCCCTTCTTGTGATTTTAGGTAGATTGAGCATGTTCACTAACTCAGATATTAGCCATGTACTACAACGTGTATGCAACCCCCACTAATTTGTTCATGACACTGCGGATACTAATCAACTCACCACTACAGATACATCCTCGTTTCCATCTTCCTCGGTATCCTCGTCGGAAGCTACTTCTTCCAATACGAGACCCTTGACTTTGCGTGAGTTCCCCTTCTTCTTCAAGACAGATCTTTCCAGAAACCAGACCGGCTCTAATACAAGTCAATATTCCAGTCAACAAAATGGGGCCCGAGAGCCCACCGTATGCTGCGGATAGAGCAGCGAAGGATCGCACACTAGGACGGTTCCTAAACAAGAAAGTTTCGTGATTTTAGTTTATCCTTGAAGGATGTCATCCCAAATACCCTTACCGATTGTTATTTATCCAAACTTTGCCTCTTGCCCTTGCGGCCAGGCATAATGATATTTTGGAACCTGACCCAACACAGAGGTTTAGAATTTAGAAAAGAAAAATTTTTATAGTGACATTCCCCAAGTCACAGCAACGAGATCATTAAACAAAAGATGGATTCGAAACATTGCTGACCATTGAGCTAAAAACAAATGAAGGCTGAATGACAAAAAAAGAACGAGGTTTAGGGTAGGCCCAAACCAAAACTTCCAAACAATACCATGTATCATCAATCAATCATATCCAAAAATTCCTAAGTGTACATCTGAAGAGAATAGATGAGAAAAAATGACATCCAAAATATATACGTCGTAGAATGAGAGTAATAGAGAGGACCTAGATCAGCAGTGACCTGTGGCCGAGTATCCTCAGGCACTTGGAGACATCCCAGCTTTCGTCAATCTGCTCCCTACAGGCCCAGACCTTCTCCATAATCTCCGTGGCTTCCTTAACCGTTCCGAAGACCTGAAGTGCACCCAGGCGCCGGGACATGAGTCGGAACTTATCCTCGTCTTCGGGGGGTGCCAGGCAGCCGGCCAGACAGTATGGCCAGACTAGGTTCCTGAGGCAGGCGCCTCTCGGAAGCGAGGTCAGACATTTTGTGATGTGTATAACATGAGATCGAATTTCGGGGTGATTTGGTTGCCACCCAAACACTACGGTGTAGAGATAGACGAGTGTGGCACGAAGCCAAACCGCGTTGTGGCTGGCAATGACAGGGTTGGTGCTGCTATCCCCGTTATTTGTGGACGTTCCTCTGAGTTCTTCCAGCGGGTCAGCCACGATCATTGAAAACGCGGCCTCTCCGGTTATGCCGGCCATGTCCTTGTCGAGATTCTGGAGGCTGGCTTGCATAGCATCAGACAAGACCTTTCCGCGGCTGAGAAGGTCATTGACAGAGAAGGTTCCGGCACTGAGCTGCTCCTTTTTCCATGCGTCCAGGGAGGAGACGTCGCCGATCATCTGAACGATCCAGTTATGGAGCCCAATGAACTCGTCCATGAACAGCGGGCCAGCCGTCTGCGCATTCTCACGGCACGCCTTCGAAAAGCAACCTGGAATAATATTCTCTTGGTATGTTCGAAGACGGGGGTGTCTCTCGAGTGTAATACTTGCCATCACATCCATATGGAGCAGATTGGCAGTGAAGAATCGGAGGGCGGCCTGGTTCGTGCTCCATGGTCGGCGGATTCCCATCGACGGCGGTGGCCAACGTGGCGTGTAGAATCCGTGTAGGACTTCGGTCCACTTGGTTGGATCGGGTAGAATTTGGAAGAAGAGGGCAATGGCAGCGTCGAGGTGCATCTTCCAGTGGTCCTCATTAGCTGTGGCTACTTCAAAGACAACCATCTGGATGATGCTCTGCATCACCAGGAGCCTCTCGAAAACGTCGGCGTTCTGGCGGCACGCGAGGACCTCCTTCTGCAATTCTTTGAGGCCCTTTTCCAGTTGTGATTGTAGCTTGTGTGCCATGCGGTCGGTACACTCGACATGTGACACGTCTCCATTGGCTAGAACGACGCCGAAGAAGTAAGAGGCCAGCGAGATGGCTGTGTAGTAGACAGATTTGTTGCTCTGGAGGATATCCAAAACCCATCCGCGTCCTCCGCTAAGGACGGGAGGGCGATACCACGGGAAGAGGTATGGGAAGACGTAGTCGAGGTAGATCATGATGAAGTGGACGTCAATATCGGGACCGCCGTCTTCCTGGGCAAACTGACGGTCGAAGATCTTACTGGTCCATGGAATTTCAGGTGGTGATGCGCCACTGGTATGGCTAGAAGGCGGTGTAAGGCTATGGTCGTGACCCGAGGAATGTGACCTGGGGGGAGACTCTGAAGCTCCGCGGCCGAAATTGAACGGATTGGAGCTCATCCGCTCATCAAGGTTGCTGTGTGAAGCATGCTCACGAAGTGAGTTCTTTGGTTCGGGGCGCATGCTGTTGGTGCCGGCCTCAAGCAGCTCCATGTACTTGCGGTCTCGTCGCTGACTGGCTTGCTTCTTGACCTGGGCCTTGATTCTGTCGGCCATCTCCTTCTGCTTCGGACCGCCGTCCATCCAAGACGGCTTCTCCTCATCGAAGTAACAGGTGATCTCCAGCGCCTGGCAGCCAGCGCAGATGGGGCGCTCTTCGTCGCACTTCTTGCGGCGCAGGCGGCAGGTCCAACAGCCGGCGTTGGATCGCACCTTGGCGGACATGAGGTTGCGGAACATAGACATGATGAATGTGGAGGACGAGTAAGGCGCGCGGTGTGTTGTGCGGCTCACTTACTTGCTGGACGGTGTCTTACTGGCAGAGAACCGAATGGCGCCGGGAAGCGTCAAATTTAAGTTTCCAAGCCCAACCTCAGGAGACTATGAAGCTGGGACACCATGCGCTCCTTCGCGACTGGGATTGATGCAGGCTTGGAGTTGCACAGAGTTATGGGGTGGGGAGGCAGCTTCTGGTCTAGGGTGCCCCCCCGGCCGCTGGGTCATTTGTCAGCGCAGGTTTGCTCTTGCCTTCCAATCGCTGCCCGCCGCAGAAGGCGCTATACGCGTTTGCTTTCCAGCTGCCGGCTGCACTCTAAAATTACCTACCGGCCTGGGCTGCTGGGGATTCTGAGGGTGTCTATCACAATGACGGACCCTTGCCTCATCAGGTCACCCAGAGCGCCGCCCCCTGAAAACAAGCCGTTAGCATGCTAAGGCTGGAAGCACGATGGATCTCACTTCTCCGGACTCCGGACTCCGAGGGATTGGCTCTGCGACGGGTTGGCCGTCGGTATATCCCAGTATCGCGGCGTGCCCACCCGCCGGTAAGTGTCGCCCTACGCTCATTGGGCAATCCTGCCAACTGCCGAAACCATGCAACAACCCGGGATCCTTGCTCCGGTGACACATGTATCCATACGATGGAGGCATCAGCCAGGAATAGATTGAAACAGCCCCTTGGAGCCTTCGCCCACTTCAGGAATTCTGCCCATATAGGGCAGAAGTCGATTCCTAGCACGGCAGATTGGATCCATGTGGTGGCCCTAGCATCTTGGCACCTGCGGAGTACCGCTCCCCTAGGGCTTCCCTACGGCCTGAACGGTATAGCCCCAATATACAAGGAGATGACGGATTCCTACACGCAGGGGTAATGGCACATCAAAGCCAGGACCTCTAGTCGGGAGCCCCGAGAAACATCAGACAAATCCAGGCACAGCAATGGGCTCGCTAAATCGTAGCGATATAAGGCCGAGCACTTGATTCATGTTGGCGTCGTTCATCATGCACGGATTGTGGAAACGGGACTTAGGTTCCTGTCAAATACCTGTTATTATTATCATCCCCCGTTTTTTCCGTCCCAATAGTATCCAGGACACACAATCCTCTTGGACTGATAGCCTGATTTCCAAACAGCAAATACATAAGAAAAGAGGCCTTCCTGGCCATTCTGGTTATTACGATCCTCCACAATGGAACCCACATGAAACAATTAACCAACCACAAAGCAGACCAAACTCAACAAAACAGACAACACTCATCAGAACTTTCGACGAAGAGGCGACCCACCTCCCTTGAGCAACGTCTGCCTCTTCTCCAGCAGGTTGAGGTCCCACCAGCCCTCAATCCTCTCCATGATTGTCTTCCTCTTAGCGTGGATGAGTTCTAAGAATGGACTCTTGGGCGGAGGGGTAGGTGGACCGTCCTGCGCAGCAGGGATTGGTGGAGGAACAATGATTTGCGGCAGCTCCTTGACGGCTCGCGGAGGTCGCTCGCGAGGCCGAATCAGCTCGCGTTCACCGGCCGTGGAGTCCCGGGAGGGAGGCGAGGAGCGAGATTGTGGCTGAGGGGCTGCTGCCACGTAAAGCTTGAGCCCGTTCTCATCCTCTGAGGAGCAGTACCCAGACTCGAAGCTCCTCTCTCGCCTTGCCATCGCCATCGTGCCTAGGCTCTGGCCACCCCTTAGCCGTGCTGGCTGAGGGGCGGCCGGCACTGGCACTGCACTCCCAAATTGGTCCCCACGGCTGGACCCTCATTGCTCGACGTCCTTGGGGGCGGCCGCCGTGCTGGGCTTCAGGCGGCGCCAGAGGCAGATGGAGGTGATGGCCGAGAAGGCGAAGAGGATGCACAGCGCGATGCTGAGACCCCACACGGCCTTGACCTCGTAGCAGGCGGTCTTGTCGGGATCGACCCAGGTGAAGACGTTGCTGTTGGCGTTCTTGGCGTTGGTGTACACCGACGTGATGAAGTTAGCCGTGTTGCCCTTGTCGCTGAACTCGTGGCACTTGAGGTAGCTGACGGGCTTGCCGACGAGGACGGCAACGACGATGACCATGATCAGGACCAGGGCGTCGGCACCCGTGGCGATGAGCATGGGGAGCATGTAGTCCCAGTAGAGAATGTAGTTGATCGCGATGTAGATGGCTGCCAAGCATGCCTGCGTTACCACCCATGTTAGTTGATGCTGGAATTACGCCGAAGTGCCGCACCGAAGATCTTTTTTACTTACCACAACCAGTGTGCCGACAAGAGCCGATGGAGCATGGTAGCCAGCATTAACGGCCTCACTGATGAAATTGGCAGCGAGCCCGATGATGGTGAGGAGCGAGATACCCTGCATGACTCGCATGGCCGAGTAGGTGTAGCCCAGGGCGCCGAGAGCTGGGTGAGCAGTCATCTTGGCAATAGAATCAGGGGTGATCAAGGAAAGTTTTGGTCGTGAAGGCTGGTTAGCCGTGGAAAGGGGGAATTTCTTAGAGTAGAAAGGGACGGTGGCTGCGGGCGAGGCAACCGGGGAAGGAATCTTGTCAAAGGGATCCGCCTAGAATAGGCGAATGGGGGATGAACGATAATGAGATATGGAGAGACAGTAGAGAAACACGGCAAAAGGACCAGCGCTTTTGTCGTGCGTGTTAGGACGGGACTTGAGTGAACCGGCCCAATGCTGAGTGAGACACAGAGAAGACAGGACAAAGGGAATACCCAAGGAAATAAGGAAAAAAGAAAAGAGATAGTAGGAAAGATCTCGTTGTTGATTGTAATGCTTGATGGGAAAGAAGAAGTCCTCAGTTGGTGAGGATGTCGATCTATCTTTATACGCGCCTTGTCATACTAGACACGCAAGCAAGTCCTGGAGCCTTTCGTACATGGCGTTTGTAATTCTCCCTTATCGCAGCCACCGCTGATGTTTTCCAAATACAGAACAGTTCAACTTGGAATGCGTATAGCTAGTAGCCGCCCAGCCGGGACAGGTTTCAAGCGATATCCCGTAAACACCAATCCGCGGGCCTGCCGCAGCTGGAGCTTCACTCTAGATGGTAAAGCTCCGAAGGTTGTGCACGTCAACGTCAAGGCAACCAGGTTCCGGTGTTTCGGAAAATAGCTTGGGACGCCATCGTTTGTTGTGGCAGCCGCTGTACAAAGCCAATAAGACTGATGAAGCTGGACGGGCGCTTGGAAAGGTCCATAAATCTGGCCCATGAAGCCTGGTTGCTCTCACGCATAGAGGATGCCACCCACAATTTACACATCAAAGTTAAGCGCGCCCGGCCTCCCGTCCCCACCAGGCGCTGGCCAATGGAGGGCTCCTGCGGTAGTTTTGCATGGACGGTAGAAGTGGCTCCTGGCATGAGAGTGGAGCCGGCTGCAACCCTAATAGCCGCGCTGATGGAGCTCCTTCTCTCCCAATGGCGCATTGTACCTGCAGTCGGCGTTTCAGGACCTCAACATGGACGGCAGCTCTTCTAACTGGCTGCGAAGGGCCTAGTCAGCGAAATGGTACGCGGCCAGTCTGATCGATTTCGATTCGATACGATCCCTGCAAGCCACGCTTGTTCAGCTTCTGACTCTCTCTCGTATTCAAGCCGTATCCCTGATGTACTACGCTGCTCGTGTTGGAGCATCTGCAGGCCACTGCCTGACCCGTAGGTGCCATTGGTTCACGGCAGCCATGATGACATGGAATGAAAGACGGGTGTTCGCTAGTCAAGGCACGGCTACAGTTCCGCCCGGCCCATCGGCCCAGAGCCTAGGTACTGGTGATCGAAAAGCCTGCTCAACTCAAGTCCGCGAGCCTGTTGTCTTTGTTTCAAGACCCATAGTTACTGACCTGTAGGCGATACAACATGCCGAATTGAGTTACTCGGGTGGTGACTGAAGTAACTGTAGTAAACTTGTGTAGGGATATGCGAGACCACAGAGTTAGGTAAAGTTCATATGTTTTGTGCGCCGATACGCCTATCTAAGAATTATTACATCAAATATGCTCCCCTGCTTACCGCCGATTGTCAACATTCTAACCCTGCCGAGGGCCGTAGGTATGCTATCTTTCATATACTATTATGCACTCGGAGTGGAGGCTAAATATTCACCCATCTCAGGCTCAGCCGAGCAAATCACCGGAGGCAGAGCCAGTGTTGGCTGGAGCACCTCCTATTGAGCTAGCTGGGGCACCCCAGATGCCGGCGCTGCTCTTCTCCTTTGCCAGCTGGCCCATTGCCGGGCCTGGGGCTGACGTCTCGCCTTTCTTGATACCGGCACTAGCCTTGCCCCATAATGCACCAAAGGCGTCACCACCCGCAGGAGCAGCAGGCTTCGCAGCGGAGCTGACAACTGGCTTCATGTTGGCCATCGTGGTTGGGGCGTTGTTGCTGCTGTTGGACATCGACGAAAAGCTGGAGAAGTTGGTTGTCTGAGTTGGTTGACTGCTTTGGGCACTGACTGTGCCAAAATAGTTGGGCCCCGAGGGCTGGTACCCAGCAGGCTTTGGCTGAATTGCTTGGGCGGGAGCAGCGGCAGGCGGAGCACTGAACGCAGAGTAGTTGACTCCAGGGGTGCCAGAGTTGCTAGGCGCAGGTGAGATGGAGGACTTGCTGACCATCTGGTTGATGTTGAATTGCTGTGGAGCGGACTGGGGTTGTGGCGCAGCAAACTGGGCCGTGGTAGAGGCCGTCGAGGTCACGGCCGGCTGTAAAGGTTGGGCGAAAGCAGCTGGCTTGGTCTGCTGAACAGCCGGAGCAGCGGGTGCGGCCGACTGGAAATCATCGAATTCATCGTCGTCATTTTGAGCAGGTGCAGCGGCCGAACTTGGACCAGCCAAGGCCGAGAAGCCCGAGTTCGTTGGTGCCGGTGCTGACTGCGCCGGTTCATCAAAGGAGAACAGATCGACCTCAGGCTGCTTCTTGGGTGGTTCGGGCGTTGGTTCAGGCTTCTTTGCGCTTGCCCGCTCTTGCTTGGCGGGCTTTGCTGGTCGGTCATCCTCATCGAATTCGTCGTACTCCTCAAATCCATCCGATCGACCTCCACCCTCGCGATACTCGCTCGTCTGCCCGCCGAAGCCTCCACCATCACCATATACGCCTCCGGAGAAGCCACCAAAGTTGGTAGAGCTGCCGCCACCACCATATCCGCCGGACTCGCTGCCAAATCCCCCAAAGCGACCGCCGCCACTGCCGGAGGAGAAGCCCCCAGAGGAGAAACCCCCAGAAGAGAAGCCCCCTGTACCCCCCTCGACACCGGTGTATTTATTCTTTGAAGCACGAGCTTTCTTACGTTCGGATCGGATGCGGTCTACATCGCTGAGAAGATCCGCAAGCTCCTTGGCTCGGTTTCTAACGTTGATTCCTTGATCTTTGCCATTCTGGTCAATGAAATGGAACTGGCGGAGCATCTTGAGTAGTGTTAAATGACCGCGAGCATCGTCGATAACCCGTTCAGAGCCATGTTTGATGAGGAACTCGAGCAGCTGTAGGGCCTTGTAAATTTGGCGCCACTCTTCGGCGGCCTTTTCGGTGAACCGGCGATAGATCATAGGCATGATTTCGTTGAGTGTTTGGCTGTTTTGTACACATTAGACTTGCTGTTTGTCGCGCTGCGGTATCCAGGGACAACATACTAGTTGAACGTGCCATTGGCGATTTCCTGCATCGTAGTTGACGATGCGCCCCAGGGCTCGTTGTTCGTGGCCTCTCGCACCTTGGCAGCCAATCAGTCCACTGTATCGTTCGGTCATCGGCGTCTGTCGCAACATACCTTGGCCTCCATCTCTGTGTAATTCATGACAGCTGGGAGAAAGTTAGCAGCCGTATAGCCAGAGCAGGCGCCTGGAGGGCCTTACCATTTTGTGCCTTTCGGAAGCCAGCCTTGAGGTCATACAAGGTCAGGTTGGAGACCTGATTCTTCAGATCGTTCAAATCCATGCTGAAATCTCTGGAGAGACAATAAATAAATAAACCAACAAAGGATAAACCAAGAGAGAAGTGGATGAGAATAATAAACGTGCAGCGGCTGACGACGAGTAGACGATTCGGTACACCGTCCAGAGGCTTTCGCAATATCTCCAGGCCAGCTAACCTCAATTAGAGGTTGGGACTTGGAAATAGATTGGGCTCAGGGGGCTTATCGGCACGTGACCTAAACCACGATAACGGTGGCGTCGTCGTTTGATCGGAGGTACCCTTGAATTGAAAATTTTGCTTAGGTATTTTAGCCTCAAGATTGTAAGCCAAGGGAAATAGTAAGTGGTTAAGGTTCTGAGTTGGTCCGACTTCCGGTTTCCAACTTACCGTCGCTCGATCCTAATGATACTCGAGACAAAGGTATTCTCGAGCACTATGTCTACGGAGGTCCCCATTCGGCACCCCTGTCCGGGGTTGATGTGTGATGCGTAATGGACAGCGCGGACACTATTTCTAGGCTAATGGGTAGCGCTAAGCACCTGAGACTTCAGGCCATAAGGCGGTGCATTCATCTTTGGTTGAATTCTGGCCAAAGTTTTCTTGAAGCTTCGAATACCGCCATTGCTATTGCTTCGAGTTTTAGGACCACGAGTCTCGTTCTGTAATCCAATTCTATTGTACTTCTACTCTCCCATCTTTTCAATACAATCTTGCAGCTTTCAAGGTACGTAACTATACGTTTTCCTTTCATTCTGATATCGTTGCTGCCAATGCAGTTCCTTTGTCTCGCTCGAGGGAGTTCAGAAAGAAGCTCAAAAGCCATCCCTTTTGAAGCTGCGCTGGCTTTCAACACAGCCCAACAAATCAATTGGTCCATGCCCACATCCGTGCCCTCGCGTACGAGGAGCATTGGTGCGGGTGAAGCCGGCTCGCACTGACGTCTCTCAAGTGGGAGCATGCGAGGGTTGATAGGTGGAGGGAGCTCGAGGCACCTCGAGCTATACTGGTACTGGGTACTGGGTCCCCCTTGGGCTGTTGGCATGACAATGGCAGTACACTCCCCTCCCTTTTCCCTTGCTTGCCTTGCCTTGCACCGCTGTTACAGTGGGATCAAGTCCCTCATACCTGAATCCGGCTGCCCGAGGCCCTGTAGGTATTTGCGCTGTGGAGGCAGAGACGCAACCCCTAGGCGACGGTGACCTCATCTTGAGCTCCAGCTCTGATTGAGGGAGCTGGTGCAGCTTATGCACGTGATCTGCACAATACGATCCACAATACCCACTTTTTTCCACAATTTCGCGCTTTTCATTGGACACCGAAGGAGCTCCGACGCTAACAATTTTGCCCCCCTTCAGCTTCCTCACAATGCGTCCAACACTCTTGCAACCCCTCCTACCCCGCCATAACCTCTGCGCTTCTGCCAGATCTTCCATCCTCCCCAAACTTGCATCCTCCAACTCTTCTTTCCGCACCGTTCGATTCTTTTCATCTACAAACGCAGCCATGTCTAAGGTGTAAGTTCATCCCCTTCTCTCTCTTCAATCATCAAACTGACACTCTTCCAAGCTTTTTCGATGTCGAGTGGGAGGGCCCGGTCTTCCAGGGTGGCAAGCCCACCAGCACCGTGAAGGGTAGGTAAACACCTCGGGCAATAGCTCGTTCGCTTCTCCTTTCTCTTTCAGAGCTCCAATAAGCCCAATTGATGGCATGGGATTGATTTCCAATGGAGCTTTGATGAATTTGTCAATCGGTTGTGATGGCAACCTTGATGTTTTTGCCCTTCCTGCCCCGCTTACCTCTTGAACGTAATTGAGTTCGGCAAAGCTGACGAATCATCCCAAACAGCCCAGTCCGGCCGCATCACCTTCAACCTCTTCGACGATGTGGTCCCCAAGACCACCGCGAACTTCCGTGCTCTCTGCACTGGTGAGAAGGGCTTCGGCTACGAAGGCTCTTCTTTCCACCGCATCATCCCCGACTTCATGCTCCAGGGTGGTGACTTCACCCGTGGCAACGTATGAAGCATCCCCACTCCTTCTACCTCATAACTCGGGCTCACTGTTTAAATAGGGCACTGGTGGCAAGTCCATCTACGGCGAGAAGTTCGCTGATGAGAACTTCAAGCTCACCCACGACAAGCCCGGTCTGCTGTCCATGGCCAACGCTGGTCCCAACACGTTCGTGAACCCCATCCTCGTAATTCATGCATGATGCTTACCTTCAAAAATAGCAACGGCTCTCAGTTCTTCATCACCACCGTTGTCACCTCTTGGTTGAACGGTCGCCACGTCGTTTTCGGCGAGGTCGCTGACGAGGAGGGCCTCAACATCGTCAAGGCCCTTGAGGCTACTGGCTCTGGCAGCGGCAGCATCAAGTACAGCAAGCGCCCCACCATTGTTAAGTCTGGTGCCCTCTAAGCTGGTGCGCAATTCCGGACAGAGTACATGTATCCTACACATACACGTCAACTTCTTATTCCAGAAACGGAAAGAAAATGGAGGCGAGATAGTTCAGGAACGTTATCGCTTGTGGTCATCGACTCATAGTTTATTTGATCTGACCAATAAAGCACCGAATTGTGAAGACTTTATCATGACTACATGCCAATGTTGACACTCGTATGCCACATAACTTGGAAATTCAGTGCAGAAACCACCCTAACCGCTCTTGTCCCAAATTTACCCATTGCCGCCCAAACGCCAGAAGTATCATACAGACATATGTAACTCTCAAACTACCCATAGGAAGAGAGCAATAGAGGGTGATCATGCTTTTGTGTCTATGCTTTTATTCCATCCCTAGCCATTTTTTGAAGTATTCACAATTGCTGGGACCTACCGGCCCTCCTTCCTCACAAAGATCAAATACAGGACACCGGCCACATGGGGCTTCGGTGTACGGACTGAGGTACGACTCAGGTTGGCCCTCTCTACCAGTAGGGTCCTCACGCCCTGCCCATACATCGGTGCTCTGCTTCGAGACCCTGGAGACGCGGTATCCAATCTTCCCGGCCACCCTTATTGGCTCAAGAAGATTATCCCAGACGAGGACGTCGACCAGCTTCTTCACATCCGATTCGGACAAGATAGTGTTATTTGTTATGCCGCTGGCGGATAGCAGGCGGGCTATATCGCGGACGGTAGGGTACCCGGTATAACCAGCGGGGAGGGGGAGCAGGACCGCCTCTCGAGGTGTCGAGGCCGCAGACGTCTTGACTGCCTTTGCCGGCGGTTCGTTCATCTCCCTCGCGTCGCGCTTCTTCCCCCGGTCCGGATTCCCCTTCACCACGCCCTTGGACGGCGTCTGGGTTCGGGCGCCCCCGCTGTGCTTGCTGACGTAGCTGCTCTGGTTCTTCACATAGTCGAACACGACCCGCTGCAGATCCTCGATGAAGGCCTCGTCCAGATTCTGGTCCGTGTACCAGGGCCCTCCCGTCGCGCGGTCGCTCGGCTGGATGGACGCTTTGATGTACATCTTCTTGTTGGGGTGCTCGACGTTCTTGAAGGGCGCGATCAGACCCTTGGTCTGCAGGTGCTTGAGGGCCGTCTTGAGGACCGAGTCGTGCATGTTGAGTCGTCGCTGCAGGGTCTGCGACCATATGCCGTCGCCTCCAGAGTCGTCGATCAGGGAGTAGACCATTGCCTGCTCGTCGTCCAACTGTTTGTATCTATGCGAAAGCAGGACGTTAGCCTATCAAGTTCCTAGGGTGTACCGCTTCTCAAGAAGCTAGGAGGGTTCGGGGGACAGTGACAACATACTTGTGAGCCTCTTGAGCATCACGCCACTTCCACAGTATGTTGTTGGAGGCATCGCGCATAGTCACGAAGAGCTTGTCGTCGCTCAGGGCCTGGACGACCCGGATGAGGAGCATCTTGTCGCCATTGGGGATGACGCCGAGATCGATCAGGTCGTCCTGCGAGAAGGCGTCGTTCTCGCGACCAGACTCCTGGACTCGCTCGTACAGGGCCTGCTTCCAGACGGCGAGTTTGGCAGCATCTGAGTCATTCTGCGCGGTGGTGGCCACGGCCCTGGGGACCGCCGAGGGCGCCATTGGCGGCGGGGAGGGAGAAGTGCGAGGCTTGTGACTGTGTAATCGGGAGGTCTGGCAGGCGGAGGGCTAGGATTGTGAAAGAAGCCGCCGGGGCCTCGGGTGGTTGGGGATATCACGGCTGATATTTATTCTCGGTGCCCCTCTCGATTTGGGTTTGAGCCATGGCTTCTACAGCCTTGCACGAGATAAAAAAAATATATGGGGCCGGCCTTTATCGATGGGCGGGTGGGGGACGACCCTGGGGGCAGGTCCACTGTAGGCTTGGTTCTTGGCCCAATCCCGTTCGGTGTTTAGGGAATTATAGTTGCCGCATGCTTGGAGGCTTCAGCTTATTCTTGTTTCGCCAGCCTGAATGTGTCTACTGTATGACGAGACGGATATTGTGTTAATGGTGTGACTCATGGCATAAGTGCTCCGTGCCCGGCTTGGGAAATAACTCTCACTCCGCTCCTCATTCAAAACCTACCGGAAAACTTAGACATCGGATGTATCCTTGAGAGCTTCAACTCAAGTCTAGGCTCAATGGAATCGAATACGAACTGGCCTTGCTGTAATTGCTCTAGGCAGATCTTCAAGGAGGAATTGGTTGGACAACGAAGGTAGCCCCTGACATGTCGCACAAGTCTCTGTCATACATGTTCGCGACTCCGGTTGATGAGTCACGGCCGTGAGATAAGTTTGTAATTACAGCTGCGAGGATCTGGGCGCGAACTTTCTATTACTCTTTCGAGATGGTCATTCTTTCTTTTTGCTAAGCTGTGTCAAGATGGCTGTGTGAGACAAACGAAATATTTCACCATAGTTGTTCAAGCTGACCCAGAGCTTTCCCCCCTTTAAACTCGCGCCCATGTTTTCCGCCATCGCTACTCCTCAGCATCCAAATCAGGGTTGCTGAGACAAGGTATCTCATCAAAACTCAGGTAGGATAGTACAGTCGCCTGGCCGCCACCACCAAGCCCCCCAACTGGGATCATTTCCCCTGAGCGTTGCAAAGGACTTCAAATAGCTCGAATATCTCTTGACGTTTACCTTACTTCTCCCCCCAAGCTCGCCCGTCAAATCTTCGACCAGGTCTTTCTTGACGGCTTCTGCTTTCAGATCCCCGCGGCCTGCAAGTTCGCCCCGTAGGAAAGAATCAAACTCCCTCGAGCATATCACAATCGCCAGCGCTTGGCCGACAGTGATCTCGAAATCCTGGAGCAAGCCTAGCATGTCGATGTCACCATATGCTTGGGAAATCTTAAAGCTGCCCCTAAGAGAGAGCACATCCAGAGGGTCAGAGACGATGAGCGGAACGAAGACATCCGGCCAGCGGCTGCGTGCCGCCTCTGAACCCTGATGATCTGGGTCATTGGCCAGCAAACAATCCCTCAAACTCAGAAGCTTGAGAGTGCTTTGATGGGAGCTGACAAAGTCCAAGAAGTGAGATGCCACTATTTCGATGCTGTCTATTTGGAGGCTTCGCAGGTGAGGCCATGTGTGTCGTCTGGGGAGAACATTGGCAATCTTGACATGGGAGTACCCAGGCTTCCAAGCATACCACTTGAATGTGACTCGAAGCTTCTCAAGATGTGGTGCCAAGCACACAAAGTCTCTCAACCGGTTCGTGGACAGAATCCGGTTGGCCACTGGTATCGACTCCCACCATTTGTTGTCGTTGACGCAGAGTCTTAACTCGAGGGCACGGAGGTGAGAAAGACCCTCCCTCATATGAGATTCACCCCTGGTCTCATAACCATCGAAGAACCCAACGTCCAGCACCTTGACCCGAAGGTTTCGGACTTTCGAGCCGGTCATGGCACGCAGGAATGCCTTCAATGGTTTGACGCCAGGGGGGCCAGTGTAAGAGGACGCCGCACTAAAAGGGTAAAATGGCTGGCCTTCAAGTGCATTATACCGGGGGATCCATTGGAGGAGTGATTTGTATGTCTGATTTTGTTGGAGGTAATCTTCTTCATAGAACGATTCTGCTATCTCCAGATGATCCAGGTTGGTCAGGCGCCGGCATGCATCCTCCACGTCTTGTGCAGGCCCCAGTGCCCTGAAGGCATTCTTTTGTCCGGATAGCAGTTTATCATATATTTTCCAAGCCCGATACCAGTAAGAATATAGACCCCCGAGATCTCGCAGATTGCGATTTCTGGGCACCCGATCCAACCAGTCGTCGTAGTTGGCGTCTGGGTAAAACACGTTTATCAGAAACGTGACGCCGGACACATGGTGTCTGAGAACAGGATGCAGCGAAATGGCCCGTAACCGGGCGATGCTCTCCGCTGTGGGCGCGACAGTCACCATGGGGGTCAGGAATTTGAGGCCAATGTCGCCGAATGCCCGGCAGACGAGGCGGAAGCTGGCCACATCTTGGTGGCTGTCGAGGCATTCGCATATTGTATGGAGGACCTCGAGGGGCAAAGTCGTCAAAGCCATTGCTATTATGTTGGAAGGCAGTGAGGTAAGTAAGAACTCAAAGGGACACTTCTAGCTGGGTGGGCGATGAGAGGGCCTTGAATAGGATTGTATGCTCTTCACTTCACTTTTCGGCCTTTTTCTCTTGAGAGAAAATGAGCCAGCCACCATGGCGAAAATCTAGCCGCTCTGCCGCTGTGCGGAACAATGCTTACACAGGTTGTGGTTGGCTGTCGTTCCGAAACACACGAGGTAGCTAGCGAATCGCATCAACGTATCCTAGAAAGGGGGGAAGCGTGGTCATACACAGTATTTCCTGCGCTGCGGTTTATGCAGGTGATAGCTCATGCACTACCTGGATTCCCGGCCAGCGCAAGACAGCCCACGAACAGGAGACCAAACTGACATACCTGCATCTTCACCCATTTGCAGATCAAGTGGACGCATATGTGGTGCATAGGTTTACATATCTCTGTATATAACCTTAATATGATGAAGCATAACAGATTCTGTAAGAGAAGACCTTGGAGGGAAATTCAGACCCTTAACCAATCCATGCGCAACTCCAATGAGTGCGCCTTAACGCCATAGCCTCAGTGCGTCAAATTACAGATACAAATCCTCCACTTTTGTTGCAAGCAGAAGGCAACTGGGGGCCAAGATGAGGAATCTTGTGACCAAAACAGCAAGAGATGACAAGGAAAGAATCATGGTGTAAGCGGATCAGGGCTTCCCGTCGCCTTTCTTTTCCTCTTCTTTCTTTCCCTCCTCGGCACCCTTGCCTGACGTTGCGTTCTCCTTTCCGGAATCACCCGTCTTCTCTTCCTTGCCCTTATCCGCATCATCCTTTGGTTGATCAACTTCCATAGCCTCAGACTCACCCTTGTCTGTGGGCTTGTCTGCAGTCTCCTTTGGTTCTTTCGGGGTCTCGGCTTCCTTGGCCTTATCCTCTGTCTCAGACGGCTTGTCAGCCTCAGCTTTATCTGATGTCTTCTTGGCCACATCTGGCTCGTCGATTGTTGCGGATGTTTTCAGGACCTCAGGTTCAGCATCTTCCTTCTTGATCGTAGTCGAATCCTCTGCAGTGGTCGAGTCGGCCATTCCAACATCCCCATCACTGTCAACCGTCTCCTTTGGCGTCTCCTTTGCTTGCTCCTTCTCGGAAACAACGTCCTTTTCTGCTTGTTCGTTTACAGCAATATCGTCGATGGTGTCGTCTGGATCGTTTCCTTCGTCGGCTACGACCTCAGCCCCATTCGCCTCGGCACCGCCATTTTTGCTTCGCTTGCCATCTAACTCCGAGTTCTCCTCTGCCCCAAAATCGGTAAATGTTCTCTTGCTTCCGCTGTCACGAGTGGCCCCATTGGCGCGAGCGTGATCGTCATCGTCGCTGGGCTCAAATTCGGCCTTGTTTTCAATATGCTTGTCCCATTGATGCTCTGACATTCGGACATCTTTGTTTTCGTCTTCATCGAGGTCGTCGAGCTCGGCTTCTTCCTCATCGGTCATTCCACCGAATGGCTTTCGTGGAACATCTTGCATTTGAACAGATGGGGCGGGTCCAGTTTGACGTAGGTTATCGACGACGGCGGCCTTGATCTTTTCAAGATACTCCCGGCTATTGGAATTTTCCATATTCGAAGACCTTACGTTGAGCTCGAAATCGGGTGCATAGTACTAGTTAAGTCGTTTAGTAAGGGAAAACTGCTTGCATGAACAGCTTCAAGTCTTACCTCGTAATATTCATTGTAAGGAAGGGTTCGATCCATGTTTTGGCCAACCAAAACACCAGTCTCAAATGCCCAGGTACGCGCAACATTGCGCATTGTGTAACCTCCTCCGCCAAGGACCAGGGTGGGTAGGCCAAAGCTTTTGACATAGTTGACACAGTTGGCATGGCCATCCATGCTCAGATTGAAGCAGCCTAGCCTGTCACCAGACAGACTATCGCCACCGCATTGGAGAACTACAGCCTCGGGCTGGAAGTATTTCATGACATTTTCAATGACCGGCTCGAAGATTGACTTGTATGATTCGTCCGTGATACCGTCGCGGAGGGGGAAGTTGACTGCATAGTTCTTGCCCTGGCCAATACCAATGTCGCGAAGCTCTCCAGTTCCTGGGAAATATTCGCCATACTTGTGGAAGGACACGGTCATGACTCGATCGGTGGTATAGAATGCCTCTTCCACACCATCGCCGTGGTGAACATCGATGTCGATATACAGCACACGTTTTTTGAACCGGAGGAGCTCCAGGATGCCGAGAACAATATCTGAGACGAGGTCAGTCGTGTGACGCAGAACCATGCGATCGGAGCACCTTCTTACCGTTCACATAGCAGAACCCACTAGCTTCGGACTTTTTGGCGTGGTGAAGACCACCAGCCCAGTTAATTGCGATATCGCATTTCTGTCGGTTCAGACGCGCAGCACCTTCCATACTTCCACCGGCACTGATGCCACAAAATTCAAACAGACCATCAAAAACAGGGCAATCGTCACCGACGTTATACTTGCCCTGCTCGCGCATGTAGCTGTCCATGTTATCAGGGGTAACCTTTTGAAGGAAATCAATGTAGTCGTCGGTGTGAAATTGTGTCATTTCGCCTCTTGTCGCCGGTTTGGCACGCTTATAGAAATGAGATTAGTATGGACTCCCATCAAGGAGGTTTTGCGCCGCGGTTGCACTGGTAGACGTAGTAGGGCTTACATAAATTTCCATTTTTTGGTATAGATTGTACTGCATGATGAGACTGTGCGCCAGGCGAATTCTGTGAGGCTTCATGGGATGGCCGGTGACGTAGGCATAGTTTCCGATATCCGAATCGTAGAAGTATGCAACCTTCTTTGGCGACGAGTTGTTGAGCGCGGTCGAGCCGAGCTGGGCCATCGTGCTGTCACCCATAGCGGCGGCTGTGTAATTCGATCGAATGTAGATGGTGTATTGGCTAACAAGATGTAAAAGAAGAAACAGAGTGCCCTGGTAATGCGAATGAAGGATAAAACCTTAGAATAGATGTGGGAATGAGGCTCACGAGTAAAACGACATGATGTAGTCGCTAGACGTGCAGGAAGAAGTGCGACAATCGCAAAGTAAGCTAGGACAATAGGTAGATGCTACAATAGTTCAAGTAATAGAGAGGCTTGGAAAAGTGGAGGCCCGGGCTACATTCGGGAGTACGAAGGTACTTCCATTTGCCGGAATAAAGTAGCCGCGACAGGGCCTCCCTAGCCACATCAGATCCAGCGGGTCAGCCACAGGGAGCTTGCTTAGACAAGCACGTGACATTACGAAGCCACCAGAAGCTCCGATCTCAAGGCTGCCGCACTGGCGTCAACACCGACAAGCTCTCGATTACATACGTGCAGCGTCGGTTTCAGCTCCTCCCCATCCAAAAACTATCCCATTTTACGACACTCGATTATCGTCTGGCCTATTTCTGAACATACTCATACCTAGAAGACCGAAGCTATGGATCGGTTTAGACACATATTGGGTGGTGCTGGCATGGGTGGCCTAGGCGGGCCAACCCCAGGTCAGGTATGTACAAGGCGATAAACCAGCTCGGTTCGCATCACAAGAAGCTTCTAACCCCACGACATTTAGGACAACTCAACCCTGATTGACAATTCTGAAACCGTTTACATTTCTTCCCTTGCGCTTCTCAAGATGTTACGCCACGGCCGGGCTGGTGTACCCATGGAAGTGATGGGCTTGATGCTTGGCGAGTTTGTGGATGATTTCACTGTCAAGGTCATGGACGTTTTTGCCATGCCCCAGAGTGGTACGGGAGTCAGCGTAGAAGCTGTGGACCCCGTTTTTCAGACCAAGATGATGGATATGCTGCGACAAACTGGCCGGTAAGCTTTCAGCCCGTTATATCTTCACAAACCACCAAAACTAATGAACCCTTCTAGGCCCGAGTCTGTCGTTGGATGGTACCACTCTCACCCCGGTTTCGGATGCTGGCTCTCGTCGGTCGATATCAACACCCAACAGTCATTCGAACAACTGAACCCTCGTGCCGTGGCTGTCGTCGTCGACCCCATCCAGTCAGTCAAGGGAAAAGTAGTCATTGATGCCTTCCGCCTCATCAACCCACAGCTTTTGATGATGGGACAAGAGCCCCGCCAGAGCACGAGTAACTTGGGCCACTTGAACAAACCCTCAATCCAGGCTCTCATTCACGGCCTTAACCGACACTACTACTCGATAGCTATCAACTACCGCAAGACTGCTTTAGAGGAGAACATGCTGATGAACCTTCACAAGCATGTGTGGACTGAGGCTCTTGATATGGACGACTTCCGGACCGAGGGTACCAAGAACAAGGACCGTCTGAACCAACTCGTGAGCTTGGCGGACGGCTATGAGAAGCGTGTCAAGGAAGAGACAGAGCTCACCAAGGACCAACTCAAGACACGCTATGTCGGAAAGCTGGACCCAAAGAAGCACTTGGAAGATGTTGGGCGCGAACTTATTGAGGACAACATTGTTGCCGTTTCAAGGCAAATGATCGACAAGGAGGCTACTCTGCCAAGAAAGGATGGCGCAGCAGCAAATGGGGCCTCGGAAACTGAGCAGATGGATACAGAGGAGGAGTTATGAACGGATTGTCATGTACGGAAGCGCCTAATTTCGGAATAATTCTGTACGGCTACAGGGCGTTTGGGCTGGGATTCAAACTGGACTGGGCAAAATAGAGACCCGGGAATGTGAAGGAATTCTTGCATGATAGAATCAGTTTACTTCTCTCGGGCTTGTTCTTAGTTGCGCTCAACTGTGAATGTTCTGGGGCTATCATAATGCGGGGACCCCTCGCCCCCAATGGCCGCACAACGCACCTTGCTCTTTATGCCAAACAAAGCGATGATCTAATCGGCCCCGGAACAATTCTCAGAAGACAAATTCGAAGTCTATTGAAACGCCGCGAAAGAGTTCCGAAGCCTATGGCAATTTTCCCCAACTGTTGTTTTGGCTCTATGATCTAGTCACAGAACCCGTAACTTATTCACAGACCTTGTTCTGGCTGTATGCTATCTCACACCTATGTGCTTAGAAGGGTTTAAATACCAGATGCCCTCATCCACTTCTCTTTCCTCGTCCATCTTATTTGAAATTTGACCTAGTTGGCCTAAGTTTACAAAAATCAAAATCATTTGATTCTCAACCATGCTTCCGTATTTTTTTCAATTCGTTTCTGACGTACCGTCAGCCCGATCTAAGAGACCATCGTCAAGCACTCGACGGAAAACCAAACGAAACCAACACCACGCTGACAATGACCAGCGACAGAGCCGCCAAACGTGTAGTCGCGAGACTGACTCTAAGCGGACGAAGTTTACACACTCAAGGCACCAAGCCAGGGGCCACTCTGTCTGCCGTCGAGAAATCGCACAAATAGAGAAGTCAAGGCCGGTAGAGTCACCGCCTATACTACCCAAGATATCTCCGAAACCTATTTGCGGTGGATATTTATCACCACCACCTTCACAATCAATGAAGATGAAGGAATCCACGCCTATTCATGTGAGGAGGCAGTGTTCTGGCTCTCCAAGTTGCCTACAGTCCAAGCAATCCTCCCGGAAGAGAAGTCCGAGAGTCACCGATATCCAGACAACTCAGCCATCCTCGAAGACCATTAGTAGAAATCGCCAACAAGGCCCATCTCTTCTTTCTAGGGGCATATCAAAGTTAAAGACCATGTTTCAGAAAGAAGAGACTCACTGTCAACCACCACCCACCAAACAACCCGAAACCGCCATACGCACAGAAGAACCAAGCCCACCAAACACCCCTCACAGCCGCCGGTCCTCCATAAGATCAATAGAAGAATTCCCCCGCAACGAACCCATGGACGCCGAAACCATCTCCCACGTCACCCAGTCCTTCCACCAGATCTTCTCCCACATCCCCTACGCAGTCTACGGCCTCTCCGCCCTCGCCCAGCACGGATACACCCGCCGCCTCCCCCGCACCGTCCACGTCCTCTGTCCCGAGCACACCCGCCAGACCATCCTCCACTGGGCCGCCATCAAGCAGCTGACCCGCCTGTCGCCTGTTCAAGACGGCCGCGACCACTGGGGCGAGGACGACAACGGGTACAGCGTCTACTCGACGGAGTTCCACGGCGGGGGCAACATCGAGGAAGACGACCTCGTCCTCGCCGTGGCCATACCGGATGGCAGCCTCCGCCGCGTCAGGATCGTATTCGAGGACCAGAACGAGTTCAGCAGGCTGCCCAAGGAGCCAGCGCCAGCGCCAACGCAACCCACCACCGTCCCCTGCCCCCGGACCACCACATCCCCACAGGTTCTATCCCTACCGGCGATTGTGACCAGAATAGTCCTCGGGTACCACAAGTCCCTCACCGAGGGCGCTTCAATAAACACACAGAGAGTCATGGCAGATGGCTTGGTCTGGGTGTTGTACCAAATCATCAACTCCCCACCCAACGACAAAGTCAAGTTCGACGGGACGTGGAAAACCAACCTGTCTAGCGGGTTGTTCCTAGTCCCGTTCACAGAGTCATTTCCCAGAGCAAAGCCGCTACTCGAACAGGCAGGAATCGAGGTAAATGGCTAAGGCTTCCAAACTACAGTCTTGTTTGCTCCAGCATTGAAGGAGTTTAAGTCCTTCGTTCATTCATTTACTATCATATTCCTTTTGTCCTTGTTTTTTCTGTCTTTCTTTTATGTTAGCCAAGCGCGTTTGTGGTTTGCTCATTAGTCTATTGCATTTCAACTCGGAACCTTTCTCTTGGCTTGAAGACACCAATTCTGATGGCTGACAAAGTGTTCGATGATCATGGTTCTTTAGATACCCAATATAGACAAGCTAGATAGATAATGATAATTCTTCACAGCCTTGAAACAAAATTATATGAATTCCCGGTGCTATCAATAACCTGTTGTTTAAAAGTGATATTTCATGTATTCCTCAGGCCCACTCTGTGTTAACTAAGTTAAATAACATTGCTTCTCATGAGAGGATGTCCGGGCACCATCGAATGCTGCCTAGAAATAAGCCTTCTAATGACATAGAAAACTGGAAATATGTGCTCCAAGACAAAATTGATCTTCCTGAACTTATTCCACCCGGGTGGCTAAGTACTCCATACGCCTTACAGTGATATCAAATAATTACTCCACAGCATGCAAAACACCTGCGGGCCGTAAATGGCGATTCTGCCCCCCTCTCGCAGTAGTAGACACTGTGTGGCAAGAATCGGCTCCACCAATCTTCTTTCCTAGAAAGAGTCGCAGCACTCTTAAAGAAAGAGCTCACTGCTATAGATGAAATGACACAAATATCAGATCTCTGAAGAAACGGCAGTCTCGGAAGAGTGCCGTGGAATCCTCGCCGGCATGATCACGAACTCTAAGCCTCCATTGCAGGAATCTTCTTCCCTCGCTTGCCCAGCAGGGTGGCGTTGCCCAGGTTGAGCTCGAATGGGCCCTTCTGCCGATTGCGATCTCGTACCTGTTGCCTGGCGGCTGCAGTGATTGCAGCCGAGTGCTGGCCGTAGCCTCGCTCATTGGCTCGTTCACGGTCCCGTCCTCGTGCTTGTTCTTGGTCGCGGATGTTGGTCTTCCTCATGCTTTGCTCGAGTGACTGTGTCCCGTGTTGTGGCTTCTGATCTCCACCCTGCCCGTCAATTTCCATATGGTGCTCATCCTCGTCCTCCTCGTTGAGACCACCAAGGTATTTTCCTTGGCCTCCCTTGACACCGATTTGTTGTCTGCGCTTGCCCTCCTCCTCCTGTCGGTGCACGGCATAACCCACGTCAAAGACCTCACGAAGGTTGACGGCGCCGGGGGATCGGAAATCATACCGTTTCCCAGCTTCTTCAAATTTGGACGCGTCAAACGCACGGAGAACGAATTCTGGCTTCTTCTTCTCTTCCATGGGAGTTGGGCCAGAGATCTGAACCCATGGGTGGGCAAGAAATTCACGAATTGTGTAGCGCTTCTCCGGATCGACGGTTAAAAGGTGTGAGATCAAATCCTGGGCCGATTTGGATATTTCATCCCACCAGGGAGACAGGAAAGTATATTGCCCTTTGGCAACCTTCTCTGTGAGTACCTCAATACTCTCGTCATAGAAAGGTGGGAAGCCACAGAGTAGAGTGTACAGCACACATCCAAGAGCCCACATGTCGACCGACTTGGAGTAACGCTCATCTTTCACAATTTCTGGTGCGGTGTATCCTACGGTGCCGCAGGGTGTCATAGTTTGGTTATCCCAGACAATCTTGGAGAGACCGAAATCGGCAATTTTGATCTGGCCAATACCACCGGCACCTTGGCCAGCGATGAATTCACCTTCATCCACCTTATCCTCATCACCGGGCTGCTTCGGCTTGGGGACTTTGGAGGGAACAAATGGAATTGGGTTGAAGAGGATATTCTCAGGTTTGATATCACTGTGGGCAATATTAGTGGCTGGCATTCAAAGAAGGGAGACGACCATGCCAATAGTGAAATCAGTCCGCATAGTGGGCCTACTCAGCAAGGACGGGGGTTGTCAAGTACGTACCGATGAACAACACCCTTCTCCTCATGCAAGTATTCAAGCGCCTTGGCAACTTGGACAATGACATGCCTAGACAGCTCCTCGCTGAAATACGTCAGGCGAACAATTTGATGGAAGAGCTCGCCGCCTGGAGCTAGCTCAAGAACGATGTAGTAGTACTGTCGCGACTCTGCGAACTCGACCAGCTTGATGATGTTGGGATGGTCAAGTTGACGCATGATTTGTACTTCTTTCAAAATGTTTGAGCGCTAATAAGAGGTCAGTACCGAAATCGATCCAATTCTGCAACGGCCATCCATGTTGATATACAAGAAGAAACGAGCGAACAAAAAAAAAGGATGGCCGGATATAGCGGCATAGTAGACTGAAGAGACTTTTCGCACCTCAGCGGCTTTAGGAATCTTTTGGAACTCCGGATGTAAATGTTGATTTCCCTAAGTTGGGGGGAATGAAACCCCATGGTTGGTAAAGCCCAGATAACGTAAGGAAAGAAGCCAGCGAGAGCGAGGAGAGAAGAAAGAGAGAGAGTGCGTATGAAGAGGAGAGGAAAACAAGCCCGTGGGGGGAAACCCGTACCTGCATATTATTCATTTCGTACTTGCGAACAACCTTGATCGCAACCTCGCCGAGGTCTCCTTGCAAGTCCTTGGCCCGATAGACATTACTGAAGGCTCCGTCGCCCATCTTCTCGACCAGCTCCCAGCGCTCTAGGCCCGGATACCGCGGGAATTTGCTCTTGCTCGCATTCTCTTCGGCGATCAGCTTGGCAAGATTCGACTCATCGACGCGCTTGCTCTTGGCGGCCGTCTTATTCTGGACTTGCTGCGCTGGCTCCACATGATGGGCAGCAGCGTGGGCAGCTTGCGCAGCTCGGTTCTGTGCGTCGCCGGGTGCTTCCGAGTAGACATTCAGCGGCTGTGCCTGGGGTGCATGGTCTAACTGGGGTTCGCTATCGGGCATCGTCGTCACGGCCGCCTTGGGTGCTTGTGGCGCAGAGTCATGTTTGCGGGCAGGCTCCTCGTTAAAGTTGGGAGCTCGGGCTTGTTTGCCTGGATCGTCTCAGTCAGTGCCGGCGCCTATGGATCGGGAGACGTGCAATCAATCAGAAGCGACAAAGGAAATAGAATCAGCTGGTTTTGATTTGGGGAGGCTGGCTCTTGTCTGGCACGCACCATGACGGATAAAATTCTTAAGTTGCTGTATCGTCGACATGGTGTCTGAGACTTTGGCCACCCACGGCCCAGCGTTGACGTAACAGTTGGGACAAGCGGGTGAGCTGAGGCGATGGCGATGGGGCGGGAAGAGGTCGCAACACAAACAAGCTCGCTGAGGGACAGGTCAAGAGTGAAATAGAAATAGGGTGAAAAAAAGCCCGCTCTATCCAACCTGCATGGGGAGTTTGGAGCTTAGGAGGAAACAAAAGCGTGGCAGAGGCGGAGCAGCTAAGACGAAAAATCGAATGGGAAAAAAAGCCCAAGGCAAGGTCGAGGGTAGTTCAGGGCAGGGGCGAGCGAGGCTGGATGATGACGATGCGGGGTTGCCGAATGATGCTGCCAAGTTCTGGACTCTAGCTGGTGGCACCTACTATGCACAGCGGGCTGGCGGGTTAAAATGGCGCAGCAGCAGGCGGAGCTGGAAGTGCAGGCGAGACGGCTCGCGATTGAGTCTGATGGAAGAGATTAAGAAGGGACCAAAAACTAGACGTGTTCAGAGGCACCCTGTTTGTCTTGAGGGATTGGGGGAGGATTGAATGATGACAGACGCAGCGATAAGATGGGCTGCAGAATGGTTTGCGGATTAGAAAGCAGGGCACTGCAAGTTAGTCAAGAACCCTGGACGCATGAGAAAGACTAGTCGCAGTGAAGAGGCGCCAGAGCCGGGCTGTTTGCTCCTTGTCTCCAGCAGGTATTCGTTTTCTCCAGCTAAGCGTGGCAGCCAGAATTAATAAGTGCCAGCAAAAAGCAAATTGACGTGCAGTTCAACAGCGACTGAGCAAGTTTTAGTGGGGGCCTTGCACCAGCGATGAAGTCAGAGCCTCAGCTCGAAGGGAGAAGATACGCGGGATGGATCGAGTTGAGAGGAGAAGGATCCGCTGCCATATAGAGGAGATGTACTCAATTCTTATGGTCCAGGTGAAGTACTTGCCCGGTTGCTTTGACTCTCTAGATTTATTTGGCGTCATGCAATTACAACATGTACCAGCTTTGAACGGGCACTGCGATGGTACATGCCTTACAAGGGGAGCTACCCACTACACTTGGGCGGCTAGTGAAGGCAAGGCACTGAAGGATGCTCTGTGCAGCCAAAATGCTCTGTGCTACGAGGTACAGGGCGTGAGGATGATGGTATCTATCGCGTACTAAAACCAAGCCAAATACACCCTACCTACCTACATCATTGGCATAGTCAAGCACGCCTACCTATCAATGCTGGTGTGTCGACATGGGTGAGATCTTGTTCGACAAACAGGTGCTGCTGACCTGATTTCTAATATGGTAGGCAGAGCTGTGCAGGAAACCTCTACAGGGGTCCAGGCTCAAGGTCCAGGCCCTGGTTGTCACTGGTACTTGGGACTGTCGGGAGAAACACAGAACGTAGACAAAGGTTTCACAAAAGGCTGAAAAATCTCAGGAAGCTCTCTTTCCGAAACACACTTGCTTCTAGGGAGGCGCGGGACTGGCCTCGCCCCTGAACTCCTGGCCTGAATCGTAGTTCGTGGGGTGTTCTTCTCCCACCACTTCATGCCAGACTGAACTCAAAGCAGCCCGAATGGACACAAGTCATGATTGCGTGTGGGTGCATTCCGCCTCAGGGGTTGCGCCGCCATGAGTCTCTCGTCGAAGTTCTTTCGCTAGCTGCCGGCTAGTGACTAGTTGCATCGTGGTAACAATGAATAAAGCTGCCTCCTGTTAGCTGTGCATTTGTCATGAAACAGGTTTTTGCTGGTCCCGTACCCAATGAGTACGCAATACATTAGGCAGTACTTGATAATGTTAGCTCCTCCTTAGGCTAGCAGGTCCATTTTGGAGGGGCATTCAGGCGTGCGTGTTGCATGCATTCTCTCGCTTCGCATCTGGCATATGGCCCAGGCGTGCAGATACAGCTTCTCTCGCGCGCATCTGATCGCCTCTTCTCTTCCAGGGCCGACAAAATCCTAGGCCGATCGGTTGGTCCAAGGCCGGCGCTTGGACTTAGACCTGGGTTTGGGCTTGATTTGGGCCTAGAAAGGACACCAACATTCCCTCCCTTTTTTTCAGCGCGTGGGGCCACCGTCGACCCCGCGGATCCTCCTTTCCCTTTTCGCGCGCTGATGACGCCGATACAGACGTCATCAAGCAAGGGCCCGCCCACCTGCAACCTGTCGTGCTTCCTCCACGGCACCAATCTCAACGGCTTCAGCCCTCGTGGAAGCTTCCCAGGCCAAGCACCTCCAACGCCACGATGCATGCATGCGCGTGCTCATGCGATCGCGCTGGAAAGGGGAACTCGCGAGGCTGTTGTCCACGGGCTCCATTTCCCGTTGGCCACAACCCGCAGCTCAATTGAGCCCAACCAGAGTTGTGAACGCACCTTCTCCTGACCCACCAATCTAAAATAATCACCATTGATGTCAGCGGATCCAGTGCGACCTCATGCATTACCTCAATTCGTCTTCCATCGTCCTCTTCACCCTTGTAGATTCCCCTTGATGCCTTCGTAGCTTGTCAGACTGGTGATGCCTTCATAAATTCGCTGATCCTCTGATCGACATACCTCCCGCTCTTCAAAAGGCCATATGATATCATCATATCCAGTTGGGCAATTCCATTACCGTGACAGAGCTTCCCGTGGAGCAATTCGTCCGGTCACGCTGCCAGCTGGTTCCACGGCGGAGAGTCATTGATACGTCAGCCTTGTGCTACATACCTAGGTGAGTGTAAACTGACTGTCGGGCAATTTCGCATAGTGACTGACTGACTCACACTGAACGCCCTGACTGTATGAGCTTGCATCAACACGAGCACCTTGGTTGCAACTACAGCTAGGATTTCTTAATACCCCAGATCATCAGATATCTTCCCCTCTAGGAGCCCCAACCACTATCCCTAATTGACCTCATCCCCACCACTGGTGGATGGGATGTGGCGGACCCGGATCGAAGATTACCAAACTAAGTCACATTTCAATGAATTGATCACTCACAATCTTCTTAAATTAGATATTAACGTACGCCTTGACGCACTTGCATGGGGTTATCTATCTCATAATTCATCTGATCAGGCCACACCACCTTTCCCATGGTCCTGGCAAGTGGGCGATACTAGAGATAGCACAGCTAAGTACCAATCCTTTCAACAATAAATCTAACCATCATATTTAGAGAAATAAAATAAAATAAAAATACGTAAATAATCTCTGAAACCTGAAATTGGTTCTTCTGTTTCAATGATTATCTTTATAAGCTTTGGTGGTTATTTTAGGACAATGGAAAGTAGCCTTCTACCACAGGTGTTGAGATAGTGCTTGGGTGTGCAATGTGCAGTGTCACTCACTTGCCTGGGCATTCAGAAGGCGAGGATCATCAGCCTCAAGCCAAGAACTTTCCCTTGTAGTCCAATCCGAGTAGCCCATACAATGTGAATACCTTCGGCTCCCGTGGCAGGCATTACATCATGTGGCCTGGGCGCTTCCATGAGGATTGATAATCCATTCAAGATTGTTCGGAGGCCCGGCTCCGGCTGGCCCGGCGTTAAAGTGGAGACACGGAGCTTCTTGCTTCCTGGGAATCTCTTCGCATGCTACCGATTTGGGACATGCGTGGATAGTCATATAACTAGAGAGAATATGAATGTAATGACAGGCTGAATAAGAATGAAGTTTCAGCCCGGAAAGATCAATCATCATGCTGTATGCGTATATCGTACTTGCGCACTATGGTTTCTGCCCGGAATGCCACACCCTGCCAACTCCCCATGAACAATACAGCCAGTTGCCTACTACCCAAAATAAAAGTGTTGAAAAAAGAAGCATTTACCAAAAATGGCCCAACGGAGAGTATCAGAGACGCTTGGGGGACTCTGCATGAGGTATTTTTTCTGTAACTTGCCGCCGTAGTTTTGGCCTTGTCCCCCCTTCCCTTCTAGTTCACTGATTAAGATCCATTGTCTTATTCGTCATGTTCTGGGTCCGCCGGCCAGAGAAACCACGCAAACACCATCAAGGACTTGATGAACGCCGCCAGCCAAAGGGCACCCATAATCCCGACGGAGGTCCCAGAGAACACGCCTCCCATGACGGCGCCGATCAGGAGCAGAGTCGGTGCGCCAGCACGCCTGTTGCGCTCCGCATTGTTTGACGCAAACAAGTCCTTGTCAGAGAAGAGGTCACAGTAAATGCTCGTCAACACGACGCTGGTCAGGGCGTTGTACTTGAGAGCCCTGCTTGCGACCGCCTGGCCGCAGCTCTGGAAGGCCACCAGGGCGAGAGGCACGAGCACGTTCCAGCTCACCTCGTTGGAGTTTGGCGACGGCGGGTACAGCGTGACGATGGTGGCTGCGGAGGCTGTGAGGACCGTCTGGGCTGCGAAGGACGCGCAGAGAACCCAGCGGCGCTTGGGCGAAAAGTAGCGATGGAAGCGCGCGAAGAAGAAAGAGCCGATGCAGAAGGAGAGGAGCGAGATGCCCGACTTCCAGAGACGAGTGGAAATCGGCGGATCAAAAATCGATGCGATTCCCAGTCCTACATAGACCGTATTTCCTAATATCAATGTTAGCGATGTGCTGGGATAAAGCTTTTGCGTGACGAGACAAACCTGTCTGCATTGAGACGAATGCGCCCCAGACTTTGGTAGAGGAGCTGTCGAGAAGGCCAGTGACAACGTAGCAGAGCAGAAGCACCAGGTCAGCCCAGTCACGGCAGACTTCAGCCGTCATGGTCCTGCGAAATTTGCTGAGGACAGATGGTGATGGAGGCTTCCGCTGGCCGAGCAGAGGCTGCTCTTCGTCTGGCGCGCCATTGGCATTGCCATTGGTGGCGGCGGGAGGCGGTTCAGTCGCGCTCATAGTTTTGAAATAGATTATCGTATCAATTCTTGTCAACAGAGTCTAAATACTGACAAGAAGAAAGCTTCTTCAAAATGTAGCGAGCACCTAGAGCTAGGTGGCTGAAGAACGATGGGAGCTGGGAGGGCCAAGACACAACGTACGTAATCACTAAAATGATCAGTCACTCCGGGGCTGTCCCAAATATGCCTTCTATCCCCCTCTTTAACCACACCATCAGCGAAAAGGAGTTTCATGATAGGATTGGCTTAAATGGCCTAGGTTGTTCTCCATCAGGACGTTGTGTCCCAAAATGTTCTCCCGCAGATGCCGACACAGAGCGAAAGCCGAGGGGTGCGAGTGACCGCTGTAAGCTGTAGGCGCTTAGGGGGCTGATCACTTTACATTAGGGCCGAAGGCTGGTCATTTAGGGGGGTGTCCGAATGTAACAGCACTATTGTCTAGAACCCCAGAAGTAGGCCCCGAACCCCGCCCTGGGATATTCGAATTACATGGATCGCAGGTCAAGGTATCATCAGAGAATCACTAGCAAAACGCCAAGAGCATGTACCGGGATATTGCAACTAGATTCCAATGATCAAGATTCCCCTCACAAGATCCATGACTAGCTTCAGGCGGGGGAGCAGGGACACCGGATACAACCTCCCGAAGGCTGTTGACTCCATCCTGTCTGTTTGCTCGTTCTTGTCCATCACCTGTCCTAGGTGCTAAGCGAGGGCAGAATAGATATATGTTACACCGACATGTGTGTCATTTACACCCCCTTGGAAAGTGGAAGCGTATGCTATCATAGAAAGGGAGTGGCACGTTACACTCCGACTTGGCGGCAGCCAACAAGGGCGTGAGGGCTCTAGAGTATAAGGCAGCTCCTGTCCCCAAGCTTACAGAGAGCGGCTATAGATACCTAACAATTTCATCAAATACAGGTTTTAGAAAAATGACAGTCTTTTGAAGCTCTAGCTCAGATGATAGATTTTTGTATCCTGTCTTGCCTGTCCTTTATCTGTTGGTCTTACGGAAATCATAAATTGGAGAACAGAGAAAAAGGCAATCGATTTGGAGACTGTTGCAATGTCCTCCTGCACTCTAGCACACCTCACAGAGTGATTGCAACTCTCTTTTAATAAGCTTAGAAATATGCATACACCCTCATTTAGTAAGTAAGGTTCTCAATCCATACACATCTACACTGCCAACAGTATTGAGTTACGTTGGAACTCCCGTTATAAGACGAACCGAAAGGAGGTTCAACACGAGCTTCTAGTCACGATTTAACATAATATCCTCGGCATACTAGACATGATGTTCGCTATGTTGTCGTCGAGGACTGCAATGAAGAATATACTAGGTGCAGCTGGCCCTTTCAATCACGTTGGATCCCTAGCTACCTTGGTATGGGCGTGTTAGATAGTCGGCCAAGGCCGAGTTAAGCAGTGCCCCGATGACTATAATATCATGTATTTCACATACAAGTCTCAGTTTATAAGGTCTTGATGTGATATGGGAGGCACGAAGTACGGGTCTAGCTCCGAAGCAGGTACCGCCGACAACATAAATGACAACCGTATCGATATCCAGCACAAAGTCCAATTTGAGGAAAGTTCGAAATCCTCCATCGAGGAAATATCGAAATGTCAGCAAGATCGTGAACCAGTATTCGACTTACACGCTGGCAACACAAATACTGATTTTCTCGGTGGCTTAGGCTTGTTAAACAATTGATAAGTTGTCTGTACATTACCACTGGCTTAATCCATGCAAGAAAGAGGCCGTAGAGTTAGCAAGTCTGTGAATAACTCCATACCCATCCCATTCCCGGCCAGGGAGGGGTGTGAGTGGCACGACCTACAGATTTAGCTGCCGGGGAATGCCGCACGAAAGTCTCTTTTCTTACACACATGCGACACCATTTCCACCGGCTAAGCTCGGTGTGATATCATCCATATATCATAGGGATGTATACGCTCAAACTCGACCTGTTGGGCATGTTAGTCACGAATGACCCCGCCTAACTCGGCACCCATCCACACGAATCTGTCAGGTAGTATTGGCCATTTACAAGGGAGCTACTCCCTATGCAGGGAAGAGGCACTGGGTAGCTCCCTAGCGATTAATTGCTACTAATTCGAATCTATCTACCGGCTTATCCCATCCCATTCCGGTAATCGAGAGCCTCCGGACAGGGCGGAGGGACATGGGCGCTTTGGTTACTGCTGCATGCTCCGACGTATCATTCGCGCGCCCTCTTTCTCGACTCCTCGCTGTCCTCGCTGATGGTGTCACCGTTTTCTTTTGCTCTTACCGCCCGGAATTGCTTCGGCGCCTCGGCATTGGCGTACGCGTCCGCTGGTATCATCATGATACGCATTCGGTCACCACAGATGATGGCGATGGGAGGGGGGTCGACTCAATTGGTCAATCTGCCCGGCTCAATGAGTGTGTAGTTTCGGGTTACATTCTAGACGCGGAGGAGCTCCTCGGAATGATCCCATATCTAGCAGCCTTCTTCTGCCCATACGCTTCCCAGCTTGCCTTGCTCTTCACCCTCCCAAGTTCCCCAGCTTCTTGGAGCTTGCTGCTATCCCGCTCCTCAATTGAATCGCTCCGTCATCAATTCATCTTGATTACTCTTCATCAGCGCCAAAATGAAGGCTTCCACTACTCAATTGCTGCTCGCCGGAGCGGGCCTAACTCTTGCCCTTCCTCACATGGACAGTCCTCGCCAGCGTCTCCTCAATGGCCTCTCACTGCCCTCTAAATTCTCGAACCAGAACACCAAGCCCTACACCCCAGAGCACAAAGACCCAAATGACAATTTTGTCGACCCCATTGGCGAAGACCTAGATCCTCTTCCATGGAGGAATGGGCTGGGCGCCTCCGTTCTTGGCCCGTGGAACAAGGAGCGCTCTCGCCAGAATCCCGACCTCGTGCGCCCACCCAGCACCGACCATGGCAACCTGGCCAATATGCGCTGGAGTTTCGCCGATTCGCATATTCGAATTGAGGTAACAATTGAATTCTCTTGCATTGAACGACAATTGACCCTGGCTAAACTGAATACAATAATATAGGAGGGCGGCTGGACTCGCCAGACTACCATTCGCGAGCTTCCGACCAGTGTCGAATTGGCCGGTGTTAACATGAGACTCGATCCTGGCACCATTCGCGAACTTCACTGGCATAAGGAAGCTGAGTGGGCCTACGTTCTAGATGGCGAGGTCCGCATCACTGGAATTGACTATGAGGGCGGCAATTTCATTGATGACCTCAAGAAGGGTGATCTCTGGTACTTCCCCAGTGGTGTGCCTCACTCTCTCCAAGGTCTTGGAGAGAATGGTACAGAATTTCTTCTCATCTTTGATGACGGTCACTTCTCTGAGGAGTCTACTTTCGTCCTAACTGACTGGCTTGGTACGTAACCTGCTTTCGAAGGATGAGCCATGATCCTAACATATTTGCCCATCTAGCACACACGCCCAAATCAGTTATTGCCAAAAACTTCCACCTGGCCCCCGAGGTCTTCGCCCACCTTCCCAAGGGCGAGAAGTACATCTTCAGGGGCAGCCAGCCCGGATCCATTGATGAGGAGCGTCCCACCGGCAGCGAGGTCAAGAAATCCAAGTACAAGTTCACCCACAAATTGCTCGACCAGGAGCCACACAAGACCTCTGGCGGCCAAGTCCGCATTGCCGACTCGACCAACTTCGAAATCTCCAAGACTATCGCGGCAGCACATGCTATTATCGAGCCCGGTGCCGTTCGGGAGATGCACTGGCACCCGACGGCAGATGAGTGGTCTTTCTTCATCAAGGGGCAGGCCCGTGTTACCATCTTCGCCTCCGAGGGTAACGCGAGAACATTCAACTACGGCCCCGGTGACGTTGGCATCGTACCCAAGAACATGGGTCACTTTGTTGAGAACATTGGTGACGAGCCGCTGGAGATGCTCGAGATTTTCCGTGCCGACAAGTTCCGAGACTTCTCCCTCTTCCAGTGGATGGGCGAGACGCCCCAGAGGATGGTCATCGACACCATGTTTGCAGATGATAAGGAGAATGGCGAGAAATTCTGGAAGAAGGTCAAGGACGCCCACAAGGATGAGATCACCAAGCCGTAAGTTGACCGTTTGGGACATGCGTTGAGTATGCAATCAATATACGAGCTCGGTCCGTTTGTTTCTGGCCCACCAAGAATGAGATCACGAGGCCTTAAGTTTACGTTTTGGGACATTTATTGGTTGCGCGATCACCTATCATTCACCTACATGTTTTTTGGGCACAGTTTGTTCATCTGTATGATACCACAAAATCTATTCATAGTCATAGGCATTACAAACATTCATTGAGAATGAGGCATAAAATGCCTATCAATTTTTCATATTACAAAGGGCGTCGTAACATTGCAGAGGGTTGTATTCCGCAATGCTACTTGTAAACGTGAGGATTCAGGGACTTTCCAAATGCAAAGTGACGGCGCCTAGCTGCATGGCCACGGAAGAGCATAACATCCGACAATCAAGCAATCGAGTGCTGGATTGAGTAAGAGCTGGTAGCGATCGCCTCTTTTCAGTATACCTACGGAAGAATCGGCCAAGTAAATTCACACCGTTTCATCAGGGCAGTGGGTACTGATGCAGGCGTGTAAGTCAAGCAGAGTGCAACTGTGATATTGAACGGCACTTACACCACCATTGTTTCTAAATATGTTCATCGGAGTTGAGGAGAAGCCAAATCACATCAAAGCTGTTTATCTACGCTCCATTAATTCCACTGCCGTTACCGTAGCCATCATCCACAATGCAGAATGCATTCAGGTGCTACGACTTTACAGCAGTGAAACATTAGGGGTGTGATCGACTTGAATGACACGTCGGCAAGTCAACTTCCACTTCCCATGTGAGAACTTTCTATGCGTTCAGTTTTGGACTCCCTGCCCCTCACTTCCCCTACTTCTGACCCCCCCCCCCTCACGTCAGCATTCGCAGAAGAGTGAAGGAGGGGACAATTGCGTGGCAATGTGACCAATTCCGCTTCTCCTCATCTCTCTCCCCTTGTATTCTCCAACTTGGAGGAAAATATACCGAGGTAGACCAAGCATGAATCTAGAACATCACGAGAAAGTCGCGATTGTTTCGTATATAGCGTTGAACAATGCGATCTATTGACTTCTCCGCTTTCTTAGCTTGTTTGATGCCATCACGATGCACTCGTGACGTCGCGTGAACGATCAGATCGCCTTCAGCCGGGCTGGATATCTCAGGGATAGGAGTTTTCACGGTGCAAGCTCGCAAAGTTCGGCCTCTCAACTTGCCGAAACTTCTCCAAATTTACAGCGGAACCAATAACTCTATCTGCCTAGCAATCCATAAGGTTTCAATATGGTTATGCCGCCGAACCTGATGGTTGCCGGCTCTTGATGAGGGGGGGATCACGAACCACCCCTGAATCTCTCCTCCCCTCGCGACCCTTGTTCACCGAATTCAAACAGCCAATAAGTATACGAGATTTCTGGAGGATCGTTTAGCATTCTTCCAAAGAGCGATGTAACCCGAGTATTTGCCTTGTTCAACAAACGTACTTGGAGACTCGTCGTTGGAGGCCGCCCTCACGCTGATACTCTTCACCTGCAGTCAGAGAGAACAAGATGCTATCCAGGAACCCACATCAAATAACCCGAATTCGGGAAACCGATAGAGCTATCTCTTCTGAAAACGGGGAATCTTCCGGTTTCCATTTCTGTTTCCATAGCGACCTACCTAGATGGGAGATTGAACTTATGTGCCGGAGTTACGCGTATTTTCGAACACTCAAGTGCCGACACATATGTTCCTCTTATTCGAACTGAATATAACCAGGCCCGTAAGTTTAAATTCAACGTAAAAAAGAAGCATATACAGACGGACGCGCGTATATGACTTGGCTCCCTTGGCGTTTAGGGGGTATTTGGCTGAATGACCTTTAACACCGAGCCGAGCGTCCGTCTATTGGCCACGCCGGCCACTTGTTACCGGAAGTAGAAAACCGCGTAATCTCACAACTGCTTTCGAGAGTCTTACATGTAGGCAGTATGCAAGAGGGGTTTCAGTCATCTCAGCAGAAAGCCCTGTTTCCTGGGATGTGGTTATCACGCCCCCATCCCCCTGTTAGTCCATTTGCACTCCACACCGGGCACTACTTGGCAAATCCGGGGGGTGAACTCTCGGCATTACGGCAGCGGATACGTATCTTTCTCTTTCCCATCCGTGCGGGGCTAGATCTAGCAAGCGGCTATCTGGCTCTCCCAATCCTGGCTCTGCCTTGTATCTGGATTCGAGGAGGCTCGGAAGACCGGCACCCAGGGGTGGGCTTGGCACGGAGCACCTACCGTTTCTACAATTCCACCTGTAAAGGACGACCGCGTATGAGACTCAGCTCAGCTCTAAGACTAGAGCTATGTCTCTTCAGGGTCTTCCTTGTATGCCGGCTCAAAGAGCACCCCTCGAGTGAAGATCCTGTGACTCGATGTAACAACTTGGCATGACTTGGGGATTTGTTTACTGCATGGTAAGGCCGGACTAAAAGAGGGGGGAAAGCGTGCGGTGAACAAGGAGGTTGTGTATGTTACATTGGACTACCCCCTCACCGATCACGTTGCCCAAACAGACGCAGTCTCTCCTCCAATGACACCGGAACATCGTCCTTGCTTCACATCCTGTCAGACTCCCTCTGAGAGGGGAAAGGCACCTCCCCCCAACTTTCGAAATGGTGTGGCAAGTCGACGACGGTAATGCTGGGGGGGTATCGTACAGAATTGGATGGTGATGTTGTGGTAGTGATGCGCGGTTGGCCTTTCCTAAAGGTGTGTGTTACTTGCAGGTATGCAACGGCAATTATGGGAGGGGGATTGTTTGGGCAATACAGAATTGAGAGTATTAAAAAGACAAGAGTGTATCGAAACTCTGAACTCCTGAGACGCTGTCTCTCTTCAAATTCCAGAGATTGATCTGCTTTGTCTCACATTCTTTCAGTTGCAATTATACTGAACAATTATCTCCTCCCTATTACTTGGGTCTTTTTACTTTCTCACCAAAACCCAAGATGGGTGCTGCGGACAAAACCAAGTCCTGGGCGTCTAAGACCAAGCAGACCCTAGCCCAGCAGTACGAGACTGATCCAAACATCAACAGAGTCAAGGGATGGGTTGAACCCGTTTCGAGGCGCCTTCCATCCGCAACTGTTGACTATCTCGTTGAGAAGTTGCCGGTTGCACAATGGCTTCCTCACTACCACTATAAGTGGCTGGTTCAGGATGTTATTGGAGGCATTACTGTGGGTGTCATGTTCATCCCCCAGGGCCTTGCCTATGCCAAAATTGCCACCATTCCTGTAGAGCACGGTCTGTACTCTTGTTGGATCCCATCTGCTTTGTATTTCTTCCTCGGAACTTCGAAAGGTAAATTTCCCCCTTATCTCAGGAAGCCCCTGACTTCTCGATTACAATCTCACCTTCAACTCAACTAGAACTCTCCACCGGTCCAACCTCTATCCTAGGTCTCCTTACCGCAGAGGTTGTTGCCGATCTTTCTTCCGAAGGCTATGGTGCTGCTGCTATCTCGTCTGCTGTTTGCTTCATGGTCGGTGTTTTCACACTTGCCATAGGTCTCCTCAAGCTCGGTTTCCTCCTCGACTTCGTCTCCGCCCCTGTCCTGACGGGATGGATCTCCGCTGTTGCCCTTGTGATTCTCATGGGTCAAATCGATAGCTTGATTGGCATGGACGTCCCCTCGGGCACAGCGGAGATCATCCGCGGCATCCTAGGGCATCTCAACCAAATCCAACCGTTGACCCTCGCTATAGGCTTCACTAGCATCTTCGTCCTTGTCGTCCTCGAACAGGTCGGAAAGCGATGGGGCAAGAAGAACAAGTACCTCAAGATCCTCTCAACGAGCCGTGCCGTCGTGGTCCTCATCCTCTACACCCTCATCTCATACCTGGTCAACCACAACCTCGAAGCCGATGATTATAAGTGGGAGGTCACCAAGGTCAAGACGAATGGACTCTGGACACCTCGAGTTCCAGAGGGCACTCTCTTGAACAAGGTCATTGCCCGATCATTTGCTCCTCTTATTGCCATGGCGGTGGAGCATCTCGGTGTTGGAAAGGCATTCGGGCTTCGAAACAGTTATAACATCGATAAGAGTCAGGAGTTGGTCTTCTTGGGTGTCTCGAACCTGATCAACAGTTTCTTTGGTGCCATGACCAGTAAGTGTCTACCCACACAGCCCAAGAACAACCGAAGAATATATGTGGCTAACTAACAACTTACAGCCGGTGCTGCCATGTCCCGTACAGCAGTAAACTCGGAGTGTGGTGTTCGAACACCTGTCAACTTTCTGTTCACCGCTGGCTGGATCATTCTCACCTTGTACAAGCTGGCTCCAGCCTTATACTGGATCCCCAAGGCCACACTCTCTGCAATCATTGTACGTCCCCGCCTTACTTCTCTCTGCTTGGTCACTCCCCCTCTAACATATTATCTAGATCATGGCTGTCGTCAATCTCATCTCGCCCCCTCGCCTCTTCTACCGCTACTACCGCATGTCCTTTGTCGACTTCACAGCCTCCATGCTGGGGTTCTGGGTCACTCTCTTCACCTCAACTGAAATCGGACTGGCCACCGCAGTAGGCTTCAACATTGTAGTGACACTCCTCCGTCTCGCCTTCCCACGTCTCATCAAGCTCTCCCACACCGAGACAGAGACCCTCCAATGGGACATCCCCAAACCCAGCCCGGCCGCGGACGCCATCGACGTCCCCGCCAACGCCTTCTACGTCCGCTTCACTGACGACCTCCTCTTCCCCAACGCCGAGCGCCTCAAGAGCGAGATCGTCCAGGCCGTCAAGGTGCGCTACGAGCCGGCCTCCAACAAGATCGACCTCAAGTCCCCCGACCGCAGCTGGAACGTGTCGGACCTGAAGCGCATCCCGCGCATACGCAAGCGCCTGGGCATCGCGCCCATCCGGTCCGACGTGGCGCAGCTCCAGCACGTCGTGCTCGACTTCGGCATGGTGACCTTCATGGACATCACGGGCACGCTGTCGCTGATCGAGCTCAAGATGGAGCTGAGGCGCTACATCGGGAGGGACCTGCAGTTCCGGTTCATCGGGATGACGGACCCCGTCAAGGAGCGGTTCCGGCGCTCGGAGTGGCAGTTTGCCTATGTCGGCGAGCCGCGGTCTGAGGAGTGCGACGTGATCTATTCGTCGCTTCAGGATGCGCTGTTCCATGGGTATGACAGCGATGACAACAGGGATGATAAGGAGGAGGTGATGGCCTCTGAGAAGAGGATAGAGGAGGTTTAGGGTGTTTGTGTGTATTTCTCTCCATGATTAAAGAGTGAGAAGTTCCTCTGTGTGGAACAAGTGGTGGTGAATGGATTGTGAGAGAGATCCAAGCTTTATGTGAGACACGAGGCTATGAATTTTGTTAGTTACGAGTGAAAGAATTAGGTATTTTATCTCCTGATCATCCACCCAAGTGATGAACCTTATATTTCGCGGGCTTCTCAAGCAGTCAGTCATACTATTGTACATTGGCGTCAGTCTAGACACAATCATCTACGTTATACCCGCCTGAACATCTCGCGTAAGTTGCGGGGTGATTGAGGCCAGTTGATGCGACCCTTGCACTCGGAGGAGGGGCGGTGGTCATACGTCGGTTCAAGTTCAAAGGCGCCGTTACCTGAGCCCAAAGTGAAATCATCATTAAATTCTCCCCAGCACACAATTCTCCCCAGCACACGATTCTCCTCAGCACACGAACCTTCATCACTTTCGCTGAATGCAGGACACAATGGTACGCCGCAAGATAACTCGATATGGTGATTGGGAGTCTCCCATCACCCAAAATCTGGTCACAGCCAAGGCCAGGAAATTCACCTCTCCCCGAATTTCGGTAAGCACTATCTGCGCCTCCCGAAGCTCGCATCTTCGTTTTCTTGGCCCAACCGTCGTGTTCCTTATGTTAACACTGATGGCAGCGACCAACCGGCAGGGTCTTCTTCGCGGAGAGCCGAGAAGATGGTACTATGACGATAAGCGAAGTCCTGCCAGACGATGTCAAAGATCGGCTGCCAGCTCAGTTCTCGGCCTCTAACAAGGTCTACGAGTACGGAGGATCGGCATTCGATGCACTTCCGAGTGGGCGCGTCATCTTCTCTAACAGCGACAATTCAGTCCAGATTCTGGATCCAGACACCGGTACAGTGACTGAGGTGATCAATAATCCAGCGCTGCGATACTCTAACTTCAGTGCCAACTCCAAGACGCCTTGGGTGGCCGCGATCGAAGAGGATCATACCATTGACGAACCAGCCCAGGTTCAAAACCGCCTCGTGGCCATCAACTCGGATACAGGGGCCGTCGTCAGAATTGTAGAAGGTGCTGACTTCTACTACCCACCCGAACTCAACTACGATGGCTCCAAGATTGCCTGGCTTGAATGGAACCGGCCAGATGTGCCATGGTGCTCGGCGAAGCTGTACTGGGGGCTGCTCAAAGACGGATCCGTCTCCGACGTCCAGCTTGTGGCGGGTGGTCTCTTAGCTGGCGTCGCCGAGCCTCGTTGGGGACCTGATGACACTCTCTACTTCGGCATGGAAAAGACCAACTACCGCCAGCTATTCAAGCTCAAGCCAGGGGACAAGGAGGCTCAGCAAATCACACCCCCCGAACTATCCAACGCCGAGTTCGCCGAGTTGGTCTGGATGCCGGGATCGTGAGTTTTCCACATACTCCCTCTGACACCCTCATCTCGAATACTAATCACTTACATTACAGTCGCACATACGCCCCTCTATCGGCAAGCACTGTTGTTGCTGCCGCAACCATCAATGGAGTCAGTCGCTTGGTCCTCATCGAGGATACAGCCACTGGCAAATTTCGCTTCCTCGCCGATGAGGGCGAGGTCAATCAGATTATCCTTGACTCCCTCACCGGGCTTGGCGAGGACAGCTTCATCGGCATATTCAGCGGCAGCGTCAAAAACACCCATCTCAAGATATTCAACATCCAGAACCCCGCTGCTGACAGGGTGGTGCGCAAATCTACAGATCACGAATTGCCCGACGCATGGATCGCTAAACCCGAAGAGCTCCGTGTCCCCTCCAAGGGCTCCCCTTCGCGCACCATCTACGGATTCCTCTGGATGCCGCAAAACCCAGATCATGCCGCCCCCGAGGGCACCCTCCCGCCCCTCATCATCAAGACGCACGGCGGACCAACCGGGAACTTCGGCCCAGGCCTCCAGCTACGATGCCAGTACTTCACCTCTCGCGGCTACGCCGTCGTATGCCTTAACTACCACGGCTCCATCGGCTACGGTCGCGCGTACCGCGACGCCCTCTGGGGCACCTGGGGCATCCTCGACACGGACGACGCCGCCGAGGTGGCTGAGCATCTTGTCTCCGTCGGGCGCGTCCGCGAAGGCTCCGTCGGCTGCACGGGGATCAGCGCGGGAGGATACAACACGCTCATGTGCGTGACGAGGCACCCAAAACTGTGGGCAGGGGCCGTCGACGTGTCCGGCATCTGCGACCTGGAGTCATTCTACAACAGGACGCACAAGCTCGAGATCGACTACACGGAGGCGCTCGTCATCGAGAAAGTTGGCGCGACCGATGAGGAGAAGCTGGCGGTGTACAGGGAGAGGAGCGCGATATGTCATACCTCGAAGATTGAGACCCCGCTGTTGATCCTCCACGCTGAACAGGATACTGTCGTACCCATGAACCAGGCAACTGATATCGAGAAGGCTCTCAAGGAGCGAGGGAAAGAGGTGAGGCTGGTGAGAGTACCTGACGATGGCCACTCTCTGGCCAAGCCGCCGAGCGCGAGGATTTGGCTGGACGAGGAGGAAAAGTGGTGGAGGAAGACCCTGCTGTGAGCACGCGGTAAATGAAAATCGTCATAGAAGCAAGCACAAGGTAGGAAAAAGAAAACGTACTTCGCATGATCAAGAACAAACGAGCAGAATCAACACGAGGGAAACGGGTCATGAAGCATCTACCACTAATTCAACGCACCTGTTTTCTCGCCGTCTGTGCGGTCGGACAGCTGATTGAATCAGAAGAAAGGAATACTGGGCCATAATTAATTTACAAATCGCTCCGAGGAATGCGCTTACCAAAATAATTCGAGAAACATCCAAATGAACTTTTGCGTTTCGTGTTCTGTAAGACAAGCATGGAGATGTTATAATTATCGATTGCATAATAGACGGCAGGGGAAGTTCCCCGTGATTAGGAGTATCGGCGATGCCTGGTCACGACGACATAAGGCCAGCCACTCACCTGACCAGGAATTCATCAGAAATATCAGACACAGCCTCGTGTTAGCAGGCGACGGCGTATTTATCAAACGAACTTACTTGAAATAAACTTATTATATAGACAGTTGGCTCTCCATCTGTTATTACTGATGGCCATTTGAGGGGGTGACATATTCAACACCACGCCTCGCGGAATGTGACACTATCACGCCCATCAAAGTTAAGCAGCGCAGAGCAAAGGATCATGCCAAAAGAGTCATTAGTCATAGGGTATGTAAGTAGTAGTAAGTACAATAGGTTCACATATATACAGCTCCGTACTTCATCATATCCTTCCCTTCGGTCTCTTCCGTACAGGATCGGCAGTGGGTTTCTGGATCCTGCTGTGTACCTCATCAGGGCTTCTGCGGATGTCCCAGGTAGGGCTACCTGGCGTTGTGTGCGATCGGGGTGACGGCGATCGACGGCGGGTCGAAGTTATTCTTCGTGAGAGCACGGACTTGTAATCCGATGGGAGTGCTGCAGCTGTTTCAGGGCGAGGGGTTGCTGTGTCTTCATCGTGTGTTTCGCTCATGTCGTCGTCGAAACCGCCGTAGGTATCGAAGGGTTCTTCAGGAAATTGAGCGGTAAGAAGATCATCATCATCATCATCCTCATCATCATAGTCCTCATACTGGGGAAAGAGGGGATTCTTATCATTTACAGAATCAAATGAAGCCCGGCTCTCCGCGCTATCAGACACAGACGTGACGGCCGTGTCGCAGTCAGATTGCGATGAGGTGTCGTCGTCGTGAATAAGCGAGCGGCTGAAGCCAGGGCAGAATGCACCAGATTCTGACCCAGAGAAGGACATGGAGGGTGATGGGGGATCGGATGGGAGGAAATCTCGTGAAACTATCTCGATGGAGGAGGCGAGAGTCTCGCCAGCCTCAGATGCAGGAGGGGACAATGGTGCATCGAGGCTACCATCAGAAAAGCTGTTTTTGGAAGTGGTGGAGTCTTCGAATTGAGTGACAGAGACACCGTCGACGCTGCCGGCCTTGGTGCTTGTCGTGTGGACGCTGGTGGCGTCAGAAAAGACGGGGGATGGGGGTTCGCTCTGCGAGTCTGCAGAGTCGGCATGGGTATCAGGGAGGTAGCTAGCAAAATACCGGACCAGAGAATCAAAAGACTTGGTACGAAAGAGCTGCATAGCGTATTCCCAGTGGTTCGAATCCATCAACTTCGGGTTGGCGATGATCTCCAGAGCGAGCGCTTCAAGGGTGTCGTGGAGCTCCTGGAGACGTTGCTGCCGTCGCTCGGCCAGCAAGCGGTGGAACTCCTCCAGTGTATCGGCATCGTGGGAGATCTCGTTCACGTCGGCGTGAAAGGCTTGCGGGTCTTGGATGGAAAAGGTAAATGTGTTGTACTGCTCATGCAGCGAGGAGAATAGATCAGCCCTCTTCAAGCCGAACTTCCAGGCGGGCCATGACCAGCCAGGGTCGTCCATTTCATACAGCGGCTCAAGTGAAGAAGGCTGGAGGAATGAGAGTCGGGGGGGGGATCGAGGAGAGATGGGTGCGGGTTCGGGTGGGAGGCGTGTTGTTGTTGCTGTTGCTGTTGCTGATTGCTCAGCGAGCGGTGTCTTCGTGTGTGTTCAAGGTCCCTAAAAGAGACCATTTAGATAGTACTGCCAGAGACAAGGGCCATCGTGAGAAAGTTATTGTGGTGATTTGGTCAACGGAGGTGAACTGGGCTCTCTGGTTCGCGCAGTTGGTGTGATTGAGGATGGTATGTTTGCTGGACAGCCTCTGGGACGGGAACATGCCAGCACCATACTCTCGAGAGTCAACACGGGGGATGGCCAGAGTATCCTGTGGGTTCCCAGGCTGGCCAGGGTTGAGCCGATGGCAAAACGACTGCTGCACTATTGCCTAAGGCATTGACGGACTTGCAATGTGGTTGGTTCAATATATGGAGACTTTAGGGATGGGTATTACTAGCTCCGTACTAGTGGCCAATGAGAAATACCTCTGTTAGCCCCTGTTCCGTAAATGGAACTTTGGTCCATCGAGCGAGCTCCACAGGCCATTTTCGAATGGGGGCCCTGACAGCCTCTCAACCAGTCATAGCGCAGTATTGTGTGAAATCCCTTACCGTCTCGCATCCGGTCATCTTGAATTGTAAGACCACGCCACCCATTGAAGCAGCCACACCACCCCCTTCTCAGCAAGTCTCGAACAGCCTCACTGTCTATTGGTGGACTGAGCACACCCCCAGGTGTGCATCACGTTATCTTGCAGCCCAAAGTGCACACTGATTCGTGTGTTAGCCCATCTTGAGACCAGACTGCTTACAGATATGTGGGCCCGGGTAATACTCCTGCTCCCATGTCCCACTATTATTCCAGTTCAGCCAGCACCAAAGTCCCAAATGAACTCCAGGCAAGCCAGGCTTGCCAGGCTATTTATGCAACCACTGTGAACAGAGACGGGAATTATGCCAATGATTACATACGAGAAGTGCACATTACTAATATTGCACTATTTCAAGCAATTATCATGGCTGTGTGAAAGAATGAGGTCAGCAAATGCACCTGTGAAGGAAGTGATGTCACGGGAGCAACATTCGTGGTAAAGCGCTTCATCGTCGGGAGTGCACACACACATACGAGAGAGGCGACAGAACATTCTCTGAGAAACAAGAATAGATTGTGTGACCGAGGAATCATAGAGCATGATGTGCCTCTCGTGAATATACAGAAGTATTTGAGACCAAGAAGCCCCCCATGGGGTCTCACGATGCGAAAGGCTCTCCCAGTGCAGCCGTGACTAGACCGCTTGACAAGTTGAGAGAAGCGGCCCGGGACGGACTGGCCATGGTGGAGGGGTCACATTGTGTGAGTGTGTGACTGTGAGCGCGAGGGCGAGGAGGGAGGCGAGAAAGTGGCAGCGAGGGGAGAAGCCAACGAAAAAGTAGTGCCTGCGCCTCATGGCGCCGTGGCGGTGCAAGCCCCAGTTTTGGCGACGAAATCTGCCTTTGGCTAGGACACGGCCCGCACCAGACCGCCCGTTCGAACAAATTGCCTTGAACGAACTGGGCATTTGCAAATCCCGCTGAAGCGTGGCCTGTTTCCACCAAAGGACCAAAATCAGTGCAATTAATAGAAGCTAGGGAACCGGCGGCTGGGAGCTATTGGACCACCCCAGAGCATGCTGCATCCATTTGATAATCTGGTACTTGGATCTCAGCACGAGACCCTACTGAATTCCGTGTAGCTCCCTGACAGTGTGCCCACAAGGCACCCGCGTGCCCCTCTCCAGGTCGTTTACTGTCTTCTGCCTGCTCTCCCATGCCCGTGAGCTCGATGACTCTCAACAGAGGCTGAGAGGCCGTCAGCAGGCCACACAGCATCTGCCCTATCTGCTTGCGCATCTGACTATTCTGTCCCGTCGAATCTGTCTTCCTCTCTTGAATACTTTATTGATTTGGCGTCCTGTTCCTGCATCTCATCGGCCGGGATACAGACCAGTCCTAGCCATATCTTATCACCCCATCCACCCCATTTCCTCCCCCCTTCCCCAGCTGGCTCCCATTGAGTCAGACATCCATAAGATACCCCCGCGGCTTCTGCCTTGCGCTCACTCGCCTGCACAAATAGCTTTGTGCCAACAGTCGCGCGCCAGCAGCGACTCATAACCCAAACTCCCAATCACCGCCCACCAGCTGTAATACCTCGTTGTTTGTACATTGGTGCCTCATGGGCCGTTAAGGCACCACCCAGCAATTCCTTATGGTCGAATACAGAGCCGAGCCCGTCGAGGCCTCGGAGGAACGGACGGAGCCTATTTCGCAATCTGAGATGGATATTTTCATCCGGAGCATGGGGATGGAGGAGCAACCCGATCCTCCGCCGAGCGATTATCAAGTGCCTCTGCACCTCTTGAAGGTCGAGGATCGTCACCGAGAGGAGGGAATTCGTCTCATCTTTCGGCCACTGACCAAAATATCTCCTCGCGCGGTGAGTCCCGGTGGCAGCAACTGCCAGTGGCTAGCTCTGCGCGCCGAGGTCGCCTCAACCGAACAGCCAGAGCACAAGGTTCTCGCCGTGACCCAGACATCCAAGGACATCAAGTTCGCCGTCAGGATCCCTCGTGAGACAAACGATGGCGGCGCCCCGCGGCCAACCCTATGGTGCGAGCTTTACTATGACCCTGCAAGTGACAGCGTTGTCTTCCTGAACAAATCCGAGGACCCAATCCAACTCGTCTTGGTCTCCCAAACTTACCTGGCCAGCCCGCCAGCTAACGAGGGCCATACCGTCAACCCGGGGTTTCCTCATGAATTAAGACCTGGGACATGGAGAATCAAGGTTCGACATGTAGCCGTGTTAGACTTCAGAGTCCTCGAGAAGAGGCCAGTCACCGTTTATGAACGACAGCCATCTGATTCTCGCGAGCTAGTGCTTTCGTCGCCGTCTTCGAGCTCAGACCAAATCAATGCCAATATAAAGCGGCCTCGAACTCCAGATCGGGACAATATGCGTATCAAGCGCCGGATTTCTGACGGCGTCAACAAGACTGACGACAGCGCGATTGAGTTTATGCGCCCCGGTGCCGCTGACTCGCTTGTATTCTCACTCCCAAACACGCGGCAGACCAAGGTGCTTGCATCTAACACCAGCCACCCTCTGCTGGATGCTGAGAACGGTGAGACGATTGCTGTTTCTGGTGTTTGTGAACTGGATGAGTATCACATTACCCCGCAGGATCCCATTGCCTCTACGGCGCAGTCCAAGGTCTACAGAGGACGCCACTCCCAAGTGCCAGACAACATCGTCACGGTCAAGGTCCTCAAGACTCGTATGGCGAAACCTGGAGAAAAGGCCTATGTCAACGAGCGGAATCTAATCCGGCAGGCTCAAATGTGGGAGCGTGAGTCTCAAACCCAAGAGGGCTTGAACCACGGCTCCATTGTCAAGTACTATGGAGGGGACGCCCGGTTCCTCTCCCTTTACATGGAACATGTCGATGCCCAGGACCTAACCGCAGGACCCCGATGGAGGAGCGTATCCAATGATGAGTTTCAAGGCAACAGGGAGGACGCAAAGCGAATCCTACTCAACATTGGTGAGGCCCTCAGCTATCTCCATGGCCGCCACGTAGTACACAACGACATCAAGCCCGCCAACATCCTATATTCCCCCGAGCGTGGCGCCGTTCTCTGCGACTTCGGCCTATCAACTGGCACGGCCAAGGAGCCGTCCACGGGTGGGACGCCATACTACGTGCCACCAGAGTTCATCGTGAACAAGTCGCGTGGGCCCCCGGCGGATGTCTGGGCACTGGGTGTGACCATGTTGTACGTGCTGCGCAAGATTCCTCTACCCGACAGCAGACGCCACGTCAAGGTCCTCTACTGGCAGATCGCGGGCATTCACAACACCAACGTGCCCTATAGAAAGTACGGCAACGGGCAGGGCGCTGCGTCGCAGATGAAGGAGTGGCTCAGGAGGGTCCACGAGACACGCGAGAAGCTCAGTCCGCAGGACCGTCTCGAACGCATCGTGTCTGAAATGTTGGCTCCGCAGCCTAGCCAACGAATCACCATGGCCAAAATCGTCCAAAGCTTGAACGGGGGGCCGGCCTCCCTTGCTGCTTAAGATGGCGTTGTACCTTGTGTTATACATCTGGCGTTCCGTGTTTGAATTGGCGTTGGAGCCATTAGAGCTTCTGTTTTATGACTTATTTCACGGTGCGATTGTAGTCGCACCGACACGCGTGCTGGCCTGTAGGCCAGCTCAATGACAGAATACAGGGTGAGAATTTTTCCCATACGAAAAGCGAACTGTTTAAACTGATCACCATGTCAGAATTGGGAACGGGTTGTTATGTTTATGCATTGTTTTATGCTTTATTATTACGGAATGAGCGAGGAAGGCTCATATTATACAGCATTTGGTTGAGCATTTATTCACACTTTTTTTCTCGCAGTTTTTATTCGAATACACATGCACACTCTATACAACAAACGCACACATATTATATATAGTTATCATGACCATCATCATAGAGTATATTATTGTTCAGATACCATTGATTTTTAACACATTTGCTCTTGCTGATTCAAATCCCAACTCCCTTCCAATCTCACAGTACCCTTACATGCCCAGTCCCATAGCAAAGACAGCCGCCAATGCAGTGAAGGTGGTCACCGAGAGCATGTTGACACCCAGGATGCCAGCGGCTCCCTTGTCATTGCCGCTCTGTGTGCTGTTGTTGCCGCTGTTGCCGCTGCTGTTACCCCCGGTCTGGACGAAACTGTGCTGCACGGTGTTGTTGCAGGTAGGCGCCTTGGTAGCATTGGCCGTGAAGCGGATGTCGGCGCAATTGTACAGAGCGCTTCCCGTGTCACCAACAGTGACGACCTGGAGGGTCCCCACGGCACCCTGGGTGACATTGCTGTTGTCGGGCAGGCGGATATCGTCCAAGCAGAGTTGGCCCTTGCCGGTGGTGTTCATGAGCTGGTGGTGCGTGAGGGTGATGTTGAAGTCAGTCGTGTTCTCCCCAAGACCGAGGTTCAGGAAGACGTAGGTCCAGGCGTGGTGAAGGTCAAGCTGGATGGATCCTCCTTCCAGAGGCCATTCGGTGATATTTCCCGATCCGAAATCGGCACCGGCGCCTATGTACATATCAGCAATGAGAACTTTGTCAAGGTAGGCAGAGGTGCCTTGTACAAGGGTATGTCCATTGGGACAGAGGCGAGTCTTCAGGAGCATTGAGTGTATCGGCTCGCCATTCAGGGTAGACGAGCCCATAGTGAGCAGCAACAATCTGGGCCGAGGCCAGAGCGAGAGCAGTCTTGAACATCATTTTGATAGAGTGTATCTGGGGTTGCTGGGATGCTCTGAGAAGCAATTGACAAGCACAAGGTAAGAAGGACCAGATCTCCCTCCGACAAAACAAACAGAAGCGGAGGAGAGCATCTTTATAGCTTTTCAAGCTTATCCAAATAGGAAGGGAGAGAGCTTATCCGGCTTTAGGTTAAAGCAGGTGGTAACTCGCCTGACAGCGCAAGCGATGGAGGGTGGGCTGCGCGAGTTTTTCCCCAGCCGCCTTTACCTTGGCTGGTTTCAGCTTCAAGCCTCCTATGCCGGTGTGAAAATACCAGTACTACATGGATGCCTGTCTTGGAGGGAAACCATCACTGTGGTGCATGGGAAGGTATCAATCATCCAAGAGATTCAGGGAACCTCAAGGCACTATTGGAGCAGAGAGGGGCAGCATCCGGAGAGCTAGCGGGGGTGGGGCCACTAGGGGCCGATGCTTTCCACCTCGTAGGGCTTTCATGGAACATAAGCTTGTTCTTTTACTTCGACTTCCAGGAACCTACTCTCACATGAAGAATCAATGTATCCCACTGAAGCGCCACAAAATACTCTGGAGACAGCTCAGGAAGCGAAAGAAAGACATCTTTTATAATAAGATCTGCTTGGGGCATAATATGGACATCCCTGGCCTTCTCTTGTGTCACCACCATGCCTCCATCGTGCCGGCCACCGGAGGAGTGGGAAAACTTGCTCAAATGGCCGCACGACCAAATCCGCCGCCCAAACTAGCAATTCAGGAACTTGCCAAGAGCGAATGAAATCTTGCTCACCCAGGAACGGACTTTTGGAATTCATGGCTGATGCTCAAGCCACAGGGTCTCTTTTTTTTTCGCGCGTGGTATTTCTAACGGGGTCATGAAACATTTGATGTGACTCTTCTCCGAACGGTGGCCCAGTAGTAGTAACAACTCAACGGCCCTTTTCGATGTCGTGCCACGCGAAGGAGAGCCAATTGGGTTTAGCAAGGTATGATAACCCCCATCGTAGTAACTTTCGTCATCGGTAGGACACTGCGCTGAGGGCCAGGGCCTTTGAAGCCCCCCCTCCCATTCGATTGAATGTCTCAAACCCGCCTTCCTTCCCTTCAAGCTAGGAAAATGATCGGATTTCCTGGGGTCGGAAGACTTGGCAAACTATTTGAACAAAGCTGACTAGAAGATTATTCCTTGATTGCAAAATAAGTCTTGTTGCATTTGTTAGCTAAATCGATGAGGGCCCCCGAAAACTCGAGTCCGTACATACTGCTAAGACAGATTTTCCCATGCCACGTTGGTGACGTACTTATACTGAAGCGAAGATGATCTATCTCATTCGAATCCAGCTTAGGATATTTTGAGTTCGAATAGGTGACGAGGCAATAATACTATTTACCTAGGTAGCCAATCGCTAAGATTTTTCAACGGGGAAGGTTATGCTACACAACGATCGCTGGACAGAGTCTTCAGATCGGACTGACTGGAAGAAAGTCACTTCGGGTGCCATGAATTATATGTGCATGATTATTCATTGGCTTGATATAAATTCAGACTCATGCTTGTTGAAACTCTGAATTGAATGCGCTAGTATGTCACTGGGCTAAAGAGAAGGAAACTCGTTGCGATCGCAAAGTTGACCAACGCTTTCTTTCTATTTCAAGTTGCAGGTATCCTACATTCTTGACAATTTCATTTCTCCTAATATGATGTCTTGTATGAAAGCAAAAATAGAAATTTAGTATCATCATCTACTGGGAACGCCCTGATTCATGATGAAGTCTAGGGTAGGTAAATGGCTTAGTAATATTCCCAGGACTCAGCTCAGGGCAAAGTTTAATGAAGAACATCATCCAACTTCCATCTTCAACTAAGCCTTCTTCTGTACAATCCATAAATTGATCATGGACCCCGGACGCCGTGCTATGCTCGAGGGGCGAAGGTCGCCCGTAAAGCGCGATGTCACCGGACCAAGGCATGACCCAAGTACGCGCATTACCAAACCTTCAAGATCTGATCGACCCAAGCCAGCCAACAATAACAGTTCCAAGTACTTGACGCAAGACGAGCAAGAGCGCCAGTTCATCGCAGACGAGGATAAATTCGTTCTCAAGCAGTCGAAGAAGAAGGCCGATATTCGCGTTCGCGAAGGGCGAGCAAAGCCGATCGATTTTCTTGCTTTCAACCTGAAATATATCGACACCGAACGCGATGTTTTCGACGATGACGAGGACGACCTCGATATCGATATTCCGTCACCCGATGCAGTTGTGCAGAGTTTGACTGAAGCGCAAATCTCTGAATTGGAGCATGAGATATCTTCGTACCACGTTCTCGAAAGCAACGCAAAAAACCGAGAATACTGGGAAGCACTGAAGTCGCTGTGTTCCGTGCAGAAGGCAAAGCTCCGCCCTGCAAGGAACGAAGAGAGAGTTGTGAGCAGTGTGGCGGACGACATTGATAAAATCCTCGCTCCAAAGACCTATGAGCAGCTAGGGGCCCTAGAGAAACAGATAAAAGCAAAGCTAAAGAGTAACGAGGACATCGACACGGATTATTGGGAGCAGCTTTTGCGCAGTCTGGCAGTTTGGAAGGCCAAGGCTATCCTTGGCAAGCTGTACGAAGAGATTGCGGAGAACCGTCAGAAACTCCTCAAAGAACGTGGGCCCGGAAAGACTTCAGGAACAGGCCCGCGCCAGAATGAAGCAGTTGAAGCGAATAGACCAAGCGAGGTAGCTGCCACAAGTCATGGACCTAGAGTCCAAGGGGCTACATCGACAGCTGAGAGCTCGCAGCCTCCTCTCGGCACTGGACGATTTTCACAAACGGACAACGCAGACTATTCGCAAGCTACTGACGCCTTGTATGACCGAGAGGTTGCCCGCGGTGTGTCTGAGAATGAAGAGGTTTTCACGGCCGAGGAGGCAGTCGTAAGTGCATCCAGGCCCCAATGGGCTGACAAGTATCGCCCACGAAAGCCCAAATATTTCAATCGAGTCCAGATGGGATATGAATGGAACAAGTACAACCAGACTCATTACGACCACGACAATCCACCGCCCAAGGTTGTTCAAGGATACAAGTTCAATATCTTTTACCCAGAACTCATCGACAAGACTAAAGCACCCACCTTCAAGATCATCCGTGAGCACGGCCGCAGACGGGGAGAATCATTCGCGGCCGCAGGTGAGGACGATACATGCTTGATTCGGTTTATTGCGGGCCCTCCGTATGAGGACGTAGCCTTCCGAATCGTGGATCGCGAATGGGACTACAGTGCCAAGAGGGAGCGCGGCTTCCGGAGTTCTTTTGACAAGGTATGGCCGCCTGATCTTGCCCTTTACTCAGTGGAAAACATTGTCTCACCCACTTAATAGGGTATCTTACAGCTGCACTTTCAGTTCAAGAAGGTATGTTGCACCTGTAGCAAACCCATGATCTTCCAGGAGACCAACAAGGCGCTAACTATGGTTTCACAGATTTTCTACAGAAAATAACGTGGTGCCCTGGCACTTGCACTGTCATCTTTGGATCTGCCTTGGTAGATGCCTTGGGATAAGACCTCGAAGGGTCCGAGGAAGGATTTTGCAGAGGATTTTTTTCATTGGGTCGCCAAAGCATTGCAACTAAGAACAGCGATAGGCTCTTTACATTTGCGTGACCTCTGACGTGTCACTACTGTCTCCCTGCATCGTCGCGGACGATTTTCTCTTGTGTAGCCGTGGAACGCTCCTAGCTAGCTATTGATAGGACCAGCACTTCCCCATCGCCACGCTCGGAAGCTGACCTTACCCACAGCTGCATGCATGTCGGCAAGTAGGCATATGCCTGCCATGCGGTGAGTAGGCTAGGTACGCCGAGACGAGACGAGATGCCTGCAAGGAACGGTGACGGCCCCATTCCCTTCCACATGGCGGTTACGTGGTAGCTCGCAACCATGGGTATGTCTTCTGGAACACCGCAGCCTATCCTGGAAGGGCTTGAGGAAGCACAAGCCTAAATGCATGTCGGGAACTTGAGTCTAAGGATTTGACGACTACCACGTACGCATGGTTGGCTGCTTGCAGAACGCGCGTAGGCCGAATGGGCATTGCAGCTCGATGTTCAAGCCTTGTTTTCCCTCATCACCCCTCTCCAGTCTCAGAAACCGACGGCAACGGCCTGCCTGTCCCCTCATAGTCACTTATCAATAGTATCATTACTCGCCATCTGGAACCTTGACCCCCCCTGCTTGTGCTATTCTCTGACCGTCCAATGATGGGAAATCTTTCCCTCTTGTTATTCTGGATACACGTGGGTGCTGGGACCTGCTTGGTGTTGCCACAAGGCTGCAGGATGCCGTTCCATTGGGTCTGCAGCTAACCCGCCATTGAGCAACCTTTGTAGTTACGTACGGCCTGAGTGACATACATTGGACTTGTAGCTACTTGATTCTAAGTTGGAAGCCCAGCTTGCGTATCTACTCATCTAGGAGCGATATCTTGAGTTCGGCGCAGGCCCAAGTGCTCGTCAGGCTTCCACTTGGATGGAATCAACTCAGGAAAGGGCCATGGGCTTCGGTAGAAATAATATGACAGCTTCTCAGGGACAAAGTTCCCCGTTTTTGGCACGGTAACGTTGATGTTGTACGAAACCTGACATGTGGGTATGAAGGTCTGAGTGTTCGTCGTCCACGCTGCTCCCTCCTCTCGGCAAGTCTCTGACCTTCCACACCCATGTTTGTAATGCGGTGTCGGATCAGATAGGTTGCAGATACATTCCCATCCAGGCCAGGAAGGGAAGGAATCCAGCAAAGGCCACGGCCCCTCTCCCGCATGCGATAACGGCTTGTCGGGGTTCGTTACTGTTTGCTCTGCCGCTGCCGAACGGTGAAGATACTCTCATCAGCTAGTAGAAGAGGGGAATTGAGATGAGGACAAGGAAGAAGAACCATACAGTCGTCCAGAGACAGATGATTTATCGTAGAAGATGCGTCACTGATGTGATGGCAGATTGACCCTGAGCTCCTACGTATGCATCCGCACAAGCATACACAATACACACACATAGCCACACATAGCCGCACAGAACACAGACAAACAGTTAGTCAAGGCTGCGTTAGAGGGCTCCGTGACAGCTCCGTCCCTAAGAAGCTTCAACTCTATGTAGTTGTTTCAAGGTAAGTGTTGGGCGTACGTTCGTTGGGAACCCACTACCTTCTCCCCCCCGAATGCCAGGTCAGTTTCACCATGTTGATTGGTATTGATACTTAGCAGCAGCCTGCCGTTACTTCCCTTAAGCTTTATCCCCTCCCCCCGGGAGGTTCTCGTACCATCAGACGCAGGTCTCTGCTGCACTATGCGAACTCGTGGGCCAGGGCCGCACGTCTCAGATCCTCCAAACCTATTTATTCACACCACTTTCTCCTCATTCATTCTTTCATTCATCTGCGAACCCGATCCTAAATTCAGGAAGCTCCCATCATTCCACATTCTGATTCCTCTCTGGGTGTACAGACTTCTCAAACCCTGTTACCTATCACAAAAACCCTTTCGCCTCTCTTTTAGGGCAGCATTATCAGTTCTTGTGACCACCCAACACTTCTCACGGCCACTTGCACTCAATAGATACTTCACACGTACTTTCGGTTCATCATCGAAGTAGGTGAGTCAAACTATCGTGGTGCCGGGCAGTGGTTACAGGCAAGCATCATTCCATTTTCCTCCAAACATCCCCTTGGCTATTGTGCCCAACGCTTGCCTTGTCATTGCTGCCCTGCTCATTTCAACGATGATGTGCTCTTCCAACTGCCTCTCGGACGGAGGGCAGGTCGAGAGGTACACGAGGGACGTGTCTCCCGGATCCGGAGAACAAGCAAGTTCTCCAGCAAACTTCTTCTCCGCCGGTCATCCGGTACATCAGGTTCCTGCGGCATCTGCCCAAGGCGCCTGCTATTTTTACTTGCCCGGCCAACAACTTCTGCCCGAGCAGACAGATTGCTCTCGCTTGATGCCCGCTCAGCCGCACCAGGAAGACTCTCGCACCTACAACGAGAATTTGACTGTTGGACAGTCCGACTGCCTGGAGGTAAGACTCAACACATGGGATCACCACGCGCCATTGACTGGGCAGGAATCTGGATGTTTCTCTCTGAAGCATCACCCTGAAGAAGGAATACAGGTCTCCTCTTACTCGCTTTTGACGCCCGCTTCTTCAGTGGTGTGGTCATCTCCAGACTTTACCGCCTCCCAGACAGCAAGCCAAGTTTCGGAAAGCTACTGGGCTCCTGTCCCCTTATTTGCCCCTTCGGCTGTTGACAGCCACCCTTCGGCTTATCCTGACGTTCTACTTTCATCTTACCAGACTAAGATAGAGCCCCAGCTTGACTACTCAACTGCTTCTGACATTGGAAACTTCTCCTCTTCTTCGACCCCAATGTTGAGAACAACTTCCTCGACGCCTCTTCCAGCCTCGGTCACCTCCAACAACAGCTCACGGCTCGGCACTCACGATACGGATGAGGCAGCCATGAAGACTTTGCCGGGGGGCGCCTCTCTCAGCAGCTGTGGAGGCGATGCGTCGCCAGCCGAAACACCCTATGCACAACTCATCTACAGAGCTTTGATGAGCCGCGAAGATCGATGCATGTCCCTGCAGGAAATCTACCAGTGGTTCAGGGAACACACCAACAAGACTGATGGGCGAGGAAAGGGGTGGCAGAACAGTATCCGCCACAATCTCAGCATGAACCAGGTAAGCTCTGCGGTCTTTTTCTATCCATGCCCATTTGTGTTTTGATGGCACTCTTGCATTTCGGGTTTGCTCTTCCCAGATTCTTCCTCCTCTTGCCACTAAGCCCTGATATCATTCGACCTAGTCGCGAGATCAGGGGCAAGAGCACTCACTTCTCTTCGCTCTTTTTCTCTGCTGGAAGAACCATTCTAACTTGGAACAGGGCTTTGTCAAGTACGACCAAAAAGAAGGCACGAACCCATCGCACAACAACTATACCAGTGTGTCCACTCGAAGAAACGACAAACAGAAGCGCTCCACAGTCTGGACCTTGCAAGACTGGGCTGTTCAGAACGGTATCCAGAGCACAACTCGTTACCGCGATGCCCGACGCAGAGGCGAGACGAGGCACCGATCTGCAGCATCGCAGTCTAGACTGTCTTCTTCCTCCGCTCTGCATAGAGACGGCCATCAGAATACCGGTAATACGTTTGGAACAGGTCGGATGTCTATACTGGGAAGCGGTTTGCAACGGCACTTTCCCTCTGCAGCTCGGCCGGCCCAAACGTCGCACTTCAACACACGACAGACACCCATCGTTGAACCCAATACACCCCGCTCGCATTCTCAGACCTTCTTTCAGGACCCTTACTTTGCCCAGCATAGTATGGGAGCACAGTCTGGTATGCCTCAGAGTCAGCAAACCACTACAGATATCAGCGGCCAGCCCTGCGGGATGATGGTCCCTCCAAGCATGATCCAGAGGCAACTGAGCAACAGTCCTTCGACCGGAATGCACTACCAGCTCCACGGTACAGGAGATCGCAATCAGTCAATGTTCTTGAACTCTCAGTACAGGTCCCAATTCCCGTACCGTCCCTCCGACGTCCAGCTTGGATTTTCTCCAACTCGCAACAGGAACAGCCAGCCGCGATCTCCAGGCGGGTTTGTTGAAGGCCAATATCCCGATGGCATCTACAACTGGAACGAAAGTCACTAGGCTTGGGTTGATCTCGTGCAGCTATACGCCTCTAAACCATGGCTTGGGGAGCTGTAGCAAGCCCGTGGATGGGATGGAACACTTCGCCATATAGAGCGACCGTGTATGGTATCGGGGCAAGCGCAAACTACGGCATATCAACGGTTCATCGTTCCAAGGTTTTCCTTTTTATCATCTATTTCTTTTGGGTCATGGGTTGTTTGGGACCATTGGTATATATATAGCTCAGCAAAGGGCAACCGGAGTAAGGCAATGCGTTGGAAACGGGGAAGGCGAGCAATGAAACCAAACGGCGGTCTCCTTTTATTTTTCACTTGTTACTCTCTAACTTATCAAAATTGGACTACAGAACTTAGGGATCTTATAGGTTTAATCATTCATTCATATCAAGTCGCTGGGGCCCTTTTCGCTGGAGTAGGGGTGAGGCCAATTGCGGTCTTCGTACTCCTTTGACGGTTCGGCATCGATTCCTGATACAGCATTAAGCAACATCATAGTCACTTCCACATCAACTCTTGTTGAATTTGGCCGTATCACGGAAGGGAAAAGGATGGCTGCGATGTCTTCCTTCCAGTTGCACAATGAACTTGAGCCTCATGTGTCATTGGTTTAGCGTTTGTAAAAAAAGACACACTTTCCAAATCTTAAGCTTACTCTACTCTCTTCTGTGAGATCACAACTCAAGCTGTATGGCTTTTACATACATGCGAACATCTACGTGTATTTTTAAGCTACCACTAACCATTTGAATCGGAAGTTTTGCATTTCCATTCTTCACAGGATATAAAGCCCAATCTGCCTTACCTATAGACCCTGCTATCCAAACACTGTAATGCCACGTACCACTGAGATTCTATCGGATAGCACTGCTGGAAGCCTCAAACTCACCAGTACCCACGCTTTCCGGTGGGTTCAGAGGGCTGGAAGGTGTGCTGTCGAGACCTAGCGGCAGAAGAGCGTGAAGAATCCATGCTCTGGCCAGGGCATCCACAGCGTGGTACCTGTAGCACGAAGGGCCTTATACTTTGCCTGCCGTGATGATGCAACGTGTGACTTGATAATGAGTGGTGCTGTTAGCCCACCGGCATCTACCTGTCAACGGCTTCTGCTGCTGGGGTCATACAAGCCATCGGTGCTGTAACATGCTCCTGTCACGTTTGATGCCTTCAATGGCGTCGTTGCATTCCCCTGCGGCTGATCTTCCCTGCCCATCTTGTAGCACAAATCTCCTTTCAAAAAAGTGACAGGACGAAACGTTCTATTTGGGGAGGAATACCCAGACATAACCCGGTATCATAACTGCTTCTCTGCTGGCAATATCTTTTTGTGACCAATCCAGGCCAGGTCGGGGTATTTTGAGCACCGGCGAACAATTGCTTCAGATGAGAATTTGGCAAGGGCGTGTGGCCATTACGTTTGTTTCCCGGACAGACTCCCAGGATCCTGCGTGGTTCATGTATGTCATTGTTTTCCCTCAGTGTTTTTGCTGGGGTGCTTGCTGTTCCAACATTCTGTAAGTTTAGGTTCCCGGTTTCTACAAACACTCCATCATCATAACGTGGGTTTGCGGCATGTTTTAGGTTTAAAGAGGGTAAATCATCTAGCATGGCACACCATACACGCACACACAAGTGGACAAATTGCATTCTCTGAGCTTGTTGAGCAAATAGAGAGCCATTCTGTTCCATGTTGGTGTTCTAGCGGACTAAGTAGAGGTGTGAACTTTGGGCTTGCTCGGTAAGGTGAGGGATGGCCACGTTTCTAAGTGCTTGCAAAGTTTAAGACCAACCAGCTGGCGATCACAAGATCCTTTGAGCAACAATAGATACCAAAGGACAACATATGATATCTTCACTACAGGTAGTTTGATTCATAAAAGCATCTCTCATCTGCTTGTAAATCTTCAAGACCCAGTAAGAGCTGAGAGCAGAATATAAATTCCTATATAAACGTCCATCCCTGTGTGTGAAACTGAAATTCAGCGGGGATGCCGTCCTAAATGTTGGGGATAATCGCGAACATAGGCAGAAAGATGTGGCATGCTTTGGATCCCGATGCTCTGAAACATGAATATGGCCTAGGAATGGTTCACATCTCAGGCATAGATGCCATCAAAATCGTCTCTTTTTCTTGGTAGGGCCAGCCGCAGCCTTTTTCTCCAGTTCTCTTTTGAGCTCTTCTCGCCGTCTATCGGCACGTTCAGCCGAAGTTTCTCGCAAGGGTGGCTTTGTTTCAGCGGGTTCGGCTTTCACGGATTTCCTGCCCCGAGCCGCTGTATCATCAACGGCCGATTCAGGCGGGTTATCACTCTTCGTACTCTTCCCTATCATGCCGATCTTATTTGGTCTCGAGCGCGAAGCCACTGCAGGCTCCTTCTTCTCAGGGGACTGCTCCCGGCTCGTGGCGGCCTGCTGTGGGTTTGCCCTGGCAGCTCCAATGCGGCCAAGCTTCCCCTTTACGGGAGCCGTCTTTGTGGGCGATGGCGGTGGTGGTGAGGCACTGGCCTCCGATGCTGTAGCATCTCCATCCTCGGATGCAGTCTCATCATCATCGGCCGGGGGAGGAGCAGGCTTCTTTGATGACGCCTTTGGAGGAGAAAGCTTCTTGCTCCCAATAGCTCCAAGACGACGGGTTGCTCCCTGTGGTTTACTCGGAGGGATAGATGTGTTCCTTTGATTCCGTTTCGAAGCAGGTGCATCCTCGGCACTGTCTGTTGAAGCGTCATCGGCAGGTTGGGCGGTGTGCTTACCCTTCGATGGCGTTGTTGGCACAAGGTGAGGTGGTGTGGCCTGAACCTGGAAGTCATCGTCGTCGTCATCCTGTTTTGATGGTGCCGGCGTATCTTCTTGCTCTTCTCGGCCTTGTGATTTAGTCGTTTGGCTTGTGACAGCTACTGTGTCTTGGAAATCTCGCCACCACATGTCGAGCTTCGGAGAATCCTCGAAAGTTAATGCAGCGTCAATCTTGATAGAATCTCTGTCGAAAACTTTAGAGGTCATCTCGGAAATGTCTCTTGGGGCACCTTCTGAGTCCCATAGCTCCTTTCCCCATTGGGGCCTGTTGAATGGAGCCAGACCTTTCACTTTATCCTCTGCGACTGCCCTGCTGACCTTCTTTTTTCCTGAAAGAGGGTTGAATATATGTTCCAGTCCCGTGCCAACGGCTTCTAGTTTATCCAGCAACTTCGTGATGACTTGGTCTTTCTGATGCAGCAGGTTGGCCAAGGAGTCCAGCTCTCTTTGCCTCAGATAATGGGCCTGGATAAGGGGGAGCACCAGGTTTGAGGTAATGGACGAGGATGGTGCCTTTTTTAGATGGACAGGCCACTTGAGGGCAGGGAGTCCAGGCAAATCACATGTTATCCTCAGAGTTAGTCCTCCCTCTCCCGTATCAGACATGGAGCCTTGGGAGAGGGTCATGGATGTTTGATCATGGCCTGCAAGGGAGGGGTCGAGAGCGGAATGAATGCTAGACAAGAACTTCGCCATGTTCTCGGGAGTGTCGCTTGGGTCAATACTTGTGTTCTCTCCCCATCCTCGCATACAAATGGCTTTGCGATCCAGACTCTCAATCCACATGTTCGCCATATCGGTAACACGAACAGTGTACGAAGCTGCCTCCACCTGAAAAGAAACCAGTAGCGCAGGCAGCTCTGCTTCTGAGGGCAGAGGCAGGGGTCGCCATGCCGGATCTGAACCCATTTTGAACCCAGACAACGGGATTGAAACAGAGCCGTAGATCCAAGGCTAGAAATAAATAAAACAAGACACGGCACGCCAAGACGATCCACTACCAGAAGTTCCAGGCGTTGGATAATAATGGAAAACTGCCAGATAAAGACCGTCCAGCTACTCAGTGAGTAAACTTAGAGAGCTTCTGAAATTTAATGAATATTTCGAGAAGATAGAGATGAAAGGTCGGTTATATTGATGAACTGTTGCTGCCAGTGTTGTTGTCATTGGGCAGGCAACTGAATCTGACAGGCGCGTCTGCCTACAAGGCGTTGCGCCAGACCGGCCTACCCTAGATCACCAATGACATCCGTTTGTTGGCATCAACATCCTTGGATATCGTTCCGCAATTAGATGTTCTTGACCATTCAGGTGTGTTTCTCAAGACAAAGAGTATTATTTGGGTGTTTCATAGCATCAGATCAACTATATTGTTTTGAATTTTGACTTGCCATGCTTCTAGTTAAGTTCGTTTATACTGCATAGGCATACTCATCTGGCATTTCTATATCGTATTTTCCTGAGCTATCAAGATCTCGCTAGCCTTCTCTGATTTGGTGATATATATTCCATACTGACTACCTATCTATTTATCACCAGAGTGATTAGATTTCTAGGCACATGTTCGTCGCCTTTCAATTGGAACACACCAGCCACATCAGTTTTAGCTCTTTGTGGCGGTGCAAGCACATGCAAACCCCAAAGTGCAGGTTACTAAGCTGTTCCCGTAGGTAGAGCACTAAGGAGCCTCTTAGCGTCATCGATCTACAGGCAGTTCACCAAGTGCAACAATCGAGGGGATCGTTCAGCTGTACATTCTCTACCACCACATTCCCTCCTGATCTTAAGTACCGCTCGATTAGAAGGAAATGGTAGGCGTATTAGAAAAAGCAACGCGTCGCCATAGTAATGAACAATATGCCCCCGTCTCTCGTTTCTCGTGTGCTTCTGTTCGTGCTTCTGTTCGCGATGCCCCTTGTGCAACACTGCACGATTCTTCCATCCCATGCTTGCCGTTGTTTCAGCTCAGAAAAGATTTCCAATTTACTTGAACAGGGCACATCGTATCTACTCGATTCAAACTTTTGGCCCGAACTTCTCTTCTTCCAGGTGCTTCACAAACGCGGCTGCCAAGATGGCTAAGCGCCGCCAACCAGCAAGCTCGCAGAATGGGACTCTCCCAAAGAAGTCCAAAACCAGCAATGGGAGCAGCAATGGGGCTTCCAATCTCCGTCACCCTCACCCATTGGCCGAGGAATCTGAAACTAATGGCATCGTGCTGCGAAAATACTACCCCCCAGAGATGAGCACTGACCGTGCCCTCGCCTATAACGCCAATGAGATCGCCCGGCCAATTGAGGAGCTTTATTCCGCTATGGAGGAAACCGTGAGCCCGAGAAAGAAGATAGATGTGAAAGACTCGGTCATCCATTGGTTCAAGATGGATCTGCGACATGCCGACAACAGAGCCCTGGCACTTGCCAGCGACAAGGCTCAGGCAGCCGGAGTTCCTCTCATCTGCCTATATCTGGTCAGCCCACAGGACTTCGAGGCGCATTTGAGAGCGCCTGTACGCGTGGACTTTATGTTACGGACTTTGGAGGTGCTGAAGCAAGATCTGGCCAAACTGGACATTCCTCTCTATGTCGAGACTGTCGAGAAGCGTAAAAAGATACCGGACCGTGTCCTGGAACTGATGGAAGAGTGGGGAGCGAACCACATTTACGCAAACATGGAATATGAAGTTGATGAGCTGCGAAGGGAAGCTCACATGGTGCGGGATTTGGCTGAGAATGGCAAGTCGTTCGAGGTTGTGCATGACTCCTGTGTTGTGCCTCCTGGGAACCTCGCCAGCGGCTCCGGGAACCAATACGCTGTCTATACTCCCTGGTATCGTACATGGATTGCCCACGTTCATGAAAATCTTGACTTACTTGAGCTCTATGAACCCCCATCCAAGAATGCAGGTGCGGCTCGCAGCAAGTACAAGGCTCTTTTCGACTGTCCTATTCCTGAGGCCCCCGAAAACAAGTCGCTGAGCGACGAAGAGAAGAAAAGATTTCGTTCTATTTGGCCATGTGGAGAGCATGAGGCGATGAAGCGGCTTGATAAGTTCTGCCAGGAGTTGGTTGGCAATTATCACAATCAGCGCAACCTTCCGGCCGCCAATGGCACCTCGAGCTTGTCTGTCCATCTTGCAAGCGGTACAATCAGCGCAAGAACGTGCGTACGAGTGGCTAGAGATAGGAATAAGACGAAAAAGCTGAACGGAGGTAATGAGGGAATCCAGACGTGGATTAGTGAAGTTGCTTGGCGTGATTTCTATAAGCATGTTCTCGTCCACTGGCCGTACATCTGGTAAGTTCCAATCCATGGGCTCCTCAAATCAAGGTTGCTGACACGAGCTAGTATGAACAAACCATTCAAACCCGAATATGCCAACATCTCGTGGTCATACGATGAAGATCACTTCAAGGCTTGGTGCGAAGGCAAGACTGGGTTTCCCATTGTGGATGCAGCCATGCGCCAGCTTAATCACTTGGGTTATATGCATAACCGCTGCCGAATGATTGTTGCATCATTCCTGGCCAAGGACTTGCTTATCGACTGGCGCAAAGGGGAGAGATATTTCATGGAACACCTAGTAGATGGTGATTTTGCAAGCAACAACGGGGGCTGGGGGTTCAGTGCCAGCGTTGGCGTAGATCCGCAACCCTACTTCCGTATATTCAACCCTCTCCTGCAAAGTGAGAAGTTTGATCCGGATGGAGAGTATATTCGGAAATGGGTTCCAGAACTTGCGTCCGTCCAGGGCAAGGCGATTCATGAGCCATACGGACGTGGGGCAGAGGCTGCAGCGAAGAAGAATGGGTACCCTCGGCCCATAGTGGTTCACAAGGAGGTGAGGGAGAAGGCATTGAGTGCATACAAGGATGGGATTAGCAGCGGCATGTAATCATTTGCAATGCTGAGTGTTCTGTAAGTTAGGGATCATATCGAGTTGCTCATTGGTTCACTTTTGAAAATAGATGTATTTTGAGGCATGTTTGACCCGTATCTGTACCATGGTGAAGAACTTAACAGCCACGGCTTTTTAAAGGCCAACACTTAATCTGCGGCACGGAGACTATCGATGTAGCCTCAGAATCCTCGGCCAAGAAGTGGCCACGAGCCAGTCCGAGGAGACTTTGCCAGCCGGGATGTGGTGAAGCAATCGCAATTACTGATGTAAGACGGACACAAGGAGACACATTGGAGTATTTCGAATCGAGCCGAACGCCCTGAATTGGAATTGCTAGATGCAGCCAACTCTCTAGAACCGGCCATGCCTCCAGGCTATGACCATCCTGACTTTATTTCATTTTAGCCAGAATCTTCCTTGACGCCCAAAATGTTCTTTCGTCGTCGACGTGTCGTTAATGCCTCCTCCAACCACCTCTCATCAATTTTCCTCCTTACACGCGCTGGCCGCTCCAGACGTTCTTAAGGAGACCATCGCGTTGAGCGAGGCGGTTCACGGAGTCGTCGCTCTCGCCCATGGCACGGACGAAACCGCAGAGGGCGTAGACGTGGTTCTCGCCGGTGATGGCACGGCCGTTCTCGTCAACCTTGGCGATAGAGATCTGGACGGAGCCGTGATCCTTGGCCTTGATGATGCGGTTGGTGGCGCTGCACTTGCGCGGGACGTAACTAAATATCCAAAGGTCAGCCGTCTGCGTTGCAAATTGAGTCCAATGGATGTTGTATTCTTACAGGTCGACGATCTCGCCACGGTCGTTCTCCATTTTGACGGTATGGGGGTTTCGAGTTGTTAATTGACGTGGGTGAAGTCGTTTGGCAGCGCTGGAGTGGGATGTTCCAAAATGTTCGCTAGTTTTTTGGTGGTGTTGCCCATTTTCGTGGGGCTCGAGGGCTTTCTGTGCGTCACGTGTAAAGTCAGCTGATGACGTGCCAGTCTCGCGAACGCCAACCCCACTCTATCGATCGGCCCGCGTGGCCACCAATCCCTTGATAGGATAGACCTTGAAGATGACATGCGGCAGAGATTAATACCGTTTTTCCGAAGGCCTCTACCGCGACTAGCCAACACGCTGTGCCCCGGGTCTTTGAGATGCGCTTTGCGCACTCGGAGCTACGTGCGAGGCATTATGGCCTCGCATAATGCCTTCACATCGCCATCTCGGCAGGCAAGGAGTCGGGATGCTTTCGTTATCGAGTCGTCCTCGCCTGATCTACCCCCCCTCAAGGATCTTTTGTCTCAAACATCCAATGCATCGAAGCACCCTATCAAAGGAACAACGAGGAAAGGCTCGGACACAACTGCATCGAAGCAGCCGACGACTACCAAAGAACGTAAAAGGTTGGATGCCTCGACATCGAAATATTGGAAGTTGACATCGTCTATTGAAACGCCTGTGGTCATTGATGACACACCTCCTACCGAAAAACACCATAATTCTCGGGTTCAATCTCCAAATGAATCATCGAAGCCTGGCCCTTCCGATGTCTTGGGCCAAGGTCACCGGTCACCAGACCAGCCTTGGAAGGCTTACAAGAGATCACCACCTAGAGTAGAAATGGAAGGAAGAACAATGTCAAAGCCTCCGAAATTTGTCTCGTACATTCCGGATTCAGAAGATTCTGTCGTGATGGTGGATGAAAATACGAAGTCGAACATGGAAGGTCAACGGCTTGAAACGCCCAAGTCGCACCTTGAAAAAAAGGGTGCAAAAGAGGACCCATCTTTTCCACTCAATCTGGAGCAGGCCGTGGCTCGAAGACTGGATTGGACGCCCCCAGAAACAAAGAAAATTATTTGTGATAATTTGGCGTCAGTATTTGAAACCGGGGCATCTCCATTTAGGAGTCAGGAGGAAGTGAGAGGGTTGAAGACTATTTTGGCTGGGTGTGGATATGAAGCGCCAGAAGAAAACTATAGGCCGATTCCAAATGGCGAGAATCCGGGATTTCTGAACAAGCGCAAGCTCATCGAGCTTGTCCCTGCTACCAGCGCGAACTCCACGACTCCTGAACCCCAAGAAGAGTCCCCAACAAAGCCCAAGGCTCCCAAGAAAAAGCCCCGCACCATTACTGAATTGGCCACTGCTGCGTATAAGCTTCCGGCCAATGACATAGTTGACGAAGCTTCTGCAACAGTCGCTGAAGAGACTCAGAACAAATCTATTGATTGTGCTGGCCCTACAGCCAACGGCAAGGCGAAATCGAAACCTCGGAAGAAACCAGCAAAGCCAACCAAAAAGAAAGAGCCAAAAAAGTCTGTCCTTCTCTCACCGAATACCGCCTTGAAAGCGGCAGAGAATCAAAATTTTCTTTTTGGTACTTCAAGTCAACTTGCAAGAGAGCAATCTCCCACGCTCTTGCGTGATATTCAGGCGGCTATGAAGAGTTCAGTCCAATATGATGACTCACATATCTTGGACATTCCCGTGAATAGCGACCTGGTTGAACCCCAAGTACCGAAGCCCAAATTATGGGAAGCAGCCGCGAGGAATTTGGACGGAGACTTGTTTGATGTAGAAATTGTAGATCTTGTGGGACACCGGTCAAGCCCCCCACAAAGTGAAGTTCCCAAAGATCCCTTTGGCTACATTGGAGCTGAGAATGAACCCTCACTACCACCACTGTCAGTTATAACTACGGACCATGCCGACGAGACTTTTGAGACTCTTTCAGACATACTACCACCCGCCAACCCAAAAATATTCGTACCTGAAGACGAACCGAGCCCCTTTTCTAGCCGTCAAGTAATTGACACCGATAGCCAGAAACCGAAAGACGCACCCGCGGTCCAGTTGGGCAATACGTCATCAAGTGCAAGCAAACTGCCTAGCACTGAGGTCGAAAGCAATACACCACAACACCCGGAAGCAACACCACCATGTCCTTCATATGAGCTTTTCACTGATGCTCAACTTGCAAAGGAATTTGCTTCATATGGATTCAAACCAGTGAAGAAAAGAACAGCTATGATATCACTCTTAGAGCAGTGCTGGCGGAGTAAAGTTGGTGGGGCTGGGATTACTGCAAGGACTCTGACTACCTCAGCAACTGCAAATCATCCCAGAGGCAATCCTAGCCAAACGACGGAAAAGCCGCCGAGTCCTAAACGGCCGCGAGGACGTCCAAGGAAGAGTCCTACTCCTGCTCCTACGATGGAGCATGAGCAAGTACCACCTCCATCGGGACAACCGCCGTCCTCGCCACCAAAATCTCGAAGAGCACCTAGGAAGCCGAAATCAAGCGCGGCATCGCTTAATTCGAAGCAGCCGGTTGATCCTATACCCACCCAGGAATCCCCCAAAAGAGGGCGTGGCCGGCCAAGAAAGTCGCCGCCTGCTAGCCAAGAATTCGGGTCCGCTGCGCCGAAGCCAAAAGGTTCTACAACTAGAACCGTGATAGAGATTCCAGACTCGGAATCAGACAATGATGATAACTCATCAATATCGTCAAGTTCTTCCCATGAATTAACATCATCCCCACCACCCATGCCAATGGATCTATCTGCTTCTATCAACGAGGATACAGAGCTATCCTTGTCAATGTCTAATACTGAGGACGAGGCATCTCTTTTTGAACATATCTCTAAAGCAGTGGTCACGGCGCCCAGATCAACAGACCCAGCAAACCCGAGTTGGCATGAAAAGATACTGCTCTACGATCCAATTGTGCTCGAAGATCTCACAGCATGGCTCAACCTGGGACAACTAACACGGGTTGGGTGTGATGCTGAAGTGAGTCCCGGGGAAGTAAAGAGGTGGTGCGAATCAAAGAGCATTTGCTGTTTATGGAGGGTGAATTTGCGGGGGAAGGAACGAAAGCGGTATTGAATTAGTTCAAATGACGAACTCTTCAAGCAGGAGATGTACATTTGACTGCTCAGATGCTTGGATGGCGTTTTGTCTACGGGACCCTGATTATTCGGCGTTTAACTGGATAAAGGTGCATTGGAACGAGTTTGCATATCTACTCCCTTACATATCATGATGACACGACTTCATAAATAGATCGAGATAGCAACGGGGGACTGCGAAACACATTTATAGAGTTCATTGAATATTATTTTCAGTTATAGGCAGAATCATTGACGACATGATGCTCAGAAAATGAGACGAAGTGGCTGAACGGTGCTGTTTAAGCGCCTTACAGCGGCTTAAGCGACGGACCTCGGCACTTGGTCCCCCGCAATTTGATACCCACATCCCCGGACAGCCTCAACGACGACTTCACCAAATACAAGGCTGGATTTGTAGATGGATATCTCGATGGGATCGGTCCCCTGCTCGCTCTCCCACATGTCATGTCCCTAGCTCTGGTTTCGCCCGGGAGATTAACATCCCGTTTCCTCCCTTTCAACTGTTCCAATGCAGCCCGCGCATTAGGGTGCAGGGCCGTCATTCAAGCCTCAACATTCCCATCTTCCAACCACTCCCAGAGCACTCATCACATCGCTCCCATCACCATGAGTGGCCGCCGTCAGTCGTCCACTGCTTCACCCAAGCCCATTAGCCATCCTCGGCCCAGCTCATCTGTTGTATTACTCTCTCCATCCAACCAGGTGCTCCTACTCCACCGTGTCCAGACGTCAACTTCCTTCGCTTCTGCCCATGTCTTTCCTGGCGGCAACCTTGACCCTTACCATGATGGCGCCGTCCCCGACGTAGACTCGCCAGGAAGACACGAGGATGGCGAAGCTTACAGACTCGGCGCCATTAGAGAATGCTTCGAGGAGACCGGGATCTTGCTAGCTAAAGCCAAGAATGGCGGCGACGACTTGATTGCCCTCCCGTCCGGGGAGATCCAAGCCGCCCGCAAGAAGATCCATAATAACCAGATCAAGTTTGGTGACTGGCTAGAGAGCATAAACGCCGTCCCAGACACATGTGCGTTTATCCCACTTCTACGTTGTAACATCCATAATATTAACATGCTCTGTTTCTTAGCCAATCTCCGCCCATTCACACGCTGGATCACCCCAACCAACGTCCCCAAGCGCTTCACCACCCAAATGTACCTCTACATGCTCCCCCTGGCCAGCAACCTCCCATCGGAGATGCTCGTGCCCACGCCCGACGGCGGCGTCGAGCACACGGCCGCCGTCTTCGCCCCGGCCCAGCACTTCCTCTCCCTCGCCGCCAGCAAGGACATCATCCTCTTCCCGCCCCAGGCCTTCCTCCTGGTCCTGCTGACCCGGTTCATCAGCGCCGCCGCCGCCGCTTCCGAGGCCAGCCTGGAGGAGTTCACCTCGCAGCGGGAGAGGCTGCTCTCCTTCCTGGAGCAGGTACCCACCGCCGAGACGGCCAAGGGAAAGGAGCACCCTACGTCGCGGATCAGCTGGGCGGACAAGGTCATGAGCCCGCACAACCTGTTCATCCGCGCGAGCGACGGGAGGATCGTCCTGGGTATTGACAAGCCCGGGCCGGAGCTGAAGGGCACGACGAGGGGAGGGGACTGGGAGAGGGTCGTGCTGGTCCGGTTCACAAAGGCGGGGCCGACGGAGGTGGAGATTCGGCTGAGGCAGGATGTATTAGAGGAGGAGCGGCAGGCAAAGGGCGGCGGAAACAAACTCTAGATCTCATAGACATGTTCGTTTGGGGTGGTCTCACGGCTATAGACGGTAAGATGGTGGATACATATCTAATCGATCAATAAACACAGCAATGATGAGTTCAATTCGCGATAGTAGAGGAGGAGATAGAGTATTGACTTTTGTTTTTGGAGATTGTTAATATACACCTCTCAGGTCAAAACGCCTTATGACACAAGCTAGCCAAGGTATTCTAAGTAATCATAGTTGATACAACGCTACCAAAACACCATCACCTCTAAGAACGCTGTAATTTCTTTTCCTACCCTTTCGTTTTCGCATGTTGGTTTGCACCTGGAGACCACATATTTCATCAAGAGCGGCGTTATGTATTGGATACGCCTAAACATAATCTAGGACATTATGGCATACCACTCATATCTAGATTATGAAGGTTCTGACCCCAGTCCCGCCAGTCAAAGCCTGCGTCAAGCATTTCCATGTCCACGGGTTGCGTACTGGGCATATTTGCCGTCGTGACGGTCTGTGCTGGATAATCGTAGGTGCCAGTCCAAAGATAGGGGGGCACATGGGTGGTCTCCTTTCGGGCAGCTGCCTGCTGCTTTAAAGATAATACTTCTTGACTGAGTGAGTTGTTGACCATTTGTTGAGTTACAGCGCTTGAACCAGGTGTAAGAGAAGTGCCGAGTTGGCTTTTGACGGCGCCGCCAATCTCGTGTAGTGGCCAGAGAGCTGATAGCGGCAGGTTTGGCTGTGACATGATCTCATCCATGATCCCCATGGCCTCATCCGGAAATTCCAGATTTCCAGGGATCTCGTTCTGCTGAAACATATCCGTTGTCCTCGTTGGGTCAGTAAGCGGCTGTGGCTGGGCCTCATCAGCCGCCTGCGCGGCAGCCCGGATTTGTTCAACCGTAGGTAGTTTCCCTCCTTCGGGTGATATCATAAACCACCATCTCTGCCTGACATCATCCATGCGTGTCTCGTAGCCGGGGATTGGTCCGAAGCGACTATCGGTAGGGTGCATTTGCTCCTCGAAGTCAAGGCGCCGGGCCTCCTCTGGGTCGGCCTGGAACCGAGCAAGTTCACTTGCCCGGTGCCTTTTCGTGCGGGCAAAAAGTTTGTGCATAGGTAGCAAGATGGCCGAGTGGCCTGGGTTCTTGGTGAAGTGAATTGAGTCGTTGTCAAAATGGGTAACAATTTCCCAGGCACGCTCAACGAGAGGGGTCCAAGGCCGGCGGCAAGTCTCGATGAGATTGAACGCAAGGCAAAACCAGTTGCTGTATGTTAAGAACAGCCATTTGTACTGCTTGCATTTAGCGTCCGAATCCAGCTTTTCAGAGAGCTCCAAAATTTCGATGGAAGCGAGATAGATGCTCTGACGAATATCGCAAGAGAGCTCTGCGTCAGCACCGGGGAATATGCTCTGCTGGTACATGAACAAGCGCATCTTTGCCATAATAATACGAATAACAGTGGCGCCCATCCACCATAGCGGATCTGAATCACCTTTGGCGTAGGCAAGGTATCGTTCCTTAATACGTTGATAGAGATGCGTTTGCATATTGACAAGGTCGGCATGCGAGATCTGATTATTCTTCGAAGGCAAATCTGTGAAGAGGCGGCGCGTAAGAACCATCATCTCATAGCGAGTAAGGACTGTTGAGGTATCAGTTCTTCCCTCTCGTGGTGCAGGAGGCTCCTTCATGGCCGGGTGGATGTCGGAGTCGTTGATGTTTAAGAACAATTGGGTATCATATGACGTTTCTGAAATCGACAACTCGGTCCCCAACTCTTCTGCAGATCGAAGGTCGAGGGCCAGAATTCCCCACCACAACCGCCTTCTCATTTCTGTTTCGAATGGAGTAAGGCCTAACTGGGATCCATCGCGATGAAGGCCCATGCCATGGGCGATTCGTATCAAAAGAGCTAGCAGGGTCCAGCAGAAACGGCTTCGGTCGAACCGCCTAACCACTGTGATGAATATAGTAAAAGCCTGAAGCACAACCAACTCGGAAGAGTTTAGAAAATCTGCTTTTGCGAGCGACTGCTCCAAGGCAAATCGATATCTCTTCAATAGGTCGTCCTTTTCGGAATTAAAGTTTGTTCGAACCTGTCAACTACTCGTTAATATCCCAGACTCATCCAATTCAGCTGAGAACAAATCACAGTGGTTTAATTTACCTCTTCAGGTTCCATAGAGACCACGGCACTGTAGTATATGGCAAACACCAGGGCCGCATTTCCAGGAGAGAGATTGGAAGGGTTCTTCCTCGCGTCTCGTAGTATTTCTTCCATCGTGGGAACATGGAGAATTTTAATTAACGGGTCGACGTTTTCTCGGAAGACAGACCACAGAAAAGGTATGTGAGAGGGGAGCGGGTGACAACCCCGCAAATCGACATCGGCCGATTTGTAGCCAAAAATGAAAGCATGGTGATCTCCAGAGGAACCGGGCGGGCCTTCCGGGCTATGGACAGGCGTCTCATCGTAGTCTGAATAGTCCGACTCTTCATCGGTCACTTTCTGATAATCGTTCCTCAATGATTCGAGCTGCGTCCCTGGTCAGAAACGAAGTCTAGGAATGCTATGTATCTCCAATCTTACCTCGTCATTCAGTTTCGACCAGAAGCCGTAGCTCACGTATCGAGTGCTTCCCTTGTGATCATTCAGGACCAACCGACCAAGTTGCTGACTGACATCCCTCTTATGCGCTGCGTCGCTGCCCATATCGCTCACAGAGTCTGTGTCCTTCGGGCTTGGACCAGAGCCAGAAGATCCCGGCGCATTTTTTTCAGTGCCTCTTCTCGAGATGCTGCCCTGGATATTTGAAGAGGTTCGCCTGACGCCGGCAGCGCCGGCATTAGACGCTTCGGGGGACTCGCCCGGTGAAGAGGCCTTGGCGACGCCCTCAAAGTCAATCTGGCCGCTCAGCTCCTCCACAATGCCCTCCAGTTTCCTCAATCGCTTGACCAGCTCAGCCTCGCGCTGGCTCGTGTTCTTAGGAGGGGCGTTGGGGTCTCTCGGTCGCGGCTGGCGGGGAGCTCGCCCTGGGGCGGGGAAGACGCAGGGGATCAGGGCGCGGCGGCAGTTGGAGCACGGCATCTGCTTGTCGCAGCGGACTTTGCGTCGGCGGCATGTCACACAGGATCGGGGATTCACCGCAGGCCCGGAGCCATCGGTGGCCAGGATTGGGCTGGTGTGGGCGTCGGGGCCGGTGGTCTGGTAGACGGTGGCATTGGAAGGGCTGTCAAGATGGTGCATCTGCGGCGACGGGGTGTTGGTATTGCCATGCGCCGGCCCCTGGCCGTCCAGCTTGAATGCGCTCGCCATGGTGATTTGCGTCCGGATGGCGGGATGATTCTGGCTGAGCAGAGGGGAACCGGAGCCAACGTCGAGTCGTTATTGGTTGCTGCGCCGGGTGTCTCGTCTCGGATCGTCTCGTTTCAACGCGGCGTCGGGCTGGGCGCTACGGTACATGGAGCCGCATGCCATTCAGGAGCTCAGTAGTTGCAGATGGGACGAGAAATGGCGAGGGGCTGGCCGAAGAGTCTGGCTGCAGAGTTGTGCAAGGTCAAAGAAATGGCCGCCCCTCCATTGAGGCTAGTCGAGGTGAGTTAGTAAAAGGCAGGTAAGAATTGCACGAGCCGATCTACATCCGCTACGAATTTGCCGAACGTCATTGCCCCGAGAAATGCCAGAGCCAGCTTATTCTCGCACTACCAGGTCTAGCTGTTTGCACACAAGCCCGACAGAAGAGGCTTGTGGCTGGTGAGTCATCTTCCCTCGTGGTCAGCACGATTCCGCTCGGTCCTGATCGGTGGCTGTCAGCCTTCCAGTCCAGGGTGAGGTAGCATCCAATCTCTGGTGCGCAGTGACAGCATCCCACTTGGTATACTTCGAATGCCGAATACAGACATTATTAATAACCTTACTGGAAAAACCAAAGGGCAACTCTTGGTAGTCTATTCCGCATCCGTCCAAACTGAACCGACCAAGAAACTAACCCCCCAAGCCAACGAGACTTCCATCCTATCCGAAGGCACGCACCTTCCATTGGCAGAAGCATCAAAATTGTCTCAGCTGCAAGAGCAATATAATATTATTAATAACCGGCGTTGCCGACTCTGCTGGTGAGCTGTATTGTTGCATGGTCTGGTCCAGGTCTAGGTCTTCTCTAGGCCGGTCTAGCCCTTCCGTTGGCAGCTACCTACCCTGTACCCGATCTCCATCTCCAGCGCATCCAGTTGTTGGTTGCCATTGTTTGCATGCAATGTTACTCTTAAGAGTTGAACTATCACTCGACCGGTGAATACATGCATAACTATTCTTGAATATGTTTCGCTTCGACAAGTCGCCACATGTGTTCGGGAATCGTCACGACCAACAGCTCTTATCAATCAACCCCCCATGATTCATTAGCGAGCCGTAGCATCCACTGCGACAAACCGGCTTGCCCTATCAAGCCTGTGTAACACTGAGCTAAGAATTAGAAATCGCCTCCTGTGCTGAATGTCGGGCGGGAATGGGCCCGAATCCTTGTTTAAAACCCTCCTGTTGGGGGACCCTGGGCTCGGGTCGAGCCTTGGTCCAAGTGCGGGGTTCGTGGTAGAGATACTCCAAGCCGTTCACTTCTTTGTTCGCTTTCATCACCCGCAGGCGCACACCACACTCACCTATTGGTGGGGGTATAGAACGGCACCACTTCGGTGCCGGTGTTCTGAGTGTCGCAGTACCTGGGCTGGTTGGGTAGAGACGCATCGCTATGTATCTGGTACACATGAGGCTCTAGACATCTTATTGATCAGATTCTTGCTCGTTTCGTTTTCGCCTTTGACGGTGGCGGCTGAAATATGCACGTTTCTAATTGGAACAAAGGGACGGTGGCAATCGGCTCCGATAGTCCTCCTTATATCCGAGAACCCAAGTTCTTTTTATGATATAATATGCATGATTTGAGGCTGCAATTGCTACAGTACCAACATAGTTATCAACGTAATTCTGAGTAATACATGAAGATTATTAACTCGTCTGCTACTACGTTCTAGTCGGACAAAACATGCCCGAGCTGGCTGCTTTTAACTTTATGTCGGCCTTATTCCTGGATATGCATCATTTCAATAAATTGTTCCACATGATCTTTTTGGTGGCAAGCTTCCCCGATCCCGGATGGACATCTGGGCTTCCTGTCGAGATCAAGGGTCCTTTGGGGGCTACGTAGGCAAGTACCAGGACCATGAACGTATCGGTCATATGGACGGGAGCAAGCCGCCGCACCCTGTCACTTCAGATATATCATTAATCACATGCTGGCTCTCAGCCTTCTTCCCTTTTCAGCCAAGCTGAGATGACCCGGGAACTAGAGAAGATATGCTTTTCCTTTCTTTTTCCTTGGTTCCGATCTTTCAGCTCGAGGCCTCATGCTAGCTTGAGCCATTTTCAAGACCAGATGTCAACTGGGGCCAGAGAGCGTAGCCGCCCAACTTGCAGCAGCGGGAAGGTAGAAGCACTGCAGAGCTCCGGATGGCCCGCAACTGCATGGCCCTGGAGGGTAGCTGATTGACCTAGAGCTTTATCCTCTAGGTCTAGCTTCACAATCGAGCCGGAGACCCCACACACATGGGTCGTGGTGTTTACAACTAAGCAGGACACCTACTAGCTCAGAGATCTTCCAGCCCAATTGATGTGTGTGAGGAAGCCCATCGTTTATGCAAGCTTCAGTTCCGTGAAACTGACCGTGTACGGAAATAACGCAACGCTGATGTGACAGCGGAATACGTACCATTTCGTCATTTCTTCCAGATGGCAACCGCATCTCCATGCGCTGGGGTAGCCTCGGGCCAGTCCCAGATTGCTGTATCTCACGCCAGCAGCAGTGAACCCCCCATTGTGGCTGCCTCCGCACGGAAAGACTGGAGCCAGCCTGGACATGGGTGGCGGACATGCGCAGTGAAACAAGCCAGAGCACAAAGCTTTCCCCGCCCATCCTCGAGCAAAAAGGGCACCCTCGGTGCTCGATCCGACCTTGGCGTTGACTGCGTGGCGTGATTGCACACCTCTTGCTGGCCTCCCTGTATGTCTTATCACAACACGTAGAGAGACACTGAAGCAAGTGGGTGCGTGACCCAATGATGAATAGTTGCGTCCCATACTCGTCATCCAAGGTGGGTGGTCACCGGCCCGGCTGCCTAAGGTATAAACGCAGATGAGAGTGGTGGGTTTCATTATCGGTGCTGCTCTGAGAGAGAGAGAGGAGATCTAGATGCTGTGGAAGAGAGACGAGCTCTGACAGAGGCGTGTTAATACCGCTGTGAAACGGGCTGCCCAGTATACCGAATTCCCGCTGTCGAGCCAACTTAACTGGGACCGTGAATTATTGACCGAGTTGTCAAGCATCATCCAGGTCTCCATACTAGTTGCGCAAGGATGATGTGGATATGCCCAACGCCAGAGCTCGTCAAAGGATGCTAATAGCGGCGATTGATGAGTTGGGTATGATGATCTTGGAGGTTCCCATTGGAGGGATCAGCCATTGCTGTACATAGGCGGCATTCCCTGTTCGGCTCCATGAGGCAGGTCGGTCTGGGGCCTGATGGGTGCCCGCAACTTGGCCAAGGAATCATGCTGTAACCCAGCATGCGGATCTTATGCTCTGGGCCAGTCATGAAGGTAGAGCAGAGCCTCATCGTATGTGTGGGGAGGTGGTAACCCAGGCCAGCTTGTTCAGAGGAGGTGGTGCGTTGGCGTGAGCCGCGTTAGGTGCGTTGCTCCACGGGAAGCTCGCTTCTCCTAAATACCCGAAAGTGTCATTGGGAAGATATAAAAGTGGCTGCCCGGGTTTTTCGAGCAGGGTCAAACCTGAACCCTGCAACCACATCCTCATCTGTGAACAAGGTCATCTGTCTTCACAAGCACCAACTCAATTGCGGCTCAGCCATTCCTCCCAAACAAAAGAGAAATATGCCGGAGCAATTGTCGACGCCCTCGACCTCGGCGTCGGAGTAAGTCGGCTTTAGACGTTCAAGATGAAGGCTTGAGGCTAACTTACAAAGTTCCCCGTCTGTGTCCCGCTGGTTGAACGAGCCGCCGGAACTTCAAGTAGTGCTGATGGGCGTAGCTGGTGGTACAGACACCAGCAACACTGCGCCAGGCTCAGGCAACGGCGGTAACTCGGGGAAGTAACGGCGAGGGACATTGGAATTAAGACCCGGCAGAGCGATGAATTTATGAAGGAGGAATTGGGCAGAATGTATGAATTTTGAGGTCTCAGCTTGGTTGGAAATGTCTTTTGGGTATCCAGATTGATTGACAAGGGGTCTCAGTATGTCAGGAGTCCGAACTCGCTTTTTTTGATAACCTCTGCTGCATATGAAATTCGAACCAATTTTGCGAAAACAAAAAAAGGAAAAAAATTAGAAAAAACCATCTACGTACGCGGCCCTTCGCTGGACTTATATAGAGAGTAAATGTGCAAAAAAGAATGGGACTAGATTGCCTGTCAAACGCCTTAGAAGGCCAGAATCTGGTATATGCGACCCATTCTGCCAGTTGCTAGGTAGGGAGGTGCCATTCAGTAGGCCGCCTCTGGGCGTTGGCACTTACCCTATTCCCAAGCAACCAAGCCACCATGGGCCGGGCTGATAAGTCAGCACGCCGCCCGAGGCCTTATCATCACGTGCACAATCGACCCTTTGCACGCACTAGGGTTTCCCACCCCACAGATTGGCAGGTAAATTTTCGAACGAAAAGCTCCAATCCACGACGACAATCTCCAGACGAGACAGCATTTCCACGAAGTAACGCCCAACACAACTCGACACAATGGCTAAGCTTTCGTAAGTATACCGTCTCTATTATTCGAATGCCGAGTTATGCGACGAGCGAACGTGCAAGAGGTGGAATTGGCCAGCCGAACTTTTGAGAGCGGGGAGCTTGGTGGACGACAATTTCGACGACGCACCTGGATGGTGGGAAGGGCATTTCAACACCACGGCACCTGGGTGCCGTGTATCATGGGCGAAATTTTTTCAGGAGGGCCAGCAATTCGTTGCTAGACGTCAATCAACCGCTTACAGTCGCACAACTCGGCTCTCGAATAATTTACATCCAAGACACCAGTCACTAACTATGCTCTCACAGGCGTGGTGCCCCCGGTGGCAAGCTCAAGATGACCCTGGGTCTCCCAGTGTACGTCCCCCTCTCGATGCCTCAGCCGAGCAATATCTGCGATGTCCAAAAAATTTCAGCCAACTGACTCTCTCATAGCGGTGCCGTCATGAACTGCGCTGACAACTCCGGTGCCCGTAACCTGTACATCATCTCCGTCAAGGGTATTGGTGCCCGCCTGAACCGCCTGCCCGCTGGCGGTGTTGGTGACATGGTCATGGCCACCGTCAAGAAGGGAAAGCCCGAGCTGCGAAAGAAGGTCCACCCCGCCGTCATTGTCCGCCAGGCCAAGCCCTGGAAGCGATTCGACGGTGTCTTCCTGTACTTCGAGGACAACGCTGGTGTGGTATGTCATTTACGATATCTGCTCTCCCTCTGAGAGAGAGTTCTGGGCCCTGGAGTTTGTGCTAATTTATTTCCTTGCAGATCGTCAACCCCAAGGGTGAGATGAAGGGCTCTGCCATTACCGGCCCCGTCGGTAAGGAGGCTGCTGAGCTGTGGCCCGTAAGTTCCCCCCAAATCTTGCTTGTTTTGAGCGGCTATTACTAACACGATCCATAGCGTATTGCCAGCAACTCCGGTGTCGTGATGTGAGGGGATTTTACGTGAATAAAAGGAAAGACGGAAGTAGAGGTATGGTTTGGGAGTCCCCATGCGATTCGATTAGAGAGCGCGAGAAAGAACGCCCACACCCCTTTTCTACATTCTAGATTTGGGCCACAAAACGACGGGACGGGAATATTTTCAGTCGCTGGATTGGCGTGCTCTGCATTTGGGTTGCGGCGTGTAAGGATGATTCATAACCGGGCATCACATCAAAACACTTTAAAGTAAAGGTCACTTCAACTCATTCTTCCTCCACCTCTGTGACGTCGCTTTGTGTACAGTGCATACAAATTTATTTCGCGTAGCATATGGAGCAGGGGTTGATAAGGAAAATGCTTTGTTCCTTACGAGATTTGTTGGCAGTCGACGATTGGAGCACGGCAGACACTATTACGTTTCGGTTGAATGAATTATAGAATTAACTTCAGACGCTGTGCTATATATGTATACAATAAAGCCAAAGGGCAAAGACCCTTGTTCAAATTCTCTCTGTCCTCCAAAGTGATGCGCAGAGAGACCATTTTTGTATTCCACCTTGCGCCTCGACGCCAGAAGACCAATGCATGCGTATTTTCATGATAGGTCTGTATGCCAGGCTCACTTTCAAAGAGGCCTTAACCAACGCAAATAAAAATAACAGAAAAAAGAGTTTGGTCGAGAAATCTCAAAATCGACGCTAAAGGAAGATGACAGAAGAAGAAGAGGCTGAAAAGGAGGACTACAGAACTTGTCCAAAAGCTAAGTGTAATTCAATGTCGTGAGCACCGTGGTGTGAGTAGCCAGGGCTGCCGGAGGTGGTAAAATAAGCGAGGCGGCATGTAGTGGTGGCTCTTTAATTGAGCAACTAAAGTATGAACGTGTTTCTAAAGAATGATGGCGTTGATGGTGGTGGTACAGTAGTGCTTGTTGAGGGCAGCCTTTGTTGTTTTGAGTAGGCGAAGGCCCTTTGGTGATTATAATTTTGCAAATGGCGATTGTTGTGATATGGATGATCTCAGTATGAACCGTTGTTCTCATTGTTGCTCATTTGCTCTTTATCTTGAGGACGGAAAAGGAATTCCCATAGGAGGAAGGTCGTGTGAATGAGTTTGAGGATGTGGAGGCACATGTTGGTGCTGGACTCCTTGCTGAGCTGGGGGGATTTGTGGGAATTGAGGTGAATGCACAAATCCAGGATTTTCTGCTGGAAGAGTGGGCTCTTTTTTGCTCGGTTTGTTGCTTTTCTGCTTCGGCGCAATAGGTCCAACCTTCTGCTCGGCTGCCACTTGAGCCGCCTTTTTAGCAGCAAGGGTGGCCTTGCGCTTCTCAACTGCGCCGGCCATGTTGCCGTTTGCCCAACGGTCTAGTAGAGAGTTGATTAGAAACCTTGATTTAATATGAGGGGTTAGGTACTTACTTTTCATAGAAGCCGACATCTTCTCAGACTTGGTCATTGCTCTATAGTCCTTGGGTTGATCATCACCACCTTCAGTTGTAGGTTGCGATGTTGGAGTGCCGTTACGGCTCTCTTGAGTGGGCCTCATGACTTTGATTTTGGGAGCTTTGCGGCCCGTGCCAGCATTGGCTGTGTTCTCAGACGGAAGGGAGCTTCCTTCGCCTATCGTGTAATCTCCCCGATTGTCAACGTTGTTTCGTCTACCCCTCTTTTTGGCTGGTGCTTGTGCCGGTTCGTCTCCATTGTCCGGCTCGTCCCTGAACCTCTTTTGGCGCTTAGGCCTGAACGAGTAGGATGATTCAACCGTATGGGTGGTCGAGTCTGAAGATGCTGTAGACGGCCTCAAGTCGCCATTATCTTCAATTGTTGAGGCGGTGTCGCTAATAGTTGTGCCTTTGGGAATTTTGAGAGTGAGAAGGCGACGGGGTTTGGACTCATCCTGGCCATCGATCTCATCATAGTGCCTGGGCTTGTCCATCTCGTCGTCTGGGGCGAAGATTTTGTTTCTGGCTCGGCGACCAGTACTTTTTGGTGGTTCTTCGCGCTGATCTTGACCCTGAGAGGATGGTCCATCGAACTTCGACGCTGCATTTTTAGCACGAGGGCCACGTCTCCTTCGCGTATTCGGAGTTGTTTCAACATCGGATATGCCGTCCTCATTGAAGCTGGATGTGGGCATGGATTGGGCGTCATCATTCTCGTTGAGTTTCCGCCGTTTGCCGCGGGTTGGCGCAGGTGTTGAACTTCTACTAATATCCTGAGTAGTAGGATCAAAAAGTTGAACAGCCTTGCGTTGCCTCTTGCCCGTGACGCCGTCAGTCTCAGTGGCCTTGGCGGTTTGCCTTGGCTGATTGCGAAGTGCTCTGCCACGCGTTGTGACGCCTGCCTGTTGAGTTTCCGGGTTCTGGCGACCGATCTTTGAAGGATGAGGATCATACTCAAAACCGTAAGAAGCTGCCATAGTGCGGTCCTGCTGTTGCAGATACCGGGTTTCACTCATGACCTCTCTCTCCTTTGCTTTGTATCCCTTGACAGCAAAGTCTGGCTCTTCGAAGTTGATACCATGCTGGTTAAGGTTCCGAGTACGACTCTCATACTTGGAATCTGCGATCCGTCTGCGCGAGGCGTTTTCGAAGTCATCAACGACCTTGCCCAACTGAGACCACTCGTCCTGCCATTCGACGAGGGATACGTTGATTGCTTGTAGCATTTCATAAAGATCTTCGGTTTTCATACTTTCATAATTGTCAATGACAGAGATGAAATCATCAGCATTCCGAAGTTTGCGATATTTGAAACGGAGTGCTCGCTCTAGAGGTTCTTGCGGCTCAGTGATCTCAGCGTAGTCAGGGTCGTCATTTGCCGGCGCGGGCGAGTTAGAGGTCTCAATATTCAGAGACTCAGGGACTGGTGACCCTCGGGTGGGTGTATTGAGAGCGCCTGTTGGTAACTCAGAAGCCCCAACGTCAGGCAGGTCGTCATTGTCGTCTGCGACAACATCAAGATCATTGGCTTCTTTGGTATTTTCTTGGGATGGGTCCTCGCTGCCATCATCATCCTCAGATCGTTCCCTTTTCTCTGGATAAGAAGTAAATTCACCGTCGACGTAGGGTGTAAGATGAGACCATCGGCCGACTGGGGTAGGCATGGGCTTCTTCGATGGGCTTTCGAGGGATTTTGTGGGTTGTGTTGGCTGCTCCAAGATGGGCTGAGATTGTAAAATGCCGACTTCTTTCTCCTCAGGTTCGGCCATTATTGCGTCAACGGATAGGTTGGGTTCGGATGGGGTGGCTATCGATGTTGCTGTTGAATTATCGTCCACAATCTCAGGAACAGTTTCTTGATTCAAAGCTGGCTCGTCCTGATCATCATTATCGGCAACAGCATGAGAGGGTGTTTCATTGAATGGTGGAGGAGAAATCATTGTTGTGTCCTGCGGTGACTCTGGAAATTGAACAATGTTCTGGCCAGAAGTGGACAAAGCTGGAGTTGTTCCGGGCTCTTCTTTGTTTTCAGATTTGTTCGAAAACGACCAAGACTGAAGTCCTTGTTTCGTAGGGGTCTGAGGAGTGACAACTGTATCTGTATTTTGAAAGGAAATGCTAGCTGGCGAATGTACTTCCTGGCTAGCAGAGCTAACGGTCGTCTCGGCTTGGGACTCGGATTGGGCTTGTTGAACCTGATTACTGGGCCCCTCTTTGCTATCTGCGATATTGTCCTCATTGGGAATATCGTTGGGCTTTTCTTGAGTGAGTTGATGCTCCTGAGAGGAACCGGCCTCGTTCATTTCTGCATCTTCTGTCTCAACTGGATTTTGGGCCATATTTTTGATGCCTGAGACTTCATTTTCGGTGGCCTCGCCCTGCTCCAAGCGAGACCCAGCTTGCTTCATCTGCGCATCAGTCTCCTCATTTGTGATTTCGGCACGTGGTGATTGGATCTGACCAATCTCAGCCTCAATGGGATTTGGTTCCAGAGTAGAAGCTACTTCCAGCGTGGTGTCCTGACTTTTGATTTCGGAAACTTCTGTCTTTCCGGTGTCCATTGGACGGTCTTCAACGATATCCGTAATCTCAGGTGTGGCAGCTTTTGAAGTGGGCTCATGGGTCTTGACATCCTGAACTTTTGGCTTCTCAACTTCGGAGTCCTTGGCTTCAGATTCTTTGGCCTCAACATCTCCGACTTCCAGACTCTTGGTTTCAACATTTCTGGCCTCGGGATCATTCGGCTCAATGTCCTTGACCTCAGCATCCTTGACTGTGGTGTCATTTACTCCAGCATCCTTCATCGAAACATCTTCCGGCCTGCTGCCCTGGGTCTCGACGCCATTGATTGTAGACTCAATGGCCGGGATATCTTTGGGTTCGTTTTCTTCAATCTCGATACTCTTCGGTTCAGTCTCTTGGGGTTTGGTACTCTCGGGTTCAGTCTCTTGAGGTTTGGCACTCTCGGGCTCAGTCTCTTGGGGTTTGGCACTCTCGAGCTCAGTGCCTTGCGCTTCAGCAATCTTGAGCTCGGTGGCTTGTGCCTCAACACTCTTGTGCTCGGTGGCCTGTACCTCAGCATTCTTGGGCGTAGTGGCTTGTACCTCAGCACTCTTGGACTCGGTGGCTTGGACTTCGGCACTCTTGGGCTCGGTAGCTTGTGCTTCAGCACTCTTGGGCTCGGTGGCTTGGACTTCGGTACCTAGATGATCGGTACTGGCGACATCAACTTCTTGGACGTTGGCAACCGTGGGTTCTGCCTCTTTTACTTCGGTTTCAGGCTCCTTGGCCTTCGTCTCAGGTTCGTTTACCACCAAGTCAACCTCCTTGAGAACAGCCTCGGGAGCATCGGTACTCAAAGTGCTATGCTCGACATTCTTCGCATCTGAGTCCTTCTCAATGATGACGGGTTCAGCATCCTTCATGTCAAAATCAGCCACTTTGGATTCTTCAGTAGCTTCGGCATTGTCTTTAGGCTCTTGAGGCTCCTCAGGCGGAAGCTTGGTCTCAGGACTCTTGAGCTCAGCATCCTGAGTCGCAGGTTTTTCGGGTTCAGCAGTTTTGCTCGTGATATCATCGAGTTGAACAGGCTCAGGTTGAGTCTCTTTCAATTCAGCTTGCCCAGCTGTAGCTCCTTCAGGCACAATGACTTCTGAATCCACCTTCTTGGGTTCAGTCTCTTTCAAAATAGGCTCATCGGTGCTGACTTCCTTGACGTCGGATTGTTTGACCTCTGTTTCAACCGGGCCTGTTTGCTGGGCTTTAGTTTCCACTGGGCTTGGCTTTGACTCGGGATCCTTTGCTTCTGTCTTCTCAACTCTATCTTCCTTGACATCTGTTGGCTTGGGCGCTGCCGGTACGACTACAGTTGCTGCGTTGGTTGCAATTTGCAGGGCTTCCCGCTCAATTTCCTTCGCCAAGTTGAATTTTATAGTAGCGATATAGACTGGTCTGCCTTCTATCGACTTGATAGCCGGCTTGGCATGAGATGCCTTGGTATTAGACTCTCGTGCACCAATCCCAGTCTCCTTGATGGTAGGATACTTGGTTTCGGGCTCTTTGGTAGGTTCGCTGGACCTGAAGTCAATAGACTGAGCACGCGAAGATTCTGCGTCCTCCTCCTGCTTTGGAGATGGGGAGCTGCCGACACTGCTGAGCTCATCCGAGTCAACTAGTTCCATGTCGGATGGCGACAGGCCAACTTCGATGGTATCGCGGATGATATCGTTATCATCGTTGAAATGATTGCCAAAGCTGGTGTTGGTGGGAAACGGCTTGGATTCTTTGGGCTCTGCCGGCTTGCGGGCAGGGTTGCGTCGGCGAGTGCTGGGTGTGTCCACACTCAATGAGGTGTTCCGCCGCTTGGCCTTTGGACCGGAAAAATCCTCAGTCTCCTCAAACCCGTACGGTTTGGTGCGTTTTCTTGAGCGAGGCGCTGTAGAGCTTGGGGCGAACAAATCCTCTCCGATGTGCTCCGTGGCGTAATTAACGCGCGCGCGCTTTCGAAGACTGTGGCCGCCCTTCTCGGGACTGTCACCGTGCTGCTCGTCTTTTACTGATGGCCCCTGGTATGTGGGAGTAGCAGCGAGGCTATTGCGACGAGCTCGTCGCATCCAAGGGACGATTGGTGTTTTTGCGTTTTCGCCATCGGCATCATCTCTTGACGCAGCCAAGGGCGAGTTTTGGGTGTTGTGAGGCTCACCTTGGCCAGGGTGTGAGATGTGGTCAAATGATGGCTTTGACGGCGAAGTTGGCGACGCGGAATCGGCAGTAAACCCAAAGCGGCGTGCAGCCGTCCGGCTTGAGCGCTTCATGATGAAATCAAGAGAGAGACGTGTAACTATCTCTCTCTTAGGCACGAGCGTTTGAGAAAGTAGACCGTGATGAGTGGCGACGCCGGTGCTGGTGACTGGGTGTAAGATGAAGGGAGTTATTTGTGGTCCATTTAGGTGTAAGACAGGACATGCGGGAAGAGGCTCGCGAGGCGAGAGATGTTAAGCGGGATTTGAATGAAAGAAGAAAAGAAGCACAGAATGCTCCGGTATCAGGTGAGGATGAAATGCAAATGGCTCCCGGCCAACAGTGTATGTCTTGACCCGAGGGCGTGAGAGAAAGTTGTTGTGGTTCTGCCAGGATATGGAAGAAATTTGATGAATTAAGAAAGAAAGGGACGACGGAACAAGAGGCAAAGGCAATTATCGGCCTTGGCAAGAAGTAGTGAAGGTAGAGAAATCCAGCAGATGAAGCCACCGCAGAATGCGAAGTGAATGGAATTCTACCAGGTGCTTTGCGCAGCGCGGCTTTGCTGTGATTGTTCAAGTGTATGAATGTCTCCTTGGCTGGCTTTTCTGGTTGTTCTGGGAGTGTCGGTCGTGGTGCGAATAAGCCAGGACCCGCTTCAAACCCAGCAAGTACCTAGTACGTATCCTTTAGGGGACCAAAACGCCGGTGAGGCGCGCTACAGGCACGCTCCTTGCGCAGGCTGCACGTTGGGCTAGGTACCCAGGTACTTGTCTCCAGCTCCTGGCTCTGAGAGCACCTAACACCAGCCCCCTAAGAGTCTGTCTACGGCAACCTCTGTCCAATCACAGCCACGCGTCGGAAACGCTAGGCCGCGCTTGGCTAGGCCCATGCCTCGTGGGAGAAACTGAGCACCGGGCATTGTATTATTGTCTTAAGGTGAGTGAATGGTGAGAAGGCAGCCGTCATTGTCACAGCGGCTGTTTAATCCAAGAATCGCTCAATGTATTCTGCTCAATATATTGCCTGTTAAATTCGATGCGCCGTGCATCGCTATTCTATTGTCATGCTTTGGTAATAGATCCTCTTGGAATCTGCATCATTCTAGACAGGTGAGGACTGGGTCAGCCGGTAGGCACTACCTGTACCAGCCCCAACCGTAAAATACGTTCCAAAGACCTGAAAGCCTAAACTGGACACCTGGAGCCACTGAACCGGCTGCATCTCCTTATGACCTAATCCCACCTACCTTACGTACTAGCTATATGCGAAGCTTCGACAGCAACTCTCAAGGGGTTTCGGACCATTCATCTGCATTACATTATACTTTTGCACCCACCCCTCCATCCAGACTCTATGTCCCACCCTTGAAACAATCTATTTCCTCACCAGACTTGGCTGCGACAAATCTGCTCACAGCCCATTCACCTGAGCTGTTGAGGGCACTATTGTGTTACTGTGTCTATAGAACGCCCTTCACCTCGACCTAGACCGACCCCTCTCTCCCCTCATCCTAGGAACCCCGACGACTTACAAGCCATGACTTCCAAGAAGCCTGAGGCCAGCGCGGCCGACGACAACCTAGATGAGCTTCTCGCAGGACTCGGAGACAGCACCACGACCAAGAAATCATCCACCGGCAAGGCCAAGCCCACCGCTGCCTCTAAGGCCAAGGCTAAGGACGATGATTTCCTAGCCGATCTCGAGTCGGAGCTGGCTGCTCAAAAACCCCCCTCCCGTGTTCATACACCTCGACTCAGCAGGGAGGTTGCGTCGAAGCGCTCTGCCGCTACCCCTCCCTCGACGGATGACAAGATTTCCGCGCGCAAGTCCACCGATAGTGCCCGCAGCATCAAGGCAGTCCTCACCCCAAGCGCAACGAGTTCCGAGCTGCATGAATCCGAGAAGAAGGCACCGGCAGAACAAACCCAACAACAGCAGGCTGGCGGAGGTTGGTGGGGTGGCATTTTCTCAACTGCAACTGCGACGGCATCAATGGCCATGAAGCAAGCTGGCGCTGCTTATGAAGAGATCAAGCAAAACGAAGAGGCCAAGAAATGGACTGACCAGGTTAGGGGATTCTCGGCTCTTGATGTTGGTGCTTTGCGCAACTATGGTAAGTCACTATATTCTATTGACACTCCAAGGGTGTGCTGACCAGCGTAGGTGATGAGCTTCGCCAGCGAGCCTTGCCAACCTTTACCAATATCCTCCATACCCTCGCCCCGCCAATCGGTTCCCATGAGCGCCTCCTCATCCACATCACCCACGACCTCGTCGGCTACCCCTCAATGAACCCGTTGACCCAGGCCGTCTTCAGCCGTGTTATGGATCAAGTTGAAGGAGGTGAGCTTCTTGTTGTTCAGCGCGGCCGGGAGAACGGTTCTCGAAGACTCAGCGAGACTGTCGCCGGCTGGCGCGATGGACCTTGGTGGAGGCAGGCCGACTCTCCCCGCGAGCTGGGCGCTGTGGTCGGCCTCGTCGAGGGCACAAAGCTCTGCCGTGCGAACGCCGAGAGCTATGCGCAGGAATATTTTGCTGCGCACGGCGGGGTCGAGGCAGCCAGGATCCGCGCTACAGAGGCTTACAGCGAGAGCAATCCTGTGCGAACATCAGATTTGTTCTTGGCCATTCAGGCGATCGCCATCGAGACGGACAAGGCTCTGTTTGCTGGCACAGCCTCGGAAGAGAAAGCAAAGGAAGATTCTGCCGTCAAGGATCAGGGTGATTCAGAGGAGCTCATCTGCTTTGCTGTTTACATCCTCGATCCGGTCCACGAGATCCAGTTCTCTACTGTTAGTCAGAATATCCCATCTCAGTGGCTTGATTGGCTGGAAGCCGTTGGGGACGAGGATGACGAGAAGACGATCTACGAGAGTATCCCCGAGGATATTAAGGAGATTATTGAAAGCGGCGGTGAAGATCCTCGTGAATGGGTTGCCGCTTGGGTTGAGGACATCCTGAGCCTATCTGTGGGTGTTGTTGCTCAGAGATATGTCGCACGAAGAATGGGACTTGGTGAAGGAGGAATCGGAAAGGGCAAGAAGAGGGCTGAGGAAGTGATCCAAGAGGGTGGCGGAGAGGCAGCTAGGGCTGGTGTGCTCTAAGAAATATCTCGCTTTGTGTGTCTTTGGTTATTGATCCCCCACCTTTCTTGGTTTTCCCACGGTCTATAGGAGTTTTTGGCAGGGCTGCTCTTTGTTTGCTCTAATCGTTTATATACCTATCTACCTACCGCTGTCTAGGCGATGTTACGTGCAAGCATGCCTCCTGAACGATCCCAAACAAACAAGTTCTCTAGAATGTGCCCGTCCTACGAACCGAGCCAGCCTTCATAAGTTCTCCTCGGGCTGATCGCGTGGCACCTTCCATCTGAACATGTCGTAGTGGGCGGTATTTGGGCTCCCACATCTGCTCCCGGATCCACTCGTCCAAGTCCTCATCGGACTCTGGGATGTCCCTCTCCGTCGCCAGGTCATCGTCCACAGCCTCCTTGATCACGCTCCTCGCCACCCGGACGCTGATCTCCTTGACAGACAACACCCCCGGGAGGAGAGGGGCGGTTGGGTCCTGGAGCGCAGGGCTCATCGACGACACAGCCTCGACCGCGGCCACGAGCATCCGATCGGTGAGGAGCCTCGCGCGGGACAGCACACAGCCCAGGCCGATCCCGGGAAACACGACAGAGTTGTTACACTCGGCAATGTCGATTGAGACATCCTCGCCGTTTGCACCCCACGGGCCTGAGACAGGATCGAACGGCGAGCCGGTGGCCACGAGGGCCTTGCCATCCGTCCACTTCAGCAGGTCGGCGGGCGTGGCTTCGTGCAGGCGCGTTGGGTTGGAGAGGGGCAGGATGATTAGCCGGGGCGCGTGCTCGTGCATGGCCTTTACAATCTCTTCCGTGAACGCGCCGGGGACGGTCGACGTCCCGATGAGCACGTTGGGCCGGACGGCTTTCACGACGGAGAGGAGGTCCCTGCCCCGGTCGTTCCAGGAGGAAGCGTCCTTAGCGAAGCCTCTCTGCGCGTCGGAGAGCTCCGTCTCAGTCGTGAGGAGGCCTGGCTTGTCGATCAACCTGCGTAAAACTTTCGTTAGCATAAAGAGTTTGCGTTGGACAGTTTCCTTGGATTCGTACCAAATCTGCTTCGAGGCCTCTTCGTGGGAGATATCACACTCGGCCGCAATCGCATCGCGGATCTGGTCCGCGATCCCGACCCCCGCGCTGCCAGCCCCAAAGACGACCAAACGAAGATCGCCGAGTTTCTGCTTGCTGACGTGCAAACCGGCTAGGATGGCTGCCAGGGTAACACAGCCAGTTCCTTGTACATCGTCATTGAAGCACGGGATATTGGGCCGGTACAACTCCAAAAGGCGCCTTGCTGCACTGCCGTTAGCCATAAGAAGGCGTGATACAGCATGAAGAGGAGGTATATATCTCACCATTGCGGAGCCCAAAGTCTTCAAAGTGTAGATAGGCTCGGGGGTAAAGCTTGCGGACTGAGTTGACAAATGTATCGACAAACTCATCGTACTGCTTGCCCCTGACACGACTCTGCCGCAGCCCGAGGTAGAGTTCATCCTTGCGGAGCTCCTCGTTGTCCGTTCCACAGTCGAGTACGACCGGCAGGCAGCGGCTGGGGTGGATGCCAGCGCAGAGGGTGGTGAGCACAAGCTTGGCAATGGAAATCAGGATGCCGCCCACGCCTTGGTCTCCGATGCCTAGAATCTCCTCTCCATCTTCATATCGGTGGTTAACACGATGCTGTTCAATGACACCATTTGAGTGTGGGGCTTACCCGTCACGACGATGTAATCGATATCTTCCGGCCTGCCCCATTGTGCCAGATCTGGAAGCACTCTGTCAGGATCGTTGATGCTCAGATAACAGCCCTGCGGCCGCCTGAAGAGACTCGAGTAGTTTTGAATGGCATCTCCCTCGGTCGGTGTATAGATGATGCTGAACATTTCCTCCACATGGGTTTCGATGAGCTTGACACCCCCCAAAAAATAAGCCTCTATCGTTTCATGCCCAGGACGTTTGGTTGGCCCATACCTTGTAGTACAGAACCTCGTTCTGGTCCTTGAGAGACGTAAGAAACGTATTCTTTGCGAGGGGATTCGGCCTTGTCGAGTATTGCTCGTATGCCCGCTTCACCTGCTGCTCCAGGCTCTGCACGCCCCGTGGCAGGAGCCCGGAGAGGTTGAATACGCGGCGCTCATCTGGGGGGAAAGCAGAGCCTTTATTGAGGTACGGGGTGTTGAGGAGAGAGGTTCCAGTGAGGGCGCAATCAATGGGCCCGCTGGTGCTGAGGGGAAGGTGGGCGAATTTGGGCTTGCTGGGCGTCATCACGATAGACATTCACGACTGAGCGAGGGTCTGGTTTAACAAGAAACGAAGATGATAACTCTGTTGTGGTTGCATGCAAATGGAGCGAGGCATCTAGGCTGAGGAAGGTGGTGGGTGTTTGTGTACTGGAGCAACAGGTTTATCATGCATGTGGACATTAGTAGTACCCGGCTGCCTCCATAGCAGGAGATAATGGATGATATGACGTCTGCTGCAGCAGGACTGTGTGCTGGCCACATGCATTCGCTCGCTTCGCCTTCACATGTGGGCAGCTCCCCGTTTCTGGTTGCACGCAGCCGCACACGGCGCCTAGCCGAGGACAAGGGGGTTCGTGAACACATCTGTTTACATTATAATGTGCCTAGACGAAAAGCATGTCGAACACTTGGAGCCTCGCCCGTGTGGGATTCCAGAAATGGAGACGGGCGTGGACTATGATGGTCCTGGTTTGTCTTGCAGCAGCAATCCGTCCACGTTCAGCAGAGCTGAGCAGGGAGAGACTGCGCGGAATAGTTTCCAGACCAGCCGACTTCCACAGAGCAGCACAAAACGTGCCGCGTCAAGGAAGATCTTCGTGAAGAAGACTCGTGGAGATCCCGAAGGTCGAGTGGCTGGTCAGTGGCGCTGCGGCGGACTACGGAGAATAATCGATAGACATATGTATTCCTTACCTTAATTGTTCCTGGCCGCTGAGTGCTATTTTTGGAGGGCATCGCCAAAATGCTCCAGGCCATTTTGTATCTGGAGATCCAGGTGCTTTGTTGCTGGGAAAAATTTGGACACCACCGCGATCCAATTAATACTGCTGGAGTGCTGACTAATCGCACACACACTGCTAGGTTGTTTCCCAACTTCTAGGACGAACTTCCTTCATTCAATCCCCAGTTTGCCATTAAATACAAAAGAAGAAAAAAACACTATTGAGTTCAGGCGCCTATCTTCCATTCTTAACACGCATTGAGTGTTTCGCAATTAGCCTTTGTTCTGTTGTGAATGGTCAACCGTTGGGCAACGGTTTGAAAATCCCCGTTGCCGTTTCGACCATGTTGTCCAACGGAGCAGCAAATGGGTTTGCTTGTTCAACAATATGAGCACAGGTGTTCGAATCACAGTAATAAGCCGCGAATTCCATATAGTCTGGCTTCGCACCATAGTGACACTGTCAGGCCGGCCTGAACTGAGTTTCGGTCTATTCTGCACTCGTGTTCCTCCGTAAGTGGACGATCAACAAATGCAGTGAAACCACCGAGAACCACTGCCATTGCTGAGCCACTTTGTCAGACATTCATGCATTAAGTGATCGTCCTTGAACGTTGTCTGAGGCACCCGTTGTGTCTCCACGAACTCCTCACGACTTCGTCCTACGTCTGCGGATTAGGCGAAATGGCAGTTTTTGAACAATTGGACTGGCTGGATGGATGCGAATCAGTGAAGTGACATCAATGGGAAAACTATATAAGGGCCCTCTGTCTGCAGCTTGAGAGATCTCTTCCAACTTGGTCACCAACAACTCGATCTCTCACTACTTGTTTGCATTCCTGAGTCTACAACTTTCCACTACTGACTACAACTCTCTGGCGGTAAACCTCAATCGCAACAACCATGGATCCCCAAAATATCAATCTCAGACCTGGCGGTCCAACGGATATGCAGATATTGCCTGGTTCTAGCCAGCCACCTCACGGCCAAGGAGCTGGAGGCAATTCCGACCGCACGGTGCCGAACCCACTTTGTCGAGGCCCGTCATGTACCCCAATCAACTTGGAAGAGAGTCAAAATCGGATTCTACAACGTTTAGGGGCTTGGCTGAACGAAACAATTAGCACACATGCGAAGAATGTACCTACAAACAACGAGCCCGTCTTCATCCAGGCTGTAGACCGTGGGACTCTTAATCTCAGTGTGTGCAGAGGGCCTTTCTGGCCCTATCCGAAATTCTCTGAAGAGGAGTTTATTGAGCTGTCTGACGCTGGTGACCAAGATTCGAAGAACCTTGAAGCTACGCTGCAAGTTCTCCCATCCGCTTGGCCCCAGTCGATGAAACACGCCGACACACTCCAAGACTATCATTTCGCACCCAAGATCACTCATCTGGAGTGGTCGCGTCATAGCACGGCTCCTATCGAGCCTATCGACATTACGGCAAAAACTGACTGCCACTTTATATACTCGGTGGGCGAGATTGAAACCAGGAACCAACTGAAGACATCCCCCGACGGGTTTACCGGGTCGATCTGGTGAGTAACCCCATATGAAGTTATCTTGATTATCTTTCTGACTATTCCTAGTTTTATGCAAGTGAAGAACTATGCAGAAGTCTTGTCCACTCGGGACATGGCGCATATCGGTACTCATCTACTCGAAGGACTTCTGTCCGAGTCAGACTACAGTGACATGGGCCTAAAGCCCTCTCGCTGGGTTACAGACTTTGTTTTCCCATTGTGTCGAAAGCTAGACTTCCGCCATGATAACCGTGCCTGGGGATGGCCAGTAGCGTGGAGCCATGATCCCGTGGAGCAAGATGGTTGCCCCTGTCATGTATTCGCTGCCATCATGCACCACATGCAGTGTCTTTCGCTGGCACCGAGGCCTGACGTTAAAGAACTCCTAGGAATACCCCCTGACCGTAAGGTCGAAGGGCTATCGCTCAACAGACAATACGGAGCCCTTGTGAAGGACAAAAACATCTTCATTGGCGAGCGTCGCATTTCGATCGCTGTGACAGCTCTTTGCAACAGGTCAATGGAACCGGACACGAAGAATCTCAAGCCGAGCCTAGAAAGGTATAACACCATGTGTGTGGTTTCGCCTGGCAGCGAAGACTCAGATGACCTGGGAAGGCTGCTCTCCACGATCCGTACAAGTAGGTATTCTGGGCTTGCGCAGTTTGATGAAGAGCATGTTCCGGTGGCTGCATTTTTGATGATCTATGCCTCTATCATTCCTTTGTGGTCCTCATTCTGGATTAGCTTTCTTGATGGCATTGATGCTTGTTTCAACGTCGAGGTGAGTGAGCTCAAGAGCCAGTCAGCCACAGCTTGGTTACTAACGCAGCCACTACAGCCTCAGAACCTCCTCATTCGAGGCTCTACCACCGATCCGGCCGTTAACTCGGTTCTCGACGAGTCTTTGCTGCAAACTGAAACTCACTTTCAGATTTTACAGCTTCTTCGAATTGCAGCGCTTTGGGTGGGTACCGCTGCTCGCGAGCTTCACAGTGCGCGAGCCGACATTATGGAACCAGATACTAACAATCCTTTCCTGTTCAATTTGCGCCATCTCTGGGATGACGTCGAGAAGAACCTGGAAGATCACTCAAAGAAGATCATCTCCAGGATCGACAGAAAGACCGAGGAGATTAAGAGTCTGCGAGACGGTGTATGTATTAGCCAAATCATCTCTCACCTTTCTACCCACCGTGAAGCCCCTGGACCCTCTGGCTCCCAGAAGAAGGATTAAAATCTACACAGAACCATTTTGACTTCTTCCGGGGGCTGACTACCTAACCCTGAGCAGCTTTTCCACGCCACGTCTCTGGGAGAAGCAACCCGCGGGACCCAGATCAACGAGTACATCTTCGTCTTCACCGTCATGACCATCGTCTTCCTCCCGCTCAACTTCATCGCGGTAATTTGCCCTTGTCTCCTGGCATTTCTACCTCTGCGACCACTGACTTGAGAGTCTCCCTTTTTTTAGTCCTTGTACAGCAACAGTATCAGCCTCTTTGATGCTAGGGACAATACATATCTGGGCAGATTTAGTGTCATCTTGCTCGGTGTGTCTATGTGCACCTACATTGTATCTTTCTTCATGATCTGGGTTGTTCGGAGGGGAGGGCTGAAGAGATTTCATTGGATGTGGCGCCCGAGTGTTGGGAAGCTTGACCTGAGGGACTTGAGAATGCCAAAGCGCCGGGGAACTGGGAATCTAGAAGCATTTGGTGTAGCGGTTTGAAACTGCGGTCCATGTTCGAAATCGGGAAATTTGGTCAATGGATGCTGTATACTGGGACAGGATGTTTGTTTGAGGTCAAAGAGACACGCGGAAACGATTTCTTCTTCTTTCTTTTTCATTTTCATTTTATGGACTCAGATTGAGAACTATTTCATATGTCAAATCAAGTCAATTGCTATTCAATTGAGCATGCCTAAATATTGAGTCGTGATGACTGTGCTCTTAGTGCCTCCCGTGAAACCAACAGTGACAATCTCCCCCGGTACAATATCAATCAGATTGTCGTGAAATTTTACATCATCGTCTTCTGACTCCAGCGAAACCCCCTTGACTGGAACCTCTGCGCCAACAGACACCGTCTTCCCATCCGCGGCCACTTCCACGTGAAGAGACTTAGGCTTCTGTAGATGAACATATTTGAGCGGTTCCGGCCAGTTGACATACCGAGCAATCTGCTGCCCATCTTGATAGAGATATGCCGCCACGACGGTCCGAGACTCGAGACCTTTGTTTTTGGTCGCCACTGGCACGTCCATTGAAAAGATCTCAGTGGACCTGTTGGCTGGAAGCGTGATGCCCGCCGCCACCGTCTGGGAGTAAGTCTCCTCCCCGGTCTCGACGTCCCAGGCCTTGATGACGCAGTCCACTTTCAGATCCTCCAGCTTTAGATTGGACCCCCAGACCTCGACCCGGATCTCCGTATCGATGTCCACGCGCGTGTACTTGTCCTTGGGGTGCTGGAACTCGCGCCGCGTCATCCCAATGGATATCGGGGCCATCTCCCTCTTCACAGTGTAATAGGCATGCTTTGGGCGGAGATGGTAGTCGCAGATTGACCAGGAAGTGACGGGCCAGCAGTCGTTGATCTGCCACACGAGAGCTCCGCTGCAATACTCGCGCCCGGGACCCTTCCACTGCCGCTTCCACAGCCGGTAGGCAGACGCCAGGCACTCGGCCTGCATCAGCTGAGTGCAGTAGACGAAGTGCTCCAGCGGATCCGGGGCGTAGCGGAAGTTTTCAACGAGGTAGAGCGCGATCCGGCGTTCATGGCCAGCAGCTTTATTGTGGAAGTCCACGGTGGAAGATTGCGGGTATCGGTCCGGATCGTCTTTGCCCAGGGGGAGGTATCCGTCGATGGTTTTGACGGACGGGAAGGCCTCCATGCCGAACTCGGAGACGAAACGGCCGACCAGCTTATCGAAATCCTGGTACTTTTCCTGTGATCCGTGCCAGACGTTCCACTGGTGGATGTCGCCAACCTTGGGATCGCCTGAAGACTTGCCGCCCCAGGGGCTGCCGAAATGGTAGTACGTATCTGGAATGAGTTCCTGACATACGTCGGCAAGGATCTTCTCATAGATATAACGAGCTGGGAAATCCGTTTCAAGCCAGCTATCGGGATCATGATTGTCAGGATCGTACGTGAGCTTCTCGCTCTCCTGGTACTGGTAGTCCTCATTGTTACCCGCCCATATGACGATCGAAGGGTGATGCCTCAGCAAGCGAACGTTCTCCTCTGCCTCTCTCTTGATGGACTGGCGTATCTCGGGCCATGCAGGGTAGTTCCCGCACCCGAACATGAAGTCCTGCCAGACAAGGATACCCATCTCGTCACAGGCATCATACAAGGCTTGCTCCTCATATATTCCTCCGCCCCAGACGCGCATCATGAACTGGTTTCCGTCAGCTACAAGCTTGACCCAATCACGGTATTTCTGTTTTGAGATCCGGGGAATGAAGTTATCTCCCGGGATCCAGTTGCTGCCACCGCAGAAGACGGGGATGTTGTTGATTTCAAAGAAGAAACTCGTCCCCTCTTGGTCTTGGAGGGGTTTCTGAACGAGGACGACCTTTCGCAGACCGATTCTCTTGGTGACCGTGTCTACCTCGCTCTCGCCATCGAGAAGAGTGGCCTTGAACTCATAGAGAGGCTGTGCTCCATAGCGAACTGGGTACCACAGCTCAGGGTTTTGGACTTCAAATGTAGCATTGACGGGGCCATCGCCCAGAATCTCCACGACCTCGGACGTAACATGCTTGTCTCGAAGGGAGATGTCAAACCGAACTCTCTTCGCGGGCCCTTCTACTGGCGCATGGACAGTGACGCTGGCCGATTTGAGCGAGTCCTTGACATTGATATTGGCATAGAGGTCAACGATGCGTGATTCGTAAACCTCCAGGTTGACTGGCCTCCAAGGCCCGCAAGTGAGTAGAGTAGGTCCCCAATCCCAACCCTGCGTATCGGTAAGCTTTCGTCGTGAAACAAGAAGTTCGGTAGGGAACTCACCCAGTGGAATTGTGACTTTCTAACCGCCAACCGCGAGACATCGCCGTTCCAGCAACCCCATTTATGGTCTGGATACTTCTCCACCAGCTTACAGCCCCTTAGGTAGGCGCTGTCGAAATTGATTACCAGCTCGTTCTCTCCCTGAGCTTTGAGTATCTTGGTAACATCAACTCTCTCAGGGATGAACATATTGTCCGTCTCGAGGATCTTCTCCCCATTGAGGACCACAGTGGCAAACGTGTCCAGGCCGTCAAAGGCCAAGACCGCCTTCGCGCCACCGCTGACCTCGGGGCTGGAGAAGGTAGTCCTGTAGACCCATTGCGCCTCTCCGACCCATTGGACTTGGTTCTCGTTTTTGCCAATGAATGGATCGGGGATCAGCTTGTGGTGCAGCAGATCAAGATGGACATTGGTCGGGAACTGGCCGACAGGAAGATACTTGGCATCCTCTTTATCGGCCTGTTTGAATTCCCAATTCTTGTCGATCGGGATCACCTGGCGAGGTGCCATGGTGGCAGAAGGGGGGAAATGCTGGTCGTTGATGATGGATGATGTACTACCAGGCAAGACGAACAATGAAGGGCGAAGCTGCTACAAGTCGCAAGCCGAGCTCTCCAGAGCGACGAACAAGGAAAGAAAAATAAAAGGCGACTAAGATGATGGAAGATTGAATTGCCGGGAAGAATGGTCTGGGCAGGTGAGGGGGTGCGAGTATGAGGTCGTCGTGTTACATTTGGGTGGCTGCAGACATGGCTTAATATACTTCGGCTTAAATGCGTACTCGCAGTTGGAGAATCCTTGTGCTCCCCAATCCACACCCAATGACTCCATCACAACGTGGGCGGAGTCGCTTGCCGACGGGAATTTAAACCGCCGTAATTCGAGAGCAAGTGAACTGATTCCACCAACATTCGATCTCGCTGTCCTTTATCCCGGCTATCCGAGAAAGACGAGACAAATGGAAGTGGACTAGAGTGGTGACACGAAAGCCACTGAGGGAATAATCGATATCCAGTCAGACTGACCGGGCTGCATTATAAAGTATTTCGAGTAAACTGCTTTGTACACCCGTCTCTCAAGCTCATGATAACCACTATCCTGCAAATGAAAAAAAGCTCGACTTCCAGGTCTGCCCTTAATGTATCTCCAAACGCCCAGCCCGCTCATATCAGTGAATGAAAAACAAAAGAAACAACCGAACTCCAACAAGCCTCGTTCAAACAACGTCTTATGATTACCAGGGATGTAGCTTGAAATCCATTTCTCATGACCAAGCTGTTTAGCATGAGGCAGACAATTCAGCAACAACCTCCGCGATTTCTGCGGTGACTGCTGAGTGTGAACACATCCTCCCACTCCCGCAACCCCCAGTTCTGCGTGCGATTTCTCCCTTTCCGTCGTCTCCGTAGGCCGGACGGCCCTTCGTCCACTGTTCCCCCGGTCATCGTGCTCTTGATACTTCCGCCATCACTAGCAGCGTTGTTCCATGCCCCGCTGTCGCCGTATTGGATGCCGCTCATCGGATCATCTGGGTCAATCTCTCCAAGCTCGATTTTGGTGAGAATCATGCCTGCCAGCCGTGAAAATATCTCGTCGACGCCCTCCCCGCTTAGTGCGCTGGCTTCTGTCACGACCGAGATGCCCACCGTACTCGCCCACCTGGTCGCTTCGATCTCGGATACCTCGCGACCCTCCATTGCGATGGTCGCTCTTTGGTGGGTTGCCGCGCTTAGTGAGCCGCCGTGCTCTCTCAAAGATCCCATTCCTGTAGTCGAAACTGATGTCGAGAAAGATTGACTGTCTCTGGGCGTTATCGTTGCATTTGAGCTCACACTACTGGGCGTCGTAGAAGATATACTTGTGTCCACCAGAGGATCGGATATTAGGTCGAGCTTGTTACCAACAAGCATGAGGCTGAGGTTAGGAGATGCCAGCGCGCGGGCATCGTTGAGGAAGGGCTGGATGGCTCGAAACGAAGAGTGGGATGCGATATCGTACACTAAGATGGCGCCGGCGGCGCCACGGTAATATGATCTTGAAACTGATCTGAATCGTTCGGTTCCGGCGGTATCCCAAAGCTACATCTTTGTTCAGCGTCCGGCAAGGCAGGTCGGAGAGCAGGCCGTTTGTTATTTTCCTTACCTGGAGCTTGATCCTTTTGCGCCGCGATCCAGTTCCAACTCTTATGATCTTGCTCGCAAATTCGACACCGATGGTTTGGGACGACAATACTCGCCATTCATTCTTGACGAATCGGTGGAGTAAACATGACCTGTTCGTTGAGCCGGCGTTAGAAGTCGTGGTTCGTCGCTATCACGTATGGAGATCGGTTTGGCTCTTACTTTCCAGTACCACTGGGACCTAATAGAATAATCTTCGCCAAATAGTCATACATGCTACCAAGCTCCTACTACTGTCAGCTACCGGCGAAACGGGTTTTGCGCAAAGTCCTCGTCTTCCGAGGTGGTGAAGCGAACCTGTTCAGGCGCGGTCCCGCCGCTCTCCTCGCTAGCACCAGACGACCGCCGCGGCCTCGTCATCGTTGTAGCGTGTCGCAAAGCCGATTGATTTATGTTAAGTGCGCTCGCATGCCTGGTCCCGGGGATCCGAAGTGCTTCTGAGTATCTGGCTAACGATGCGGGCAGATCGGACAATTTGAAGACAGATGTGACGATGGTATTGAGCAGGGGCAAGTAGCGCAACAATATAACGGTGAAGGAGCATGGGCGATGGATTGCTGGATGATGCCATGCAATTACAAGGCAAGGTGTAGGGGTCCCCTGCTGGTTATGTAAGCCGCCTATCAAGATTCGAAGATAGAGCTGGGACCCCGAAAAAATGGCGTTCAGCGCATCACTTTAAAGTACCCCGGCCTGGTTAGCACATGCATGACCGCATCGGTGATACAATGGAGGTAACAAATCAGCTCCACGGCCGTCATTGCGCAGGATACGCAAAATTCCAGACACGATGGGCTTATATTTTGTTTACCTAAAAAAGATTTTCTGTGTTGTAATTTCCATTGTCAAACACAATTCTGTAGCTGACATCCGATGCGGGGAGCGCAAAGCTACAGGGCTCTGACTTACAGCAGGTAGGGATTAAGTACTACTGAGAAGAGCCCCTAATGACGTTGCCGTGCCGAGGTAGAATTGCAACCAAGACAGCCTCAGAAGTCCTCATTTAAAACAGACTGTCATCTTTTTAAAATCAGGCCAATCCAGTTCTTTGAGAATTCCATCACTAGAACCATTCTATAGCCGTCAACATGAAGATTGAAAATCGCACATTTATTATTTCTGGCGGGTAAGGTTCCGGAGCTCAGTTCACATGTGACACAGAGCTGACTCGGCAATAGAGCTTCTGGCCTTGGGAGAGCCTGTGTGGAGGAGATATGCAACAATGGAGGGAACGTTGCCATACTGGACATGAATGAAGAGCAGGGTCTCGAGTTCGCGAAAGAGCTTGGGGACTCGGCCAAATTCTTTGTCTGCAACGTCCTCGAAACCGAGAGCATCACAGCCGCGGTACAAGGCACCGTCAGCTGGATCAAAGAGACGGGCAAAGCACTCGGCGGCGTCATCCCCGCCGCCGGCGTATCAACCCCATCGACTGTGGGTGGCTCCGATTCTTGTCTTCCATTGGATGGAAACTAACAGGCGAGAGCAGATTCTAGGACGGGATGGCTCAGCATTCAGCTTGGATGATTTCGACTTTGTTCTCAATGTAAACCTGCGTGGGACCATCGACCTCGTCCGACAGTCATTAGAGCAGCTTGCGCAGACCCCGCCATCTGGGCCAGACTCAGAGCGTGGTGTTGTCATCATGGTGGCCTCATCGGCAGCCTTCGATGGCCAAAAGGGCCAAGTCTCGTACTCAGCCAGCAAAGGAGCTGTCGCAGCCATGACGCTGCCAATGGCGCGAGATCTAGCCCGCTATGGTATCAGAGTTGTCACAATTGCCCCGAGCCTGTTCGAGAGCCGAATGACAAGCATGATGTCGGAGAAGGTTAGGAAAAGCCTGGAGGGTGCAATGGAATTCCCCAGAAGGGCCGGCCAGCCAAATGAGTTTGCCCAGCTGGTGAGGCAGGCGATCGAGAACATTATGCTCAATGGCGTCGTGATTCGCTTGGATGGAGCAATGAGGATGCCCAGTAAGATGTAATATTCAAGCCTACCGAATCATTAGCCGCATCAAGATATTACAGCGGCCCACTGCATTGACGGCATTGATGAAATGTGATATATCAGCTATAACTCGACTCTAAGTAGCGCCAATTTAGTAGAAACACCAAAAAGAAATTTGAAGGGATCCTCTCCATTGTATCGAATTACTTTCATTGTCGGTAATAATAGCAGCCTGCTCCGCTGTTGTCATTTAGTGCCGATTGCATGCCACCTGCAGATAGGATTGTGCCTATATCAGTACCAGGTAGTAAGTAACCGAATCAGCCAAAACATGATGTTAAGTTTTCGAAATGGCTCTAGATTGCTACCATCAATATTCCATATCTTAGAATGCCGAGTACTTTTCTTGTAACAACATTGTTAACCTAAGCCTTGTGTGTTATCACAAGCAGTGCGAGACTAGAGGCTGCCAAATATGTCTCCGAGGATGGGCAGAGCCAAAAACTCAACAATGCAGAATAATGTGCGCTGCTCATGCGCTGTATTTCCAAGCTGACATGGCAACACATTCTTCTTGCTGTTGTGTAACATTGATTCCGATCCGGAGACAAGGGTCAAGAGTTGCTGATAATACATAGCCGGTGCTCAGAGGCCAACTAACGTGTATTTCCAATTGCTCTTACATCTCGTCAAATTGACATGCAAAAAGCCAACTTCCTTCAAGAATATGGGGTATAAAACATCCAACCCTACCGCCGAGAGGCCACAAACGCGTGAGCCGGCCTCCTCCGGACGCGGGGCAGATGGTCGGTGATCGGGGGCTGCCGTAAGATCCGATCATACGGAGCTCCGGGACGGCACATGCGGCTGAAGAGACATTGCCTAGATGAGCAAAGCCCAGCAACGCCAACTCGCTGACCGGTGATTTTGAAGTGAGACCTGGTCTCACTGGCAAAACCGTACACAGGCTTGGCCGGCGGCGGACTGGTCCCCTTTTTGCGGCTGTCGGAGCTGTTAGGAAAAGAATCCGTATGACAATAGGATCAATGTGTTTGGCTGCCTCGGATACCGAGTAATCACCGACGTCATCACTGGCTCATCCCGAAAGAGATGACTCTCTCGGCTAAGCTTCTTGAAGAATTCTAGAAGCGCCCCCTGGATGCTGTGAGGGAAAATTTGCCATGGGGTGGGCAGCGAACATCGGTGACATACAGCGCGAGTCGATGCCTGTATCGGCCACTTTAGCGAGGAGCAGCGTTAAGGTCGCCCGCCGACAAGGCTCTAACTCGCTAGAGCCTAGGGGATGGCACCCAGAAATGGATCCGGGCAAGTGCTCGCGGGCTCACTTACAGGCTTCACTCACCGTGGTGGGGGCCAGCAGCGAGCACTCGGCATTAGAACGCGGGGAATTTTCGCAGCAGGTACCGAACTCTCTCTCGGCCACGAGAATGGAATGGACGGTGTTGTGAGCCATCACCGCCGCCCGGGTTGGTCTTCTCTTCTTCCTCTTTCCATCACGCTTGACACCAGATATGTCGACATCGGCAAAAGCCACTAAGAAGAGTGCCTTTTCCTGCGAGCCCTGCCGGAGACGAAAGGTGAGCACAGCGTTTCCTTCTCTTTCGCCCTTCTCCTGCCGGACCAGGATCAATTGAAGCGCGCTGCCGCCTTCAATTCGTCCGTCAAATATGCCTGTCTCACCTGGCGTTCCCCATAATTCCCCTTCCGCCCCGTGTTTGTGTGTTGCTGCGGAATAAATCGCTTACCAGAGTGTTCATCGCACCCCCGACAATAGGTCAAATGTGGTGGTGAACAGCCTGTGTGCAACCGATGTGCATCCCGTCAGGAGGAGTGTGTCTACAAGCTGTAAGTGCAATCGTTCTAGAAAGAAACTCTTGTGTGCTGCGGTAGACCCCGTGGTCGTGTGCTACCTGCGCGCCACATCGCATCGCATTGGATCCTTGTTAACCGGCGCATACCACCTTGTCTTACTCTAGTAACCCGACACTTTCCTATACACAGCGCCTGGAAAAGCGCATCAAGGAACTCGAGGACCATGTTGCGACTCTATCCAAGTCGCCTATCTCTACCCACCCCTCCTCCTCACATTCTAGCCCTCCTTCCTTTAGCTCCCATGATGTCTCGTCGCAAACCAGGCTTGCGGCCGAGAATCATCCCTCCATGACGCGCAAGTTCCGGGGGCTCAAGTTGGACGAGCGAGGCGGCGTTACATATCATGGCGCCACTAGCTTCTTCCACTTGCCCAGCGAGCGCAGCACACCTGGAAATAATTTCCTGCCTCTCACTGAGGCACCCGATCAACGGAGAGAGAGACTTGTTACCAATGCCTGGCAGCAGCGTGCTTTGGAAAACCTCTCCGATATACCAGTGAGTTGAGAACGCATTGTATGCCTGTCTTCTGTGGTTCGGACTAACATCCGCAGGAACCATTTCGCCATCTCTTGAATGTCCATTGGTGTTGGGTTCACCCCCTGTTCAACTTCGTGTACAGGCCGGCCTTCGCTCGTACGCAACTCCCCTCCCATAGTGACCCGTCATCCGGCTTAACTAACAATGCCTTGTTTTTAAAAATCATGCAGGCGACATGCAGTCCATGGGTCCATACTATTCACACACGCTCTTGAACGCCTTGCTCTCTCAGTCTATTCGCTGGGGCAGAAATAATCCTGTCATCAACAGGATCCTTGACGAATCGTACCAAGGCGGTGCCATCTTTGGCAAGCATGCACGTAGCTCTGTCTTCGATGAACTTAGCAACGGCACTTGTACCGTGCCGACTATCCAGACCCTTTTGCTACTCAGTGCTAACGAAAGTGGGCTTGGAAATGCCACCCAAGCATGGACCTACAGTGGCATGGCATTCAGGCTCATGGACCACATGGGCATCTGTGTAGACAACGAGAGGTATGTCGGTTCTGTTCACCTCAGTGATGAGGACGTTGAGATCCGCCGCAGACTTTTCTGGAGCTGCTACTTTTGGGACAAGATGATCAGCCTCTACCTGGGCCGCTCACCCACAATCCAGCACACTGCCGTGTCGCCTCCTCATACCATGTGTAAGTGTTTTGATGGGACACCGCGCTCTCGGATACCATTTCCCAACTGACAAAAATGCGGTCAGTTGATAATTCTGCCGAGAATGATCTTTGGGTTCCATTCGGGCTATCCGGGAATATCGCTGGGAGTTACCCCCCTACAACGGCTCACTCTGCATCGTGTTTCATGAGCATGTGTCAATTGTCCGTAATATTCAATCAGATTCTGGTCCATATGTATGACCCTCTCTTCCAAAATACGGTAGAAGAAGTGGAGGAGTGTCTATATACCCAAGAAGCAGCCTTCCAACAGTGGTGGAACGAGCTTCCTTTGTTTCTGCGCATTGATCCCAACGCATTGCCCTCCATTTCACCTCCTTCGCACATTGTCACTATGAAGTAAGTCGGTGTTACTGACGTACTTGCATGTACCATACCATCCGTCCAAACTAACAATTATAGCTGTCTCTATCATACGTTCAGGATCTTGCTATACAGGCCTATGCTGACTCGAGGTGTCAAAACCGACGGCGAGCCTGCTCCGGTGCACAGTTACCTGTTCCAGTGCGTCACATCGGCAACTTCAATCATCGCCATTTTCAACTTGTTTGTCTCGACGTTCGGCATCAAGTACTGTGTGCTCTCGGTGTCCTACTCGGTCTACATTGCGGCTACAATATATCTTCTACAAGTTCAAGCATTCCCGGGGGACAGCCACGCGCTTCACAGGCTGGCCTTCTGTATCCGGGTTCTCGGTGAAGTCAAGAAATACAGCCCAAGTAAGGCAATCTATCCGCTACTCGAGTCCCATACTTTTTTTCTTCTATGGGAAGTGTCCTTCAAAATACTAACTAAAGTCAGTGCTCGGGGGCGCTTTGAATCTCATCAACAAGGAGCTTGCCATTCTCGGAATCAATATGAATGCTGTCAATCAAGCCTTGCAGACTTCACAAATCTTGCCAATAGTGAACACACCTTCCGAAGCTTCGATGCCCGAGATGCCCGAGGTCGTATATGGCCCTCCCGTACAGGGAGAGCCTTCACAACCGCCACCGACTGGCACCGAATTCCTGTTTCAAGCGCCTATCAATGGAACGGAAGGCTTCAATCCCGAACCGAACAGCCTAGATGCAGGCGTATTCGAGGCCATGTCGACATTGCAGCCTCTGAGTGCCTGGGTTGGCACCATTCCTGAATATAACCAATAAGGATCCGACTATTACTCCGGACATATACTATGCGCTGTTTCGCCCCTTGGTTTTTCTTTCACCAATCAGCAATATTCATTTTAGACCAATTCCTTTCTTTAAGACCTTTCTTTGTGTGTCCTCGTATTTTTTTTGCATTTGGGTAACATGGATCAGTATAAATGTTATGATCATGTTTACCGACAAGGAAGCTTTCGATAGCATTCCTCCACTATTCAGCCTTGAGAATCGCAGTTGCTTATTTTCTTTTTCAAGGGGACATTGAAGCACACTCAGCAGGAGGAGCTTCAAAGTGTATATTTTCAACGACATCATGAAATAGCTGCAGCAACATAGTTGCAAATACAATTGCCTAACCCTAATTTGTCTTCTCCATATATGTGTGAGAGCTGTATACCTCGGAAGCCATATTTCATGAGTTTCTATCAGCATTGCACCCCGAAACACAACAAGACAGGCCTTTGGCTGGGTAGAAAGGTGAGGGCCTTTTCAAAGCAGCAACTACCTCCCTTTTACCCGGGAATTTAGGGCGGCGACAGTATAGACCTTTAATGCCTCATCCCTTGTTGTATTGGTCGTTTCGGTTACCGGGGAAGCGATTGCCATCATTCTCGTCGTTGAAAGAAATGTACCTTCTTTTTATTGTCGCAAGAGTTCTTCCGATCGCGACAGTTGTGTTCTGATAGGTTTAGGTTCTCCAATTTGTTATTTTCAAAGCCACCAGCCGTTAAGAACGCTGCTTCTGGGCTGTGAATAACAGCGATTGTAGCTTCAGTATTCCCAATTGGCTTCTCAAGTGGGCGGTTAAGTAACTTCTCCGCTTTGGAAAATTTACTATCCTCTTCCTCTTTGGTATGACTGATTGCTGTCTCGGGGAAAATGCAGTGACTGAGTGGAAAAAGTGTAGCCTCAGCCTCAGGCCCCCCTGGTGATGCAGCAGCTTGTCCTTGAGGATCCAGCCCATTTTTTTCAGTTAATTCGGCGATGGCTTGTCGATAACCCTAAGGCAGTACAAAGCTCCTCCCGACCATGGAGGCAACCGGGGCCTGACATGATGGTCTGGCTGTGCGATGTCTTGACGAGAATGCACGACATACACTACTCGTGTGCGTTCTCGATGGTAATAGCGCGGAGTCCAGCAGCAGGCGGGAAGGTGATTGTGATGCTTGCAGCTATGTTGTCGAGATACTCGTCATTGGGACGATCGGTAGCTGCCTCACTAGGGGAGGCATGAGCCATTATAGCCTCATCGGGTGAGGCTTCGGTATTCATAGCCTCATCAGGTGAGGCTTCACGCTCCGAGGTGCCAGTCTCGTAACCGCTGGCACCTGAATCCGATGTAGCAATGTCGATGATGTCTGCATTGGCAGGTAATTCGACAGATTCGACAGGTTCCCCCCCGCTATTAAGCCGAGGCTAACGGCAGATAACCCGGATAACAAGTAGTACTAGTAAGTAGAAATCTGGCGTCGGCGGTTTCTATAGATGCTCTTCTGCTTCCTACGCGATCTTTATCGCGGCTGTTGTAACGGTAAATATATTGACTTCCGCGGCCATTGTATCAGTTGAAGGTCCGGTTGTCTTGTTGGCCCTCGTTTCTGAAATAGGTAGCTTGTGACACAGCCCTGAAATGAATGCAACGCCTACATGGTGCCTAAAAGCGAGCCATCCCCAAAGACAAATCATAACATGGCTCAGAGTTTGCACTTCACAGCCAATACCGCCAACGCCTCAGAACTTTCGTCATCCATTCTTCCGCGCAACTTCGCGCTTGAGCATTCGACAAATAAAACAGATAATACGACGACATATCCCGCCATCGCGACAATCCAGCGTGACCAACCGACAGTGGCACCCTGGATGCCCAAGTCTGTGCGATTCATACTTACCTTTCCACCACATATACCCAATTCTAGGATCTTCATTACGTACATTCAAATACCTTCAACCTTCTTCTATAAATTCAAATGCTATCGATCTTCTATAAAAGAATAGACGTCCCAATGGTAGGGAGCCTTTGGCCCTCCCAAGAACTGCCAAAACCCATGGATCCACTGGTCTGAGATATCAGAGGGATTCCATCATATTTATGACGACCTTTGAGTCGGAAAGATTACTGGGAAATCTACCTTGTATATCTACGCGAGGGTACCAGGTGGTCATTGTCTGACCATCATGAAATGCGAGTATATCTAATTACGAGACGTGTTTACCGGCGAAATTATCCACCTCATAAGTATCTCAGAAGCAAGCTTCTTGAGACTACGATCAGAGGTGATAAGAATTGGACATTAGCTGCAGCTCATCTCCTTCTTACGCTCTATCCTACAACATCAACCCTTCTTACATAGGCAATAACCCGTCACATCAACCAACCGATTCCCGAGGGCATAGCGTATGTTGAAGCCACATTGTCTCTCTGGAATGACCTCTAAATTTCTAGTGTCTTCTCTCCATAAGTTCGAGATGTTTGATTACGAATTGCTATAAGGAGTATACAAAAGATTCCTTGGCTCAGCACAGTGCCCGAGTTTCATATACGTGACAAATTGATTTAATGCCCTGTCAAATAAAAGGGAACTCACTTGCTCACAAAATTATTAACACCAGACCCTTGTACATATAGCTCTCACCGAGGCTCGGAGCTGCCCCGCCATTCAATTGCGCAAGACGTATTGCGTTTAGCTTATTATTACGGCGACACTGCCATCATCTCATCTCATCGGGAATAGATACGCTCAGATTGGCGGGGTATCCATCACGTCAACACCCAGATCGGATCCCGCAGCCTAATACGCAGGCGAAAGAAAAAGGCTTAGACGGCCCAAGCCACTGGTTATAAATCAATCATACAGGCAGTCCGCACCTCATATACCGTGAGCTCCTCTCCCATTCTCCCTTGACAAACAACAGCAAACAGCTCTCATCTCATACTAAACACCAAGGTTTAAAACAGGACTCCTCGCATTAATATCACAACCATGGCCAACCACCTCCCCCCCCTCCTCGCACGCCTCATCCGCCCCTTCACCTACTCCGCGCGACTCTCCCTCGCCGCGGACGGCGGCGCAGGCGGCGCGACCACCCAGCGCTGCACCATCGCCTCCGGCTGCTTCTGGGGCACCGAGCACCTCTACCGCAAGCACTTCACCGGCAAGGGCCTCATCGACGCCAAGGTCGGGTACACGGGCGGCGACCTCAACGACCCCAGCTACAAGGTCGTCTGCGGGGGCAAGACCGGCCGTAAGCTTTCCCTTCCTTCCAAACCTCTCCCTTAACCTCGCCCACATAGCTGACGGGGGTAAAACATGTAGACGCCGAAGCTGTCGAGATCCTCTTTGACCCCTCGCAGGTCACCTACCGCCAGCTCCTCGAGTTCTTCTACAAGACGCACGACCCCACCACCCTCAACAGTCAGGGTCCCGACCGCGGGCCCCAGTACCGCTCCGCCATCTTCTACCACGACGCCCAGCAGGAGGCCGAGGCCCGCGACGTCACGGCGCGCGCCAACGAGCAGTGGTGGAAGGGCGGCATCGTCACCGAGATCTCCCCCGCGGGCCAGTGGTGGAGCGCAGAGGAGTACCACCAGCGGTACCTCGAGAGGACGCCGGGGGGCTACGAGTGCCCTACGCACTTCATCCAGCCTTTCCCGCCCTTACAGTAGGATGGGTGTGTGTGTGGGGAAATTCATGATGAGAACATTAGGTAGTTTAGGGTTGTTACACCTCATTTAAGTTGAGAGATGAAAAAGAACGAGTAATTTTAAGACATTTTATCAGATGGGAGCAGCTTGTTCTTTCATATCACTGTGATGAATATGCAGAGGTCGCGGTTTGAGCTTGATGTATTTATTGTACAATAATCTGAGTTGTGTTACCTGATGATATATCCTACATATGGACTGCGCATTCTGAATCCTCACTTCCCACCCAGCCTTTTATCGGGTAGTATGGAAACACTCTCCATGCAGGGCAGGCTTGCTTTGATAGCCTGACGCTGCGTGCAGATAATAGGAGCGCAAACAAGTCATATCTGTTGTGATGACAGCTGTCGCAATGGCGATTGAGACGCCAATTCCAGACTTGTCAATTATGCTGCTTCCATCTCATGATAAAGGCATAATTTTCAATTATTAGAAACTAGGGGAATCTTCGAAGGACAGAGAGGGAGGTTTTCTTTTTTAAACTCCGCAATAGTGAAGATGAATGGTGTAACCTGAGACTTTAGAGAAAAAGGCGTGAAATCCTTTTTGGATTTACTTCCTCTTGTTTTGTTGCAGCATAAGGATCTGCACCATGCGGATAAAGATGTTGAGGAAGTCGAGCTCCAGGGAGATGCTCTCGTTGACAGGGTCACGGCGCATCACACCAGCCTGGGCGAGGCGGGCGTGGTAGAGAACCTTCTGGACATCGTACAGGGTGAAACCGCCGAATACGGCCAGACCACCGTAGAGCCACAGGTTCTCGGTGAAGGCGAGCGTGCGTACAGCGGTGACGGGGATCACGAGAGGGGCGAGTCCGGATGCGGCCACGATAGCAGCACCAGCCAGGAGGGGACCACCAATGTACAGGTACTTCTCCTGCTTAGCAGTGGCACCGACCACTGACAGAGCACCCATCATGGCGATGGTGTAGAGACCAGCGCGACCGAGAAGAGCGCGGGGAACGAAGGCCAGAAGAGGGGCAACGAAAGCGGCCTGGGTGGCGTTGAAAGCGGTCCAGAGAGCGTACTTGGGGACATAGCTATTTCCATACAGTCAGCTCTATTCGTTCCAAATCGTAGATTATGAGATTAACTTACTTATCAGGGCTGATGGACCGGGTTCCAATCATGGTAGCGAAGCTCAGAGCCAGACCACCGATACCAACGACCCACGGGTTGGTGACCATCAACCGGTACACGAAGCCAGTCTGCACCATCTGCCGGGCCGTCAGGCCGATGATGCCAATGCCCAGACCGGTGTGCAGGAACGTGTTGTTCAGGTACTCCCGCTCGTACACGGGCATGCCGCCGTCGTCCCTGGTCTCGCGGTTGAAGACGAGGTTGATCGCGACGAGGGTGCCGCCGAAGATGGCGCCGCCGACCAGCAGCTTGCGCATCCCCGAGCCGGCGAGGGCGCCCTCCTGCTGCTGCGCCTGCTGGTAGTACGACCGGGCGGCGCCGCTCGCGCGCGCAAAGGCATTCTTGGACGCCCTTTGCGATGATGAGGCGATTCGGGATGTGAAGAAGCTGGCGCTCATGCGCTTCATGGGCTGCTGGTGGAAGGCTCGTGCGGGAGCGGCGGATCGGAATGCGGACTTGGACAGCACCTGGGGCAGTTGGTGCGCCAGCCGCGGGCCCTGGCGGACTGTGATCGTGAACGACATTGCTGGTAGGGTCGCTCTATTGACTGTCTTGAGATCTGTGGGTTGGAGTATGTGATTCCGGGGTTGTTTGTGAGGTGAATGGGCGAAAAGGGAAAAATATAACGACCTTGAGGGACGGAGGCGGGGATGAGTATTTGACACTCACTGCGGCTGCACCTGAGGCAAACGATGTGACGTCTGTCCGTGCGAAGACCTGGAGCTTAGCAAAGTCCGGAGTCACGTGCAGCGAATGGAAAGAGGTGGAAATTTTCCCGCGCCTACCAGAAGCCGGTGTTAATCAGCAAGTCGGAACCTGGCCGTAGCGTCATGGGTCTCCAGCCTGCTGTGACTGGCCAATTGGCCCTCCAGCACACTGGTCCAGAGAATTGCTGAGGCTCGCTTCAATATCAGGGCCCGAGATGCTCCGCGCCCAGTCACTTACCAAGCACGACGAGCACAGCCCTCGGATTTACTCTCTCGCAGATAAAATATCCAAGCCCGGATCACCGAGAGTCGTACAGTTCATATAAATAAAATGCCTAATTAGATATCAGATAGGATCTATTCGACATTGATGCTTATCCCCACCGGTCCATTCGTTACACTGAAGGCCGAACTGCCTGCAAAACCACCACTCTAAGACAGTTGGTTTTTTTTTTCTAAAAGGACGAAACAAAACACCATACATCATAGCTCGCATGTTATCCGTCGTAGCCCAAATGATCAGCAGGGTATCATATCCTGACGCAACTGAGTTACACAGTCCTGGTCTTACCATGCCCCAATACCCATATGCACCAAATGCACCACGGACCAGAAATCCCTTTTTTTTTGCCAATGTGCTCGAGAAACAACCCCGTTGGTAACTTTTACCCCTCCATCGCAATGAGAGTATCCAAAATCGTCCTGCTGGTAGCAATGCTTGACATGTGGGGATGTTGAGCTTGTACCGAAAACGAGTAGTACAACCAGTTCGTAACAAAAGAAAATCATAATAAACAAGACGTCATATCATATCAACGCAAGCCGTCGGTCCCCTTTTCGATGATGAACCGAACAGGGCGCCTTGGTCTCCTTCCCAAAACACCGGTTTGCGTGAGGTAGCTTGGTGTGGTGAGCATCGCAACACTCATCTTGCCCGGCAATGCGGTTTGCTCACTTAAAGGAGGGCTCAGAATCGGCGAGCGCCACGCCGCGATTTGCTCGGGGGTCTTCGGGAAGCGATTGTCGTAACCCCATCTCTCTACTCCCCCAGTACGGATCCAAGGTTCCAGGTTGCGGCACTGACTCGCGTCAAGCCACTCAAGCTGGGTGCAGCCTCGGAGAATATTCTCCACACCCTTTCCAGTGACACGGACACACCCTCGGACACTAAGTCCCTCCAACTCGTTGAGATGTAGCGCAATGCTTTCCAAACTGGCGTCACTCACGGCACTTCCACAAAATGCCAGCTTGAGTTCCCGGAGCCTGGGGAGGCCGAGAGCCACAACCTCAGTGGCCGTGTCGGATAAGGCGCAACAGAATGACAGATCCAGATGCGTTAGATTCTTTGCGGAATTGACAAGCGCCACAACGGCGTTATCCGAGAGGTAGGTACAGTCTGCCAACCCCAAATTCCATAGCCTCTCAAACTTGAACGAAGCCCAAGATTGGAAACCTGCATCCGAGATCGATGTGCAACGAGTCAGAGTTAGGGATTCGATACGGGTTGAGGCATGCGCAGCTAAGTGAGCCATGGACCTATCCGTTATATGTTTGCAGTAGGAAAGGTTGAGTTTCCGCAGCTTTGGGCATCCGATGACGGTTCCTGGCGCTGGCATGTTCTGAGGCCTCTGAGATTTCTGCTGCTGCTGCTGCTGTTGCTGCTGCTGTTGTTGTTGCTGCTGCTGCTTCTGTTGCGACCTCGTCTTAGGTTTGGTACTCGAACTCGAAATGACAACCTGCCTATTCGTATTTGACGGCGGAGGCTCCGGTACAACCCAGCCAACAACACGCCCTAGCAGATTGTCCCCAACCTTGCGGCAGTTACTCCAGTCGACCTCTTGCAGACTCTTTGCATTTTCGCTCATCTCCAGGATCTGGCTCGCCGAAACATCCCACACGGACCGCATTCTCCATACCTTCACATTCTTACCACAAGCCCTCCACAAGGTCGAAAACCCTTCGTCGGATATGTGGAAGCAATTATTAAGGTCTATTACCTGGGCGCGCGAGCCAATGAAGGGGACTAGGACTTCTCGTATTACGGCGTCTGTGACCTTGCGGTTGTAAATTGAGAGGTCCACCAGATGGCAGATTTTATCCGAGGTATGCAGAAGCCTCTTCCAGTGGCTATGTACCAGACGAAGACGAAGAAGCTCTCCAATATCAAGGGAGCCAAATATTCTCACCAAAACGTCGTCTGGAAATGTAGGCTGCAGCACCTTATGGGGACGACGCGGCAGCGTTTTCACTCTCTTAGCGGGTAGATCGGAGTCTGGCGAGAAGTCTGCTGTTGCAAATCTGGCAGGTGTGATCCTCAATGCTTGGGGGCGGAGACCATTCGCCAAGGGGGACGAGTTGTCCGGGAGAGGGGTCGGTGGTGCCAACGAATGTCGCCGTCGGTTCCTCAGATTTTCCATGTCGACGCTCAGGAAAGGGTCGGGGTCCTTGGGCTCCATTCGTTCGGGCTCCTCCTTGCTAGGTGAACTTGGCTTCGAGGGAGAGGTGAATGTGAGATGGGGGGAAATGCCTAACGGTGCTGTAGGTGTAGTTGGTGTTGGCGGGTCGGACTTGCTGGCTTTCGACTGCGATTCGGTACCAAGCATATCAACATCATCATCCTGCTTGCCGAAACGCAAGCGCGCCGTCTCTTCCACTTGAGATTTTATATCGGGCGGACACCGCCTCCAGAGCTCATTCAGAGTGTCCCCTGGGATCACTAGGCACTCGACAGTGGTGATTGACCGGACCGTTGCGGTGCGCCCTGGGGATAGCCCCAGGCTGGTTACCTCCCCGAAGTACTGGCCCGCTCTTAAGCGCGGGCGCTTTTGAAGGCGAGAGAGGCTATCCGCGCCCTCCTGCATTTCTTTCGGGGGGTCATGAACTACTTCTGCTTCTCCCCTCACGATGAAGAATATGTCATTGCCAGGCATACCCTGTCGAATAATGTCGTTAAAGGGGGCATATGCTCGCGGCTGAACGCTCAACCCAAGGAAGTGGAGAATATCAGGCGGGAGGTTCGAGAAAAGAGGAAGCTCTTTCAGCGTCTGCCGGATATTGACAAACCCGCTCCCAATGGCACTTCCAGCGGCTGGATCCTCTATAACACCGGGACTGGGAGACTTGCGCTTCTTCGTATTTATCACAGCGTGATCTCGGATGGACCCTGTCTCTCCTGTGGAGACCTCGCCGGGCACTGCTTCCCGAGATGAAATTTCCCCCGTTGGGGGTTGTATTTTCGGGCGTCCCTCTTGACGCTGTTTCTTCAGGAGGTTCAACCTCTCCTGGGCTTCATGCCGAATTGCCTGCTCCATTTCAGGGAACTTGGGCATGACGGCTTGCAGATCCTCCTTCTTCAAGACCAGCAGTAAACATTTCGTCCGCGCCACAATGGTGGCAGTCCTGGGCACATCCATGAGCACTCCAATTTCTCCAAAAAATGAACCAGGCTTGAGCTCAGCATAGACAGCCTCGCCGTCCCGAGATGTGACTGCCACCACACCACGCACAAGCCAGTACATTGCCTTCGCATCATCTCCCTCTCTTACTATATGATCATGCATAGCATGAATCTGGGGTTTCAGATGGTTTCCAATCTCAATGAGAAACTCTTCGGGGGCTGACATGAACAGCGGGAAGGACCTGATTCGGTCGACCAAGTCCTGCGGCATGTCCCGAATTATCGACGCCGTAAGAGGCGAGGGCCGTATAGGACGCGTCGGGTTGTTTTCGTTATTGAAGGACCGGATCAGCGATGCGGTATCCCTTCCTTTTGACGAGGCGTTTGCCATCTGGTGGTGCGCCAGCGCCCTGTATGGCGAAGGCGAGCTCGGGGAGCGTGCCCGCCTCATCTTGCCGAACTGATTTGCGTCGAAGCAGAGATGTGTGGTCCTCCACTATCCAATCCAGTTCCTTGGCAAGCAGTGCCACCATGAGCCGCCGGCGGCAAGCCCGCTATGGCGCGCTTACTGGAGGGGCCAGCTGTTCCGCCTCAGTGTCGAGCGTCGTTTTATTACACGGGCAAGTTCGGTAACACTAGATAACATGCTACGCCTAAATGTGGCCTCGGATTGCGTGGGGGCAGAGAGTCGGGCGCTTTCGGTGTCGCAAGAGGGTCGTGTTGCAGTGACTTGGAATGGAAAGGTTCTTGGGGTGCTGACAAGAGCACGCGGGGATCGTCCTGTTGATCTTCGCGGGGAGAATCCAGCCGCGGACAGAGGAATTCCGTTGTCCCGACGCAACGCAGGGCTGTCGTGCAAAAAGTAAACAATGTATCGACGTAGAAGTGTCGCTGGAGGCAAACTCGGTTCGGGGCTCCCAAAAAGCCTTCAGAAAGGTCCGGAGCACATGGCGTACGAGGATGATGTGCCAGTCGGATTTTCAAGGTCTGTCCGGAACAGAACCCCTCTTCGAAAGGCGTACAGCACACAGAGTATCGTGTGGGCGGGACGCTTGCGCGACGATGCAAGAACCAGGGCTCTGGCTCGAAGCGAGCGATGACGGACGAATTGGCGGATCGCAACGTGCTAACAGGGTGTGCAGAGGATTTAGCGGTTTCGGGCCTAACAATAGATCAGGAGCGGTTTTCCGACAGGTGCTGCCAATGCCGAGCAGCGGCAGACAGAAGGGCGATGGCAGGGACTCGCACAGGGGCGCAGGTCTTCACACAAGACGATAAGGGCAGTATCGGTCACACGCGATGGCGCGGGAAGCCCAGATGGACGAGGTTCTGGAAGACGGATATTCGACCTTAGCAAGCTCAACGTGGGGTAGCACCAGAGCTCGGGTGCTCATGTGGTGAGGGCTACCACTGCCGCTACCGCTACCCTACCTACCTAACGTGCTGGGAACAGCCCCAAGAACGGACCAAGGCTAGCCGGGACAGTGCGAGCCCAAGCAGATTGCACCAAACCCAAACGCGATGGCTGGCCCGGGCCCCCACTGATGTGCTGATGTGCCTCGTGCCCGTCGCCGCACGCAGGGAGAGTGGATGAAACTTGAGCAAACTACCTGCATGCCTACCTTGCATGTACCAACCGCCGGAGCACCTCACCAACCAGCCTAGGTAGGTAGGTAGGTAGGTAAATAAGTTGGCAGGGTGGCGCCATCGAGCTACATGACGACAAAGAGCAGAGACCGGCCATGTTGTTCGAGACGCAAGCCACTGGATGCGCTAACTGAGATGGTGCCTCCTCTTCGCCTTCTGGCGCCACCTACAATCAGCTTGATAATGGGCATACCGACCGGCAATCTGGGTATCCAGATACGTGGGTAGGTAGCTTCCATTTGGGGGTAGCTTACATCCACCTACGTAGGATACCTATCATGCATATGCCCTCAACTGATGGGCAGGTATTATCTCGAGCAGTAGGTAGGATCCGCAGTAGATAGCTACTAAGGAGGACCGGGATTGATGACCAACGACTGTGCGCATACCTACCTACTCAGTGATTAACCAGCCAGAGGACGGGGGCAGCGGATGGTCCCGAATGTTGAGATTGTCGCGTGTAATCACCTCCAAGCAAACCCCAATTGTGGACAATTTTTCATCTACGACCCGACCACATTGCCAATCTGAGCAAATAAATGTAGCAAGTATATTCCTGACTCTACTCGTCCCTTCCCACCCAAAAAAATAATCCTCGATAGCGACATGAAAACTCCCCGAAATCCACTATGGTATTTGTAAACATTGACTGGCCATCATCGTAAATCGAAACTCGTAAAGCTACTCATCAAGGTGCATCCAGTAATCTCATCTCTCTTTACCCAACGCCGCCAACACCGCGCATCCATGCAAGGCATTGCTTCTCTTGACAAATCATAAAAGGAACAGAATTAAAAGGTCGGCCTGTTCATATCGCTCACTCGTCCATTGGTTGAATCTCATCATCTCTCATGTCGTCGGTCCCGAGCTCTCGCTCGAGCTCGTCAGCCACGAACCCCTCGTAGTCATCCAGGTTCTTCTGCACGTGGATCTTGAACTTGATAACATCGTTGAGCATGCGATCAATCTCTGTGTGGAGCTCCTCTCTCAGTGAGTTGGCCCGTAGAACAAGCTGTTCATATCTGCATAACTGGTCAGCGAGATGTATAGTTGGAGCTCCATGTAATGTCCAAAATCTTACTCAATGGTGGTGTTGATCTCGCGCTGTTCAAGCACCTGAACAGTCTCGGCCAACCCTGCCCGCATACGCGAGAGCTCCCTTTCCATCTTCTCAATCTGCGTATCCGATGCCATCTTTTGTGCCTGTGTGACTTCCTTGGTCTTCTCATATTCTTCCTCGGCAGCACGCACGCGATGGTTCAATGCCTCTACTTCACTGCGCTTTTCCTCAATGGCATCTTTGATACCATCTAGCAAGTCGTGATCCTTCATCATGTCCTCCATGGCCGCACTACGTCGCTCAGAAATCTCTTTCCGCAGCGCCAGGAAGGATCCTCTCAAAGTGCCACGGAGATCCAAATTCAAAATATGTCCAGGCTGGTATCCCGTCATTGGATCCTCAAGGAGGCGCTCGGCTGATGAATTCCCGGACGATTTCAGCAAATTCGAAGAGGTGAAGTCCGAGTCGTCGCTAACCATGACTTGGAGCTCGTAGTTCTGTCCATTGGCGTTTGCTGCCGTAGCAGGGATGAGGGCAATTTGATATGCCAGCGTGTTGTACTGGTCCACGGTCCGCTCCAGTTCGTCCAGCCTCCGACTCGCCTCTGCCTCCTTCTCTGCCACCTTCTTCTTCGCCTCCTCCAGTCTGTGCGTGGTCGACTCGACGCCCTTTTGCAGTCTGTCGCGCTCAGAGTTCATGCGGTCGATATCCTGCATGCTGATACCCTGGGCATCAACCGTTTTCTGAAGCTTGCGCCGTTCCTCCTCCGCTTCGCGCAGCTCCTCGTTGAGCTTCCCCATCTCATCTTCAAGCACCTGGATGCGGCTCTCGTACTTCTCCGAGCGCTGTTCTGCCAATGCGTTGTATTCCTCAAACTTCGCCTTGTCTTCCTCCATGATCTTGAAATGATTGTCAAGCACTACAGGGTCGGGGGTGGATTTTTCCAGTTCCTCAATTTCCCTGAGCAGACGAGTGTTTTCGGCCTCAAGCATCTCCAGCTGCGACTGGTACTTAGAGTTGGAGTGTTTGAATGCCTCCGCCATGGCTTCGACGTGGGGTTCCAGGATTCGCTCCGCATCTTGGTCACTTCTGTCCGGGGCTATCCAATCTCGGTATCCGTTGCTGAGGAAGTCGAATATTATGCGGTCCCCGCTGAGATCGATGCCCTCCTCCATGCAAGCGTCATCGTATTGGCCGCTGGAGTACCCGTCCAACATTTTTGCCAACTGCATCATCCAGTGCAGCAACCCAAGAAATGTGCTCCAGTTCTGGCCGCCTACTGCCGCAATCTGGCTCTTGGTGATGCTCTTTTCGAATGGGTACCTGAGTTGCTTTAGGATTGGCGGTACTTCTTGGTCGATATTCTTTTGGAAGCGATGACTGGGGTCGATGCGATGATATAGCCACTGGAACATATAGTTGAAATCCTTCTGTGTTGGCGATTTCATCGCATTCTGCGACAAGACATGGTTCATCTCGAGCTCGAAGTTATGCTGCGCCATGTATTCTACCAGTTCCTGTGCGATCCGGGCTTGGAACGAACGATCTCTGAGAGGACGAGGATCGCGGGGCACACCTGCAGCTTGTGGAGTGACCTGGAAAACGCTCTGGCTGCTGGTAGGAGCCGCGGCAGATGGGCGCGATTGGAAAACGCTGCTGCGTCTATTGGTATCCGCTGGTGCCCTCGAAGCGCCCGGCGCGAAGCTGGCTCTTGGTGGTCGAATGGCCGAAGCGAGGCCAAGATCGGCCAGATTCGTTCCCGAGGATGAGCGCTGGAAGTGTGGCTGGTTCGGTCTCGACATGGCAAGGGAGTGCCTAGATCCCGACATGGAGCGAACATGGCTGTTTGTATAGTTGCCGCCGGTGTTGCTCGAGTTGGAACGCTTCATCGTCGAGCCGGGCTGAGGAAGACCAGAGTTCAGATTCAGTCCACCAAGGGTCTACACAAAGAGTCAGCGTGCCACCAAATAAATGCGACAGTCGCCTTCTCGATGCGATTGTGATTTGTGACGCGGCTACTTACCTCTCTTGGCCTGCGGACACTCCACAGACCTGTGTCTTGCGACATGGCTTTCCTTTTTTTGGTTGATTAAACCGTCTGTTTTAAAGCTAGACACTGGATTGTATCACCAAAAAAAAATTAGTTTGAAAGTAAATTCGCTGTGCTTTGCGCGCGCAGGAACGATGCTGTAGCCAGTTAGTTGGGTTGCAATGTTAGGCAGGGCACTTTACGGTGAGTCTGCGATCATAAACAAAATGGGAGGCATGTGGTGGGGGTGGCCCTGGTTGCTCGTTGCTTGGAGCCAAAGTAAACAAAGACAAGCTTCGCAGGATCTAATTGGCCCACATGAGGCGCTCCATCTCATAGTGCAAGGTCACGTGCTGCTCCAGATGAGACGTTGAATGGGGTTAGCCTGTCTTTGTCAGCACCCCGAGATCGAAACCGATGCCTCGGCCCAAAATCGGCATGCTGCTTTCCCCAGCCTCATGCCGCACATGTCGATGCAGCGACATTCCGTCGCCTCTATATATCACGATTGACATCACTACATTCCTTTTTCCTTGGTGATGAGCTGAAGCTTAACTTAGTCTTGTTGTTCACAATGGCAATCCGCGATGACCTCGTCGCGTCTGCAGTACGTCTTCTCGGCAAGCGTCCCGAATTGGTTCAGGAGATGGTCTAACTCTCAGCGATAGGTGCAATTTCTGCAAGACCCGAGCGTCGCTTCCTCATCAGTCGAGAATCGCATTTCGTTTCTACGGAGCAAGAATCTAACTCAGGAAGAGATTGATGTCGCGCTGGCCAGAACTGGGGGAAACGCGCCCCCTTCACCACCCTCCAATACGCCTCCGTATCCCTCCAGCCCTCCCGCTCAATATTATCAACCCTATCCTCCTAATGCCTGGCAACCACAACCTCCTGCCCCTCTTCGGCGGGACTGGAGAGACTGGTTCATCATGGCTACTGTCGTAGGTGGCGTTAGCTACGGCATTTACTCATTGGGCAAGGTAGGTTACGCAAGGCAAATATTCAACACATGTGACGAGGCTGATCAATATATCATAGCGCTATGTGATGCCTCTGGTCGCACCACCGACGCCAGAGAAGCTGGAGCAGGATAAGAAATCGATCGAAGAGCAATTTGAGAGGTCATTTGCGCTTGTCGAGCAACTTGCCAAGGACACGGAGGAGCTGAAGAGCGCCGAAAAGGAGAGGACGGAGAGACTGGATAAGGCGATCGGTGATCTGGAATCCGTCATGTCAGACCTGAAGTCAGCCAACCGACGACGCGAAGACGATGCTCAGCGCGTCAGGGATGAGATCCAAGCGCTCAAGGATGCCATTCCCAAGGCTCTCAGCAACCAGAAGGAAATGGCCGAGAAACGACTGCGCGAGATCAACGGCGAATTAACCAGTCTCAAGACCCTTGTGTCTCAGCGTATGACGGCCAACACTGCCGGCTCACCATCCACCACCGTCAACCCTCTGCGCACACCCGCCGCTCCTACAACCCCAGCAACTACTATGCCTGCGGCTACAGGTAACACCCTGGGCAGCTCCAGCGCATCCGCAGGAGAGAGTGCAGCAGCTGGTTCCTCGTCAACTCCTACCACCGAGGCCCCTAAGGCTACTCCCGCCCGTGCTACCGGTTTGACAAATGGAAAGCCAGCTGGAAAGGCGTCCATTCCGGCATGGCAGATGGCTCTGTCCAACCAGAACGATGATGCTAGCGGGTCCAAGGACAACCAGGCTGCATCATCTTCGTAGTTTTCTAGCCTTCACGCCAGTATAACACTGGACGCCATGTATTTTATTTTGTTGAACATACATACCATAATCAGGGTCATTTTTGGGTACACAAACAATTTTCATATGCATTATATTGTACTACAGAATGCATGCGCATTGCAAAGATGAATTGCCTTGCTTAATTTAAGTGAAAACCTACATGGCCTGGTCAATGCAACTCCAGACTCGAATGTTTGCCTATTCCCAACCTGCTGCGAGCAATACGTACAACTTAGGAATATCATAAACATAACCATGCTCCTGGGTTTGGCGCATGCACGGACTCCCTAACAACTAGGTCCTATAAAACGCGACACAAGGAACTTAGTTTGGGGAGAGTTAGGCTCAGCAGGATACAGCATATAACAGCTTGGACACCAGAAAGTACTATATTTGTTCTTTCTGGCTAGGAGTAACCAGTCAGCCAAGCCGTCCCGGTACCGTGCCACCACATTTTCCCCAGCTATCACCAAATTTTCTACTCATCCTGGAAGCCTCACCAGAGTGCGTCCCGCCAGCCAACCAGGCGGCTATCAGCTTCAAGCATATCCAGGCATGGCCCCCACACCCGTTCGTTGATCGAGGACGAACGGCTGCATAGCCGCAACCATTTCCCGTTTTGGCAAGCGTCAGAAATATTAGCTACTGCAGGATGTCCTGTCTCCATCAGCCGCAAGGGTCTTCCCACCATGCCTGACGTCGATTGCTTTAAGACCAGACCAACGGAGCAGCCTCCCCGAGGGTCATCTATGTGCCGAGGCACATCCGTCTTGCAAGTGCAGGTAGCTCCCCTAAATCTGCCTCGACTCACCAACCGGGATGTAGTTTCCTCCGTCGGCCATTGCGATCATGTGAATTGCCTCCGAAATATTGATACCTATGCTCCTGTCTACCTCAGCTTTGCCCTAAGCTGTAATACTTAGTAGGTACCGTAGGTAGGGTGTTTATTTTCGGTCGATATTTGCTGCCGGAGCCTCCACCTGTGTGTGTACCTACCTAACTTGAGATCCCTGCTCAGCTCTTGTACAAGAACTTGGGAAGTAACAGGGCAACTAGCGGATGGAGGGAGTTGCCGAACCTTGCTCAAACAATAGAATACCAGTTACTGGACTCCCATGCCGCCCACCCAGCCCATTCACCTCCATGCTGCCACTTTATCTTGGCGTCATCGGTATGGACCGTCCCACTTCTCCCGGTCCAGGGTCCGTACCATAAACCAGCCGTGCCTCCGATTTATAGTATCTGTAATCCCCCCTCCTAGACATATTCTTTGATTCAATCTTCCTCTCTGCCTTGCCTGACTCTTCAAATTTGGCCGAAATGGATTCCCCGAATCTCAAGATGCTGATTGTGCTTCTCCCCAAGCTACCTCTCGTCGTAAGGGAGACTATCACGCACATCCTAGGCCTTTCAGAACCATCAAAATACTTGGACCTGCACTCGGCCCTTGTCATATCCGTACTCCGTTCCATGATAGAGCCATCGGCCTCCAGGCCACAATCAATCTCCTCAGTTCAAAAGCTCACGCTCAAAGACCCAGGTGTCAAAGGCAGGTTATGGGTCAGCACATATGCATCTCCGCCTCCGCCAGAGACAAGTATTAGAGACGAGCTCATGCAGGCTTTGGGGGATATGAAGGGCAGTCGTCTCGAAGGTGCTCAGATAACCCCTCCGGGACTAATCAGTGTCGAGGCTGAGTGGACTGGATATCGGCCGGCGGCGTCTCCAAAGGAGCCCCTTCCCAGTGTCTCGAATAAGGAGTTATACAGCAAAATGATGGAAGACTGCAGCCAACCGACAACTATCCTGTATCTACATGGCGGCGCCTTCTATGTTTGCGACCCAATAACTCATCGTCCTGTAACATCAAAGCTGGCAAAACTGACAGGGGGACGATGTTATTCGGTGCGGTATCGCCTTTCGCCACAGCATCCCTTTCCAGCTGCCTTATTAGACGCCTTACTCTCATATATGACTTTATTATATCCACCCCCGGATGCCTATCACGAGCCCGTGAAACCCCAGCATCTTGCCATTGCAGGAGACAGGTAGGTTTTTCTGACATGTCACATTTCTTGATACACAAAGCTGACCTCGCTGTAGCGCCGGGGGAAATCTGTCACTGGCCCTATTACAACTCTTACTCCAGCTTCGAAGAAGAAATGCGACCATACTATGGCACGGAGAACGTCGGGAAATACCCCTCCCTGCTGCCGTGGGCTGCAACTCGCCCTGGCTAGACATAACCCAGAGCTTTCCCTCATGGGAAGGCGATGGGTGCGCCCCCTTTGACTATCTCCCCAAGCCAGCGACGGTAGAAAAGGCCGGCGTGAAAGACTGCGCGGTGTGGCCTGCCAGCCCGCCTCGGAAGTACCTTTACGTCGACGACGAACTCGTTACACACCCTCTCGCGACCGTGCTGATGAGCAAAAGCTGGGAGGGGGCTCCGCCAGTCTACATATGCACGGGGTGGGAGATACTCGGGCCCGAGGACAAGTTCTTCGCTAAGAAGCTGGCCGCCGACGGGGTCCCGGTGGTATTGGAGGAATACGAGGCCATGCCGCACTGCTTCGCCGCGATCCTGACCAAGACGCCAGGTGCGAGGCGGTGTTTCGATGGGTGGGCTGGGTTCATCCGAGCGGCGGTATCGAATCCAGAAAGTGCCCCCGAATCAAGGGCTGTGGTAATCGAAGCCAAAACTCTAAAGGAGACGCGTGTTGAGTTCGAGAGTCTGAGCACTGTTAGCGAGGAGGAAATTCAAGCTCGGATACTCGCCAAGGCTGGTCTCACACCACTTGCATCCCAAGCTTTACCGAAGCTTTGAACGAGGAACAGGCCGAGTTTTGAAAGGGTTGCGGCGTTTGCTTCACAATTACAGCCAGGGTCGAATAGTTGAAGCCATCTCTGGTTGGAATTGGGAAACCAGCAGAATACGAGCTCGACAGTGGGAAAGAAGCTGTCGTTAAACCAGAAATCCGGGTACAAAGCGTAGATTCTAAGTGTAGTAGATCGGAGTTTGAGTATTGCGAGAGGTCTCTCTTTTAGTAAGGTATGAGCTCATGACTATCAATTGACGACTATTATATTATATATCACTTCTAGGACTGAGCTTTGACTTTTCTTGTCCAATCCCTAGATTCTTTTCTAGAAGCTTGGTAACAAGTTCTAACCTTGGACCGGTATGATTGAAGACAGAGTGACGTGGATATTACGCCGAATCTAACCTCAGCTAGACTGGTGCTGTAGATGTGTGGGGGAAGTTTCGCTATGGCAACCTAGTTATATAACATTCATCGAATATTAGTTAAAGCAGAAGGAGAAAAATGTAGGGCAAGGAAGCCTGGTATTTAAGTTGACCATGATTGTGGGTCAAGTGCCATCGATGAAAGATACACCGCTACACCAAACGTAACCTGCGATACTGGATTTGAGCCCTTGAAGAATGAGTCACCAAACAGCGATTGAGAGTGACAATATCGTTGGCCAGCGCAAAGTCTGAATTGTCGAGGTTATGGCACCCAAAGAAATTCTTCTTATAACGGGCAATACCAACAAGATAGCCGATTTTAACGCCATTCTAGCTCCTGCAGGAATCATTGTCAGAAATCAAGCCGTTGACTTACCTGAGATACAAGGCTCCATTGAAGAAATAAGCATTGCAAAATGTCGAAAAGCCGCGCAGATTGTAGGATCCCCTGTATCTTCCAAAATAATCTACGCCAGGTGCTGATTCGGCTTTCGTAGATTGGAGGTCCGGTTGTAATCGATGATACTGCGCTCTGTTTCAATGCCATGGGCGGGCTGCCAGGTCCTTATATCAAGGCGTTTCTAGAGGCACTGGGTCCGAAGAGTTTACATCTGTTGTTGGCAGGCTTCTCTGATAAAAGCGCCCAGGCTGTTGCGACAGTCGGCTACTGCCCAGGGCCAGGGCATGAGCCTATACTCTTTCAAGGGCCAATTGACGGCACGATTGTTCCTGCAAGAGGCAACATGCAGTACGGATGGCAGACTTGCTTTGAATATGGGGAGACGGGGCAGACATTGGCAGAAATGCCAGACGATGAGAAACATAAGATATCGCATCTTGGCATAGCCTTGCGGGAGCTTGTCTCATGGCTCAACCGTTTGGATGATAGAGTGACAGACACAACATAACATTAACCAGCAAGAACATCTGATGAGATATGTATTGAAATGGTTTGGCCTTTACCCAAGAATCCCGTGAGACTACCAAGGCCATGCTGTATCACTTAGTTGATAAATGGAGCTGGCAGCTTTAGCCAAATCTAGAGGAGATTGCGAGACAACATGATCTTAGTTTCAACGTTCAAGTTACGCTTGTGAAACCACCGATGCTCCGTTGCTATTTTAGCTGGTAACATGAAGATCACCAGTGATGTACACCCGCCATAAACATCACTTCATTGCCGAGAAAGCAGCGATAAATAGATGTTAAAAGAATGCATTTTTTATTTCAAGCACACCAGAAACCCCAGTTTAGAAAAGACCAACTTTTCTAGGTGTCAGTTGTTCGTAGGGAGTCTAGCCAAGTTTCGGCCAAGGATGGGTCCATACAATGACTGTTGTCAAGATATATTAGTTTTTTAATTTTTAATTTTTGTACTTGTATGTAAACATCAAGACTGTGTCGCTCACCGCGATAGCTTCTAACTATTTCGATCGATCACTGCCAAGGGTAGGAGTCGAGACTAGCGGCTTCGTTCAGTCCGTAGAAGGATTTTACGGATAATCATTTTCATTTGAAAATTTTGATTTGACATATTAAGAGGACCCATTTTCTTTATTTCATTATTATTTTTCTTTCAAAAAAATCCCGACCCTCGATTTAGCATATGAAATATCAATCTAGCTGGCTGTGGTGGGATGAGCTTCTTTGGTGGGTGCAACCCCACATTCTAATCTACAGCTACCACAGCTCTGGAATCGACGACCGACTTTCCCGCGTCCCACAGCGTCCATCAATCCGCCACAACGTCCTCCGTCCTCTTCCAACCCAGTCAATTGACCAGCAGCAGAGCTCGGCATCATGGAGCGCCACAAGCAGGCCGTCACAAAAATCGCTGCCGCCGTCCGTGGCTACTTTGAGCGATCCGAGCCCTACCGCATCTTCCACGGCTCGACCAACAGCACGCGACCTCGTCCCAAGACCCGTCTCGTCGATATCTCCGGCCTCTCAAATGTCATCTCCGTCGATCGGGCTACCCGCACCGCGCTCGTGGAGCCCAATGTGCCCATGGACCGGCTGGTCGAGAGCACCCTCCCCCATGGGCTCGTGCCCCCGGTCGTGATGGAGTTCCCTGGTATCACCGCTGGCGGCGGCTACGCTTCGACGGCAGGCGAGTCAAGCTCGTTCAAGCACGGCTTCTTCGACGACACGATTGAGAGCGTGGAGATGATCCTGGGCAACGGCGAGGTCGTCAAGGCCTCCCGGAAGGAGAGGGCCGATCTTTTCGAGGCCTCGGCCGGCGCAATGGGCACACTGGGCATGACGACCCTCATCGAACTGCGACTCATTGAGGCTAAGCGCTTCGTCCACACCACCTATCACCGCGTGAACAGCGTCTCCGAGGCCATCAAGCGCATCCAGGAGGAGACAAAGAACCCAGAGAACGACTACGTCGACGGCATCATCTTCTCCCGCTCCCATGGTGCCATCATTACAGGCCGTCTAAGTGACGAGAAGCCAGCTGAAGTGGCGCCCCAGACCTTCAGCGGTGCCTGGGATCCCTGGTTCTATATGCACGTCCGAGAGCGCACTGCCCAAGAGTCGAAGCCTGTCGATTACATCCCCTTGGGAGAGTACCTCTTCCGCTACGACCGTGCCGGGTTCTGGGTGGGACAGCAGGCATTCGTGTAAGTCAAATCGAACCCCCCGGATGGGGGAGGCAGGGAAAATAAACGCTAACAACCCCCATCTGAACCAGGTACTTCTGGATGGTCCCCTTCACCCGCTTCTTCAGGTGGTTCCTCGACGACTTCCTCCACACCCGCATGCTCTACCGCGCCCTCCACGCCAGCGGCGAGTCCGGCCGCTTCGTCGTCCAGGACCTCGCCCTCCCCTACGACACCGCCGAGGACTTCATCGACTACACAACCGAGCACTTCGACATCTGGCCCCTCTGGCTCTGCCCCCTCAAGCAGCACGCTCCCCCCACCTTCCACCCCTTCACCGGCGAGACCGACAAGGACGGCTCCCCCAAGGACATCCTCAACATCGGGCTCTGGGGCTGGGGGCCCAGGGACCCCAAGGAGTTCGTCGCCAAGAACCGCGAGCTCGAGGACAAGCTCGTCGAGCTCAACGGCAAGAAGTGGTTCTACGCGCACACGTACTACCCGGAGGGCGAGTTCTGGAAGATGTACGACAGGAAGTGGTACGACGGCCTAAGGGAGAAGTACCACGCCACCACCCTCCCCACCGTCTACGACAAGGTCCACGTCGATATCAACGCCCGCAGCAGGGAGCTGCAGACCTGGAGGCAGTGGATCAAGAGCGTCACGCCCCTGGGTGGCCTGTATGGCATCTACAGGGCCATCCAGACGGGTGACTACAACTTGCACCGACATGCCCTGTGGAAGTACAAGGAGAAGAAGGACTAAAAAAACTGAGAGGCGGGAAGAAAAGAACTGGTGGTGGTTAATTTTTATGAAGATGACGGCAATGTACATTTAAAAGGAGAGGCAGGCAGCAGATAGAACTGCATGCATACTCTTGCACGCATGCATTACGCATTACAAGATGTAACTCAATACACAAGAAGACATAGACTAGAAAAGGCATAGCATGTTGCACGTCTTTTTTTATAATTTTTTTCCTTTCGAATTCATTCATATCTCTTCTCGGATACGCATTGCGCTCCAGAGCATGCGCATCGCGTTCTATCCTAAGGATCTATCTACAACGAGATGTCATCACCACTTCCTCCTTCTCTTTCGCCTTGCCAGCGAGTGCTCCCTTCTGACATTTTTAAAGAGAGATAAAGAAGAAAACAAGAAGATATCCGCAAGTCTAAATTTTTCGGAAAGAAAAAAACAAGACGATTCTATTGCCCAATGTCATGCATCAAGACCAGAGAAACCTCATTACACCATAAGACAAAATCGGATTAAAAGGTAGAAAGCGTTGGAACAGGTTCGCTTCTCCCACATTAAAGATAAGATGGCTGGCTAACCAAAAATTCTGGTTCTTTTTAATTTTTTGTTCTTGTTTGCGCTTATGCCTTGACAGCGTACTCGCGCTTGAACATGTCGTCAACCTTGGTCAGGTAGTATGTGCCAGGGATGATGGTAGACTCGTCACCCTTGGGGGTGTAGTCCTTCTGGAGGTGAGCCTGCTTTCGGAGGTCGCACATCTACGTAGGATATTGGTCAGTTTCATATTTCGAGACAGAGCGTTGAGCTATTGAGGAGGAGAAAGTACATACCTGGTCGTAAGTCTCAGGGGGAACGGCACGGCGGGCCTCAAGACGGGCAGGGATGTTGAGGACCTTGGAGATGTTCTCGACGCTGCCGTTGATGCGGAAAGAGAAGAAGCTGGCAGCCAGACCGGAGCCGTAGCTGAACAGAGCAATACGCTTACCCTCCAGGTTCTTGGGCTCGACGAAGCTCAACAAGCTAGCGAGACCACCCCAGACACTGGCGCAGTACATGTTACCGCAGTTGGTGGCGACTTGGATAGAGGGGTTGACACGGTCCTGGAACTTCTTCTTGGTGAGACCCATGAAGGTCTTCTCGACGACCTTGTCGGTCAGAGACTTCTCGTAGTCCATGTCGCGCAGCTCAGGTGCCACCTCGGCGAAAGCAGGGGCATCGGCATTGGCGAGGTAGTCATGATAGAGGAGACGAGCATAGGACTTCTGGACGAGCTTGCAGGTGGGGGAGTGGAAAGCAAGGTAGTCGAAGCGGTCTAGAGAAGTCTTGGAGGCGTCGCCGTTTGTAGCGCCGTTGCTGCCATTGATGGCCTGCTTAGCCTCACGCTTGTTGTAGTCGCGGTAGGCAGCGTCAAGAGCCTTGCTGTAGCAGTTGACGGAGTAGTGACCATCCACGTAAGGGTACTCGCTGGTCAGGTCGGGCTTGTAGAAGTCGTAGGCGTGCTGCATGTAGGTACCACGCAGACCGGGCTCGACAACGACAGGGGCGTTGGGGCCAATAAGGAGAGCAACGGCACCAGCACCACCAGTAGGGCGGGCGTTACCCTTGGCGTAGAGGGCAATGTCACCAGCGACGACAATAGCGTCACGGCCATCCCAAGCAGAAGACTCGATCCAATTGACGGAGTTGAAGAAGGCGTTGGTGCCACCGTAGCAGGCATTGACAGTGTCAACACCCTCGACGTTGGTGTTCTCGCCAAACAGCTGCATCAGGATGGTCTTGACGGACTTGGACTTATCCAGGATGGTCTCAGTGCCGACCTCGAGACGTCCAATGGAGTTGGGGTCGATCTTGTAGTTCTTGAGGAGGTTTGAGGTGACGGTCAGGGCGAAAGAGTAGATGTCTATCCATGCGTCGTGGCGAATGGCCAAAATGTCAGCTCTTCTGCTCTTTTAATTTTCACACAATTCCACCGAAAAGGGGGAGTGTGTGGAGGGGATTGGACCGACGGAGCATACCTTCACGGTCATCGCAAAAGGCCATCTTGGTCTGGCCGAGACCAATGGTGTACTTTCCAGTACTGACACCATCGAACTTCTCCAACTCGGTTTGCTCGACATACTACAGGGCAGAATTGTGTGTCAGTGACGGTTGTGCCCAAAGGCCTCGAGGGCAGCTCGTGGCGGGACGAGGGGCAGAGTGGCAGAATTGTGGGACGAACCTGGCTGGGGAAGTAGATTTCGATGGCCTTGATGCCAATGTTCTGTGGACGAGCAGCCATGGTTGTGAATCTGCGGGATCTCTCTTGTAGATTTTCTAGTTATGAATATGAGGCGAGAAGGGAGAGGTGTGAGTTGGGAACGGGCAAGTTGGTGCTCCTGCTGGTCGCCCCGTAAATGAATGGAGGGGAGGGGCAGTTTATCAACGATAAATATTGTCTTTGATAGCGATGGCCAGGTACGTAGCGCTTGTACCTTAGCAAGGGCTTTCACCGCCCTTTTTTGTGGGAACAGCGCCCAAGACGACACGAAACGTCGACACCCGAGACCCTATGCCAGAACAAGTATTAGGCCTGTTAATTACCCGTCTACGCTTCATTCCAATCTCCAAGGGACCCGGCCCGTCTTCCTTGGGCGACTTCGATGCTACATGCGACCTCCTGCCCAGGCTCGAGCTGCGGCCAGCAATCTCAAATCCGGCCAGCCCTTGCCCCCCACCACGCCGTAGAGCAAACTATCAGTGTGCCCAACCTCGAAGCATTGTGACGCGACCGCAAACTATGTTCTAAACTCCAGAGCTGGACGCCCGTCCTCTGTACCTCTTGCAGCTGCTAGCTAACCTTGTCCCGGATTGGGACCTAGCGGTAGTGGCTGTTCCTAGCCAGAGGTTAGCATGTATCGACTAGTAGTGTCATTAGACCTCAACAGGTGGCCATGTTTTCTTTGTTTTCCCGTTCAAGTCTCGTGCAAGTTTTCATCCAAGTAAGGGTCCATCCATGTCCTGTAGTCCCCCCTTTCTGGCAACTCCTTCGTTCCCAAGTGGATGGCGACATCTTGGCCGATCTCCGATACCGCATCCAGCCATGGGTTCATATACATGCCATGCCTGCTCGAGTACCACCGATTGAGTACATCTCGAGAAGTCAGAAACATGTCCAAGATAGCCGGCGGCGATTATCCGCCCTGTCTTTCTGAAACTGTGTTCGACAACGGGCGCAAGTTGCCCTAGAACGCCACAAACAAAATCAGCGAATCCTTGATGCAACCCTCGATCTTATCAGCAGCGGACTGAGACAGCCCGATGGCCGACTGGCACGCGGCATTTCTTGGGTTGGGTCGTCAGTCGTCTGCAGGAGAACATCATGATGGGGACCATTCTCCTCTCGCCGTCACAGCTGCCTCAGCAAAAGCCTCATCCAATGTCCAACATGACCAAAAACAAGGCACTAGCTAGCCCAGTCAGCCACGACTAACAATACCGGAACGGGGTTCGAGGCACGGCTCCAGCAAACGAGAGGGTTGCACCCATTCTCTGACTACTCTATCCGTCGTAGTAGACGATATCATGCATCTGCCAGGCACCCGTTGCATCATCTCCAACCCACTATTGGTCTCAGCTACGACTCTGTACGTAACAAGCTCCCTGCATCTCTTTCTTTAAGAGGGTAACTATTATGTATTCATTGTCCTGGATGCATCCAGCTTCTCCCGTGCATGTGAAGAAGGCCCCGATTTTCGGTACCATCTATACATATTAGGTACACACGACCCCGGCAATTTATTTTTTTTCTTATTCCTCTTTACCGTGCTCCAGCTACACCCTCAGACCAATTGTCACATTCCCCTGCGCTGCAGGATGCATGTGCATGGCCGGAAAGGTAAGAAACCAGAGGTACCAGAGAATGGAAAACCCTCATCATCGTCAATTTGATGGGGGCTGCAAAAGCATGGCAGGGCACTAGCTTCGGCATATCGCATTCGTAATCGTGTTTGGGGCGCCAGCCCAGATCGGCAATCGCTCTTAAACACAACTCCACACTCTCGAGCTTCAACCACCACCACCACCACCACCTTGTATCCCCGGAGGCTGAGCGATGTACATGCCTTTGATGAGGTTGATGGCATGCGGGATATTGCGGCAATCTCCTCGATTCCAACCCGGTCGGCAGGCAGAAAGGGGGCCAGGGCACATCGCCGAATACGCCATGCATTCCCACCGTAAGCAGCTGTTGAGCATGCACTTAGGATCGCCTCCCCCTTGGTTGCCCAACAACTGCGATCATGGCCCTTGTGACCCCAGTTATTGATGAGATCTGGATACGAATAAGGGCGGAGGACATCCTGGTCGAGGGGCGATGGATTGGTAATGCTGGCAGGAGGAACCGTAGTACTGAACTATTCGTGATGATTGACCACTTACAAGCAATAGTTATACGCGCTATCCTGAGAATCCTATTCTGAGAATCCACGGGGAGGCATATGGCCATGCGCCTTGGAGCTGGGTGTAACACCCCACAGAGCTCCTCGCCCTTCGCCTCGTAGACTTGCGGTGAAATGGTTCGGCGATGGGACAACGCCTTCTTCGATCGAGCAGTCAGTCCTGCGCCGAGCACCTCTTACCCGATATCACCATGCCACACACAAAACACTTATTGGAAACATGTTCTCTGAATGTCATCATGCCAAATGTTTAAGTCTCATTCTATCATCTATCAGTCGTTATGTAGTATCCTTAGCTCGTTTTGCGAGCGCCAAACTAAACCCGCGCCAAACCATTAGCAATCCTCATGGGTGTCCCAAAAATGCAAGCAAACTGTCAGCGCCAGCTATGACCAATATCAGTACATCGTATCCTCCTCAAGGTGTAATGTAACCCGAGTCGGAGCTCTCCTTCTGGGTCTTCTTGTCCTTGTCGCCCACCTCGGGCTCGGCCTTCTTCTCCTTGCGCTTCTTTGCGTCGGCCTTCTTCCGCTTCTTCTTCTTCTCCTCGTCCTCATCTTCTTCGTCCTCATCCTCGTCCTCTGAGACTTCCTCCTCTTCCTCCTTCTTTTTCTTCTCCTTCTTCTTCTTCTTTTTTTCCTCCTTCTCCTTCTCCTCTTCCTCCTTCTTCTTCTTTTCCTCTTCTTCCTTCTTCTTCTTCTCCTCTTCCTCCTTCTTCTTCTTCTCCTCTTCCTCCTTCTTCTTCTTTTCCTCTTCCTCCTTCTTCTTCTCTTCCGCAGCCTGATCCTCCTTCTCCTTGCGCGTCTGCACGATCCAATCATCAGTTGCATTCAGGGCCGCCAAAGGATGGCGCTTGTGACGCAGCAGAAGACCCTGGATCTCGGCAGGGCTGAACTCGTGCTCGGGGATCTTGGCGGCGAACTCATGCGACAGCTCCTTGATCCTCTCGAGCGCCTCCTCACGGTTCGCGGCCTTCTCGTCCGTGGGATCCGCGACCCGGTCATCGTACACGGGGATGTCCTCGCCCTCGTGCGGGGCGTAGATGCTGCGGAAGATGGCGCTGGCCATCTTGTTGTCGGCGCGGCCGAAGAGGACGGTCATGTCGACACGGCCGGGTCGGATGAGGGCCTTGTCGAGCTTCTCGATGTGGTTGGTGGTCATGATGAGCACGCGGCCCTCCTGGGAGGCCACACCGTCGAGGATGTTGAGCAGACCCGAGAGGGAGAGCTTGCCGGTGGTGGTGTTGGTGGCGGTTCCGTTTGTCTTGTTCTCCTCATTGCTGGATTCGGTGGTGTCTGAGTTCTTGTCTCGGGTGTGGGTCAGTCCAGCACTGTCGATATCCTCCAGAAGCACGACGCATTTTCTTGGCAGGGAAGCAAAAAGGCTGGAAACGGTCTCCTCTGACGACATGGGAGAGCTGAGGGAGAGGATGTAGATGCGCATCTTGAAGTAACCGGCAAGGGCCAAACTGAGAGAACTCTTTCCAGTTCCTGGGGGGCCATGCAGAAGATAACCGCGACGGTAGGGGATACCGCGGTTCGCATACCATCTCCGGGTGGCTGGGTTGAGATAATCGGCAATATCGGCAATCAGATCATTCTTGGTCTTCTCTTCAAGGATGACGGTTGAGAATGGTCTTGTAGATCGTGCCATGCAACGCTTCCACTCAGGCTCAGAATTGGTGTTAGCATTACCCGTCGAGCCACGGTAGATGAGAGTCTTGCACTCGTCCTTCTCGTGGTACATCTCGCGGGCCTCGGCGAGAAGAGTCTTGAGAATACCAGGATTGCGTCCGAAACATGAAATCTGGATCTCCTCCTTCTCCGAAGCTGAGAGGCTGCTGGAGGTGTCGCGGTTGTCGATCCGGTTGAAGAAGAGGGGTCTGGCGTGGAACCAGAAGAAGTGGGAGCCATAGGACGGCGTGTACTGCACGTCGCGCTTGGTCTTCTTCTTTCGGCTCCAGAAATCCTCTTCTTCATCTTCCTCCTCTTCCTCGTTCTGGTCATCAGATTCAAAGAATCTCCACATCGAGTAGCTGCGGGAGTTGACATTGGTGTTGGCCATGATGTTGCGAGACCTCCTGGCAAACGATTGCTGAGTAACCCAAGCCATGACCATGTTGAAAATCTCGTCATCCGTGCGGATACGGACAGATGACATGAGATGCTCGCCCACGAGTGCGCTGCAGTAGGAATAAAGATAGGACCATGCCCAAGTAGAGCCGCTGATCAGCAGCAAGATGGGCAGATACAGTGACAAGTCGATGCCAAGGTGAGTCTGTAGCAGAGAGGAGGCGACAGAGAACCCCGGGACAATCGTGTCCAGCAGGGCAAACTGCGGGTACGGTCCCATGACGGGCGGCTGAACGGGATTCGTTATGTTCTCCATGTTCACGCCGCCGGAGGAGACAGTAACGACGAAATGTGAAGAGAAAGGAAGTGAGTGCGTTTGCAAGGACAGGCAGAGAAGGGATATTCAGAAAGGGAAACAAAGTCAAACTATAGAATCCTGGCAACTGGCTTGCCCGATCAGTATGTTGGGGCAGTCAGGTGAATAATTGTTTCCAGGTTGTGAAACCTAGAGAGGTTGTTAGAGGGAAACTCTCGAGGAAAACATTGGCCGTGCGGGTGCAGGCGACTTTTATATGTGGCCAGGCTGCACGGTGCAGACAAGGCGAACCACGTTGCGGCTCATCTCTCCGCTTTTAATAACTATGACCCCGTATCTCTGGCTAGCTCTAGTCACAAGTAAGAGGGTGAGATATTGGCATCCAGCAGGCCTTCCGCAAGGCACCCATGCATGGATCTGGGTTGACTCAACAGGGGGTTGAATCGCACCAAAGATGGCGATTTTCGCAGCTTGTTGGCCGCACCAGCAGAGCAAGCACCACTTCTTGGCGGCCTGTGTCAGGTCATCATTCCAGGCAGCACAGGGCAAGGCAAAAGGGCCCATGTCTGTCGCTGTCCTGCATGAGAAGCCGTTGGTGGTCATTGTTGTGGCTGGGCTATGCACCGCAGATCTATAGCGCAAACCTTTGTGGCACGCACTGGTGGCATTGCCGGAGCGCGCGCCACAACAGACACAGGACGACAGCGGTCTGAGTCACCGCTCTAGATTGGCAGCATATGGATTCGATTGACAGTTTGACAGTGTCCATTCTGGCGCGGATCGATGCACGACCAAGGGCCTCGGCCCCATCCCATACGTAGGCCCAGCGCGCATAGCGTAAAGAAGCCGTCATGTCCAGCGTCCTTCTGCCTAATCCCCAGCGCCCTATCAGGCTGCCAGGCCTTGCCTCCTCCGTACTCTAGCGCCCTTCAGTTCCAACAGTGCCCGCGGGTGCACGCAAGTGGGGCTTCCGATCCTCCCGGGGATTGGCGGATGGCCATCCAAGCTAACAGACAATGGGAGTTGCCAGCATCGTGTGCAGGCACCGCCACAGCAAACCAGCAATCAAGCCGCGAACAGCCACAGAGGACACCACTCACGAAGCAGCCAAGAAACCTCACAACCCATCACATGTCCTCACGTCAGCGTGGGGCATCAATTGCCTAGCTGCCTCATGCAGCTGAAACTGGGATAGATTCAATGGCATCTTCCCCTTCTAGTATGATTTTTCGTCCCAAGGCAATTCGCCTCGCCTGTGATGCGTGACATGCGCCCGGCATATTGGGACCGTTGAACGCCAGGTGAATCAGCCAGCTGATAATCTCCGGTGTCTAAAGTGGAGTTTGAATGACAGGCGGTGTTGAGATTGACATCAATTATCCGATCTCCTAACAGAAGTACCCCAGCTTTGAGAGAGTAGCACACACTGGCGCGCCCTACGAAAGGAAGAAAAACCGGCATTTCTGACATGGGAATGTCACTGCCGGTTTATGTAATTCCCATGCGCATTCCAACCCATGAAAGAATGATTACATACATATTGTGTTGTCAGAATTCCCAGCTGAACAAGCCCATGCAGTGCAACCCAATTTCTCACGATTGGATTGGGAGCTGAGTGCATTCCTCCACTCCTAATCTCAGCTCGCGACCCAGCACATGGCACATGGTCAGTCGCTTAGAACAATAGTCATGTTTCTTCCCACTTTCCTCTCCGGCCTTTCTGATGTCGTAAGGAAAAGGGTGAGAGTAGACTCTCGCCCGACACTCGTATGCTGTCATCCCGCGTTCTGTTACTCCGCGATGGCGGCAACAGCCTGTACTAGTGAGTGTACCTCAGAGAATGATAGCCATTGCAGTTTATGGTCATCATGACAAGATCATCTCAAAGGCCTAGACATGTGGTTGAAGGCGCGGTCCAGGCTGAGGTCCGGGCACGCCACTTCGAACTGGACCTCCGAAAGTTGGACGACCAGGAACCGGGCCGCCTGGGACTGGTCCGCCTGGGACTGGTCCGCTGCCTCTCGTGTCGAACGGGGAAGCAGCTGCAGGCCCCGATGGATGAACTGGGCCTGGACGCCCTTGAGGAGGAGGGGCAACCGGAGGGCCTCTTGGAGGCATCGTCGCGGGATGTAGTGGCCCTGCAGGTGGCCACCTGGTCGGGCCCTCTGGCGGGTGTACGGACGCCGCCGAGCGCCCATGATCAATGAAGGATGGGGGAGTTCTCGAACGGTATCCGGTTACCCAGTACAGCGAATCGTAGTCTGAGGTGGTTACCTTCTTGATAGCAGTTGCCTTGTACGGCGCACCAGCCGCGAAAGCCATGAAGCTAAAGGCACCACCGCGTTGGTTTGGTATTCTTCTGTATGTTGTACTAGATGAATCATCACTCCCCCTAGATGATTTATGTCTATGAGAGGAGGAGGAAGAGGACGAGGATGATGACGACGACGAGTATGAACTAGCGGACGAGCTCGACGAGTGCGATGACTTGTGACCCATTGTGCCTCTGTGAGCAATTGGCTTCTGGTCACTGGCCACAGGCTGAAACTAAAGCTGTTGGAGATCTGGTTTACTGAAGTGGTTCAAAACGCATTTGAAGCTGGTCTCAGCGAGGACTTGGAGAGAAATGAAAGCAACAGTTGGGCTCTACACCGTAATATATTCCCATTATCTAACCCTACATGTATGAAAATGCAGAAAAGTGGTTGCCTCACTTCACGTACAACGTATCATTGCTACCGAATGTGCAAATGCCATCAATATGAAAATCTGCTTGGTAATTGGAGGCCGTAGCGGTTGAGAGTGCAGACCTTCCACCACTAGGACCTTTTGCCAACAAACCACATCAAGCCACTCAGCTTATTCGAGCGGGGTAGGGTCTATTTCGGCTAGAAAACGAGAATAAGGCTGGCTACTGCATGTCCTCTCATTGCATGAATTGTGCTCAACGCGACTTATCATCTCGGAACAAGAAGATGGTGTGATGATGTGCAAAACTACGGGAGCTCCGGTTGGCAGCTGAGGTTCCCTCCCAAATAACAATAATCTAACAGAGATAGCGAAATAGAGCTTCTGCTAGGAAAGAACATAATGAAAACCTGCGTTATGCTTAAACGTCTAATAATGGCACAATTAATACTCCGTGTAGAAACAGTTCAGGATTGTATTCCTGGGCAATCAGCAAGATATGCTAAATGCAGGCGGGAAGAGACGAGAGCTCCACAGAGTGACATATCACCAAGGCCAGTTACATCGTCTGATGAGAATTTTCTGCTCCAGACTCGGAACAGATTTCTGTGCCTTTCTTACAAATCGGGTATCTACTCTTACGTCTAGATAGGACTCTACAAGCAGAGCATGATATCGCAAAAGCGAGTGTATCATGCCTTTGAGTTGAACCTGAGAGAGAGGTCGGAGCTAAAATGATTTCCTCCAGATGGGAATAACCCGACAGACTAGCAAATGACCTTATTCATGCTCGTGGGTCGCTGCCTCGAAAGAGTGTCATCGAATATTTACTTAACCCTACCACTGTCTGGGGACGCACTCGGGCCAGCGAGGTACGCGTCCTCAAATGACGCTGCGCGCTAAAGTTTCGGCACTCGTATGATTTCCCTGGATTGAAGGCGGACAGGGGTATTTTCCATTGACTTTCTGGGGAAGCCGATCAGCAAAGAGAACGCATTCAGAGGGCGCACTTCGCCACGCTCAGCGTTCTCCATCAGCTGCTTGGCGGCAGCAGTTGTCTAGACTCACAGCATTGAAGTCATGGAAGTCATGGGAGGGGCCCAAGGCCAAGACAATGATGGTAGCCAAGAGCCGACAAGGTTGGGTTTATTACTGGGAGATTCGCTAGGGTGGGGGCCGGCCTCCTTGAGTGCTGTCAAGGTTCGTGCCCCCTCATTCCGACTCGGAATTACATATTGGAATCAATTAGCACCGGTAGGCAGCATGGTGAGCGAACTAAAGTATGTCTCAAGTGGCCGATGACACCCTGACCAAAACGAAAAGAAGGCAGAGTCCTTTTGTGATGTCCATCACAAGCCACGTCCTCTCTAGGAAGACTGTGCATCCGGCACACGGCTCCCGATGCTGCGACCTGGAAAAGGGGTGGCAGTCGTCGGCTGCATGCTTCGCCTCACCCCAAAATGAGGTGCAGTACGTACTCCAGCACCAGCAGCCACACCGCGCCATCCTTGCCAAGCAGCCAGCACCAGGCGGCGGACCCAGACGACGGGCCTTTTCTGAGATCCAGTTCTCGGTTGGTGGGCACAACAGCAGGAGATCCCGACTCGTGCGGCGCCCAGCCAATCAACACCGCCTGCGTGCACCAGCCGATGCTGGCTCAGGTAGTTGTCCGTCCCCCTCTCAGGCATTTCCTGCCCCAGCACGGGCACAGCTCCCAACTTAATGGTTGCTGGATAAATGCAGGCCACCCCAGCATTGGAGGAAACCACAGGGGCATCCTTCGCGCTCTCTCCATGCCCTGATACCTGGCTTTCCTGTCGATGGGACCACGAATCCGGATCCCAGAGCACTGTTGACGCCGTCACGCATCGTTTAGCCACATCAGGCCGGTAATAGGCTCAAGCCAGCGGGTTAGTACATTAGGTATTGGGTCTGTAGGTACCACGTACGTAGCAGGTCTTGTAGGAACAATGCACAGACGGCCCGACAGTTTTCACCAGAGGCGCCAAAAAAATCTTATCCCACTGGAAGACCTTTGTCCCAGTTGCTGGACGCCCCACCATCCAGCCCTGTTTTGGCGCATTTTGGCGCATTTACAGCGGGTTAGCATTGGTTCGGGCCACCAGTGCCAGCTTGGCATTTCCCCGTAGCGCACGGTGGAAGATTACGGCGAGCACCGCTGCAGCGCGCCGACACTACTACGTGCACGGGTTATTCTGACCAGGAGGCTCTAACCTGCTCAGTGCGGCCCACTCACCACATGTATGACTGAAGTGTGTGGTTTGGTTCCCTCCTCGCTGTACCGTGTACCGCTGGTCCTGTCCCAAACAGTCAGCCCGTTCCTCGCCCTCCCATCCGTCCACCCCAAGTCCTCCAAGTCGCCATCAACAACCTGCGTCTGCCATCGATTCCATCCATCGCCAACCCCCCGCCTGCTGAGCCCTCGATTCACGCAATTCGCAGCAATTACGGGGCTCCCCTCGGCTCGTTAACTACGGGCGCCGTGGGTCCGTGAATTCCCTCGACTCAATCGAAATTCCCGGCGAGATTCCTTGCTGCAGCCCAACTGCAAATTCGGCACGACGCTCTGATCGAATGGTGACATCGGCAAGCCATCGGGACAGGTGATATTCCAGATAACCCGACGGCGCTTCCCGCGGCCTCTGGCGGTCGCCAGGAGCAGTGTGTATGCGGTTGTTATAAGGGGCGATTCCCCTGCACGTCGACAACGCCTCGCTTGCCACGCACAAGATGGCCTTCCCTGAGGGCGGTAGTCCTGCTGCTGGTGGACGGTGTTCGTCGACGGAGAGGCCACGGAGTCTGTCAAACGAGAGCGAGAGCGATGAAAGTTATGACCTGACCGAATTTGCCGTCGCCGATGGCTTTCGACCATCCGACGCAGCTCCAAGCCTGGCCGCACCCGCCGCGAACCCCCAGGGCCATTTTAAGCCCAATCAGCAGCCTTTACTACAACGGCGGTCGATAAGCTCCTCATCCGCCGCGAACGCCCCGTCTTCTCCTCAATCCGAGCAGCCGACGACTTCAAACCCCACAGATGACATCAATGTGTTGCTGGACCCCAACCCTGGGCCTTCAATACCGCGACCCTCCAGTGTCTCAAAACCACACCGACCACACGACTCATTTTCGTTACAAAATGATGGATCAAACCTCGCCTCGACAACCCAAACAAGCCTCTCTCATCCAACCGCACTGTCTTCAAATTCATCCTCGGAACGAAATGATGGAGGTCTCCAATCGACACCAGGATCAACCCTAGCAAATACGGATCGCGGGCCAGCTCATCCCTATAGTCTATATCCCCAGAATACTATGACGGTAGACGATACCGGCGACGAGCATATACCTGTTGGGTTTCCTGGCATAGCAACCACGTATCAGCGTCAAATTGGGCCGGACGGCGAGGAGGCTGGAGGATTGATAGGCCCGCTCGGCCATACTGAAGAGCTTCCACCTTACACCCGATATCCCGACCCAGTTTATACACGTAGCGGACCATCAGCTACCACTCCGTCTGCAGCTTCTGCTTCCACCTCGGTTGTCACTCCACCCTCCACTGGAACCGCAGCTGCAGCGGTACCCCCCGCAACCGCTAATTCCATCACCATTGAACCTGACGGCTCCCAAAGCCCGGTCGATTCCTCGTCTCCCACACGGACAACACACAATTCGGAACCGGCAGAGATGACCTCTGCCGGAGCGGTGGTACGCCATGTTGATGAGGCATCGCTCGAAGGACAATCCGGCAGGTCTTTGCGAAGCGATGGTATATCAGATAATAGCCGCAATGGACTCAACTCCGCCACGAGGGTCATTACAGAAAAGCTCCCAATGGGCAAATGGCAACGAAGAGCAAGAAAACGGCTATGGGGAGTTATCCCTTACTGGGCAATTTGCTTGGTGTTAACGGGCGTGGTGATTCTTGCCATTATTATGGGAGCAGTTATTGGTACAGTATTAACAGGGAAAAACAAATCCGACCGGTCTTCACAAACAGATGTTGAGCCTTTAGCATCCATTCCCCCCGATCTGGCGCCACTCGCCACCGGCCTTTTTGACCTACCTCCTCTCGACGTCACCCAGTCTCCTCGAATTTGCTTCCAGGATACCACCCAAGCCCAAGCTTGGAGCTGTGAGATGCCTAACCGCTATTACTCAATGCATGTGGGCCCAAAATACAATTTTACGTCCGATGTTGAACGCTTCGAGTTCACGATGAGGGCCGTTAACGGAACCAAGTCATTTTTTGTTTGGGGAACGCAACCACCAAGCATCGAAGTTCCGCTTACCCTTAAACTCGTCAATGACTCTTTTGAGCCCTCCCGAGGACCGGCATGGTGGTCTAAATTTGAATACAACAAGATTGTAATCATCCCAGAGAGTGCAATGCAAGCACAGCAGACACGAGACGAGTGGACCTATACAGGCAATCCCTCCGTCGATACAACAAAGTTCCAGGCAAAACCTTCCGGTCCGCAAAACGGAGAAAGGCCGTGGATCTGTACCTGGCCAGACATCAAGATGGAAATATTCATCTATCCAAATCAAAATGCCAGTAACCCATCGCCCTCATCTCCAACTACGACCAGCAGATCCAGCTCATCGGCAACGGACACATCTTCCGACGCCAGTCCGACTCTGGATGACCCTACGCCTGCCTATCCACAAGTGGTCAAGCTTCTGGAGCGCCGAATCATAGATTCTGACGACGAAGAGACCGCAGCAACTTGCCGGCAGTATGAGATATACAATAAAGGCAAAGACAAAAGAGAGATTCTTGACAAGGATGGGCTACCGGTTGTGGTGTTCATCAGCGAGCGTCAAAGCACGTGGCAAGAGCAACTCGCTGCAAGAGAAAGAAGTCGCCATCCTAGCAGACGAGATATAAGCAACCTGACATTCCAACGTCGGGAAACGTTGGAGTTGACTGACTGTGGCTGCCTGTGGTGGTCAACCTAAGCCAGGGAAAATACCATCATATTGGCGTTACTTCTTGCCTCGCTCCAATCGAAGGAGTAGAGCGGCCTGCTGTTATTCTGGCAATGTGGCTAGGCTTTGGCGTTGAATCTGAATTTTACGAGCGGCCTATGTGGCTGTCGACTGGGTAGACGAGTTCAGGAACTCTATATCGACGGCCCGTGTATCTTTATGGTTGGGTTCGCAAGCCCGAGGCTTATTACTGTGCACATTAGACTTGATACAACAAGATCAAGTCTTCTTCGGCTCCCCCTACTAGTGGCCTTATGCAAAAGGGGGGGTTAGGCGTTTGGTTGGCATGGCGCGTGGCATATCACTTGACTTTTTTTTATATTTCCCCTAGTCTACGACCTCTGGCTTTCACCCCACGGACCGGGTTAGCCCACTATTCTGTTTCTTTTTCGTTTTATTTTCGCTGAACGGGTAAAAAACTCTTGTTGCTGGTTGGGGCTGGCGGAAACTATAGCCTTTTTGCTATTCTATTTTTTTGTTGATATCAAAGAGGGGGGGACAGAAATGACTCGTTGAATGGGTATATCATAGCAGTTAGACGAATTTAACGGAATGTTGATCACACTTGTATAATGCTTGGAAGTTGACAACTATATTACCATAACTGTGACGGTTAAACTGGAAAAAGTCTGTTCATGATACGCCAACAACATTCTTGACACAATTGATAAGCGAATGTTAAGCCAGAGAACTGTTTTGGACCAAAGATGTGCTCCGAAGTCGGTCAAATCGTTCAAAGAGCAGGTCGCTTCTACCTAGGTAGGTAAGCGACCGATATAACACATGGCACAACCAGAACCTTTTGTGTCAAATCAACACAGCATCAAAACGATTGTTGTGAGCTAAATGTTCTAAATTAATTAATCATTAACTAATTATTATATTCAGTATTATTAATAAGGAAATAGGGTTCCTGACTTGCGTGAAAAGGGCTTTGATGTGCCATGTTTTACATCCGTCGCTTGCTGGGTAGGTACACCGTCGATCGAGTACATCATCATTTTGAGAACTCAATGCCAAAGCCACTCAAGTTCTTAATTGAGAGCACGCTAAAATAACAATGCATTGACAGTATTTAAATACCTGTATAATCTGGTAGAATTCACGCATTGATGCTACACCAAAAATTGGCGTGTCCAGTTATTGATGCCCGAATATTTATATAAGTCACCGTAATAATGCCGCCTAGCCCCTTCTGTATGATACTCTAATGATAACCTTTCATAATACGTTACATTCTATGAAGACTCGCGGAGAGCAACACGTGGTCCCCTTTAATATATACTTTGAGCAGTAGAGGCGAGTCTGGTGTCCCTCTATGCGCTTAGGACTCTCATGCCGATGGGATAAGGTTGTGTGAAAGAGTTGCAAACCCCTTTCAACTGCCTGGGGTGGGAAATTCCGACAGATCGGACTAGTGAGGGTGACAAAGGCCACCCTCCGTCTCCTCTGCGCTCGGGTAGGGCATAACTTGAACTTCGTTATCGACGATGTCTTTCTTTCCATCTCTGAAGTCCCGCATCAGAGATAGAAATACAGAGTTCTTCCACTTTTCTCCCTGTTCATTTTGCACGGTATCTAGCAGCTTCTCTGCTGCTTCTGATATCTCGGATCGCGGCTTAACTTGCTCGACTTGTGGCTCGTTGTTTATCGTTTGGGATAGAGTATCCGGGGTGAGATTCCGGATCTCTGGTGTCTCGAGGTCAGTGAAACGAGGGTCTTGATGAAGCGGCGCGGCGGCTTCCCCATCCTTGAAAGCCCCGTCGTTCATGTCCAGCTCGCGGGCCATTTGCTCCATGATGGCATCAACATCTTCCATGGCTTTAGCATTCGACGCTGGGCCATTCGCTTCCATCCAGCGAGTCATTTCTTGGTCGAAGTCGGCCTCGGCAGCGGGCCGCTGTGCAGCCGCCGCGTTGGGATCCATCATTCCTCCATTGGTTGGGCCGTAGAGCGGCGAGAACCCAGCGTTCGGAAACTGAAAGGCTGATTGGAAACTTAATGCCGGGGCCTGGTGATGTGACTGCATATGCGCCAAAGGTTGCGCTGCACCGTTAACCGCCATGGGGTGAGCTGGGGCCTGCTGCTGGCCGGAGAAACGAGTAAAGTCGGCCGCCCAGTTGCTCATGTCTGCTGACCTCGGCTGCTGCGCCATCTCGACCTGTGACAACGGAGCTGAAGGATGCCACCTGGACTCGAAAGCTTGTGGGTGCCCTGGTAATATTCCAGTAGCATGGTGAGGATGTTGGAGGGCCGCGCCCCCGAATTGTGATGAGCTGCCATTCATGAATGCGCCGAAGTCATTCTGGGCCTGTGCTGATTGATTGGCTGGCGATGATCTAAATGACTATATGTGTCACTTTCTTAGCTCGAGCACCGAGATATTTGGAGGACGATTAGAACCACCTACATTTTGTGCTGGAGAGAATGCATTATGAAAGAGGCGGTCCTGGTGATGGCTGACATCGCGGTTCTGCTGGTCGACGAACCGCTTGAAGGGCGTCCCTCCGCTGCAAGACGCTTCCGCCATCTCTTACTTTGCGCGCTACCACAACGACGGTTGAGGAATCGTGGCTCGACAGAGGGAAGCTTAACAAAGAGCGATAACGGCGACAAACTGTAGCCTCGGCGTCACGGCGGGGCCAAGGGAAGGGTCTGGGAGGACGGGGTCTTTATATCTGGGGCGTAAAGTAGGTGGAGCGCAAGAAAGTCGGGATGGAATCCGTCGGATAGAATGTCTTATACTAGCTAGAAGAAATAAAGGCAAGTGTACGGGACTAGATTGAAAAAAGGAACCGCTGCAATTGGGGAAGAGAGTGTCGAGGTTGAGATGCGGGCTTGCGCTTGTGATCATATGCCGAATCAAGCCCGGCAAAGATTCCGACGCCGAGGAACCTCCAAGCTGGAGACAGGTTCCGGTACGTACCTTCGGGCTGCACCTGCCTTGGGCCTGATGATGCATTTGGCTTTGGGGCAGGTGGGGCTCTGGCCTCATGCTTCTTTCCCCTGAGAGCAAAGTGATCCGGTCACGTGATTGGAGACAATGGCAGCCACCGCTGTGGCGCCAAATCAGTGGCAATCGATAGCTCCAAGTGGCAGATCTGACTAGCACCAGGCCAGATCACCACTCTCCTCGAAGCTCAAGGCGGTCCACTTTCGCGTTTACCATTACCAAGGTGAATTGGTGCCGCATCTTTCAAAATGGTACGTTTCACACCGCTCGAGCAGAGCCCTGTTGCGTGTCGGGGCAGCTTTCTTCCATCAGGACGGGTGACCGCCGATATAAATACCTTTGTTGACTAACATGGCTCTCTAGGCGACCCAGGTTATTTCCAACTCGACCCATGATGATATGATTGTATGTTTCACAGCCAACCATATACCGCAAGAAAGGATGGCGACTGATTGAAGTAGCATGATGCGGTTCTGGACTACTACGGCCGAAAGCTCGCGACCTGCTCCAGCGACCGAACAATCAAGATATTCGAGATCGATGGCGAATCCCAAAGATTAATCGAGACCCTCAAGGGGTAGGTAGCTCCCCCTTACCAACACCAAGCCGGCCCTGCCCCCAGATGTGCACTACACGGCTACAGATATCAAATTGGATAAGAAGTTAACGGGACAAAATCTTAGGCATGAGGGTGCAGTCTGGTGTGTAGCATGGGCGCATCCCAAGTACGGCAACATCTTGGCGTCGGCAGGTTACGACGGCAAGGTCTTTATCTGGAAAGAGCAGGGCACTCAACAAAGCACCCAGTGGCAGCGTATCTACGACTCTCCCCACCACAAGGCTTCAGTCAACATTGTCGCCTGGTCACCCCATGAGGCCGGCTGCCTGCTTGCCTGCGCCTCCTCCGACGGTACCGTCTCTGTTCTCGAATTCAAGGACAACGCGATCGATCACGTCCTGTTCCCCGCTCATGGTTTGGGCGTGAACTCAGTTTCATGGGCTCCTGCCCTCGCCCCCGGCAGCATTGCCAGCAGCAACCCCGGCCCTGGCGCCGTCGGCAACAGACGCTTTGTCACTGGCGGGTGCGATAACGTCCTCAAGATCTGGTCCTTTGATGCGGCCACTCAGAACTACAAGCAGGAGGGCGAGGCTCTCACCGGCCACTCAGACTGGGTTCGCGACGTTGCCTGGTCACCAACCGTCCTCCACAAGTCCTACATTGCCAGCGCATCTCAGGACAAGACAGTCCGTATCTGGACATCTGAGCCCAACACAACCGGCCAGTGGGAATCCAAGGTTCTCAACTTCGATGCCCCCGTGTGGCGCGTAAGCTGGTCTCTGAGCGGCAATGTCCTTGCCGTCAGCGGCGCAGATAACAAGGTGACTCTGTGGAAAGAGAACCTCAGGGGCGAGTGGGAGACCTTCAAGACGATTGAGGAATAGACAGATAGCTGAGAATGGACGGGTGGTGTTTTTATTTAGGATTGATGGTACGTAGAACTAACTGCTAGAGCATTTGGCGTTCAAGGCACGAAAACTGGCATAACGTTTGTTTGTTCTGATTACATTCTAGTTCAGGGATAATACGGGGCCAGGCACGTCCTCCTCAGCCCAATTGGAGATTGTAGAAGTTATGCCAAAACCGCGCGTGCTACAAAGAGCCAGTATCAGGAGAAATGATTGCTTCATCAACTTTGAAGACTCTGCCTCAAATGCTACGATAATCATGCAAACTTTTCAAGCGTGTCATTGTGTTATTTGGCGCTTTCTCTTTTTTCCTCTTCGCCATGAACATTTTGCTAAACGGAGCGTACAAACGATATCCATAAAATGAAAGACAAGCACGGAAAAGACAGTCGTTATCATATCCATTAAACACAACGTCACACTTCTCGTCATAAATCATACATGTCATAACATTATGCCAGGAGAAGGCCAGCGATGACGGCACCGACGGCGACGACAATTCTAGGGACGAAGAGAGACGCGCCGGCGCTGTCGTTGCTGCCGCTTCCGGAGCTGGTGTTGCTGCTGCCACCGCTGCTGTCGGTCCTTCGGAGGACGAAGACCTCGCCGGTGGAGTCGGAGGCGAAGAACATGCGGTCCTGGGAGTCCCAGGCCATGCCGACGGGGCGGAAGCAGTTCCCCGGGCAGTTGTCGAGGTCGGGGGTGGTGAGGACGTCGACGGCGGCGTCCCTGCTGTCGCTTGCGGAGGTGGGCTGGCCGTTGGAGAAGTTGACGGAGGCGATTCTGTAGCCGACGGGGGGCTTGCGGTTGACTGTCTTTCTGGTCAGTGTACAGGCTAGGTTGGTGTATAGTTATCGGGTGAAGACGTACAGCTTCCGTGGAAGGAGATGTAGGCTGCGGTGGTATCCTTGTTGAACTTGATGTCCAAGGGAGCAGTGTGGGCAGGGAAGGTGAGGCGGGGAGCGACGTAGTCACTCTTGCACGTGGCGTCGCTCAGGGTCTTGATGTTGCCGCCGGGGAACTGGTCGCCGGTCTTGAGGTCGCCGATGCTGGGGAAGTTATCCGTCTCCCAGAGGGCGTAGCAGAGGGGGTAGCCGTAGTTGCCGCCAACCTCTCTGAGGGAGCCGGCCGAGCCGTTGACGTACCCGTGGAAGTTGAGCTCGTCGCCCGGGTTGTTCAGCTGGATGTCCTCGCCGTTGCGCGTGACCTCGTCGACCGAGTTCTCGACCGACCAGATGCCGCCGTCTACGGGGTTCTCGGCGACGCCGACGGAGTTGCGCAGACCCCAGCCCAGGACGTCGCCTTCGAGGAAGTCGAAGGGTTGGGACTTGTCGTTGAGGCTGCCAATGTCGAACTTGCGGATCTGGGAGAGGCCGTTGTTGAGCACCTGGGCGTCGGCATCCGAATCCTCGTCGCTGCCACGGGATACGATGAGAGTTCCGGGCTGCTTGCGGGAAAGGAGAAGGGTACGGGTCATGTGGTCCTCATTGGTCATGTTGGTTATGAGGGTGCGGCGAGAGTCACTGCTCAGGCTGGACGACTTGGAGTCATAGGCCCACGAGTAGACATCCTCCTGGCTGGAGGCGTAGATCGTCTTTCCATCCTCGGAAAGAGCAAGACCATGGTTCAGCTACAATACGTTGTTAGTGATAAGATCTTCTTCCTCCAAAGGTTGTGTAGCCGTCAAGCTTGGCGGGGTGTTTCCTCTTCTCTCATCCCGCCATCAAAAAAAGTGGTGGTGGTGGTGGGGGTCCGATTTGGAGGGGTAAAAATGGCACAACAGTTGCATTCAAACAGCAGAAACGATGAAGTCAATTGCAATTCGAGGCAGAGTATTCAAAGGGAAAATGCCAATTACATCTTTATTTGCCAGAAGGGTAGCGTTCTGGGCAACAGAGACACAAGACCCGCCATTGTCCTGGAGCGTAAAGCGCAGGATGCCAACACCGGCGTCGAGGACGATCAAGGCGCCGTCCAAGTCGAAGAGCAGACTGCGGGGCTTCTTCATGCCCTGGGCGACGAGGCGGTACTCCCAGCCATCAGCCGCGATGGGTGCTGGGTAGGAGACCTTGAGCTGGTTGGACTCGCAGGTCTGGGCAACAGCCCCCGCGATGAGCAGCAGGCTCAGTGTGTAGAGAGAGGCAGCCATGGTTGAATTGGCCTCAAATGGGGGAAGGGGAGTACAGAATTCAAGGGGGAAAAAAAGATCCTCAGCCGTACAGCTGAATACGGGAGAGGAGAGGGGTGGGAGAGCCTTCACTTATACGTTTATCAATGAGGGTGCCCATGCCGGCTGCTGCACGCGATGGTAGCCCGAGCTGCAAAAGTGCTCCTACCTGCATACATACATGCCTTCTAGCTTACCTACGGGCTGCAAGGAGGGTTCGTCTGCTTAATCTCATGATGTGATCCCTCTTGTCCCACATCCGCATACATGCAGCCTCTGTTCTGGGTCCCATCGGCTTTGTCATGGGCCGACAAGATGGGAAAGATATGGAGCCGGGCGAATAATGAAGACAGGCCTGGCCGATACGACTTCACTCCCCATGCCACTTCAAGGTGTGCAGGTGTATACAGCACGTTAATGGACCCAGCAGCTTCTCGCGTGGTGAAAAGGCGCCATAGGAAAAAGAAAAGAAACCCCCACGAAAGGCTTCATAGGTTCTTAGTTTCCCCTCTTTCGATCATCCTTGAGGAATCGATCAGTAGCTTGAGGAGAAGCAGAGCGAGTGCAGCACGGTGCCATCTGATTGGCCTGTAAAGGACTCGCCAAGACCACCACTGGACTCTGCATGAGCAAAGACAACAGAAACCCGGCAAGCGTTTACTGATATGAGCTGTGGGCTGCGGGGCTACATGAAGAGAGGAAGACGGGCACGAGAGAGGGGCAAAAGATTGATAGACTCTATTATCCGATCGCGTGGCCCGCTTAAGAAGGTGCTAGGGGCACTTTAATAAAGCCACTCACAGAATTGTTTATTCTTCCCCCATTGGTGGTGCCTGACTGGCAGTCCCCAAGTTAGTATATATATATATGTCAGCTTGCCGGGTCCCGTTCAGCGTTCAGAGAGATGAGATCAACGGCCGTGATAAGGCAACAGTGCCAAGCGACTGACATAAAACAGGGCACATCTCGACACTTCAGCGTTGAATTTCCACACAATATCAAAACAATTAGCCTCGTAATAAGTACAATATCAAGCTATATAGTATAGAATAATCTATCTTTCTCTTATTATTATGTTTAATAAAAAGCCAGATCTCTGCCCTACGCGAAAATAGCTTTGGTGGGCCATGCTTTATTTCACCCACTTGGGTTCATGAAAACGTGTAACAACTTCTCAGCGTGTGTGCTGCAATCATGATAGAGGACGGACGTGGGAAGAAGAAATAGAGAGAAGACTTGGTCACACCTCGCCCTTATCCAAGCACAGAAGCCCTCTCGGAACAGCCGGTGGTTCCCCCCTCAATAGCTCTTGAAAAGTTACAATAACCCATAAATGTGGTGCCAGCTAGCTCTTTTTCTCGAATACTCCGATCATGAAAGCATTTATATGGACCAGGATACCTCGGAGCTGGTTAGTGTGACTGGGACAATCTTGCGTCCAAGTTGGTTGGCCACACATGGAAACTTACGTGGATTCAGCCTGCATTCTCCATGCATATGCATAGAGCCCATGTGATGCGTCCATCTATCACACACTCCCTCTGATATAAAACTCTCAAACCTCAAAGGGTCATCATGCATGCAAGAAACATTAAGCAGCACCACACGGATAATAGGATGTCAGCCTCAGGGGGTGCGAATAGGTAAAGCTTGATGACTTCGAATTCATGGATGGTATATATAAGTATCGAGAACTGCCAAAACCAATAAAAGAGAAGCAAAACACATGAGCCGCATCTAGCTGACAGGAATAATAGGGCAGCCTCAGTATATAGGCAACGTAACAATGAATATCAAGAATAAGGGTCCAAAAAGGGGGGAAATAAAAGCAAAAATGATTAACAAAAGAACATCCCATATGCAGTTGTGAACCGTGACGCCCGCCCGCGATGATCATGGCCTCCCCGATTGCAGCTCTTCTTCATTCCCTCCACCGGAAGCCAGCCAGACTATCTGACCAGCACCGGGGATGTGCCGTGCCACTCTGCTTCTTCCGCCCGTCGCATCGACTTTGAACTCACCGCAGGCCAATCACGCTCATCTCAAGCGTCCAGACTCGCCTGATCCATACCTTGAGCTTTCCCTCCACTCCCTCAACATTCTCCAGCTCGACACCCTCCCACCAGCATCTGCGCGCGGGCTTGCGCCAGAATAGGAGAAGCTTCTGTGCCATTCCTACGGCGTTGCTGCCGACCTCGTTGCCGCGGATGTCGCTGCGAAGGCGTGCCAGTGCCAGACTGCAGATAACCGCCTTGTTGGGTTCACCAGCGCGGTGTCCCCACTGGTCCTCACGGTTGAAGCCGCTGCGCAACATGGTTAGCATTAAAAGTCTAGTACAAAAGCGGTAGTTGGTGGAAGGACATACCCAGCGGTGAGCATTTCAATTAGGTGTGCCTCAGTTGTGCCTGGTTCGTCGCTCCTCTTCAGTCCTGAGAAGATTCCATCCTGCTTCTGGAGCGCACGTGCGGCAGCGCGCTTGACTTCAAGCATGTCCAGCTGAGTGATCTCAGGCTTGGGGGGAATGGCGTAAAAGTCGAGGTCTTCGCGGAGCACAATGATGCCTGCACGCTTGGACGAATCGTCGCGGGCGCCCAGGGGTTCGATTGGCACGACATCCCCGTCTTGCGATGCGCTTGGCGAAGATTCAGCGGGAATCGTTTGGGCTACGTTGCGGAAGAAATCCAACATGTACTGAAGGGAGGCCGGGTCGTACTGAAGAAAACATGTGAGAATTGCATTTTCCAGGATAGAATTGACGGGGCTATTCGGACACTCACATCAACCTGCACTGCTTCGCCCTCTGACAATCCACCCATTTGTCCCTCTGGGAACAAGCCATTGGGAAACAGGGAAAGGAGCACGAATTCTGGTAAGGTCAACAGCTCATCGCGAGACAAGACAAACTTGGTACCACTGTTTACAGTATTAGCATATATTCGGGCTTGTAAAGATGCATCTCGCAGTCGCTTACCGAAGGTCCATTGCAATGGTTTCATCGGCGCCAACATCTACCATCCAATCTTGTTAGCCTCCAATCTATCGCCATAACATCACATAGGCAAGATTCCTGATCAAAGGGGGCAGTAAGCTCACCGCCAATGGCATTGAGGGATGGACCACCCTGTTGGACCTGAGTGATGATACTCGAGGCTCCTCCGGCAGCAGACATGACGTATGAAAATGTTAGAAGAGGACTGTCCCCTTCTGAATAAGCAGGTGGTGGTTCGGCGTCGTTATCTTTGGATGACTGCCCCTTGGTATCTCTTGGGAGCGCAGTCTTGGTCTCAGAAACAGCCCTGGCAACTGCCTGGTCAGGATCCCAAGGTTCACAGGGGGTGTATGCCGGAGCAGATGAGGCTTCTCCTTCTGCAACGGCGACGGACGAGGAGGCGACGAGCTTTCCTAGACGGTGATCGGCGTCGTCAGGTGGTGGTGAAAAGAGCGACGAGAACGGCGGAGGCCGTGGGGAGGAAGGCGCCTCGGAGGCTGGGTACTGCGGCGGCGGTGATTGCTCGCGACCAAGGAGATTGTTGTCCTCGTCGTCGGTGGTGAGATCAATATCGGATTCGTGGGCGTGTTGCCTCAGGGCGTCGACAAAGTCCGTGGCCGCGGACGGTCCGTTCCGAGAGTCCTGCGTTCCCGACAACGTGACGGTTTCTGTAGGTGGCAGCTGGCGCGCTGATGCAGCGGAGGGTGGGATGGCGGTAGCAGAACGCGGTAGGTCTGACAGCTTCGAGGCGGGATCAGTCCGGATCAGTCGTGATGGAAGCGGTGCAGCATTCGAGCGAAGCGGCAGACGACGGAGCTGGTCGGGGGTGGTGGTCCGTTGGTGGTTGGTAGGCAGGTTGCGTTAGGGGAGCTGAATCCAACCAGGGTAACTAGCAAGGCAAGCTCGTTTGCATGAGACTGGAGCGGGAGATTGTGCTGGATGTGGAGACGCCCCAAGCCGGTAAATTGATGAATTGTTTTGATGGATGCAAGTGATGTGATGGCAATGGACGACTCGGTCTGGGCAACAGCACAATCTCGGCGGCCCCCTGACTTGGGCCCAGGAGCCTAACAAGTAGCGTTCGCTCTGGGGTGGTAGCGGTACGACCCTTGAGGCTGCCCGGCCAATAGCACGCCGCGGTCCCCACCCCGGTCGACACTAGCCGCCCAGCCCAGCACCGAAATAATCGCTGTAATCTGCTCGGGAGGAGCCCTGTCCCACGCCTCGTCGCGCTGGAGGCTCTCAGCAGCTTGCATGTTGCCTTCAGGTTGGTTAACAGGTGGTTTCCTTTTGATTATTATAGTTCTACTTTACATCTCTATTCAATTCATTCGCTGTCGCTGTCTCCAAAAATGGCCTTCAGTACATCGGCGTGCGCCGTCTTCCCCTCAATCGCCTCGCTTCTCTCTGGATCAACCCGGCCAGGTTCCTCCAACAGCTTCCTCGTTTCCGCCGCCGCTGCTGGCTGATGCACTGGCAGGCCTTTCCTATCTTGTGCGACCTCTGGCTCTGCCATTTGTGTCTCGTAGACCGCCCAGTTCTTCTGAGGGGCCGCTGCTTTGTCCGGCTCCTCCATATTGTCCGGCCGAGAGTGCTCAGGCGCTTTGACGTTGAACCGCTTACACAAAAGTCTGGTTGGGTAGAACATTTCGCTAGATCTGGTCATGCTTCCAAACATGCCCATCTTAGCTGCCTCCTCGGCGGGGTCACCTACCTTTGGTGGTGGTTTGGACAAGAGCTGCTCGCCCTGCTCATTCGGCGCAGAGGTAGATGGCGCTGTCGTCTTCGCTGTAGTAAATCTAGATGCCATAAAGCCCGTCATAGGTTTGAAGATCCGTGCGCAGTTATAAAATTCGTTCATCTCTTTCAAGAAGGTACCATCATCCATATCTTGCGCCTTGGTGGGGAGAGGCGCATTCGGACTGGCTTGATTTTCAAGGTAAGCCTTATAGCGCGATCTTTTCAACTCATCGTCGGCGTATGGTCCTCCGGCACTCCTCGATAGCGCTGCTCTCGCTGTTTGGTCATCCAGCTTTGGAATTTGATCCCACAACATCTCCTGTCTCTCTTTATCGGACATTCTGAATTCCTCGGGAACCTCTCCAAGGCCAGGCGGCAAGTTCGTCTTCCCTGACACTGCTGCCAACTTGTCCCGGGCGGTCGGAGAGAGGAAATCGAAGACAGACTTCCCTGGGAGCACACTCTCCCCTAGCAAAGCCGCGCGTGATCTCGGGTCAAGTGAAGATGCTTTTGCTGCGTCAGCTGTAGATGTGTAGGTCTTACTAGCTCCTTCACCCTCTTGGGTTTTCTTCTTCGACGATACCCAACCTTCCGGGACAGGCGGCGGCGCATATTCTGACATGAGCCCTGCAATATCTTCAGTGAGCTTGGCCAAGACAAACCCGTCCAGAGGCAAGCGTCCATCGTGACATCGATACAGACTGTTCCCAGCCCTAGCGAGCTTGGGCACGAAGACAGGGGTGTTCCCAAGTGTGGGATTAGCAGAAGAAGAGGGCTTCTTCTTTTTCTTTTTGTCTCCTCCGATAACACGGCTGTACTTGATTTTAGGTCCAATCTCGTAGGGGTCTTCTCCATCAGAACCGTCATCATTAAGTATCCCGACACCGATGCCGGTCCGGCTCGGCTTAGCCTTTGCTTTTCGAGAAGAAAAAAGCGAAAATCCCCCATCTTGTTTCGAAGGCATGCCGTCTTCATCATCGTCTTCGTTGCCCTCGTCGCTGCCGCGCGCAGAGTCGTTCAGTTTCGCTTCGCCCTGATGCCCTAATCCTTTTCGATCTGTCTTGCGGTTGAACTGAATCATCGGTACGTCGTCGGGGGCAAACATATAGGTCTCGCCATCTGCAGCCGACTTCCCCCCTGCCATGTCAAGTCGGGCTGTTCGTCGCACCTTTGGTCCGATGCCTTGCCCGTCCTTCCAGCCCATCCTACGCAGGAGCTTCAGCCCCATTGTGTCCCCCTGGGTCCTGAAGAGTCCCGCCAGCCCGCCCGAGCCCGTCTCATCTCGTGTTGCGCCGCCTAGCCCAGCAAAAGCGTGTGATGTTTCGAGCTTCTGTGCCTCTGCGGCATCAGCCAGGTCCTCCTCGTCCATGTAATCTTCTGGCCGCCGTTGTTGCTTCGAGGCTCCATCTTTCTGCCTGTTGGTTCGGCTGGAAACGAAAGTAGACGGAGTCCATCCCTCTTTTGAACCAACCGTGTTGAAATACCTAGTATGGCGCCGTCAGTTCCAGGTAATATGTGATCTCGTCGGGCAACAACAACATACCCTGCGCTCCAGCCTCCAGTGAAGGCGCCGTGGAGTCTCTTGCGGCCTCTCTCATCCCTCACCTCCTGCTTCCATATGGGAACAAAGGAGCCATCGTCCCGGGACTCGGCCTCGTCTGGCAAGGGTGTTCCAAAGATTGCGTATGGTGCAGCAGCTTCACCGTTCGCCTCGAAGGTGGCTCGTGATCGTTTGTAAGACATGGAGTCTCGCCGCCCGCCGTCGCGCTTACTTGGTCTTGGTCGCGTATATCATGAAGGGCTTTCGCAGAGGTTTTGCCACTTTCCAAGGAGTTGGTGGTCGGACGTTGGTTTACGGAGTCGCGACTCAACCAAGCAGCTCATCTCGAAAGTCGATGGCCCTTATCGATAAGCGAACCATGTTGGTGGGACAGTTCTCCAGCCAGCTGCGACGTAATGTCGAAAACTTGAACCTCTCTTTTACAAAATGACTGTGGTTCTTGGAAGCCTTTAGAATATCTGCTGTGCCTTTTTGTCATACGCAGATGGGTTCCATTCATCAGCATAGCCAGCAAGGCACGTTCTAAATCAGACTCTCGCTCATGTCGGATTCTTCCACGATATTAGCCCACCCTAGACCCAAGCCAGCAGCCAGTAGACCTACGTATAGAATGAGATTGTCCAACCGTGGTTCTTTGCGGCTTTGAACTTTTTAAAGTTCAATCGCTAGTCTACTTGAATTTAGGAATCAAGGTGCTATTCTATGCTAGTATTGAAGGGTAAAGGGAATATGTTCCCCAAGGTCTGACATGATACCTATTGACTACCGTTCTTTGGGTTTAAATCTAGTAAGAGCCAGCCCTTACCATCACATTACATACGAGATCCAGTATCGTTTAAGTCGAGAATGTCTTACTAAGACAAGGTACATTAACGTTATCTACCAGAGGTCGACCAACGAGGGAGACCAGAATCAGTGTTGCTTCGATACGGATAATGGGCAGGTGTATTGATGTATTTGGGTCCGCGAAGAGGGAAGCAAGCAGTGGCGCATGCGCAAAGATTGGCGAACTCTCCCTCTTCAGCTTAAGTCTTAATGGTAGTGTGTAGAATTTGGGAATATAACCATTATTGTTCGTCTCTCTAGTGCCCTCTATCTCAATATCTGGTGTTGTTGCGATGGCGCTGCTTCATCAAGTATTCCTCTTGTGACGCACATAATTGTATTCGGCGTTTTGACCATGACGAATTGTTTAAACCGACCATGGCCCGGATGCGCTTTGGTGGGGGCTCATCATGGTGGGAACTACGATCCTAAGATGGCCAGTGTGGGATTTGAAATGAGATCCGGCTCGATACGAGCAGCCACCTCGGCTCCATTAGGTTGGGCTTCCAAACGCTTTTCCTAGGATCGATGGGATTCATGGACACCCAAACTCGCATACACACGCTCCAAAAAGGGGGGTAAGAGGGAACAAAGAAAAAAGCAATGTGAGAAATGGTCAAACAGAGGAATCAAAGAAGGCAAGTGCTGCAGGAGACCGTTGTAGCTATCAACCAGTAACACAACCAAATGGTATCGGGAGTTCCACGAGAATTCGTGCCCCATCTTCGTCCTCATAATTCCACAAATCTCTCTGACATCAATGAAGTGCTATTTACCCACAACGAGCGCTCATCTGGGGCTGAACGAAGTCCACCAGTTACTAGGTAGGCTAGGTTGGGGGCCTTTTATCGACTCAACCCCCGTTCAATTCAAGGAGCAACAGGAGCATCCTTCCATTATTGTACAGATTCGTTTTGGCTGGCAGCGACGACATCATTCGGTGGCGGCAGAGGCCCTGATATTCATATTACCGCGCGACTGTTATGCCTCACACGCCACACACCACTCGTTAAAGTGATCGCTCTAATTCGTCGTCATTGGGTCGCACAACCAGGTTCTTGGCCCTGCCACCTTTGGAACATCCCTACCTCTTTGCCCATCGCCAGGTGCAATTACCCAGCTTGCTTGCACCAACGCAACGGACAGCCAGACTGGCTCCCCAAAATAGAGCCCTAATATTAACCAATATCCAGCTCATTGAGCACTTGTCGTTGCCAACCAACCTACTACTTGCCTCCCTGTTGTTCGCAGCTTTGGCCATCCAGTCTCCTCTTCCATCAGTTATCTCCTATTTACCCGGCTGTCGCCTTCACCCCAAGCCAACAGCACCAGCCTCTGTTCCCTGCTGGGCTGCGTCCGAGCTGCATCATTTCTGCTCAATTTGCTCAACACGCCTTTTGCGTCTCGGCATCCACCCATCGCGGGCCGCACCGCACTACATACTTTTCACGGCGCGCGCCTACATTATTCTGGGGATTCAATAATCGTCTGCGCTATCTGGGAAGTTGACGCTGTTGTTGAGTCTATAGAGACGCTTAGCTTTGCTGTCGCATCGAAACAACCTGCAGGTCGAAAGCTATGCCAGCGGCCCTGACGTGCTGAAGGGGACCCCCTGAAACCTCCTGGGTCCGAATCCGCAAGTGCCTACCGATACAGCTACTTGCGCCCACAGCTACATCTCCCTGCCGCTACCGTGGCACCACTCCTACCAGACCTTACCAGACCGACTCGCTGGGCTTACCCAGACTAAGGTACCTGTCAGGCTCGCTAGGACGGCCGCCCCAGGTGCCTAGACCACCTGTACGGAAGCATTCCATAGGACAACACCTAGCAAAATGACGACAAGTACAGCAGCCGCTGCGGCGTTTGGCGCAGATTCCCACTCAACCCCCTCTCGAGCTCCCCCATCCAGATCCTACTCGACACGCTCCTCCCGGCCCCCTCCTGCAACGCCAGCAAACGCCAACTCCAACAACTCCAACCAGAGCCATCGTCATTATCCACCTGACAATCAACACAGCAGTCGCAGCCACCACCGCCGCACAAGCTCGTCCTCTCGCCCTTTAAGTTACGTGTCTCCGCACAATGACTACGAAACCTCCAACTTAGCATCAGGCCATTCGCACTCCAGGCGCAGTGCCAGCAGGGACCGCGCACCACCACCCTCGCCCAGAAACCCCCCGGATTCCTCACGGTCCCATAGGCGAACGGGCAGCAGACCTATCGACAATCGCCATTCACAACATCAACAACAGCAGCAACAGCAGCAGCAGCAATATCATCATCACCAGCAGTACGACATGTCGCCCTCCGCCGTCGACGACACCGGCACCTCACATTCACATCGCCATGGCGATGGGCCCGAAGCCACACACACATCCTCCAAACAGTCTAGGTCCAGAACCACCATTCCTACTCAATCGGGGAAATGGATTCTGGGCAAGACAATCGGTGCTGGGAGCATGGGCAAGGTGAAGCTTGCAAGAAAGGAGGATGGCGGTGAACAGGTTAGTTTTCCATCGCTGTCATTACTTCTGTCTGCCTCGTACTAATCACCGGTGAACATTAGGTTGCATGCAAAATCATTCCTCGAGCTTCCACCGACGACGGCCATCAAAGCCGTGCCGATAAGGAGCGCGCCGACCAGTCCAAGGAGATTCGTACTGCACGCGAGGCAGCTATCGTCACCCTCCTCAACCACCCCCACATTTGTGGACTTCGGGATGTTGTCCGTACAAACTACCACTGGTATATGCTGTTTGAGTATGTCAATGGTGGTCAGATGCTTGACTACATCATCTCGCACGGCAAGCTCAAGGAAAAGCAAGCCCGCAAGTTCTCTCGCCAAATCGCCAGTGCGCTCGACTACTGCCACCGTAATAGTATCGTCCATCGAGACTTGAAGATCGAGAATATCCTAATTAGCAAGACTGGTGATATCAAGATTATCGACTTTGGCCTCAGCAACCTTTTCGCTCCCCGTGGCCACCTCAAGACTTTTTGCGGCAGTCTCTACTTCGCCGCCCCTGAGCTACTTCAAGCGAGAGCTTACACGGGACCCGAAGTAGATGTCTGGAGTTTCGGCATCGTCTTGTACGTTCTGGTTTGTGGCAAGGTACCATTCGATGACCAGAGCATGCCAGCCTTGCATGCCAAGATTAAGAAGGGGATCGTCGATTACCCCAGCTGGCTTTCCACTGGTGAGTTTCTCCCAAGCCAGGTTTGTCTGAATTTTGGAATAACTGCTAATCTGGATCCTAGAATGCAAAAATCTCATTTCAAGAATGCTGGTGACAGACCCAAAGGCTCGAGCCACGATGCAGGAAGTTATGCAACATCCATGGATGGTCAAGGGCTTCAGCGGTCCCCCAGAGAACTTTTTGCCCGCCCGCGAACCTTTGACTACCCCTCTGGAGTCTGAGGTTATTCATGCTATGCAAGGCTTCAACTTTGGCTCACCTGAACACATCAAGTCGCAGCTATTGCGTATCGTTGAGTCTGAGGAGTATCAACGAGCCGTGAAAATGTACGAGCGAGAGAAGGACGTCCCACAACCAAGCAGGGAAGCCGAGAAAAAGCGAGGCTTTGGCTTCGACTTTTACAAGAGAAGAAATTCTCAGAACAGTCGTGATACCCTCACTGGTCCCAGTTCTGAGGCTCTGCAGATCGGAAACGATCCACTCAACGCATTCAGCCCTCTTCTGTCAATATACTACCTTGTAAAGGAGAAGCAAGATCGCGAGCGAGCAGAGAGCACGCCGCCAGCCAGCCTCCTCACAAAGGAAAAGGAACGGGAGAAGGAGCGGGAGAAGGAACGGGAGAAAGAGCGGGAGAAAGAGCGGGAGAAAGAGCGGGAGAAGGAGCGTAACCGAGAGAAGGAATCCTCAACCTCAATACCAGAAATAGCGCCACCTCAAGAAGCGCACACGAACTCTGCTTCGTATGAATTGCGTGGCGAGAAGCCCACTGGGGGTCGAAGCCGACCTCGGGCTCGTACCCATGGTGAAGATGACGCTCCAGATATGGCAAAGGCTGCCGCTTTGCTGCCGCCTGAGCCCAAGGAACAGCCTCAGAAGAAGGAAGGAACCGCGGCCGGCCTACTTAGGCGATTCAGCACACGCAGACGTAAGGAGCCTGAGCGGCTTGATAAAGACCGCTCCCACCCTCCTGTTGTGCAAGTTCACTCTCCTGCAGAGACTCCCACACTTGCCCCTAGGAAGAGCTTCAGCATCCGCCGTGGACGCCGTGAGAGAGATGATAACGGTGAGCCACCACTCCGGTCCGGTAGCAGTCAGCCTCAGCATAGGGAACTTCTCAGCCCCCCGATGTCTGCTGGCGGTATTCGAGAATCCCGGAAAACAGGTCTCGGCAGATCTACCAGTGTCAATTCAGCTGAGGTGCGACGGCACCAATCGACGCGTGCTCCCAAAGAGCCACTCCCAACCAGTGGGTCGGATCAGTCCGGCTTGAATGAGACAGATACCTCCAACCAACGAGGCCACGGACATTCAAAGTCCGTTGCTTTGAGAGCCAAGTCACTCGGCCATGCCCGACGTGAAAGCATCCAACAGCGACGGCAGCGTAGGGAAGCAGCCCAGTCATCCAATGTTGTGGAGGAGACGGATATGGAACAGGAGCAGAGTGGTGTCTCGACCGAGCGTTTGGACGATGCAGAACTTGCAAAGCCTGTCTTCCTCAAGGGCCTGTTCAGCGTGTCTACAACCTCGGGCAAGTCTGTCCCAGCAATCCGCACCGATATTAAGCGAGTGCTCAAGCAGCTCAATGTCGATTATACAGAAATCAAGGGAGGTTTCAGCTGCAAGCACTCGCCCAGCATCGATCTCAATAAGATTCAAGACCCTCCCGGCAGCCCCGCTCAGACACCAGGGCATAAGCGAAGATTTAGCTTTGGTGGTTTAAGAAGGGGAGAGGATGACAGCCGTGATGCGGAACGACCGCCAACCACGCCCAGAACGCCAGGCCGGTCAGACCGCGACCGCAGTTATTCGAATTCAGAGACTTCGATTGATAGCATCCCCAGACGGAACGGAGCAACACCAAGGAGGACTCCTGGAGAGACCAGCACACAAGTCCAGAGCGATCTGGGAGGCAACATGATCCTAGAATTCGAAATCTTCATCGTTAAGGTTCCTTTGCTGTCTTTGCACGGCATCCAGTTCAAGCGTTTAGACGGCAACACATGGCAGTACAAGAGCATGGCAGACCAGATCCTCAAGGAGCTGAAGCTGTAGGGGCAAGCTAGGTGCTCGTGGGATCAGACAATCACTGGGACTTTAGGCTGTCTTGGGACGCATACAGATAATTAGTCCAGACAAGCCTTGTTTTGTATAAGGGTGCATGGAGCGTTTTCATATTTTACGTGTCTTTTTGTTGGCGGCATCAGCACTTTGTCGAAGGGTAGCATTAGTCATATAGATCGGATGAGGACGATCGCCATTGTGATCAGCAGAGTTTGTATATAATACTGACGTACCGACATACAAACAAACGTACAGAGGGATAATTGGGTAGCTCCAAAATCAGACTTGTTAATTTCGCACGCACCGCCCGTGTCTTTGATGTGCATCCATCGTGAACCCCGCCAGCTAGCCAGGGCAGCAACAGACAGCCGATCAGGGCCCGACTCCACCACTGGGCGCCCCTTCCTCGATAATGCTCGAGGCAGGCGCAGAGGTGAAAATGGGGCCAGAAAGTAACTCCACCACAAAGTGGGCCGGATAGCCAATCACAGCCCGCGGCCTTGGAGTCGCAACCCTCTCGCAAGAACAACTCCCACTCCAACCGTACACTCGACTAAGCAACCAACCAACTCTGTTCAATCACCACCACCTGGCGCGAGGTCTGCGAAGCTGGACGTGCAACCCCTACCTATTTTCTCGTTAGAAGCGATTCCTGGCAGCAGGCAGCGACACAACTCCTCTCGCCTTGGCTGCGTCGCCGGCGACGCGAGATCTTAATAGCGTTTCTCCCTTCATTTCAAATAATCAGAACGACTGTCACCGACTATCCGGCGAGCCTCATTCCTCCTCGTGCACAGAATTCGTTCTTTTTTTTTTTTTAGTAAAAAAAATCCCCACGTCAAGTTGTTCCACGGAGCAGCGACCGCTTATTGGCCCCAAGCCGCCGACGATATCAGCAACTGTGTCTGCAGTCACACAGTGATCTCCACAGCCTCCGCGCATGCATCGAACAACCGCCGCCGCCAAGATGATGCCCTCGGCGCACCTTTACGGGCACCATCAGTTCAACCCTCAGGCCGACTCGGCTTGGATGCACCAGCAGCCTGGCCATCACCAACATGCCCAGCAGGCCGCCGCCGCCGCCGCTCAGCAACAACAGCAGCAGTACAACCGCATGAACGCGAACGCCCAATCCAGCGTCAACAACCTGGCCGTGGCCACCCAGGAGGCTGCCGCCGCTGGCGATAATGTATCTGAGGAGAACCGGCGAACCATGGGCTACATTGCTGAGTTGCTGAACGAAGCCACGCGGGAGGCTGCCCTCTTAGAACTTAGTAAGAAGAGGGAACAGGTCCCCGAGCTGGCCTTGATCTTGTGGCATTCATTCGGTAGGCGATTTTGGACTATGCTTCACGCGCTTGAGGATAGTTACTGACTTGTTTTCTGCGCTACTAGGTGTCATGACTTCGCTTCTTCAGGAAATCATCTCCGTTTATACACTCCTCAACCCATCTCAGCTCACAGCCGCAGCTTCCAACCGGGTTTGTAACGCACTGGCGTTGCTGCAGTGTGTGGCTTCACATAACGACACCCGCACTCTGTTTCTTCACGGTACGTCAAGTTGAGCCGCCTTGCAGTGTCAGCGTTCCCAGGCTGGTTTACTAACCTTGGTTGTAGCTCATATCCCCCTCTTCCTCTATCCGTTCCTCAACACCACATCCAAGTCTCGCCCATTCGAGTATCTCCGTTTGACCAGCTTGGGTGTTATTGGTGCCCTGGTCAAGAATGACTCCTCGGAGGTGATCAACTTCCTCCTTACTACTGAAATCATCCCTCTCTGCCTGCGCATCATGGAGACTGGCTCCGAGCTTAGCAAGACGGTGGCTATCTTCATTGTGCAGAAGATACTCCTTGATGATAACGGCCTCAACTACATTTGCGCTACTTATGAGCGCTTCTACGCAGTTGGAACTGTTCTGAGCAACATGGTTGCCCAGCTTGTCGAGTCCCAGACCGCTCGGCTGCTCAAGCATGTTGTTAGGTGCTTCCTCAGGTATGTTGCTACTGCCTATATTGGGCTCTATTATTCCCCGTGGCTGCGATGCTAACTGTTGCCACATAGACTCAGCGACAACGCTCGCGCCCGTGAGGCCTTGCGACAGTGCCTCCCCGAACCTCTACGTGACGCAACATTCTCGTCAGTTCTCCGTGACGACGCAGCTACTAAGAGATGCCTCGCCCAGCTTCTCATCAACCTTTCCGATAATGTTGTGGAGAATAACCCGACCGGTGTTTCTGCCCTATGAACCCGACAACGTTGAAGAAAAAAACCCTATAGTAATCGCAACGCATGGGTGCTTTAATGCAGCGAGCCACGGAGTCACGAATGAAAAGTATTGTCTTGCTTTATGATTCTTCTCGTTATCAAGGGTCGCAAAAAGGAGGCAGGCGCAACGATGGGAGACGAAAAGTATTATCCATGTATAATACGATATTCGCGTACTCATCCACATACATATCTTCTTGGTATTGGGTGGACGATGTGGCATCATCTACGAAGGCGATGCTACTTCTTTTCACTACCTGCAGTTGTCGATGACGACTGTTGGCCAATACTGAAGGGTTGAGATGGGTCAGACAGCTTATTATTAGTGGTGAGCCATATGGCTTGGTGTGCTAATTTTTGGAAGCATCTTTCGGACGACAGTAGCATTTATATAATTGGAGGGAATGGCATTCAACACTCTCTAACATAGAACCTCCCTGCGGCTGCAGATGGCCAGAAGACATGACTTACACAGGTCATCAGGCTTAATGCGAGCGTCGAGAACCGAACCGCGGGCCCAGGGGATACGTTGGCTGAGCATAGAGCGGTGTGCGCAATATATCATGGGAGGTGTTTTGGGAGTTTTGACTCTTTTTTTTGGAGGGGATTGCTATGGCATGTACGTATGGTGGTATAGCTTGGGAGAAAAACCGGGTGGTGTCGTCGGTCATAGGAGTCTTCGGAGACAGGATTGGCATTTACACAAAACGTCTATATGTATATAGCATAGTTTGTACGCTACGGTGATGTTCGATATGACCCTTCTTACTTGACATTGATTATACCAACACTGGCGAGCCGATTGGATTGTGAGTGACTGAGCATCATGTGCAGGCATCGTCATGTCTCGTCTTGAGCAAGGTGAACACTCCAGTCCATCCTCGAATATGTTTGGCATACACCCTTCAAGTGCAGCATGCCGTACGCCTTGAGCATTCGGCCCATCTCTATACGAAGCCTTGCTCGAGTCATGACGTCGGGCAGACTTGAATCTTGCCGGCACCAGAAACACGCCGGTTGACTTGGTCAATGGGAAACCGCATTCCAGCAGCCATTCAAGGTTCTCGGACCGATATCTCTCGCATTGATCAATTAGAATGCGGCGCACAGGTCACGATGGTCTTGATGTCATTCCAACCCTGTTCTATTCTTTTCCCCTGGCCGTGTCAGAACGAAGAACAGAGTTTGGTTGATCAACGTGGCACTGCCCGCTGGTCCGACTAAAGGGCTCCGTCGCCCTCGTGTTTCTTCTCCATCTCCACGAACCCCCAAAAATAGTTGTTATCTAGTTGCACCGCGGCGTGACATGGTTTCGGTACGACAGCCTACGTTTTGAGTTTTTTTCGTGTCTCTGGATGATGCAAGTTTGGAATGTTTCCCCCTCCGTGTCTCTCCCTCTCAACCCAACGCCCCCCCCTCATCCGAGATTTTGGCTCAAGACTAGGCGGGCGGGTCGAGGCGATCTTGGTCACACTTGCGCGACCGTTGTCCGAGAGGGCTCGAAGCTTGTTCAAATCTGACAGATCCGCGCGCATAGGCCAACGGCACCTGGGGCAGACCGTGCGAGGAGGGGTGTTGGGCATGCAGTGTAGAAACGATGGGGGCCGTTTTCCCGCTTTTACGAGCCTGTCACTCTCCTCCCATCCTGGGTGTCCATGGAGCAAAAGCATACGAAGGGTCTTTGGTTATTTCTGAAAGATCGCCAGTGTGGAGAGAGAGAGTACACGAGGGCGATGAGGCACAGAACCCCATACTCAATCACCAATGTTCCCCCGCCACTTGCACCGAGAGGGCGTGTTTTGTGTACGTACGCCTCACGAGATGGGCCAACATCTCTCAAGCTAGAAAGGAGGCAGGGCAAAAGCGTATAGGTTTAGAGCCGGCGGGCTGTTTTCTGTAGCTTAGGTCTCACCGGGACGTTGACTTCCCGTTCTATTTCGCCTTAGGCGTTTGTTCTGCTTATTGGGCCATCACATATCGGTTTCTGCCTTCGCTGCTTGGTCACAACTTCGTGATCACCGCCGCCCTTCGCTTTTCTGGCCCTTTTGCCGATTTACCTTGCCACAGAAGGCCCCTCTCGGCAGTGGGAAGGGCGTCCGTAAGCATTCCAAAACCCGCCCGCTTGGGAGAGAATCTGGTAAGCAGTCAGCCTTCTCCCCCCCCCCGGGGTTCACACGTGTAAGCGGCCGCTCCTGGTCGACCATCGGGACAAGGAAGGCTCCACGATGCCACATGCCACAATCAAGATGACAAGGCCCATCTCGTGGAGATAAGACATCATCCGGAGAACGAGGCCGGAATCAGG